ACTAAAATTTGCTTACATAGAACACAACATTTAAAAAATCTTATCTGCTGCAACTTAAGGGCTTTAGCCTGTTTATGTAGCTAAATGCAAAAATAAAATAAATAAAATAAAATAAAATTTCAATCTCAACCCTAATCAGGAGAAACGAGAAATAAGTATGTATACGTAATACATGAAAAATAAATTTGCTATCAACCCAATCACGAACCAACCAGAAAAAAAAGGAAAAGAAAAAGAAGCACGAAAAGGGAGAAAAAAATCACACGCTCAAATATCTAAGCCGCATATCGGTTTCACTACATACTAAAGAAAGAATTTCCACAATTTGCACAACTCATTAATTCCTTACCTTAATATCATCGTTCAGTAATTCCTTTTTCACAACTTTCGTAGTCATTTCGATTGAATTCCTTCGATTTTCTATCTTTTTTCTTTCTCGCTTTTATCTTACAAAGTTGATAATTGCAGAAAGAATTTCAATTCGACTTTAAACAGCTGAGGTGGTGACACAAGCAGATTTAATAACTTTTATTAGCCTTCTCTCTTCTTTTTCTTCTTGGCTAATCGATGAGCTTGATTATCTTTGTCACTTTTTGATTTATACAACTCGTAACTTGAGTTATTTTTATAAGTCAATTATTTTTATTTCATTTCAACGTTTATGAGGAAGACGAAAACTATATTTAAGTATTATTGATAACACAATATGATCACGACGCTTTTGCTACGTAAATAGAGAAGCTATTACGTGAAATTTATATCATTTAGTGAATATATTTTTCATCCTCCTCAAGTGTGAGGAAAGCGAAACGATTCTTATTTATAATAAAGAGTCTTAAATGTTGCCTTTATTAATAGATGCAGAGTCCGCGCGTTAGAATATCACACAACACTCAACGAAAATTTCTTCTCACTTTTCGGCGACGTGAATTTTATTTTCTCGATTTTTATCGCTATTCAATTTCACTTTTCAATTTGCGCCTTTGAATTTCCTCGCACTGAAAATGTAACAGTTTTTCAATGTCAAGTTCGAACACGATGCGATGTATGCTGAAAAATTTCCTTTTTTTATCTCCCCGTTTCGTATGTCAGTTGAAGAATATTCTTTATTTTCATCGCACACCGATCTTAACAACGATGTTTAATCACTGAATCCATGATGAAGACTAATTGTTGTGTGTACTGAAATGTTCTTCAACGAAGCGAGCGACGTTGCGTCGTGTTGGTGCACAGAATGTTGGTGAAACACTCTGGCAGTGGCAATGTAAAATATACAACACACTGATACAATCGCAACTTACGATCATATTCTTTCGCCCTCTCGACTTGTTGTGATGTGTACAAAAATAAAAGAAGAGAAGCATGATATTTTCTCTACTTCACTCTACAGTGCCTTGTGCTATGGCAAACGAAATTTCGGTTCATGTTACACGGTTCATCCTTGAATATCAAATTTCAATAAAAAAAAATATTTATATATTTTCTTCTCCACTTCGTTCATTTGCGATGTGATAGCGTCTCGGGTTATGTTACTAAAGAAAATTTTGTACTGTATTTTGATATATCTTTGCCTTATTTTTTTTATCTATTTTATTTTCGTTATAGATGTATAAAGTATTTTGATTTCGTTCGTTCTTATTTTTCTACGAAAATATCAAATTACTGTTCGTTATGGTGGGGTTGGTTGGTGATAAGGACAATTTTATTTCCGTATTTCTCTTCATTTCTTTCTCACCGACCACGACTTCAACTAAGATTACTTAACTTCATGTCATTATGTTTTCCTCTATAAAATCAAATGAGGCCGTGTAGTAAGTTTTTTGGGTATCTGAACGTTTGGTATTTTGTTGATAAAGTATACGAAAATCTTTGTAGCTTGCTTAGGTAGTATTTATGTAAAACATTTGATGGATGAAAATATAGTTATTGAATATAAAATTTTACATATCTATATTTTATACATTTGAGAATCATAAACTCAATCAACATAATAAAAAAATTTATTCTAAGATCGTTCTCAAAATGTTCGTTTTATTTCAAAATTATTTAAGATCAAAAATGTTTATTTTTCTTTACAACAGATGTCGCTATGAGATTGAAAAGGTGCACTCGAGGGTTTCAAAGGATGACAAAGTGAGCAACTTATGGCTAACGATAAGAAAACTGAAAAACTTCAAAATAATTCCTGCACATTAAATAAATCAAACAAACTCAAATATTCAGAAATCGATATTTTTTTCTATAATTAAATTCAGTGGAGAAAAACAAAATCAAATTATCAGAAAACTCATTTGTTAGCTTTGCTGTCCACTTTGCATTAAAAATTGAAAACAAAGTTTCATTTTAATCATTTCTGAAAGAAATTCTTAATTGAAATTGAATGTTCATTAGAGACCCTAATAAAGAAATGCCGATTTTTTCTTACATACTAATCTCAAATTGGCATCGCCCTCGTGAAATGATAAACGATTTTTAATTTTCATAATTTTTAATTGAATTGAAATTTATTTTCTACAGAGTAAATGCCACGACTTTTTTTGTAGCAAAAAAATTAAGACTAAGAAGTTGAAGGGAAATCCCATTAATATTGGATTGCAATTAAACAACTGCCAGCGAAAAAAATGTCTCGAGACTTGAAGAAAAAAAAGTAGATTTTAAAATTGCAAATGTCATTTACAGATGTCGAAAGAAAATTTGAAAATTAATTACGCGAAGTCAAAATCGACTTCATCTTATTTCTTTATTATTTTATGATAAATATTCAAATCCATTGGAAAGATTTTTATTTTGACAAAATTACCTTAAGGATCCGATACAAAAGAGTAAACTAAATTAAAGCAATAATAGTCCGATGATGTTATTTGTTTTATAGTTTAAATTTTCATTGTTGTAGGGAAAATGAAGGGAATGTCTTAAACTTGCAAATAACATTAAGAAACCACATAATAAATTCTGAAGACGAAGAGATTTTTCACAAAACCAAAAGAAAAGGAAAAATAATCTAATAAATATCCAGAGCGTTATTTATTCCTGTTGACTTTTCAAACATATTATGGTTTTGAATCACTTTATATAATTCAATTTAAAAGCATGCATTAAACATTATGTTTGAGTGCTGGCTTGTGTTAAATGTGTTTTTATCTCCTCAAGTAGATGCGGTGCTACTTGGCAAATAAGGACAGTTTTAAATCTGAGGTTTCTTGGTTTTTCATTAATTTATTTGGCATTAGAATGAAAAAATTACTTTTTTTAATATGACGAGAAAAAGAGAAAGGGATAATCTAATTTATGATGAAAATTTATTTTTCAATGTAAATCGCGGGAAATGTAAACATTAATCAGTTAATCAAACATTGTTACTCTTTGGAAAAATGATAATTTTCAATTTTGTCACTTTAAAAGTTAAACGATTAGAAACCATAACATTATAAATCGGCATGGAAACAAAGTAAAGTGAGAGTGTCACGTGTCTGAACGCCGTTCCATATCAAGTCAAAAATACTTATTTAGCATAAATGTTTACAACGAATAACAACACGTGATCAAAAAAACATAATTGTGCGTTTAATATCATTGTGATTTAATTTTGTAAACAGTAAATAAAAAGATCATTATGTGATTGTGCTGTAGGCGAATGGTGCAAGGGTGTGAGAGATTAATTAATTAGATTTTTTGGTTGGCAAACAATAATACATGATATCCTGGTATGACTAGAGAATTACTGAGATACTGAAGGTAAAATTCATTATCGAATCAAAAATTTCATATGAACTTAATAAAAACTAAATATGTCCGCTTTCATTAAAAATGTTTGTTATCGTTCTTAAGCCCACACCCTTAAGTTTTTCGATTGAAATTTATTGAACTTTTCTTTATGAAATATTGCTTTTAATATTCAAATTTTGTTTGACTTTCTTTTTTATATCCGCCAATTTTTTTATTTGCTATTTCAATTTGCCTTCGTCTCGGCTTCGAGGGCATGAATGAGAAGTCAAACTTTTCTAGCCAATAAAAATCGACTGTTGCACATTTTTATGACAACTCTGGAGAAAATAAAGAATTAATGTAAAATCGAATATTGTTTTTAAGAAGTAAGATCAACCAAAAGAAATATTTTCAAACCTTCAGAAGATTGAAGGAAAATGAAATAAAAATTTATTAAATAATAACAGAAATGAATATTTTTCATATAAAATTAAGTAAATTAATAATAACAGGAAAGCAATGAAAATTTATTGCTTTCTTCATCACAGTATCAAAAATATTTCAAATAACTCATTTCATTTGAATAAAGAATATTATCCGCAATCGTAAACTTAGTTGGCCTCAAAAATAAGAAATTCGGTCTTAAACTTTTTTCCCTTAAACTCCAATTGAAAGCACAGGTGAAGCACAAATCTTTTTACAAATTGGAATTTTATATTCAACAAAAACTACTTACAGGAATTCTTCGACTAGTGAATAATTTGAAAATTGTTATTTTATGCTTCTTTAGTAAAAAGTGCTTGTAATTAAACTTTCATTACTTAGCACTTTAAAGTTTAAATGTCTTATGAAAAACGTGAAACTTATGTCATGGAGAAGTTCAACTGTAAAATGAAAGCTCGGAAAAAGTCCCATGGATACACAAAACACTTAGATGAGAGTATTTCCCAACAGATATATCCATTCAGCATCCTGACATATCTCCTGGTCAATCCTTTCGTATTTTCATAAAGGATTTTATCAGATTTAAATATAATAAGTTTTATACTTTGTTTTCAATACAAATATCCTTGAATTTGAATCAGAAAGGGTGGAAAAATAAATTTATTAAAATAGGATAATCAAAATCTCTTCCGTCACCCTTTTTTTATTTTTGTCGATTTGAAAACGTAAAAACTACTTTTTATATCTCTCAGCATACCCGTAAAGATTGTGGGAAAGAAGAAAACGTGCAAATAAAAACATTTCCATATAAAAATGAAACCTGAACGAGAATCGTAAAAGGTATCGATATATTTCAATTTTTAGAACTTGTGCAAGTGTTTCAACATCATATACAGCATACCTTCATCGATATCGTTGAAGATCGAAGAACGACCACAATTTTTGTATTTTTCATTGTTATAAGGTAGATAACTTTTATGATATTTGTTGTTGTTCAATAGGTTTTCATGTCTTAAACATCTGTGAAGCGCTTAAAAGTCAGAGGGTGGGTTGTCTTTGATTTAGGGACGTAAAGTATATGTAAAACATTTTCTTGCAATAAAACGAAGAATATTTTCTTCGATTTTTATTTACGCATGCAAAATACCAAATTTGAAACTATATTGGCCTCGATTATACCTTTGATTTTCTAGGTAGATGTATCTGAAGGATCACCCAGCGTAGAAGAAAACACTATGAAGATTTTTAAAAAATCAAAAGAGTTTAATATTATTATCATAAGAACCGACTGAGTGAATTGAGAAATTTATAAAATTGGAAGTGTGATAAGCTATGAAGCAATTGATTTTTATCACAGCTCTTTAGATTCTTCTGGGTTTCGAAATCAAAGTGTGGTTCACTTTCTAACACGCAGACACGATAGCGAAAAAAACGAAAAATCTTGCAGACCTTTCGTTACGCAAAATATTTATATTTTATCTTTATTGCTAACGTTATTTGAAGTACTTATTGGGATTCACATTTGAAATCGTAAAATGAGAGCAAATATGAGACGTTTCGTGCGTGGGAGGTTGATTTTTCATTTTTTAACTCCTATAAGCTCGAATTTCACGTATCAAAATGTTTTTATTAAAATCACTTTTACGATCTATGGAAAGCACCGTAAAAAATTTCATGATATTTTTCTGACGCGCCCGAGTCATGTTCGCAGGTGAATTTTTTTCTATCTGATCTGTCGACGTGAGAGAGAACGTGAATGTTTCACATTTCAATAATGATTGACATGTAGGAAATAAAAAATAGGAAGAAATGTATCGCAATCCTTGATTTATATGGATTCGTCCGTGCGCTTATTTGCTTCGATTTATAATTTTTTATTCATGTGAGCGAAGCATCAATTAAACTCTTGAAATGTTTTTATCACCCACCACTGACTGTCAAGCTACAGACACAAACTATGTCAGTTGAAATGACAGGGCAACAAAAACATGCCAAATATTAATTACTCAATTTGTGATTTATTCTTCGGTCTTTCAATGCGAAAGTCATAAAAATCATTCGCAGAAAAAAAAAGTTAATGGAAAATTTATCTTTTTTTATGTGTGAAATGTTTATTGAATTAAAAATGTGAAGCAGAAAAGACACGAAAATTGTTTATCACAATTTAATGTTTCTTCCAAATCGTTTAATTTATAAATTGCCAACGTTTTTGCTAAACATTCGGTTCAATTGCATAAAAAAACTTTCGTTTGAATCATTCCAACATATCCTCTGTTATTGTTAACAATTTCCTTCGAAATTATACAAATTGCTCTATATTTATAAGTGACTTTATCGATATAGAAAAAAACTAATAACGTCAAAGATCTATTAACAGAATTTGTTCCGCTTCGTTACTTTTGCAAGTGAAAAGAAATCGAGGAGATTTGCTATTGAAAAAAATTCCACCCCATCGATTTATATTTTTGTGTTTAACAAAATATTAAATAAAATAAGTAAATTGCATTTCATTTCTTGGCTTATGAGCGTCAAGTGATGAACATCTCCTGAATTTGTAGAATAAAGAACGGAAAAGAGATCATAATTTTTACCCAGGAAAACAAGAAATTTAGCTGCTAACTTCATGCACAGCATTCAGAGCAAATTCAACTTATCATACAACAGTTTCATCTACGCTGGTCTTCCTTCTTCCCTCTCATTTTGCTGGTAAATCAAAAGAGAAGAAAAGAAATGAAAATAAAAATCTCACAGAATACTTAGATACAGCCGAACGTACGAAAGAAATCGTTTTGATGAAGTATTTTTAAAATTTATGATGTCGCAGGATTTTCATATTATGCTGCAGCATTTGTTAAATTAAGTCGTTAATGCTTATTGTCAGAAGCGGAGAAAGAAGAAAGTAAAAGAAATTGATTTTCATGACAGCATCAAATCGACGTAAAAGTTCAAAATGCCATTTGTGAGTTGAAGAGCGTGGGGGGATTAAAATTTATATCTTGAAAGGCGTTACCTTTGCTTCTCTCACAATACTACCGACTGACCCAATCAAAATAATAATAATTCATTTGAAAATGTATTCAAATAAATTCATAGCTGCTTCTATGATAATCTTAATTGGAAAACTAGAAATGTAGATTTTTAATGCTGACGAGGATTTTATGAATCATCTCTCAAGCATATTTATGGTGCTTCATATAAGTATCAGAATTGAAAAAGAAACAAGCATTGACCTTGATTAAAGATAATTCCCTCAAAAGCCTCTTTTCGGTATATTAATGGAAAGTTCATAATTTGTATATCAAAAATTACACAAAAAAATGTAAATATCTCCTTACTACACGCCTGAATCATCGTTTTTGAAGAGGATCAAAATATCCCTCGAATATAAATACTGAGAGAATCTCAGTAAAAATTAAGGGGGTAGTTCATGAATAAGGTTGTTTTAATATCATTTTCACATAAATCTAAAAGAACATCCAAACTTGGTACAAAACGTTGTTTTACTTCTCTCATCCTCAACACTCACTCCGAAGCTTTGTTATGAATTACCCCTTGATAACAGCTATTGAAAAAGCTAAAATCAAAAGAGAAAATTTTCTTTTTCTTCTGCTCCACAGTTATTGATGCTAAAGTAACCATCATTTTCTTTGACTTGCACTTTCCTGAAGATTGCTCAAATAAAGCGAGACTTAAAGAATTTAATGAACTTTTTCTTTCTTCTTAACTTCATTGCTTCTATCGATGCTGTGCATTTGAGAAAATGACTGTTTTAGTCGTGGAAAATTGTAGGAAAATGTTTCACCATTCATATTGAGAAAGAGAGAGAGAAGCGTGATTTTTTGCTCCCCCATCGCCAGAGAAAAATGGTTGAGCGAAAAGCGATCTCAGTTTGTACTCAAACAACTCCGCCCATGTCGAAGGCGTGGCAATGGACGAGTTATTTAAACACTATTATATGCACAATAACACATTTTTATAAAGTTATGAAAAAAGCATAAAAAAAACTCTATGGACAAAAAATTTGGTGTCGGGACGGGAGAGTGAGAAAGAAAGAGAGAAAATGGAATCTCAATAATACTCCTTTGTCGCTGACTTTTCATCATTTAAAATAAAAATTTTTCATATTGAATTTGTCTTTATTCTCACTTGATACAGCTCTTTACATTCGATCGCATCCTCTCTCAGGATAGGTTTTTATTCATTCGTAAGCTATTTTATTATCGTCGCACAACAAAGCTTTTGGTGCTGATGCTTGGGGGGATTATTTTCTATTTTCATTTTGCGCGACTACTTGGAATATCTACAGCGTATTAGTTTTAATCAAAATTTCATGATATACACACACATAACTATATCAAAAAGCAGCAACACAGAAGTGTATGAAAAGAAAGAAAGAAAAAAACAACAATGACTATTGTAAGCAAAGTGTGAGAAGAAAAAGAGAAGCAAAAAAGTATCAACGATGAACAAACAAGAAGTATGAAAAAGTAATTTTAAAATCATGTTAGTCATTCACGTTTAACGTACGCAAGCAGTCGGACGTGTAATTTCTGAAGAAAAATAAAGAAAACAAAAAATTATAATAATTCGGGAAATCTTTTTGAACATCATCAATAAAAATTAATTATTTAATGTATACTTAAGCATTAAAAAGTGGATTTTAATTCATAAAGATTATTTTATAATCGACAAGAGTGTAGTGAACAACAAAAGAAAGAATTGAAATGAAACGATCATTAATTGAAGTGAAATAATAAATACGAGTTAATTTATTGAGTTTAATTTGTAAGAATTTCTTAAAAGGATTATAAATGAACATATTTGTGGCATTACAAAGGTTTCATGGATTATTTGTAATTACGAATTCATTTGAAGTTGAAATTTGAATTAAAATAGGAAATTTATAAAATAAATGTTAGGTTTTCATTAAAGTGTTGTCATTGAAATCAATCGAATAATTCAAATAAAAGCATTTTCTGTGAAAGGAAGAAAGATAAATTGTTAACCTGGCGGCGTTTAGGACTCCAGGTTTTCTCGGATCGAATGGATCATTCGGTTTTACGAATTTCAATTCATTTGATCAATGTGATCCTAGTGGATTGAATTTCCCGCACGGTTTTCGACATAACAAAAGCCCCGTCAATCTCTACCTCGCAAATTCTAATAGTCCTTCGACGAATTGTGAAGCGGGGGAGAGTTTTTGTTATCAGAACAACAACAACAACAACAATAATAATAATGTTCATCTGAATAAAAATCTTCATGAGAGTGTCCATAAAAACTACAGTGAAGTGAACAGTCGTGAGAATAGTCCGCGGGAAATATTTCGATTAGATAGTCCAGGAAAGCGTGCCGGTACGTGCAGCCCTGAAGAATCTTCTCGATCGTATTCTAGTCAAAAAAATGATGATGTTGGAAGTCACAGTCCACTTCACAATCATAACAACGACAGTTTAGGATCACAAAGTCCAGAAAATTTATCTTCAAAGTCACAACAGCAGCAAAATAATCAGAAATTAACCGAAATGTTGGATCATAAATTACAACTGAGCTTCTTAGGCCCTCCACTTGCTGCTCTTCATTCAATGACGGAAATGAAGTCACAAAATAGTCCACAAACGTCACAGCACTCACAGGGACCTTCAAATCCACACGGAATTGATTCAATTCTTTCCAGACCGACACCTGTAACGAGTGCTCAATTAAATGCCTTAGGAGGTGAGTTTGTCTTTTCTTTCTCTTCAGAATAAATTGTCATTGATTTAAACTTCTCTTTCCTATGATAGGTGCAATGCCTCGATTTTCAATTGCTGCTGCAGCAGCCAACATGGCTCAATATCTTTCACAAAACCAAGGTGCACAAATGAAATCAAATCACAGTGTGCTTGGTGATAGAACTCATCTTTACTGGCCTGGTTTACAAGGTCTGGTGGCAAATCCAATGGCTTGGCGAGATCGATTGGGTTCAAGTAAGTTTTCAACCACACTTCATTTATTATTTTATTGATTTCACAAATGTATACATCAATCAATTATAACACTTCTTGTGTAATCTTATTAATAATCATTGGCTATTGTTGATTAAACCTCACATTGTATTCATAATCCCATATCTGAAGGTTATCTCTAGTAACTATTCGATTAAACATTGAGCTTATTTATTAATTAATTTGAATAAATATTAATAACATAATCAAAAAGCTTCACAAGGCGTCATAACAACAAGCGAATTAATTTGATACGATAATCATTATTATTTCTATTATTAATCTAATTTCTTTTTTCACACTCTTCTTTTGACTTGACTGCTTGTTTGCTTTGATTTTCATGTTGCTATATTTAATGAATTTTGATAACAGGAATAACACTTGGTGCTTCAGCTTTATTATTTCATATCATTGTTCCAACTGTTGTAATGATTGATTAGATAAAATCACACATCGCCCTTCGAAATGTATCCGAAAGCATAAATTATAATCACGTTGTTGAATGAGACTTCACACTTGTGTTATATGAAAATGATTTGAAGAAACATTTAAAATGAGAGTGAAAAACATGGATACAAATTGAATTGCGAGATACTTATTAGCATAATAAATATATTCGTTACAAACTCAATCACTTAGCCGCTTTTACGTAACTCAAATATCTGACATCCCAGAAAAACAAAGCAATTAAAATTCAAAATCATTGTCATAAATTTAATTTCATTAATTAACCAAGTTCCATGATGATATTAATAATAATAATAATAATGATATTTTCGTGTTGAGAAGCATTGAACAAGAGACAAAATAATAGTGAGTGGAACAACACATCGACAAATAACAGATAATACAACATATAAATTTTATGGTTATCCCTTTCTGCTCCCATCTCTATTGTTAGGCTTTGAGCCTTGCTTTAAGCAATGGAAGCAAGTAATATCTGTTTATACATAAATGAAGAGAAAAGCCAAATCATTCGTTTAAATGAAATATCATAATATTAACGATTTTGATGTGTCATTAAGCAGAGAGTTTGTACGCTTTCTATTCTCTTCTTTCGGCTTTTTGGTTATTTGCACAAGAAAAAATTATTCTTAGTTATTTATATTGTTTTTCCCCCGTAATTAAGATTTATTGTTTATGCTTCTGTTGTGAAGTGGAAAGGGAAAGCTTTTATAGGAAGGTTTCATGTCTTAATGTTCTCGTTTCATGTTTTTTTTTTCTCCAGTTGTTGGGGGTGGTAATAAAGATCTTTTATCTTATAACAAATAAATACACCTAAAACATAGGCTTTGCTATTTATGCTTACAAGAAAAGAATCTCAAGTATTTAGATTACATAAATATGAATAAATGGAGGAAGGATTGCGATAATATTTTCCATTGTTTATTTATCTACATTTGAATTGATCCTTATTTACATTCATTTGAATTCAGGTAATAAAAAAAGCAAGAATATTTAAAAGCATAATGAAATGATGCTACTCAAAACTTTTCTATTTCCTTTTTCTTCTTCTTCTCTCAAGAGATTGCTCCAATCAAAAGTTTTCATGGGGAAAATATTGTGTACGTTTGCGATTGCAAAATGGACGTGATTTTTACCCTCCTTCGCATCACGCTCACTGACTCATTCTCTGAATCTGTGCTATGTATTATAACACGACTTTGCTTTTTCGTAAACGGCAAACAAATCTAATCAGATATCAAATTACGAAAAAACATTACTCATGATCTTTCCCGTTCTCTTCCGCAATTGAATAATTTTTCTATATTTTGGTTTACATATTTATGTACATATGTATGTATCATCTACATGTGTACATAGAAAACAATTTCAATTCTTCGTTATTGTAATGTGGAGAAAAGTCTTAAAGCGAAATCTTTGGGGAAAACAATTTTATGATATATTGCGATTTATATTTTGATTAATGTGATTGTATGAAATGAATTTATACGCTTACTTGCTCTATTGCACTTTGATTCTGATGATATAGTGAGAATTAAGCGTTCTACTTTAAATTCTCGAGTATTTTATAAAAGCTTTTATGTTTTGGCTAAAATTGTTTTAAAATCAATTTTCGAGAAGAAAACGTTTTAAGATTTTCTCTTAAGAAGAAGTCGATAGATGTGATGTGAAGTGGGACATTTAATGGTGTTGTGTAGTTAGGAAAACCCAATTTTTCATCATTATTAACATACTTCTTAAAGCCATTACACCAGGGTGGATAATGGACGGAATGATTGCGTCGACAGTCTGGTAAATGATGTTGAATCATTTCCAGCTAAAAGCAGAAAAACCATGATGCGCCTTCCAAATGGAGAAAACGTCGTTATCAACATGTGTGACGTTATCCTCATGAAATTAACAATGATAGTCACATGATGATGCTTCTCGCTTGAATTCGTTCAACGTCTAGGGTCACATCAAGCCCGAAAGTTGATTATAAACATGAAAACGAAGATACCTCGAATGATAACGACATAACTTAATTGCTGTTTAGTTCGCTTTCGCTTACTTTCAGCAGCCATCAAGCAAGCCCATCGAGAAAGAAACACTACACATTGGTGCTTTGAATGACTCTCCATGAAAATCAAAACTAAATTAATTTCTATCATTGTCTAACTAGTGAGTGTAAGTGGTGGTAAACATAATGGTTATTTCGTGATGAGATAGCTAAAATTCCTCGTTGTAACTTCATTTACGTGTGGAATGGGATTCACTTCTTTCTCTCTTTGTCTCTATCATTTCTCGAGACAAAAGGAAATTCTTTTTCTTTATCCAAATATACACTCGACTCTCGTTATTGAATTATCATATAAATGTGGAAAGCAAACAGACAAAAAATAGCATATTTATCGATAAAACATTGCATTTCCACTCATTCTTATCTTGTATGCTTTTGATATAATATCAAAATAAGAAAGGAGAATCATTATGCAATAAAAATAAAATTCAATGATACCCAAGAGGAGAAGAAATGAAGCGCAATGTTTATTGAAACATTTTCTCTACGATGAAAATTGATTATTTTTCTTTTCGTTTTCCTTTTCTTTGCTCTCGTTTTAAAACAATTGTATAAAGTGAATTGTTAGTAGTGCCTTGGGAAAGTTTATTATTTTGATAACTTTCAGACCGGAATTATTTACTCTTCACAACAAATTCTTCATTTATTATCGTCATCTCAAAACTCAAACGAATATCTAATTATTATTATTACGAAAATTTATTCGAGTTGCGAGTCAACCAACGCAACTCATTTCTTAAACATAAATAACTTTAACGAGATTAAAATCTAAAAGCCTCCATTATGTTTCTGTAATTTTTATTACCTGAAATATTGCCAACAAACATATTAAATTTAATTCATTCGTAATCAAATTAATTTCATCATGGTATTCATCCCTCTATGGGTTGATGAAAAATGTTTTCCCTGTACACGTAAAGGGTTAAAAAACTTTTGATTGTGCTTTTGGTATCCGAGAAATCGTAATTTCAGAAGCAAAAACAATTAAGACAAAGTTGGAAAAGTATTGTATGGGTTTAGGATCCTTTTAGCTCTGCTCGACTTTTTCTACGATTATTAAAATATTAATAGGCTGACTAGATGTTCACTTCATCTTGTATTTAAATGAAGCATCTAAAATGTAGCTAACCTTTAGAAAATTAAATTATATACTGGTGGTGGCAAGATATCTTCAATTATTTATATCTACATATATATTACGCATAAACCCTTTTTCGTACCGAAACATAACATAGCAAAGCATTTATGCATGGACCATTTGTATCAATTTTCTCGCAAAACCCCAGAGCAATGGTCTCATAAAAATAATGTTAAGGATTCAAAGAGAATTCTTCCAAAAAGATTTTCCCTTGCGCTAATCAAAAACTAAATGACATAAAATTTTTTAATGATACGAGCTAATTATTTACTTGAACCATTTCGTGCTGCCTGAAAAATTTGATCACGGAAACCATTATATAATCTCATTCAAGTAAATTACGAAGTGAATGTGATTGAAATAGTTAAAATGTAAGTCACACTGTTTATTACGAATGCAACAAATGTTCGGCAATCTATTACAACTCTCCCTTCCCCAGGGACAAAATCGAATTAATAGATAAACAATTTAGTGTCCATTTTGATGAAATTTAACGGCGATATTTTATTATAGCTCATCGATTGTTTTGGAATCAGGCTGCTTATCGAGTAATTTCGATGCAGACTTTTAATGCTGTCGTTTATCTTTTTTATTGTCCGTTACTAGTTAAAGTGTCGGAAGTTTTCTCCCTCTGGTTGAATGGAATCTTAAGTAGCAAGCGCAGAAATTTTTAATTACCTTAGGAGAAAAGTTTTTCTCTCCCCTTTGCGACACTTGTTGTGGTTTATGCTTCAAATGCATGAAAAAGGGCTTTAAGCCACAAAAAGTATTAAGTTTTCATAATTGTGTAGATGATTATTTTTCCATAATTGCCTTCCAACGAAAACATTTCAACACAAAACTGAAATGTGAGCTAATTTCTCCCCCGACAGCTGAAACAAATAATTTTCCTTGGGAGCGTTATTGTGTTGACAAGGGTCACCCAATTAAGTTGGAACAAGCAAAATTAAAGTCAATATTACTAAAGATACAATTATGGTTTTGAAAAATTATTAAAAATTGTGTCTTATGGTAAATATTGTTTGAAAGGCAAAGGTTAGCAAAGTTTGCTGAAAATGTTTACCGTCGGAAAATTGAAACTGCTGTTACGTGAAAAATATTTTCTTCTTTTCACTTGAAATCTTTTAAATGAATTCTTTTAAAAATCATTAAATATATGAATTTTAAATTTTAAATAATAGATTTTGTTTTAATTTTCCTTCAATATTTCAAACATAATTAATAAAATAGGGAAGCGCTACAATGATACAGTGAAATGTTTATGAAAGAAAGAAAAAAGTTTTCTTCTAACTCTCGTACAACATAAATCCTTGTAGACATATTAAAGCCACAAAGCAATCGACTTAAACTTTATTTCGCCATAGCAGCACAATATAAAAAATACACAAATCTTTAAATCCCATGTTTCAATTAGGGAACAAGATATACATGAAAACAAAGGAGCACCAAAAAAAATCCATAATGTTATCATCCGAATTTATACATCATCATCGTTTCACCAAAAGGAAGACAAAAGCAAAAAAAGAGAAAAATGTGCGTTACACATCTGGTCGCCTTTCTCTCAAGCGATTTTCGGGCACGACAAGCACAAAAACCATCTTTTGTGTTTAGCGCATCATTATTGTTGAGAGTCGTTTATTGCACTGTGTTGTGTATAAATATGGATTCAAAGATGGGCACAAAATAATATGATGATGACATTTAGTCTTTCAAAGCTTTAGAGAAGCTCACAAAGGCAAGAAAGAATATCCGCAGATAATTTCATTTAAAAGAGTTTCTTTGCTATTCAATTTCTCAAATGATTTAACGAGATTTAACAAGAGTGAGAAAACGATGAAAGCAATTTTCAATAACACACAAACGGTTAATTAAAGGTAGAGTGTGGATAGATTTCAAGAGGTCATTAAGCGTGAGTAGACCTACTACTGTAGAAGTTAATTAATCAATAAATCGTCTTCCTATTCTCTCCGTTGTGTGAAAGCTTTGTGCAAGACTCATATATCATTTTCAAATGCTACACACACCTCATCATCATCGTGAGTATGTATATATCTCAAACTAATTGAGATTTCTAAAGCATTTGAATCATTAATTATAAAATTAATAATAGGTTGAACTAAGCTTGAGAAAATTGTCTTGACTTATTAAGATTATTGTATTGTGTTATTGGAAGTTGTATGTTAAGAAAATATACTTGGATATAATTGCATAAACACACTTCAACCACATTAGCTTAATCACTCGCTTCCCTTTAGCCTCAATTTCTTATTCTCTCTTTTGTCTGCTTACGTCAAGAAAATGGCTGAGAAAACCCGATAAAAATATGAAGATTTTCTTCTTCTATCAATCGTAAGTAATAAGTTGAGATATTCAGGAAGATTCAGAATTGTATGTTATGTTGGCTGCTGAAAATATACAACCGTAAATATCGCATAATATTGATATCTGTGACACATAAATGGAATTTTTATTTTGTAAATAAAATGGTGTGAAACACCATTATTTCCCTCCATCTCTTGAATCTTGAATGTCTTCAGAGCTTTGGCTTCTTCTCTTCGTTTTCCACAACACTCGATTTTCTCTTCTTCCTGCTCGCTTTATATTGTTATCATAAGCTTTTCAATATTGTTTTCCAATATATAATCTTGGCATAATATACCTAACAACAGCCAGCAAACGGAGCACAATCAAGGGAGAAAAGCAGAAAGAAAAATTATACACACACCATGATTGTGTCGATATATTCTTGGTTTTCTTCTTGAAGCAGCAGCGGCAACAGCAGCAGTATATAGAGCGTCGAGTCGACGATACTTGAAATGAAAATAAAACTTTTCCATGCTGCTATTCTCGTCGTCATTTGCTTTTGCTCTCCCTCTCTCTCACTCACTCTCTTCGTCTCTCGCTCCCCATTTTCAGAAACAAACATAATGATTATTATTATTCTATGTTTAAATGTTTACTTGCGAAAGGAGGGGATAGCGAAGCAAGGGAAACTGACTGTATAAAAGGTTTTATTCCTTTATGAATATTATTACATTCTATTGCTTAATGCTTGAGTCGCTTAAAATCTGATATGAAATATTATTCTGTTGTGCTTTCATGTAGATATTCATGTACATTTATGTATCCTAGAAGTAGAAACATAAATATATAAAAGAGATTTCCTTTCTCTCGCCTTGCTTCCATTTCGCTGAACAAGAATGTAGTGTTTAACATAAATATATGTGTACATTTTACATTTATTCTCATGTTATCATGAATAAATTGAACATCAAAATTAGGTGATACAATTGGTGACATTTAAATGTTAGTTGCTATGAAACTTTCTTTCTTATCAATGAGATTGACGAATTTCTGTTTGTCCTTTATTTAAAAGAAGAAACATCAGAAGAAAACTTTCAACGATTAAATATTGAAAAGTTTCGTACAACACATGTTTAGCACTTCCTACTTCTTTCATGACTTAGAAACACATTGAAAATACTTAATTCCATAAAGAACGATGATAAAACAAGAGCAATAGTAATTTTAACATGTGTTTACTCCTCTTTACAAACAGCAGATTATGATATGATCATATGATTTTATTTTATTAAATTATAAACATATTCAGAATATTAAATTGGGTAAGAAGCGTCTTGTGTTGCTCTCAACCCAGCATCTTATGTTGAAAGTCATACGTGTGCACATAGAAATCTTCTGACGCAACATAAAAGATACTACAATATGTTTATGTTTGATTATTTATTCTTACAGTGTCAGCAAGTTTATCACAAACACATCACAATCAGGATAAAGATGGAAAGAAAAAACACACACGGCCGACGTTTAGTGGACAACAAATCTTTGCTCTCGAGAAGACTTTCGAGCAAACGAAGTATTTAGCTGGACCTGAGCGAGCCAAATTAGCGTATGCCTTAGGAATGACAGAATCACAAGTGAAGGTAAGACATATAAATAAATTTTAAAAGCAATATATATCGTTGTCAACCCTCTGTTTCTGCAATAAATTATCGCTTTAATTAAATGATATTTCTGTCTGGACTCCTACAAACAACTATCAAAGCCATTAAACATCATCAACTCTAAACGAAGCATAATCAAATTTTAAATCCATTTGTAAAATTGTGTATCGAAATCGATGAGATAAATCTTTTTTTATTTCGTTTTATGCTTTTGTTGAGCAGCAACTCAAATATCGTTTTTGGACATTTTTGGCAAAGCACTTCTTTATGTTTTATGTTTAAATCGAAACTGTTTGCTTTTAAATTCTTCAGAAATTAATTTTTTTAAATTGATTCAAGTTAAATTAGTTTTAAATGATACCCGATTATGTTTTAATTCAATGTCAATTTTTAAAAGTAGTGAATCAACTCTAAAATGGAAAAAGAATTTCATAAAATCTCAAATATGTATTAACATAAGCGAAGAGATTTGCACAATTTTTTTCTTTTTTGTTGTGATATTCCGAAAGAATTGTACAAAAATATAAAATCACTCATACTGAATGAATTTCTCGCCTTATGTAGGATAAAAACACAAACATTCAGCACCCATGATGATTTTTCTCCGACTTTTTCTCACTCACTCGTTCGATGAAGTTTTATTCAATTTATCTTCTTGTTTTTGCCCTCACTTCCCCGACCGATGCGTGTCGAAATGAAAATGGGGGTGACTTTGGTTTTTTATGGATTTCAATTGACCATATCGAAATGATGCTGATATCAACATATCATTTAATGATGTTTTTACATTTAAAAGCATTATCTCCACGTTTCATCTCTCATTGCTTTGTGGACGTAATGCAGCATAACAAATAACTTACGACATTAAATGTTTATTGGTTCTCTCTCTGATACAGATTCTTGTTGGTCATAAAATTTTGTGTCTGACGTACGAAATGAATTGAATTCGTCATAAAACTCATCAGTCGTCACAGGTACTTTTCAAAATCTCATCACTGAAGCATTTTACACGACGTGAAGAATAATTGATGATGGCGTAAAATGTCGTCGTGTTTTTATTTTCGTGTCTTCCACTTTTCTTTTTCGAAAGCCAATTTCCATTTTAATGTAAAGAGCTTTAAATCCCTTTCTATTTAGCATTTTTATTAGGCTGAAATCCCCACCACGATTTTGGAATTAGATAACATTTATTACCCTAAAAAAAAGAAAATGACAAAAACAGAAACAAAACGAAGCTTACATAAAGAGCCAATCTCAAAAACTTCTCGTCAACTTCAATTAATGGAATTTTGATAAGATTTCTTTGCGGGGATGTCTCGAGTTGAGGCTAAATAAAGCAAGAAAAAATAGGTCAAAATGAGTGTTTCATGAATTTCACATTGGAAAAGTTTTTCTCATGTTTTTAATAACGCGAGACTTTCTCGCCATCAAATCACTCAATTAGAAATTTATTCTCAATTCAACGACGTCAAATCAGAGTGATTGAAAAAGTTTTCTTTCAAATCTTATGATTGTGGTGGAAGAGAGAAGAATAATGGGGAGTTGACTTGGAGATTAATGTCTTTCAGTGTGGTTATAACGCTTCACGCCTTTTGTGATATTGAATCACTCGCTTAAAGTAATTTGTCTCGGATAAAAATGTACAACGAGATAATCATTTGAACATGGTTAGCCCAGTTAGAGGGAAAATTCCTTTTCAATACTCTACTAGAATTTTGTTTGTATATTATTCACTTCCTTGCTTTCTTGCTGGGAGATTCATTCAATACTGCTAAAATTCTCAAAAAGAAAGCAAACGAAATGTTCTTTGTAGGATTACATCGGCCTAAAGTCACAGTCTCATATCTTAAATCTATTGTTATGTAAAGTATTTAATTTGAGGGTGGTTTGCTGCTCAATTATACGCATTGTACTCTACAAGGCAACAAATAACAATGTTAAATCCTAAAGCGGACTAAATAGCAGGATAAACATCAGGAAAACCTCATATAAAACTTTTATCTTCTCCTCGGAAAGAGGAAAAAAGTTGTTATGAGAAATTTAACGTTCAACGATGAGAACAGAAAGGGTGAGATGAGGGACGACGACGAGCTCATGATGGATTTTAATTGAGGGGATGAAATTGAAATGAAACGGAAAAATCCACCCTCAGTATGGAAAATATTTAGGGAATGAAAAAATCATATTTTTCAATTAAAGTCAACAAATCCCATTGAACGGAACAGTTTTCACAATAGATTGTCAATAAACATGAAGTTACTTGAAGTTTAATTTAATAAAGAAATAATCAAATAAAGTGCAAATGGACTGCGCACTTAATTTAGCTTAATTATTTGTTGCTAAAGAATTGAAATGAAAAGTCGTCTTATTGTTGTAACGACCGCCCCCGTTCGATCTTTTAATGAATATAAATCTTCATTAATAATTTCAATCACTTAGATTATCACACGATTTCATTTTAAAGAGTCAGAAAATTATTAATTCTGTTAACAAGTTCATGAAACTTCATCTCAAGTTCTCAAGTGAAAATTGATTTAAAAATCGTTGAACTTTGAATTTAATTCCACTGAAAAGAAAGACATTGAGTTGACTCAGAAAAGTTTTAAAGTTTTTTACTGGTGATAAGAAATGAAAGTAAAGTGGCATGCGTAGTGGCAGCTTGGTTCCCTCCATCATTAAACATCACAAACAGCACACAATCAAAAAGGATTTTTCTGCTCTTCTATGTATTGTTGTAGTACATCAATTGAGCATGATTTTTGTGTGATGCTCCCCACAAAGAGAAAAGAAGAAGAGGAAGAAGGATGTTGATTGAAAAATGGAAACGGAAAAGTGATTTCCATAGAAACAAAAACGAAACTAACATGAGTTTGATTCCAAGATTTTGAAACTGTTGACTGACCTCTATGAGTTGAGTGAATAAATTAATGTTAATTACAAACGACACTTTAAAAACCATAATTAGTAATTTCTTGTTGTCTCCCTTGATTCTGTTATTGTTTGAGACATTCTGGGACATATTAAAAATTCACAAATGGTACAGCACGAAAAATTATGCAAATGACATTGTTTTAATTTAATTAAATCAACAAGACACGAGTAGAGAAGGAGAAAAATTAAAACAATTCATGCAATTTTTAAGTGGGATGACTAAAAAACATCTACAATAAAAAAAATTTAATTAAAGCGAGTGTCGGGGGTGATTTTTTGGTGGTCGTCATTTTATTTTGAGCAATTAAAATCTCATTGGTCGGTAATCTTTTTCCATCTCACTCATTTTTAATATTCAGAAAGAAGAAAAAAGTTATTAAAACTTTATACAGGTTGGATGATAATCAAAGATAAACTTTGTCATTCGAATGCTCAATGATAAATTTTAATTAAGAATCTGCACCCAAAAAAAGGCAAAAGATGAAGAAAAAATTAATTAAGAATGATAAAAATTATTCATTTTTTTCCTCTCTCTTAATGTGCTACAATTATCAATGGGTTGCTACTGTAAGCATCGTAACTGTTCTAGTGCAGATAAAGAAAACAAAAAATTGTCATTGAAAAAGGGACAAAAATAAAAGGATGATTACAATTAAAAAAGGATGCAATGCCATAAAAAAAAATTTATCATAAAAAAAATCTTTTCATCGTGAATTGCATGAGCAAAGTTGTAATTGTATGAAGAAAATTAAATGTCGAGATCATCAGCATCACTAAATGATTCGGCATTCGATGCTGTTAAAAAAGTCTTTTAACCATTTTCAAATTTAAAAAGTCATTTGTCAGACGCTTATCTTGCATCAAACGCAAGACAAACGACACTGATATGCTTATGTTGTTTACAACATTTAAATTATGGTTTTAGAAAGGGATTTGATGAGGCAGCCGCTTACAAAATGTGTGGATTTTTTTCTTTATCATTCCCACTTTTAAATAATGTTTACGATAATGGATTTGCAATACACAATTGTACAGCGATAAGTCATTTCAAAATCGCTTCCTTCAAATCCCCTTTTCATGAAGAACATTTGCATTCGCTGATAATTTATTGAATTGAAGATTCGACTTGAAATGCCTTTTAAAGTCATCAAACTGTTCTTTCTTCAGTAAATGGCAAAATCAATAAAATTGTTTAATTTCTTGTCTTCCATTCACAGACACCCGTTCAAACTCATCCGCGTAAAAAATGAGCAGAAAATGAAAATAAATAAAACAATTAATAATTTTTGTGGGAAGAGTGAAGAAGAAAAAAAGTTTTAATGATTTTTATTAATGTTTCTCCATTAATAAACACTCATTTAAAATTATTATAAATTATTGTACAATTGCTTAAAACAATGAATGTTAGCAAGAGTTGGGTGGCAGCATGGTGGGAGTCTCGATAAAATTTTAATGAAATTCAAAAAGCCATTAAACAAAACCCCAAGAATGATGAGAATATTTTTTCAGCCTTTTATTCTTTTCCCTCCCACCATTGAAGACGCCATCGCGTCATAAAATATATTTCATGTCAAAAGAATGAATGAGCATTTAACGAGAGATTGTCTTTAACGGTGTGCGAGTGCTGTCAAAAAAGAAGCAAATAAAATGAAATTCATATTCAAAACTACATGCCAAAACACGAGAAATGATAACAGTCTAATTGCGATAATTACCTTATACAACCTTAATAATCATAATTTTTACGCGTTCTATAAAATAAAGCGTTCAAGCGTTCCCCGACATCATTCCATAAAAGAATCATTAAATAAATATGTTGAGCAAAATATATTTAAATAAATTCAGAGATTATCAACACAATGTGCCATGTTTCGAGATTGAGATGAAAGTTTTAAGGAAGGAAAATCTTCTCAATGATGAGATGGATAGACGATCGTGTTGTAAACTGTGTTAAATTGACTTATACTTATTATAATTTCAAAAAAGATATTTGCATGCTTGTTAGCAGTTTCATTTGAAGAAGACACTAGAAGAAGCATTAATGTCTCACTGGGTTGAATTATAAATTTAAATAGACTCATAACGAGATGACTCTAAAGTATATGCAACCTAAATTAAGTAATAAAGAATGAAACGAGACTTGAGATAGGACTATTTAGATTAGTGAGTTGAAAGTTTAAAACTTTTTGCAATGCCCGAAACAATCATTACTCATATCTTCAACTAATCCTCAATAACATTCGCAAGAAAACTTATGAAACCCAATTATTCATAACGAGAGACGTTAATTCATCTCTTTGTTGAAAAGAAGAGACTTGAATCAACTTTAAGGAAGCACCACATGTGTACTGGCATCTTATGGATCTTGAGAATTATTCTTCCATTTAATGAGAAATTAATTTGATTTTAATTTCATCTAACGTAATAATCTTCCATTTTCTATTGTATAATGAATGATATTACTCATGTCTGAAACTTTTTTTTGCCTTGGACTCTTCTCTGCTATTCTGTTTTATGAATAATTTTTCTTTCTCGCATTTAATTAAGAACAACGGTTTCAAGCTGTTTATGCCGATGAACATTTTCTTCTTCGGAGGCAAAACATTTCTCGTTTAACAGCAATTATTGAGAATATAAGCACAAAAGTGAACCGGTGATTTTCTCGGTTATTTGAAGCTCAACATTTGAATATTGATTTTTATTGGTGAAAATTATTGAAAGATTTGTTGATGAAAATTTCTTGAGAGATTGATTTGAATCACAGATATTCAAGAAGAAGGAGAGAAGAAAGTATGGAAAGGAAAGCTTCAAACTCTGAAGTATCTTAGGGCATGCTTTGTTGCTTTTTTTTCTGCTACGGACACAGCTGTGAATTAATTTATTTTTAATATTAGAACTGAGGCAAACGAAGTCCAGACCCTTCCATATACATCCATATAAACACAACAAACCTATCTCGGGGACGGAAAACTATATAACAAAACAATTTGCCTTTCTCTCAGACTCTCGAAGTGTATAAAAATTGCTGTGTTGTTTTTATGTTTTACAAATTATTTCATCATTCTCCATCTCTTTTTGTGTTTTATTTCTCGCTTGTATGCAGCACTGCTTGCTTTCATGAGGTGATTTTTATTTCTCTTCGTGTGTTGTTTGTTATGTTGGGGAGCAATCTTGAATTATTTTTTCATTTCAAAGGCCTTCATTACTAAAAAGACATAAACAAGAATTATGACGTTGATGGTTCCTTAACTGAAAAGAAAAAGAATATTTTTGTACATATTCAAATAAAGTTTGTTTCTGAAAATTGTTATCAATTGACCAAAAGTCAATTAAGAGTTTCCACATCGTCAAAATGCATTTAAGAGCAATCAACATTAATATCCTTTTCTTTCGTTTTTGGAAAATATGTTTGTAGAAATATCTAATGTTAGGTATATATTTTATAATATTAATAATAATAATGGTAATTCTCACATGTGCGCCTCATGTGCTTTAGGTAATAATAAACGCAATAGAAAGAAAAGCAAGCACAACAATAAAGAAAAGACGAAATTAAAATAGTTGAATAATATGTAAATATGCATATAATTTCGTTAAACGATACACATTTGTGTACATTAAAGCGAATAAATAAGTAAAGTAGAAAACACCCATTTAGAATGATAAAAAGTTGCAGAACCCTCCTCTCTCTTGACATTTTTTTCCCTCCCTATGCGTCACCATATGAGGTGGCAATGAAAAATGCCAAATAAACCATTTCAAATAAACGCCCTATTAAGCGATTTGTTTGTGACTTCAGAATAACACGCAGAGGGATTTTCTTTCTATGATTAATTTTCAATATTAAACTTTTCGTTTCTTTTTTCTTATCTTCATCAGGTTTGGTTTCAAAATCGTCGCACAAAGTGGCGTAAAAGGCATGCAGCAGAGTTGGCAACAGCTAAAAGGAAACAAGAAGAACTTGGTGATGGAGATGGAGAGAATGACGGTGATTGTAGTGAACCTCTTGATGATAGTGATGCTGAAAGTATAGATTTGGTTGAGAATCACCCAAGAAAGCGATGTAGAATGGATGATGATATGCGACAGTAATGAAGAAAGTTTTTCGTGTAACTAAATTGACATTTTCTATAAGAGTTGAATAAGCTTAAAGATTTAGTTGATGAACGGTTCATTCGCTGAATTGATTTCACTCTTGATTGGATTGTAGAAGCTAAGCAATTGCAAAACGAATTTAATTTATTTTACTTAAATGTCTCCTCAAAGTTTATGAGTTTTCCTAGTGTTATTTACATGCTACACGAATGTTGGAGAAATGCTATTAAAAGCTTGTATGTAAATATTTGACACATTCTGAATTGGGGGTAATAAACTTTTTTGAAATGACAAAATGAATGAAAGTTAAAATAATAATGTGATCATCATAAATTTGGATTTGAGAATTGTAAAAATTTTAGTAGGTATTCATGAAAAAAAATAAAAAAACGAGTTCAATGCTGTAAAGAAATTTTGTGGATATCTGAGCGATGATTTTAAAACGTCAGAGAAGTGTCCGATTTTTACTTCGGATAAGGATTTTAATTGAGATGAGAAGAGTTTTCTTCAGATGATAAGCTACGAAGAATCATCTCTAAATCATTTAAAATTCGTAGCATCAACACCGGAAGAATTTCCTATTTCAATTTCCATTATTCTGCGTAGTAGTTTTGTAAATTCATCAATATAATATTGATAGCTTTTATGCAATAATAAAATTACATAAAAATAAGTTTATGTAGGAAAAAATACGAATTAAAAGACAAAGTTAAGTTATTTGAGATATTTTCAGTCCCCCCCCCCAAATGTATGTAAGTGAGAAAAGTTTCCAGAAAATCTTGTTTTATGATTTCCTTCAACGAATAACGAAGAGAAAGAAAAAAAATTGCTATAAAATTTTAAAACGTTTCATAGAATGTAAACATTGTAAAATTAACTTAAAATGATGTAGCCATTAAAAGATTAGATATACACAAATAAAATATAAAAATTTTGATCTTAATATGTTTTTAATTTGATATATGAAATAATTTGCATTTGAGTTTTTGTCGTCCTTTTTCATTGTAGCATATTTAATTGTTCCTTAATGACACATGAAGTTAGATTGCAGATGATTTGTGAAATAAAGCGTGGAGAATGAATTTTAGAAAGAAATTTATTCACACCCTTGAAGTAATTTTCAACCCCTCTCTGATTAGAATTCTATTCAAAAAATCTTTTTTTGGTGTAAAAGGATTTGAGAGCTTAGTGAAGATGGAAAGACACATAACCAGGGAAGAAGATGATGGATTGCAGTCATTAAAGCAATTATATCTTGTTACTGTAAATACCTTTATTTCACTTTCCAATTGAAAAATATAAAACAAGGGGAAGTTCAATTAAAGCTGTGACAAATTGCCCTTACATTTCATTTTTAAATGGCAACAAAGTATCACAGATTTCAACTTTTTATTCATCATTCTAAATAATTTGTAATGCATAATTTTGACAGGCACAGATTGATTTAGATAGTGATGAGAAAGGGTGGTTGGGTTAGTAAAGTTGGTCCGCTCCACTCCTCTCTAACGATATTTTGTAAATATACTCAAGTGATGGGATGAGTGATGAACAATTGTATGCTTTTTAATCGAGCGAGTCTCGTGAATATTTATGAAATGTTGCAGCAGCCGGTAATGATTTACAGCAATTAGAGAAGGATGTCAAAAATTTGAATGAGCGATAAATTGAGAGTTTGTTGAACGATGTAGAATGTGAATAAATTGACCATCAAATTATGTCAATCACTTTTCATAAGTAAGCGTGTGAGTGTCATGTGATCATTTCATATACGGTTGATGAATTCTCTGATATGAATCAGTCAAATTAATTTTAGATATTTTGTAGAGAATCTATCTAGAATTATGTCACATTATGAGACCATCGCTTCGGTAGCAACGTCAAATAATTTAGATTGATCTGAGCCGACACAAAAAGAAAACAAAATTTTTATTAAAACATGATTGAGAGATGATGAAGATAGTTTTAAACGATTTGATTTATTTATATTTATTTCTGTTTTCTTTTTTTTCTCCCCTCCAAAGCCACAATGAAAAGCGATTTGTTTCATTCATCACGGCAACTTAGAAGCCACTTAATTGCCGCCTCAATCAAAACTTAAAATGCTTCTTTGTAGTTGATATATTTACAGTAGATATTCAAAAACTAATGGCAGATCACTTTAACATATATTGCTTAATTATTTCAATGAAAGTTCATTGAAATTCCACTGTAAAAACATTTTATCATAATCCCATGACATGACTTGATGTTTCTCACTTAAAAAAATTTGATTAACAATTGAAATGATTGTATTATGAAAGGAGAGAAAGAGTAAATTTAATATATTCAGTTGTCGGATTCAATTAATTGAGTAAATACTTGAGAGTGAGCCGACAAACGTCAATGATAAACTGCGAAAGTTTCAACGAATTTGTTAAAACTTTGCCTTTAATGTTTTTTTCTTCTTTTGAAGTTAAACGATCATAACAGTAGCTGCTGCCAGAAGAGCAGCATGACTCATGGTTTTTAACAATCTCATCGCTTAATGCTTTTCATAATCGAAGAGAAATTAAATTAAATTCAATCAATTGGAATCTGTTGCAAAAAATATGAATGCTACAACATCTGTTTCATCTTTTTGGCGTTTCCTTTGTGACGACTGACTTGTCAATTGCCAATGATACTAATTCATCCTTAAAATGGCATTTTTTGGCCTTTTTGCCTTTTCTCATTTGCGGAGAAAAAATAAACACGAAATTTTGTGTCATTTTTTTGACATTGAAATGTGTGAAATTATTTGCGTTTCGAAAATAAATCCGAAGATCCGATCAGATTGATTACAGTAATCGCATTGCTTGCGTTTGGGATAATAAGGTAAACATAATTCCCCTTTTACTGTCAAATGTTCCTTTTTTGCTTTCTTCTACAATCTAATGAGATTTTCTATGAAATTAGAAAAGTTTTAACGATTATTGGTTGAGATTAGAGTATGAAAGTCGCCGAGATGTCTGCAGAAAAGCATTTAAGTCTCTCATTCAAAATTGTAATAATGCAATAGCTACAAAAGTCATGAAACGTTTAAAAAGAAACAAACAACCGATCAGTTGTGAAAGTCTTTCTTTCTTTCATTCCTTAAACAAATTCATTCACATCTATCTAATGCTTTTTGGACAAATAAAAATCAATCATTTTTCTCCTTTCTTGAACCAATACAATCGTGTTTTAATACCTTTGTTGCCTCGTTATCCTCAAACCTTTTCATTTGTCGATTCTTTAAACATCCGGGTTCTTTTAAGGATCTTTCTTCTCTAAAGGAATCCTTAATACCGTAATTGATACTTCCTTCTAAAAATATTATTGGGATGAAAGTCAAGTGATGTTCTTTTACAATCTCGCATACCTTTTAAAAGTATTCAATCTGACGTTACAATTTCTGGGAAATCTTCCCACATATTTTAAAAACACATAAGTCATTTACACCAAACAGTAGACATAATTATTTGTTTAGGAAAAGTTTTCATTTAGACATTCCCAACACTTAATGCACTTTTTTTATTATTGAATGTTAAATTTATTATGTTACTTCTAAAATATTTTTTAAGTAAGAAACCGAATTATCTGGGCCGAATCTAGAAAATATAAAGATATACCGCAAGGAGAGTAGAATGAGTATGGTTGTTTATTTAAGATCGATGGTTCATAATTACAGCCTTTTAGAATGAAATGATTTAAACATTAACTGGGGGGAATGTGATAATTGTTTTAGCACATGCACGAAAAACGATTAGTTTCAAAAGTGCTTTTTCAACATTTGGTATTAAATGACTTGGTGCGTGTTGTAGAACCTTTCAAGATGTGAAGAATTTTTAAACAACACTGGAAATAAACGAAAGGATATCTGAAGTTGTCGTAAAAATCATTTTATAATGAAAATCAAATTTTATGATTTTATGGCAGATGATTAAAAATTTAATCGACAGAATCAAATATGTACAGTTTTATACCTACTTACATATCTACCTAAGACAAGAAACGTTTGTTGAATAAAAAATTTTATATGTTACAAATCAGATTTTATTGATTGACCTTCAACAATCAAGTTCCCACTTAATCTATGAATTAAAAAAATCCTGAAGTTAATCTCTGAAACATATAAAGTAATGGAGCTACAATAAATCACATAGAGAGAAATCATTGTTGGTATTAAACTTTTATTGTGATTAATTTTTCATTTCAGAAGAAAACAACTCGCAAACGATTTAATGATTTTGAATAAACTCACAAAGGAAAATCAATTAAGTTTTGAGTTTGAGAGTGTATGTGCATATGGTTTTTCATGATTTGACTTCAATGCAAAGTGAGGTCCGAAAAGATGATGACTGTAAACATATTTGGTTAATTCTTGACTTTATGATTGATGTTTGTTCTTGCTTACTTCTTACTTCTTCCACTCGCTCGTTTGCGAGAAATCCCATAAAATTCGAAGAGTGAAAAAAATATTTCGATTAATAGATTTATGATTTCTTCTTTTATGACGTTTTATTATCCCAAACACATTTAAATAAAAATGTGAAAGAGTTTTATTCACGCACAGTTAACCGATGGATTTTTAATATCAGTCAGCTTGTATTATGAATTTCAACTCTCCATCGAAATCAACGATACAACAACGAAGTTACAAATTAAATATGTTAAGTAAATCTGTTTAAATTTGACTGGAAATCAATTTCGTGTTATTTTATTGTTTTGTTAATGTCTTTTGTATTTGGTTTTTAAGTGATTTAACGAAATCTTTAAGAGCGATAAAATTTTTAATTGATTACTTCATAGCGCTTTAAAAATGTTTCTTCACGGATCTCAATGCGGCTTTTGATAAGTTTTGATGGATAAGCAAAACTCATAAACGCGTGATGAACTAAAATATCACACTCAACACACACAAATTAGGAGACATCAAGTAAATATTTTAAATTAACAGATAACTCCGATAACCTAAGAATTGGGCTTATAGGAAACAAGTTACTCACATCGTTTGTGATGTTTTTGGTGCTATCATAAATAGTCGTATCATGTCAATAAATGAGGAAAATATTTCATGTAATGTCAGGAATGTTTATAACCATCACACAATTCCAGTTAACGTCGTCTCCTTCGGCAGTAATCTTTTAATGAATTTCCCATTGTATTAAGATTTTTTTCTTTGTTATTCGTTTTCTCGATGTGATTGAGTGCCGTAAATCGTTGAATGATAGGTGCAATATTTTTAATGTGGTTTGATGTTTTGATGGTGGTGAATACCAAGATATATTAAACGTCGATGAAGAATTTTATCGGATTATGGTGAGTTTTTATTGAGCTCTTGATGAGTTATTGCTAGGCTTTTACCTTTTGGTGCCACAGTGGTTGATTGATTTCCAAGAAGAAGACTTCAGATTCATTTTGTTTTAATTTTAAACATCATTGCCAATATTCTCTTCTTCACATGTTTAAATGCTTTTACAAATTTTTATAAACTCACTGAACTCAATTGAATTTAATTCATTACCAGAGAAACAAAATAAATGAAAAGAATTTTCCACAAAATTAATTCTTTGTTATAATTTTAATAAATTGCTGCTCTAGGGTCTCTTCCATTTCTCGGCAATATAATAAAATCTAGAAGCAATCGTCATAGAGCCATTTACAGAGTGATTTGTCTCTATTTGAACGTTTGATTTACGAGATTTTAAATGCAAGGGAAGTCGACATATTCTTCAGCAATAATGACAACACATTCAATTTAATTTTCATGAACAGTCATCAATTGATTTTGTTTTGTTGACTGTTACAGTTTTTGTAATGATGCTAATAATTTTATTGTTACACAATTAGGACAATGGATATGTTAGAGAGACATCAATTGAATGGTGAATGGAAACTCGTCCTATTTGCTTCCTTCGCAGCATTTGTTAAGGCAAAGTTATTTAGAAAAAGAATTTCCGAAACTGAACAATGTTTTCAGGTATCTCTGGCTTGATTTTCTCTTAAAAGTAGAAGAAAAAATATTGCTAAATTGTTGTTTTTTCACAGGGAAAAATTATATATTGGGACAGATGTTTCCGTTTCGCCTTTAGCAAAGCTTACTAACAAACAACGAAAGCAAAAAAATTTTATTTGATTGAAAACATCAAACGTGACCTAATCGACTTGTGATTTCAATTCAACAATAACATGATACGATAGAATATTGAATGACTTTTTGTTTTCTTTTATTCTTCATCGTGTGACATAAATTAAATCTCCTGAAATTTTGACAGCAAAAATTGTAATGATTTTCAAGATAAATCAGACGTGAAAAAATTTGACTGCAGATGAAACAGAGAAATTGAGAGAACATTTAGAGATGAATTGTTTTTCGACCTCATTAAGGAATTGAAGATTAGACTGATCAATTGTATTTATTGTCTTATTATATGTTAATTGGCTTATAAATATGATTAATTAACGGCTAATAAATCTGATTATTTTCAATTCTTCTCGCTTTATTTTTTAATAATCAAAATCTCATAGGGCTGCCCAGCTTTGAAAAAAAAAGAATCAACATTAACGGCAAAGACAACGAAAACAATATACTAGGTGAACAAAGATCGCCGCAATAAAGTTAAAGTGAGGGATTGAATGATTTTATTGAAGCTATCTCAGACTTTTTAGTTTTTGAAAACGCTAATTTGATTGACGAGTATTGATATATGAAACTGTAACATTTCTTTTTAATTGTTGTAATTTATGGAATAAGAAATTATCTTTACCTAATTAGATGCAACACTTTTGTTATAAGAAATATTGAAATTGAATTACGAAAGGAATTATTAAGTTTAACTAAATTTCCAAATATTAATGAAATTTTATTTTTCAGATCTAAAAGGTTATAAAATATATTTAACAGGTTTTTAAATCAACTTTTTTTATTGCACTATCAAGTAATATATCTATTTGTTTTATTAATCAGTTGATTGGGAAAGTCATTCTCATAATTAAAATCACCTCCAATTAACAGCTTAAGAAAAAAAATCTCATGAAGTATTTAAAAGAAAATTCCCTTCCAAGGTCGAAAGGCAAGAAAAAAATTAAATGAAAATAACAAAACAGGTAAAAAGATCGAGCGTGAAATCATGGAGTTTATTTCCGAAACAGAAAATAAAGAAAACTTTTGTAAGGAATACTTAAAATATGTAAAGATGAATTTATTTTATTTCCTTTGCTATTGCAATACTTTGTGATGATGAAGAATTAGTAGAAAGAAAAAAAGATTGTCAAATGCCAACAAAAAGTCATAATTCCATTGTGACAAATATCTTCAAACACCTTTCGTAAATTCCCTTTTTCCATCTTCTTTATTTTCAGATAAATCTTTACCAGTTCATCAATGAACGCTGCTGAGAAAAGGTTCATGAAATCTAATGGATTTGTTGTTCATTCTCATTCTTGGACACTTTAGAAATTCCTGAAAATCATTTCCGATATTTTAAAAGAATGAATGAATGAATAAAGTTTAACTTCTTACGCAAGTAAAACGTGACTTTTAATGAAAATCGAATAAACAGGAATTCTTCAAGAATCAATAATATAAATTTCAGAAAATATTCTCATGCAACATAAAATCCTTTTGGTTTCTCCATCCTTTTATCGTCTTTATCATTGCTGTTGTTCCTCAAAAAAATTACTTTTCCTTCTTCCGTTGGATTAGAGACTGAGAGGGACAGAGAGAGAGATTGGCATACAAAATTTGCATATAAATTGAAAGAGTGGAGAGAGAAAAGTGAAAAAAAACAATTTGCAACAGAATAGAATCCATTAATAACTGAAGGCATTTTTTATTTTCCATTGCACCTGTTTTAAATTTCCCATGATTTTTCATAAGCAACCGTTTAGATTCGCAATGAAAAAAGTTGTGAAATCAATAGATTTTATAGTACAAGGTTTTCGGTTACCTTCAAAGCTTTTAAGTAGATGTACAAGAGATATTAAGTATTAATACCTGAATATGATTTTGTGATTCTATTAATCTCATCATTAATTTTTATCATTAATGTGTGATTTTTCTATTCAATTGATTTCTTTACATCTAATATTTCCATTTCTTGCACAATAACGAGTATTTATTTTCTTTTTTCACACTTCTTGTGATCAGTGCGCGAATAAAATATTAATAATACGGCATTTTTACCTTTGAATGAAAATTCAATTAAGACTACGTCATGATCACTTCTATTGTGTTCAATAATGTTATTTATTCATTTGAAATTTACACATCATGGCAACAATATTGTTGAAATTTAATAAGCTTCATTATAAATAACTATATTTTCGTAGAAGTAATTCTGAAGCTTCACAAATAAGATTAATATATTGGAATCAAATTAAATTATTGCTTTTTCATTGATCAAGATTTGATGATATGTTATTAAGATGTTTCTTTATGGAAAAATCATGTCACATTGTAACAATGGATTAGATATTCGGTATTAATTATTTTTCTAAAATCTATAAATGCAATCATTTTAATATTTGTATGAGGTTAGATCATCTTAAGGAATTAAGGAAATTATAAGCACATTGATTTACTGATTCAAAATTTAAAAAATCTAGATTGTAATGTTGCTCAGTTTTTCCCATGAACTTCATAACATTTGTAAGGTTTTCAAATGTATAACTGTTGAAGTGCTCCGGGACCGTTTTTAATTAAAAATTTCTCCGTGTTCACAAATTTCTCCGTGTTCACAGGAGTCTCCACCTGAAACTAGACTTTGGGAGATGAGTTTCGGGTAGAGAGTGTAATTATCGTTGATTTTTAAAGTAAACTCATCTTGTTTCTTTAACTAGGATGAAATCTCATCATAGACTTCATAGATCGATCAAAAAAATTTTGGATCACCGCGTCATTACTTTATATAGAATACCGATTTTCGTTGTTATTAATGTCCTTTTTGTCAAATATGCAGAAATTACCTAGGTAGTTTTTTATCCTTTTTATTAAACGAATTAATAAAATCGCGTGTAAAAATTTCCTTAAAATTAAAACGTTGAATTATGAAAAAAATGTTCTCACAAAAATCAATGATTTGTGAAAATGAAGCTTATGCAGAAGTTCAGTTTTTACGGTTCCTTCATTGATTATTGATTTTTAATTAAACATATCTACAAATTTATTAAGCATTTTATTGTTATTTGATCAAAAATATATTTTATTAGATTTTAAACTGTTTTGATTTGGTTTATATTCATGTAAGTATTCATTCATTAAGTTTATATTTAAAAATATCTTCTAGCATTTTCTAAAGTTCTCCAACCACTTAAAACGATAAAGTTTATGTTTGTACTTAAAAAGAACAAGCCGCAATGTTTCAGTTAATTTCTTTCATTTCAAGATTTACACGTAAACATTTCTTCATAAAGATTCTTCAACAGTAAACAATAAAGACGTTTGAAAAGATAGATAAGTCGTATATAAAGTATTTGTTATGTGTGAGTTTTGAGCAAGGAGTCTCGTGTTTTTTTTTTGACCGACGAGAATGGATGATAATGGAAAGAGAAGATGCAGTTGTGGGTTGCATAATTCTTTTAAGTGAAGCATTTATCTGTTTTTTTTTTTGCTCGGCATCGTAAAAATTTAGGTCAAGATGATGTTATCAGTGATAAAATAATTCAGTCACTTTAGCTCATTTTAGAAGTTTGTGCACAAAAATGAAAAGTTGCATCGAGTTCACATCGATAACAGAGAGAAAAATATCTGAAAGTAAGAATTATTTTTGTTAAAGGCATAGTCAATAACACAAAAAGTCACGACATTTATTTTATTTTCCTATTTCATCTGCTTTAATATTTATCTATCAGTAGTAAAAAGCATAACGAGGCAAACCCTTATTATTCTATTTTATGCATGTATCTCATCAGCTAATTATGTACATCAGAATTCCGAATGGACAAAATTAATGCAATTTTTTCCTATAATTTCGATATGCAAAATTGAGAATTGCATTGAAATTTTATTAACCATAAAGCGAACTGAAAGCTAATCGTTGATAATGCATCATGGTTTCCTTCATACCGGCATTCCTTTTCAGGTGCATGATAGGAATTAGCATAATGCACAACGATAACAACTTCATGTACAAACTTTTCGCTTACATTGTCTGATGTTTGAAAATAAAAATAAACTCTTAAACAAAAGAGGATGAAATAATCTCACAGAGAGAATAAAAAAAGAAGACAGAAAGAAATAAAAATTGTAAGCATTAAACAAAAAAATAAAATATAAAAACTCCACTCAACATACACACTACACACATGCATGCCGCCCTCTGCTCTCTTCGCACTCTCACTGTTTAAATCATATATAAGTCGCATTGATTTCGTCTGAAATGTTTAGTCGATTCTTGAGTTGGAACCTGATCGTTTGGGAATGAGCTGAAGGCTCAGAGAAATTCAAAGAACATTTTATATTTCTTACTTTTGATAAAAGAAGGAAACTGAAAAGTGATTAACAATACTCTGAAGAAGCAAAAAAAAAACAACAAAAGTAATAAAAAAAGAGTTTTAAAGTGTCATTTGAGGTTTGTAAAGATGCAAAAGACTTTTTTTTCAAGATGTTTAAAAACATTTCAAATCTCGTCACATCATAATCGAGTATGCTGACATGAGCGACAAGAACATTGTCACGTTCGACATATCAAACAATCGTTTTTTACAAAACATAATCAAATGACATGAACCGTCCCAATGTGGTCGAATGTTTATTTGTATCATATTTTGTGTGTTAATAATACGTCATTATAAAAGAAGGAAGCGTTGATTGTAACGCTTATCACTGAAGTTATAATAATAGTAGCAAAAAAAAGTGATTACATCGGCCTTTCAATGTCATAACATGTGAACAACGTGTCTAGTTGACTACGATAAATATTTCACGATCATCACCTAAATTTAAATCGATGGGAATCGATTAACCAATCAATTTTTACATTTGTGACTTGAGTTTCTAGTTTCTATTTTATAATGAAGTCAATCTAAGTCTCATAACTTGCGAAATAATCGTTTATGGCAACCTTGTGATTCGAAAAATGTTTATTCAACACAGTTTCAGATTAGTGAAATCCTTGTTCTTATTGCCTAATTTTACTGATAATGACCAATTCAAATAAATTCTCTAATTTCTTGTTGACTTATAAGCATTACGAATGCATCAAGCTAATTAAATTAAATCTATCAAAGCTAATAACAAAGAAGTTATCAATTTAAATTAAACACCGAAGCACGCTTACAAAGGTCATCATAGATTTTTCTCTCTTACTCACTCACTCATCATTCAATGCGTAGATATTACAAACAAATCTGTCACGAGAATCATTATATAACATGATGCAGCTAACGTCTGAACCAATAAATAGGTCAAACATGTGGACATGATAACATTTTTTTCCACTCTTAATTACTTTTTTGAAAGAGTTCACAAAAAGAAAGATTAATTTAATTTTTGTACATGTCACCATATTGTTGATAAGTTAGAAAGTGTTTGATTATTTTTGAGTTCAAATGTGTGGGCGTTGAACTAAAATATATGTTTAAGAAAATAAAAGTTTTCGCATAACAATTGTAACAAAAAACTTTTTTCTTCTTCTTCATCTTCTTGTGAGTCAATGTAATCTACTTTATGTATAAATATCAGCAAATGCAAATGACTCTAAGTCATGATTGTAGTAATGAAATTGACGCGTTGTGATAACAATTTTATTGAATTATGCGTTTCGCTCAATGAACATTCTCGAGTTCATTGCATTCATTTTCTTTTTTCTCCCTTTGTTACTACATAGAAGAACTTAGCAAACGCGATCGTGCTATCGCGAACTTTGAATGTCAAAGACTTTTTACATTACATGAATCGTGAAGAATATGCGCTCCAACGACCGTTTAATAATAAAACTAAACTACTTTAAACTTTTCGCATCGTCAGTAAATTGTCGATTGGCGAAAAGAGTCAACAACACTTCAAAGAACGATATAGAATTTCGTCACAACGAGCCCTCAGCAGGCGTGTAAATAAAAGCCAGTTCAACCAGTTATCTAACGGTAGCGAAGAGAAATATTTAAGATTACGGATGTGGTTCTTAGCTAAAATTATTATTTTTATTATGACGGAGAAGAGTTCATCATGTTATATGTGCATAGATTCCACTAGGACGTTCAACTTTCTCATGCGTTATCAACACGCTTATTTGTATATTGATGAGATGTGAAAGTGTATTGACGGCTTGGAAGAAGTGATCAGACAAAAATAAAAATATAATGACCGAAATATATAAAATTAATTATTTCGCGACAGCAAAAATTGGCCTCGTAGAAGGACAGAATGTGATAACAAGGCCATAACAAGGTCGTAAATCTCAAGTTATATCAAATTTAAAAACATTCTCAGAACAATTAATTTGTTATCGGCTTGTTTTTGTCATTTAAAATAAATGTAAAACGAATGTGAAATCATTTCCCGAATTTCGATCATCAACAAAATATGTTTGACATGGTTAAGAAAAGAAAGAGACTTAAAGGGATTTCTCAAAGAGTTGAATGACGATGTGAAATGAATTCTTCGATCACGAGATCTTTTATAATTGTAATAAATGACGTAAAAGAGAATAAGTAAAGAAGAAAAAAGAAGAATTTGTTGAATCTAAAGAAAACAACGAGTTACATAACATAAATATGTTTATAAATAATTTACAATAAGAGAGTGAGAGTCAACATAAGTAAATACGAGAACATATGATAACGATAACCTGTTGAACTTGAATCTTATTTATTGCTATTTACACGTTCTCCGTGTCGTCCAATATATCTCATCAATTTCATCGTGATTGTCAACATGACTTTTAATGAAATATGAATGAATGATTAATTATAAACAAAAAAAAAGTTTGCAATCATTAGACAAATTTTGCGCAGTTGTCTCCTTGTTTTGTTTAAATATAAATTTGCAGGGAAAAAATTGCGACTGAATTTTTTTCTTATTTATTTAGGGCATCTTAGAAAATTAATTGTAATTAGAAAGTCATAATTTCACTTAGTGTTGAAATATTTTGTAGTACGACAATAGCAGATCAATCATTGACCGTACTTGTAAGAAGTGAACCCCCGTCTTCAACTCGGCTTTATTTGTATCTAGGAAGCTGTTGAGTTGAGTTGATTTTACTTTTCTTCTTACTTTACATTTACCCGACACTTTTGCTTTTGACTAATTTCACTTTCAACGTTTATAGAGTTGCTTAGTTCAGTCTCATGAATAGATTAAAAAGTGAAGAGACAGAGAGAACGAGAAAGAGAGCTAATGATTACTTCGCAATATAGAAGCTGCTTAGTCAAGAAAAATATTAATATTTTAATGACGTTACTACACACGAATGCGCAAAAGTAAGCTAAGAAATTGGGTCAATAGAAATTGCACGCGATGATCTCTAATTTCATTCAAATATTCAAGATCATCGAATGAATCAAAAGAAGTTTTGTAGAAATATCCAATAAATCAGCGAAATAAATTATCGTTCATCGTTTAAAAGAAATTATCATTTCTGTATGGAAAAGTTATTTATTGCGTCAGCATGTGAGACACGCGAGTTTTAATCAAATAAGAACGTTTGATGTGATAAGTTGCGAAATAATCATTTGAAAAGTTAAATAAGTGTGGCAGTCGATATAAATTACGAAAATTAATTAAATTTGTTTATTTTCTAATTGCAGACAAATCAGATTTAAAAATGGTTCCGTTTCTATCAATGTTGTTGTTCTACCTTAGTATCATACTTTTTCTTTATTATACGTTCAGAAACAACAAACCATTGAACTGGAATATAATTTTAAATGGTTTTACATTTAATTTTCGTCAAGACGATGAAATTCTTCGCATTCCTGGACCATTAAGATTGCCATTTGTTGGTACAAAATGGACACAATTAGTTATAAAGATGAATAAATTGCATGAATTTTATGCAAAAATGCATGAAACTTATGGTGATATAGTGTTGGAGATGTCAGGAAATATTCCAGTGGTTTCACTTTATAACAGACTTGACATTGAAAAAGTTTTAAAATTTCCTTCAAAACATCCTTTTCGTCCAGAGACTGAAATTATAAGCTACTTTCGACGGAGTCATCCGGAGAGATATCCGTCCACTGGACTTGTGAACATGCAAGGTCACGAATGGGCTCGTTTAAGAGCTTTGCTTGCAACAAAAACAATCGAAAATCGTAAATGTCTGAAACGATCATGTCCAGATCTTAACGAAATGTGTGATGATTTTATAGCTGATATGCGACGTAAGAGAAACGATGCCAATGTCATTTATGATGTACATGATTCTATCAAGACGTTGTCAGTTGATGCGACGTTTTCTTTAATCCTTGGAAAGCGACTTAAACATTTCCATAATGGCAAAGAGAAGCTTGAAGAACTCAAATTATGTGTTAATAATATTTTCAAAAGTTTTCGTGACTCAACTTTTGGTAAGTCCAACAACTTCAGATTTTTTTCACAATAATATAAAAATAATGAAATGGAATAAAAATTTCTTCAGGTTTACAATTGTGGAAATATTTTCCGACAAAACTTTATAAAGAATTTGGAAAAAATGAAACACGAGTTTATGAAATTACTTCGGAAATTATCAGAGAAACATTACAAAAAGAAGACATTCGGAGACCTGAGACTGAGAATGATACAATACTTGTAACGATTCTTAAAGCCAAAGAATTAGAGCATGGTGACAAGATTTGTGGGGTTGTAGGTGAGACTCAATTAAAGATTATTGGATTAAATTAGAAAAGAAACATTTTTGTTCTCGTTAGATTTTCTCTCTGCTGGTGTTGATGTTTTCGCACACACAGTTTGCTTTCTTCTACATCATTTAAGTGATAAACCTGAAGTTCAGGAGAGGATTTATGAAGAAGTTATGAACATGGACGATGATCCAACGCATGAAGACTTCAGCAGATTTCATTACACTCGTGCAGCGATACATGAAAGTTATCGATTAACTCCAGTCGCTCATGCTTTAGCGAGAGTCATTGAAGAGAATACTTCATGTTCAGGATATTTATTGAAACCGGGAGTGAGTTGGTTAATCAATTTATGAAGCACTTTAATTATAATTCTCTCCCATCCTAGACTGTTGTGCTTTGTCAAACTATGGTTGCAAGTTCAAAGGAAGACAATTTCGAAGATTCATTATCATACAAACCTGAACGATGGCTACAAGAGAACGGCGAATTTGATCCAAATATTACTCCAGGCTCGATTGTTGTAAGTCCGTTTGGTACTGGAAGAAGAATTTGTCCAGGGAAAAAGTTTGTTGATCTTTTACTAATAATTTTCCTTACAAAACTTGTAAAAGCATTTCGAATCAGCTATCTTAGTGAATTTGATCGCGAGTTTGAATATTTAGTAGCACCAAAACGCCCAGTAAATATTCAATTTCATGATCGAGACTGAAACTGTTTAAAACGATAATTTTTCATTTTAACAATAAACATTTATTTTATGTAATACGGCTTTTGCTTCGTTTTTATTTCACTTATAATTTGTGTTACATTTTAATACATTTGCTTTAAAAATAAAAGACTAGACAAGTAAATTGTGCTTCAAAAAGCTGACAGAGTGGGAGTAAAAGGAGTTTTCAAATGTGGGAGTTGTTTGTGCTAAATAAATATTTAAAATATTTTAATTGTTAATATTTGAACGATGGTAGTAACGTGGAACACCAGAAGCTCTTGATGTTTTAGGACGAGCGGTCTTTGATCTTTGTTGTACTGGTTCTGCTAACCCATCGGTATTGTAGCTTAAATAGACATGACTTAAGTCTATAAATTCCTTGTCGTCTCTGGAATGCTTTGGTTGATCTGTGATGTTCTTTCTCATGTTATTTCCAGTATAAGCGACACATTTTAATTGCCATTCACCGATGTCTTCATTCCAAGCTGTAAATCGTTCTATCATTGTTTGATATTCCTTTGGAATATAAGAGTTAATGACCAATTCGCAGAGAGCCAACTCGCGTGACAAGCTTCGAATATTTTCATAAATTCCTTCCTTCTCTCGTTGCTGTTCTTGTTGTTGATCTGCAAGCTCTGATTTCAATCCCATCAACATTGACATGACTTTCTGAAGCTTTTTTGTTTTACCAACACATTCTTCTTGTAATGACGAATAACGTTCTTCAATGTCAATTCGTTCAGCTTCAATTTTTTGAAGATTTTGCTGAAGTTCCTGTTCCTTCTTATTCGTCTCTTCAAGTTCAGCAATCGATTTCTCCAGAAGTTTCTCTTGATTGTAAGCTTTTTCAAGAAGATTTTCACCTCCTGAAAGAATTTTATTTTCCAACGATTGCAACTTAGCTCTGATCGTGTCTTGTTCACTTTGTGCAAGTCTCAAAGCTTTTTCATTCTCCAAAGCTTTTTGTTCCAAAAGCTCTTTCTCAGCGTCTGTTTTTTCTTTATCCATTTCATCTTTCTTAGCTTTTGATTTACGTTTCTCTTTGTTTCGTGTCTCTTTTTCATTCTCTTCAAGTTCAATTTCTTCGTCATTTTCGGAGACATCGTCGAGATCATCACAAGAATTAACTTCAAAAACTCCTTCTTCAAGTTGTCTCTTAAGTTCTTCAATCTCTTCCTGGAAATGTCGCAACAAAGCATCTTTTGGCTCTTCATTAACATGAGTATGATTTTGAATTGACTTCGCTCGACCAGCATAACGAAGTGTTGAAATAGTTTCAACATAATTTGAATCAGAACTTGATATCGTTGCACACATGACGGTCTTTGAATTTCCGCCGAGCGAATCTTGCAACAATCGCGTCAATTTCGAGTTTCGGTATGGAATATGCGAACTTTTCCCATCAACCAAAGCACTGATGACATTTCCCAAAACCGAAAGTGAAAGATTGATTTTTGTAGCTTCTTTCAATCGAATTCCAGATGCTTGCGTCTTACTTTGTCTTTCAGATCCAGCTAGATCAACCAATTGGAGTTTTCCCATTTTAACATGTTGCTCACCTTCATCATCTGTCACACTTGATTCAATTGTAATACTGAAAATAGCATGTGATCGTGACGAAACTATGTTGACAAGTGTCGATCCAACAGCTCGATTTTTATTTCCAAGCTTCATGATGTTATCAAGATCATCAGCATTGTGAACAACGTAACCGCTTAAATCTTTCACAAACACGCCAATATCAGAACGTTCTTTCACTTCAAGACTTTTATTCAATTCTTTGCCCAGCAAATCACGAACTTCTTCATTATAAATCTCCATATAACTTACACGAACTAAGAATCTGAATAATAAGAAAATGAGATTAGATTAAGAAAACGGTTAGATTAAAAATGTTAATCTTAATCATACTTTTCATTCTCTTTTGCTTTGGCAATATGACCAAAAATATGCGCAAAGGTATTCGGGATGATTCCTTTAGTTTGTGGTGAATCAGAATCACCAACCATTGTGTAAGTTTTTCCAGTGCCAGTCTGTCCATAGGCGAGAATTGTTCCATTGTAACCTTCAAGAACTTTATCGACAATTGGCCGCGCTGTGTTGACGTACAAGTCGATCTAAAATGAAAATGAAATGAAAATATTTGACAAATGATGACATTTAGAAATATGTAAATTATAATAAAATAAAAATTATGTAATTTTCCGCTACATTGTCTATATAAAGAAACGATTCAGTTAAAACAAAGGTTCTTGCTTGTTCACAGACTGAAAATGTTGTCGTCGTTTATTTGGAAGCGCTTTTAAAATTTTACCATCAATGAGCAGCATTTTTTAATGTTTTGATTGACGGTCTTTTTGGCAAAAATACAAGCTTCGTATTACTCATTAATATTATAAAGAACAGGGAAACTAAACGATGGATTTTTCAAGGACAATTTAATTAGAATTTCCATATGACTTCTTTATGTGACGATTTCAATGTTTACTCTTTAAGCAGCATTTATTCTGGGAAATATTTTCTACACGACCTTTTATAATGTTTTCATGATTAATATCCATTTATTTGACATGAAGAACATTTACGCATATTTTATATGTAGAATCAAACTTATTAATATCAAGAAGGGTGAACGCAATAACGACGACGACAACGGTAGATGACCCAATTCAAGTCTAAAGGGGTAGAAGGAGATTTCAGTAGTGAAATTTCTCCATTTAGAGCTGAGCCAGTCACGCTACTTATTTTGACCTAATTTCATATGGATATCATATGATGCAACAAAATTACAAAATAATTAATTTATTTCTTCCACCTTTTCTTTGTTAGTCGGGAAATAAAACGACTAAATATTTATTAGATCGATTCGTGAGACTAGAAAGTGTTTATCAGCAAAGTGAACTTTTGATTCCTTTTAATTATATTTCATACTATGGACAGTAAACAATGAAGTCGTGGATTTTAAGACACTAGATTTAATTTTTATTGACAAATGCGATCAATTGTTTTCTTTCTCTGACTGATTATGTCTTCGACAATGAACTTTCACTGTTTGCTTGCAATTGCAAATCATTGACGTAGCGAAAAATTTATTCAACTAAATTATTTTGTAATATTTTATTATCTTGCTTTGTGTCAACTCGATTTTCATCAAAAACATCGCTCCGTCAAAAAGAAACAAACAATTTTTTAATTGAATTTATGATTGGTCCAATATAAAAATGTCAGTTGTTCACTGTCGATTATTACATGACCGGATCACTACTAAATGAATTAATTAATTAAACAAGCAAGAAAATAGAATAATTTGAATATTAACAAGAAGAATATTTGTGACAGATCAGAAATATTTTGTGAAATTTCTTCTTCTTTCGTTTTTTTCCGACGCATGCAGTTCCACTGTCTGTGAAGCGCCATAATGGGAAGATGATCGTTTGTTCTATTAGTTTCAATAATCCATCGTCAAATTAAACTTTAGTTATTTTAGAGATGTAATTGGCCGCCTACACATTCGCTTCTTACAAAATAGGAAAGAAACTTATTGGAATGAGAAGAAATTCTCGATGTTGTTTATTAAAATAACCCGGAAATTTGACCTTTCCGATCATCACAAATTGATTCTTACTTACTTGTAGATTTGATATCTGAATACATATTATTATGCAGATAGAAACAACGTTGTTGACATCATTTCTTTGATCTCTCATCTCAAATTTTCAAATGAAATATATGTCAAATAATAATTACGCAACAACTTCAACAATGAATGTTCATTGAATCGAAAAGTCAAACAAGAAAAGTGCAATTCGCTTTTGTTACCCTTCCCATGAATAAAAAGCAGCATGACATGAGTTTGTTTACATTTTTCTTCCTCTTCAATTTCATTCATGATTTTCTGGCGCGCAATTTCATAATCAAAACTGCATTAAAAGCGATAACCACGCGCTCAATACGAGTTTTGAAGGAAAAAGAAAAACGAAATCGATGTTGGTGGCGAATTCTTGGTCTATATCTTTTTATTTCTTAAAATAATCAAGTATGGTTTTTGTGTGTTTTATTTTTGATCTAAAAGCACATAACAACTCATTCAACTGAATCATTTCAACTACAGGTTGAAATAAATACTTTGAAATGTGTCCCAGAGGATAGAAAAGATCTTCACTGTAAACCTGTCTGACTCACGTTTTTAAATTAATCATAATATTGGCGAAGTCTGTCACTAAACAATTTGTCGATTGTTAGTTCCAAAGTTTATTGTTGCCTGGGCTACGCATGCTAAACTAATATTACACAAACACACCCATGAACATCGAATGCTTCTACACTTTAATTTTTAAATATCTTCACCGTACAAGGAAGAAAATAAAATTTCCAAAACGACAAACTATCAAACAAAACATGCCAAGTCAACAATAACAAAGAAGAGAAGGGAAAGAAGTCGATCCCAACCAAAACCTGTTTTTTCTTACTTCGTGTCGTCGTGAGTATTTAAAAAATTGAGCGTCATCGACGCTGCTTTGACTCTTTCAATGCATTCCAAAGCTTTTAACCAAACGCGTGAGCGAATTTGAAAAGCATAAAGAGAAGTTAAATCATTGTGTTACGAACTGTTGACTTGAAACGACGTAGTTTTTTGAAGCTCTCATAAGTTTTTTCAAAGAAAATATTATAGTTTCTTGTGTGTCAAGTTAATTGCTTTTAAACAACGTTCTGCAAACAATTTTTTTATAAATTCTTAAATTCTTTCTGTAGATTGTGCAAAATTCAATTGTAAGTAATTGAAGGAATGAAAGAATCAAGAAAATTTTCTTAAGTGCGTAAAAGAATTTAAAGAACTTTTAGGAAATTTTAAATTGTTGGCAGCATCTTTGAAATTAATTTATCATCAAAAAATTATTCAAACGATCTTCAGCTCATTAATAATCTCTTGCTTCTCTTCATAATAGAACATAAAAACGAATGAAGTTGAGAGACAAGATAACACAAATGTCCATTTGTTGACCTTTAATCAGTTGAACTGATATTCGTTATCAATCTGTTGGGAAAATAAGATGTGACCTTTAAAGATTTTTATTTATTTGCATGTTTATGGTTTTGAAACATATTTTGGTCGATAACAGGTCGAAAGAGAGAGAAAAAAAAAATAAAAAGAAAAAAATGGTTGAAGCAAGAGAAAGAAATTATGCAGAGCATAAATACGAAAAGTAAAAAGCAAACAAGATCGTTGATTTAATGTTTCACAATTCTAAGAGATAATGTCTTTAAAAGAAATCGTTGCGAATTTTTTTATTTGCTTAAATTAAATATTAATTTCCGTCTTAAAAGGACAAAAGCAAAGTTCTAGTTTTTGTTTGTTTTAACTCTTGATTATCTGCTTCTTATCCATTTTCAATGCTAGAAGAATCAAGTGCTGTTACGGATCGCTTTTGTTTGTGTATGTGCGATCATTTAAAAGTTTCTGTTGCCGCGCCCTTCTCTCATTTTATTCTTTGCAGGTCGATTAGAAGGCGATTAACTGCCCGCGTAAATTTTCCTCGCTTTTTATTACTTCAATGAAGATTTTTCCGTTCAATTTTTTATTATGCAAATTAATATATAATACAAGATTAAAAATGCACATGAGAATTTCATTGTTTCAACAAACATATTTTTGCCTGTTATGTTTACAATCTTTTATGTTGAATAAAGTTACATTCCCGATAAGGTTATTTAGAAAGTTTAAAAAAGAAAGAAAAAAGATCATATGTGTTAAAATATGTTGTATTAAGTTGAAAAGTTGTGAGAGTGATATGAAAGTGAAATCCTCACGTTGCGACCTGATGATTGCTCTTGACTTCCTTTTATTTCAAAAATTCAATTAAATGCTATCAATACTAATTTAAGACTTATAAATAACAGAAGCAAAAGCAATGAATCATTTCTCTTTTATTCGTTATTTAGCGATTTTACGCGTGAACAACCATACAGTCTTAAAGACGCTGTCTGTTTAGATTACCGATAGAAACCTTTACAAACAAGTGATGAATATAGGTATTTTGATCATCAATCATAGACAATGACAATTCAAAGCTAATTCTAACGACTGCAAGCAATGCAAACAACTAAACTTGTAATTCACTTGGACAAGCATGAACGTAATGTAATTGCATATCAAAGTGCGACATTTACAAACACTTAAGTCGATAAATTTAACAATTACGAAAACTAAAAAAAATATTAATTGAGTCTGACAACAAAAAAAATTATTGACGTGTGGAATTTTTTGAAGATGTTTCATTCGTGAATGATTATTAAACATTCATAACAGTTGTAACTTCACAATGTAGATTTTTTTTGCCATCTATTCGTCAACATCACAAATTTATCTGATAAGCTAGAAATATTCAAGTCACCACCCTTAAAAGTAATCTATTCTCCCCATATGTTCTAAATTATTAATGACTTTTCATTTATAAACCACAGAAATTTCACGATTAAATATGCCTGGCGATCAAGGAACGTTGGATTCATCTTTGGGCGCACACAAGAATCACTTTAGACGACAAGCGTCAAGCTTTGGGCCGGTAGTTTTCAAATCGGCTGAATTGGTGAGATCCCGTCGTGACCATTAACATAATTACCATTAGCTCTGTTTAGCATTTTGCTTAAAGATAAAACACTTTTCAAACACGTAACCCTTACAAATAAAAGTTGTGAAGAAAAATTGTGATAAATATGAAAAAGAGAATCCTTTGTTATCACTTTTTATGGGCGCAACTCATAAGTAAACACGAAGAGTCTTTTGATTTATGAATTTTAATCGCCCTGTTTGCATACACATCTATCTGAGTTAATCATGCAACAACTATAAAGTGGACTTTATGCTTTATTTTCAGCTTATATGTATCATTTGCATTGGTCTTTTTGACGATCCCGCTAACAATTCACGATTCAGAACATTTGTTGGAACAAGAACCATCGCTTTGAGCTACAGCACCTTTGGTACGTTCACAACTGTTTGCTTAGCATTTTTGATTGCCAAAGCTTTACGTGATAAGTAAGTATTAGAGAAATCACCGCAAACTTTCAATTTCACTAATTTGATTACTTCTAGTGTTCCATGGAAGTACTCGACAATTTTAAATCTTGCGGGATTTTTTGGGTTTGCCGCCTGTGCCGTTGTCATTTTCAAAGATTGGAGTGACACGAAGGAACGAAACTACTGGCCACCAAACACGACACGTTTGGATCTCACATGTGCTTCGGGAGCTTTGTCAACATTAAACGCAGTTGTGTTTTTGGTTGACAGTCTTTTTGTAATGCGTTTAGGAGCTCGTGGTGATCTTCCATAAACAAATAGCAAAAATTTAAATCACTGTTTGTAAGCTCCTTCGAAGCAAAAGGAAACAATTGAATCTCTTTCATTTTAAAGTTAAAGCAAAAGTTCTTTTTTACCCTTCACAAAACAATTTACCGAAAAATTTAATATTCAACTCTCAATTAGCATGTAAATAGCCATGAAGTTACTAACACGATATTCCACGCTTTGCAATATGAAATTTTAAATACAAATCAATATGTCTTCTATTATTTAAAATATTGTGTTTGCATAGAGTACAATTAAAGGCACATATCGAAGAATCTCTTATCAGGTCTTAAATGCAAGCAAACTTCATATATGGAAGTAGATATTTACATTGAAATGTTGAATATTTAATAATAGTTGTTGGAGCTTTTTTTCTTTTGTTTAAAATTATTTTTAAATACCAAAAACTAGACGCTATATTTATATAAGGGAAAACGAGTATAACTTTTTGTATACATAATAGTTTGCAATATTATTTTATTTTGAATCTCTTTATCCATTTTTAATGCTATTGTGAATATGAGTCATTTGAAAGACATCACATAATCAGAAAAAGATTTCTATTATTCAGTTAAATTTTACTAATTCATATTTTCTAGAATTTTATTTTAATTTTTGAATTATGGAATCAGCCAGAATGTTCACTTTAAATGACAATTAGAAAATAAATATGAGAAGCTTAAAATTCTTATGATGTTTTTAATTAAAATTCCCTGCTTGTTCAAGATTTTGTTTGTTCTTTTACATTTTTAGGGAAATGTAAACAGAATAAAAAGGGAACCATAGTTATTGTCATCAAACAACAAATAAAATTAAATAAATCAATAAAATTTTCACTTCAAACTCACCTGAGTTGAATCTTCACCAAAGACGCTGTCGAATTGATAAACTTTTGGTGGTTCATTAGTTGTTGTATTTGGTTTTTGGACTGTCACTGTTCTGTTATTTTTATTAACAGAAACAATATTTTTTCCTGCATTCGTTTCAAGAGGCCTAACTCGCACAACAACTCTAACATTTTCAATTTCATCGTCAGGTTTTGATTCCTAAAAGAGAATTCAAAAATAATTTTGAAAAAAATTGATTAATGATGGACAAAAACACAAAATGAAAATTTTGCAACATTAAAAGTTTCTTTTTTGCAAAATTGTTGAAAATTTCAAATTCAGAAAATATAGAATGATATTTTCATTAACTTACTGGCATGCTGATAACTTTCTTTGCGCTGCTTATATTTAATGTAATGACTATTGCAATTTTCAATGAAAATTTAAATTTTCCTCAATTTTTTAAAACATTTGTCCGAAAGAAGTTTTTTTTTATAAAATTGCAGCCTTTCTAAGTTAAACTGACTGAAAGTGAAGAAAATTGAGCAGAGTGTGTGTTGATGGTTAGCCTTTTATTGCGTATCGCAACATTTTATTTTCCGGATAAAAAATTATAGAAACTTTTTAAATCTTAGAAAATTATTGACTTCTAAATATTTTAGGCATTTTAACATCATCTGATTCAGCATCACTTGATTCATTTAACAATCCTAATGTACTGCCAACAAGATGCAATGATCCAGTGAAGAGAGCGTTGATTTTTTGTGCAGGATTGTTTTCTTTTATTTCGTAAATTATCTCAAATGCTTGTTTAATTGTTGGACACACAGTAAGTTGAGTTTCACTACTTGATTCTTTAAGATTTTTCCATATTTCTTTATGTCGTATACAACGTTCCAATTGTGTGTTTTTTAAAGTTCCATTAAAGTTTTCGAATCTTTCGTTGTCACTTTGACTATGTGCAATGTTAGTGGAAAAGCAAACTTGTTGAAAGTTCAAGGAATGTAATGAGCTTAACATCGTAGCTGAATCTCTATCACCAGTGACATTAAACACTAAAATGTTGATCACATTTTGTGAATCTTCAATCTGCGTCGCAAACCATTTACGACAAATTTCTAAACTCTCTTTCGTGTGAGCTCCATCAAGAAAAAATGTGATATTGTCTCGTTCGATCATTTGAAAACGTCCTTCGAACTGACATCGTTGAAATGCATCAACAAACTTATCACCGACTGAATGTAGAACATTTCCATCAAAAATATCCTCAGGAATTTTATTTCGTTTTCTCAACCAACATGCGCTTAATTGAGAAGCGAGAGAGAAATTTAACTTGTTGACCTCTGATGTTTTATGGAAATCTGGGTATGTATTTAACCATTTATAATTAGTGATCGCTGGCGTCACTGATAACGTTTTTCCCTATAAAAAAAATAAGATTAGCAGAATAAATATACAGACAGTTGTCGAAGTCTTACATTCTTTTCATTGAATCGTTGACGAATGACATTCATGCAAACACCAGGTTGCAGCATTGTAAAAGCATGAGACGATTTCTTGATAATTCCTGCTTTTTGCCATGCAATTTCATGAAGAGTATTGCCAAGAAGTTGTGTATGCTCAAGTTGAAGCGAAGTAATGCCAACTATTTCAGTATTTCTAATGATATTAGTGGAATCATATTCACCTCCAATCCCGACTTCAACAATCGCAACATCGACATTTTCTTTGACAAAAATATAAAACGCCATAATTTGAAGGAATTTGAAATATGATGGGAGGTCAAATTCGCTGTCTTTTTTCTTCTGTAGCGCATCAAAAACTTCCCAAAAGTATTCAGTGAAGAGTTGTTTACTTATAGGACTTCCTCGCAATTTTATTCTTTCTGTAACTGACACAAGATGAGGTGATGTAAACAGACCAGTTTTCACATTATGCTCTCTTAGAATAGCATCTGTATAAGCACAAACTGTGCCCTTTCCTTTACTTCCTGAAATGTGAATCACTGAGAGATGATCTAACGACTTCATCGAAAAACCATCAATTCGTTCAAGGAATTTTTCAGTTTCTGTCAAGTTAAAATTTGCTTCATTATGTTTTTGTTGTTGACGTAATTGAATCGACCTATTAAGTTCAGCTGTATTTGGTTGAAGGGAATTTAAAGCAATGATAGCATCCTATGAAAAATTGTCGTTTTCCATAAAAAATATTCCAACTTCCACTTTGTTTTTTTACAAACCTCGTAACTTCTTTTGTTTGAGTTTGTCAAGCAATGACGAGTTGTACTGAGTGTTCTTTTTACTCCATTTAATGATTTAAACACTTTTGTTATTGACGACATAACTCACAACATGTTCATTGCAAATACAATCTTCAATTGATGAAACTGCGAATTAATTTTTTTTGTTGACAAAAGCATGGATTTTTATAGCAAAAAATTGTAGCAAAATGTTGTGTGTCAATCGGTGTAATCCAGACATATATCAGCCTAATCCTAAGATCAACTTTTTAAAACATCCAACAAGTGTAAACAAATTCCTTTAGATATGTTTAGATACATATTAAAAAACTTTTCAAGTTATTTGTTTTATTGCTATTTTAAATTTCAATTGATTACATCACTAATGGCACGCCTTTTATTAAAATATTCTAAACATACATTAACTAGGTATCTACAATATAATCAAGTCTTTAAAATTTTCATCTGCTTTTAATGATTAATTCTCTGCCAATAATCTTTTTGGTCGTTAGTTCTTTTATGTTAAATATTTGCTATATGATTTTTGTAGTTTTTTTAATACTATTTTTTCTGTCTTAATAATTATTAAGTCACCGTTTATTGACTCATTATGTAGTTTTTCGTTTGTCATCGAATTATTTGAGCACTGGCTTAACGTTTAAAAAGCAAATATCTAATAAGAAAAATTGAAAAATTGGCACTTTTTGTCTAATTAAAATCTAGTTTAATACTATTTAGTTACCACTATTGCTTATTCTCAATTATTTTTTCCTTATTTGATTTGTCCTGTAGGTTTCAATTCATTACCTAAATGATATAAAATTCGTTTGACTCAGTATAAAAGTTTGCAACAATTGCACCTCGTAAAATGTTTGCTTTTCAGTTTTAAATTATCTAAAGAACCTCTTTTAAGTTTCTCTCGTGATTTGTATTTAATACAATTTAATTTTTTCATCCAAAATGAGATCGCTTTTGTCATTATGTTAAATTCTTTTTCAAGACACTTATTTAGTACATCTTTAAGTTTCAGTTGTTAAATTGCTAATATTTATCTTTATCATCTTCGATCTGTTTAAGACGCATGTTGTTTAACGCTGGGTTTCGCTTTAATGTTGACATGTCAGTGTCATTTTGATATTTCAATATCTTCGGCGTGTTTTGGTTCAACATATTGTTGGATTTTGTTAACGTTCCATTGTGAACTTTCGAGTTGTTTCCACCATTAAATGAAGATTGACGTTTTGGTCGATTATCAACGTAATCTTTTGTAGGCAAACTTGAATATTGATTTGGATAAGCACCGTAATGTGGAGACCCTTGAATGGTTCGGCGACGATTAAACTTTCTTTCCACAAAAAACTTTGACGCGAAGAATGCAAGTGTTGCGCAAAAAATACCAAATACGAGCATAATTATGAATATCCAATGAACCGCAAGCGAAGCAGATACAACTTGTTTCTGTGCAACCGATGGATTGCAAATTCTAACTTCACGTTCATTTCCAAGACACTCTTTCGGTCCCGGGTGACGAACAACACATTGACGGAAACGAGTACGTTCATTATCTTCATTACATGAAGTCCATTCTGACCACTCAGACCATCCAAGCAATGCTGTTTAAAAATATTGATTTAATAAGAAAATAAAAATAGGATCACACAAAAACTTACATTCACAACTTGGCATCTCACAGATTTCATCTTGAGAGCTGGGACCATCACATTCCTTGTCATTCACAGGATCTCCATTTGTTGATAAACATTTTCGATATCGAACTCGCCTTCCAACACCACAAGTCACACTGCATGCTGAGAAATCTGTCCAACAGCCCCATGAAGTTTTCTGAGAAGTTTTTGCCATGCGATGGCAACCTTCAACCGAACAATTTCTTGTTTCTTCTTTGAAAAGGGAAATTTTAAGATTCGATGGATCTGGGACTGTTGCTTTGCACAAATATCTAAAGCGTTTCTCAATATGACCTACTTTACTTGTTCCGTTAATTGTCAACCATTGAGTCCATGGCCCTAACTTTTCAACTTCACTACACGGTTGCTTGTTACATGTTTCATATTCTGCGTTGCATCCAATGCACTCAAGACCACCGTTTCTGTTATATAATTTAAAAGTAAATATTTAATGTAAAATTATTATTCATAAGCACACTTACTGAGGTGCTGGATCATCACATTTTCTTTGTCGCAGTCGATATCCGCCACCACAAGGTGCCGAACATTCACTCCATTCACCAAATGGTCCCCATTGGCCATCAATTTGAACATTTAATGTTGGAAGTGGACAAGGTGGAAGATTATTACAATAAATCTCTTGACGATCACTTCCGATGCAAACACGACCTCCGAACTTTGGAGCTGGATTTCCACATGATCGTTTACGACTTTTAATTGCGACACCACAACTTTGACTACAAGCTCCCCAAGCGCTCCACTAAACAAATATTACACAATGAAGTTTTTATTATTTACGACTGTCATAAACAATCAATGAGCTTTGATTGTTTATTCAAATGAATAATCTTACCTCAGTCCATTCACCATTTACAGTACAATTCGCGACCATTATCGACATTCCCATGCAATCTCTTCCACCGTTTTTCGGCGCCGGATTATCACACTTTCTTGTACGACACCAACATGTGTCAATACTATCAGATAGTTCGTTGCCAGTTATTGGCTCGTCACCACCTGATTTAGCGCACTTAAACCATTGCGACCACGCAGAAAATGCACCGTCAACGGGACTCGATAAAATGGGACACTCATTCGCATTCTGATACCAATGACTTGCTAAAGGGTCATTGTTCGGTGGTGGCGAACATTTTAATTGAAGATCATTCCACCCACAAATTGGATCCATTGAATTTAAACAGCTTTCTTTTGATAAATGTCGATAACATCGTTGAGATGGAATTCTTATCAAAGAATTTTCTGTGCCAACATATAGCGAGTCTGTGGCCTTCACAAATTCCATTGTTTTTATGTGGACGTCGCGTCGAGATTCCGGCTCCATGACTTCAATTAAACACGATTGTTTGGTCCGTGGTAAGACGGAGATTTTCTTAATTAAACCGTTGTCATTGGACACGTAAATTACTCGAACATTTTCGTGGAGTTTTGTCGAGACTTTGTCGATGGCAATGTGATTAAAACGTTCAAGTTTTGAAACATGTAAAGGATTTGAATGCATTGCTTGTACTGAACCATCCATTAGTTGATATTTTAATAAATCGATCGAGTTTGATTTGTGATTAGAGCGACATTCAAAGATGTCTCGTTGAAGCAGGTTTTTTTGTTGCCATGCAGCTCCCGGTGAGTCTTGATACTTGATCGGACCATTAAAAGCCTTTTCAATCGATGTCATATTAAATACACAAATTGCCGATCCGTGAATGCTGTTTCTGTGTTAATTAAAAGTTGTTTGTTTAATATTCCCATCATCGCATCATTTGAAAGCAATTTAAAACTCACTCTGGTGTATTAAAGACTGCGTAAAGTTCGCCATCATCAGCCGAATATGAAATTCCCTGAACTTCATTGAAGTAAAATGGATACTCGCCTGGTAATGAGCAATTCTGTGAAAGGTAATTATCGATGTTTAATAACATTTTAACGGTCGCATATTAACTCGACGATGAAAGAGATCGAATCTAATGTTGAAAAAGGCTGGCTAGTTTCAAAATCTTTACAAATTTTACATTTAATAAACGATTAAAATCAAATAATGAGTTCAACACCTAGTCACCCTTGTAACTACCTAGACTAGATCACCTGATTATTGCAATTTTACAGTTATTAAAAGTTTTAAAAATGTTTTAAGGCGCCAGCACGTTTCCTAATTATCTCTTCTACTAAATAAGATGCATAAACTACTTCTGCATGAAAGTCAAACTTTAAAAATATCCACTCACCAGTCTCGCTTTCAAAAACGATGTCCAATTATCTCTACTAATGTGTAGGCCACCTGGCAAAAAATAAATATAAAAGAAATTGTTTTACATGCCACTGACAATATGCGTAACAGAAATAAAGTGAAGATTTCTTTTTTTTATAAAATATTGCTTACCATTATCATTTTTGCAGACGCGAGCGATCCTTGAATAAACAGCTTTCATATCGGTACCAACTTCAACAGCAATCTCACGAAAAACCAAATAAATGAAGTCGTTGTTTTCGAAACTTCCGACGAAATGTGGACTATTCAACCACTCGGAATTGTACTGCTTCGTTCTAAGGATTTTAGAGTTACTGATCGACATATCAACTCGTAATATTGCTGAATCAGAGCTTGAAAAATCAGTCGGTGATCCAACGAACATCTTTCCATCATTTGTCATAAGTGTCGTGATATTAGCTCGTGGGTTAAAAGGACTTTTCCCAACTCCTTTCTCATATTTAATCAGACCAAGCGTCTCAATATTTCGCCATGAACAATTTGGCGAATACGCGAACGTTCCACATGCTAATAACTTATTGTTATACTCATGAAGCACCATTACATAATTTCGGCAATCATTCTCACTCTGCCCTTTCGTCAGACATGTCTCAACAGTTTTCGATGGAACTTCCCAATCAACTTCTTTCAGTAACTCAAAGTTGTCCAATGAAAGTTTAAAAATACGATCTCTGCAAAAAAATAAAAAAAAAATAAGAAATCGGGTGAACAAATAAATCAGAAAATACATAAAAATATTAAATTTCGAGGACAAATAGCAACAGCCATTGAAGCATTGAAATGGTACAGAAATTCTATCGCTTCGCCATCAAACGCCCCCGAGAGCGAATCAAGCATAAATGTAATAATAATGTATAATAAAAAACGATACCAATCAATTAACAGATAGTTGAAACAAGTTTTTATTCCCTCTCAGCAAGTCTTTAAGCGTCTCAAAAGCACCAGCAATGCATCTGATGTAAGGTGGATGTGAGTTGTGACGCCAGTCTATGTCGCCAGTTATAAATGATTTTATTTTGCTCTTTTTTTGTTTTTATTTATGTTGCAAAAATATCTCAAAAACCAGGCTTTTGCTGTCGTTGCTTGTTTACTTCACTGTGCTTTCTTCGCTTTATTGAATATTATTTAGGATTTTTTTTTCTTTCTTGTTAAAGTTTTCTTCTCTCTTTACTTCTTCTGTGTCTCTTCATCATCACTCTTACTGATTTCAACGTACATACATGTAAGTATAACAGAAAACCAACCATAAAGGCAAATAACCGAGAAAAGAATAAATAATATTGACATTCAATCACTGTACTTGGCTCTCTGAAGATTGAAGAATTTTTTCTCAGCATTTTCCTTGTCGTATTCTAAATTGGCAGTTTCAATCTCAAACCTGTATTCTGGACTTTTACTATTGAATCTAATAAATTATGTTCAAATACTTAAAACGTTTCTCAGTTGATTAAGGCAATTTAAAACTCTTAAAAAATTCTGCCACTTATTTCGACCGATATCAGTGATAACATGGGGGATTTGATTAGAATAATGAATTGTTTTTCAAATGAGAATTATTGATAACAAGATCTAAATATAAGCAGATAAATAAGCGAATGTTTTGGCAGTTTCATTTCATTAGTCAAGCAAGAGAATCATGAAGATATTTGTTGTTAACTTGTTATTATTTTTTGTAAACCTTTCAAATGCTTGCACTCCAACATTAACAACAGTTAGTGGATCTAAAGCACCACCAGCTGGTTTCTGCTCAGGAGATTTAATATTTGAGGAAAATTTTGATAATTTAGATCAATCAAAATGGCGTCACGAGATTACAATGGCTGGTGGTGGAAACTTTGAATTCCAATGGTATGTTAATGATCGGTTCAATTCATACACTCTTGGTGGTAATCTTCACCTTAAGCCGACATTTACGTCAGACATTTTCGGGGAAGAGTTTTTAACAAGTGGACGTGTTGTTATTCCACCGTACGAGTGCACTGAATGGTATAACAACGGATGCGATAGACAAGGTACACCTGACAATATTATCAACCCGATAAGAAGTGCACGAATCGATACCCAAAATTCATTTTCGTTTAAATTTGGAACACTTGAGTTTCGTGCAAAAATGCCTGCTGGCGATTGGCTATGGCCGGCACTTTGGATGATGCCAAAAGAGAGTGTTTATGGTGGTTGGCCGCGGTCTGGTGAGATTGACGTCATGGAGATGCGGGGCAACCGAGCATTGTTTGCTGATTACGGTCAGGGAGGTCATGTTGGAAATGAACAAGCTTCTTGCACGATTCACTTCGGTCCGTCAGTTACTGTCAAAAATCATTGGCCTAAAGCGCACTTTGCAAAGAATCAAAATGTTGGATGGAACGAGAATTTCCACTTATATAGAGTAACTTGGAGCCCAACACAAATTCGTTTCTTAATTGATTGGGATCTGGTTGGGACAATTGAACCGAGTGAAGGTTTTTGGAAGTACGGAAATTTTGAAAGTTCGGGATTATCAAACCCTTGGTCAGGAGGTACGAATATGGCACCATTTGACCAGGAATTCTTCATCATCATCAATCTTGCTGTCGGTGGTACAAACTTCTTTGACGATTCATTTGTTAATCGCGATTATCCAAAACCTTGGTAAGTTATGTTTTTTTTTGCAATTGCTGTCAAGGAAGTTATTGAAGTTCAAATTCAAAGGTTGAATTCATCACCACGAGCTGCAGCTGACTTCTGGGAAGGGAGAAGTAAATGGGAACCAACGTGGAATCGATATAATGATGATTCACATCTTCAAGTCGATTATGTTCGAGTTTGGGCTATGTAAATTTAACATGAAAAGTGAAAATAAATTTCCAACTGGGTTGAAACTTTCCTGAAAAGTATTTTCAAGCCTTTTTTTCTGACAGCTTTCATCCATTGACAGACATAATAAACGAAATGCAGTTTATATTTTTATATTTTTTTTGGAAAGTTGAAATCATTTTCAGCATTCACGCACATTTTTTTTCATCTTTTAAAGTTGAACATCGTTCGTCTTATCATATCGTTTCAGTGGTGTTTGATATATTTTTTTACGTCCGTCGTTTGTTTAACTACAGAAGAAAAAAATAAAACTGTTGAAGAGATTTTTGCTTTTAAATTCCTATCGCCACCCAATATGGGCTGAAGCGAGTTCCAAATAAAGCGAAACAAGTTGTTTTTCCATTCACATGCGACTAAGATCGTTGGCGACATTTGCAAATAACGTAACTAGACGGAATGTTGTGGATATCTTGGAATGTCGGCGCCGAATTAATATTGCAAACTAAATATCACATTCAAAGATTTTTAGAAGAGAAAAAACAATCAAATTTACGTCCATTAACGACAGCTTTTTGTTTTCGCTATTATAAACTAGTCATTGAACCCGATGGCCAACATTCATTTAACACTTTGTTTTTTTGTTGTCGAGCTGTTAATGAAATAATATTATTGATTTCCATTTAACAAAGTGTACAAGTAACAATTTTTCGTTTCGTCTTAAATCTTTCGATGGTGGTGCAGCGTACGCCAATTCTCACAGCAAAAATGAACAAAACGCGAAGCGAATGAAGAGAAAAAAATTGGTGTAGGTTTTGTTTGCTGTCTTATTTCTTTTTGCAAAATGAATAAAAAACGGCGACACCTTTTCGTAGGCGAATCCACTCTTTGGAGTATGCAACAGCACTCCATGAACATGTTGCACAAAATATGAATCTTTGTGATGATTCTTTAAAACAGCTAGACAATTAATGAAGAATATCTTTCTTCAGAAACAGAATAATGTGTATCATTTTTGAAAACGATGCAATAGAATTCACCAGAAGGTGCAGAAGAGTGAATGCTTAGAGAGAACGAGATGTTTGTAACAGAAACAAGTAACAAGTACCAACAGAAGTTTCACATTGAAACCCAGTTAGGCAAACAAACAGTTGAATCACAGAAATGCTTTCAGTTTTCTTTCTTTACCTTTTTTAATCGCATCTCGACATCAATCGCACAACGCAAACGTTCGAAGCACAACGCAAATAATTGACGACATTAATTTGTTTTAATATTGATGTCGCTGTGCTAGCTGCGATTTTCATCAACAGTTCGCCAAAAACAAATAAAATCTCGTTAGCGTGAAATTTCACACAAAAAAAGATTTCGCGAAGAAGAAATTGAATGCAAATACGACTGTGATGATGATGATGATGATGATTCTTCTTATTTTATTTTGTTTCTTACCTTGCTCCCACAATTAAAGAGTTTCTACTGACATCAAACAGAAGGCGCGAAAATGTCGTCACGTTGTGTTCAGCGAATCGACTCGATGTCGCCAATAAATCTGGTGATTTGCATGAAAGAAAAAAACATAAAAATTTAAATTTAAGAAGTCAAAGTAGCATTTATTCATGGCTAACACTAATTGAGATGTTAATTATTTAAATGGAATTAATGGACATCAATGCGTATTTAACGCGAAGTGAAGTCTGAGAAATCAATAGAATTAAACGCTGTGAACAATAAAAGCTCAGCATCGTTACAATTGTAAGTATTCACTGCTGATGAAGTTCATATGAAAATTAAGTAAGTAACTAAAGCAGAAATATAAAGTACCTAATTGCTCGAAAAAAAATAAAACTTAACTCACCATGATATGAAATGAAACGAAAATCATTTTGTGCAATTGTTTCATCCGACGATGCTGGAACTACAATGCTCAAAGCGATTGCTAACAGCCATGTCATCATCTCACTGCTGCTTTTTTTTGTTTGTTGTGAATATGAAATAAAATGTAATAGTAAAAAGATGAAAATATTTGTAGCATCACGAAATTTAAATTAATTAAAGCGTGAAACTATAAATGAGCTTAAACAGAAATGAGTTCGTGACATTTAAGAAGGTACTTGCGATTTATATTATCAACAGCACTTTGCTTACTTTGCTAAATATCTTTTAAAGAAGTTGTTGGTCTCGTTTTTCTGTTTTTATTTTTTAAATTTCTTATCATTTTCAAGCTTTGAAGGTAGAAACTAATAAACTTTCCCAATAACAATCAGCGATAAGAGAACAAAGTTGTGTAGGTAAATGTTGATAAATATTATTTTGGTGAAGTTTTAAAAGTTATGTCATGCATTTGAATTTATATAGACGTAATTTTCACTCCAATTTTATTTGATTATGTAGATCAGATACATATTTTGTTTGGGATTAATGTCCAAGAGACAATCGCAACATAAATCTTTAGAGACTTAACCCAAAATTCATCTCATTTATGTCACTCACTTCTGTAAAATAATATTAAGCACTGGAAAGTTGTTGTTTCTTTATTTCAACCTGTTGTTATCATCAACTTATCAAGCTTAGAAGTTCGTTATGTTATCTTTTTTACACGTAATTGTGTCGATTATGATTGCCGAGCTTATTTATTTAATCCCTTTTACACATGAATTGAATACGAAATCTCAAGATTTTATCAGAATTTAAACATCGCTGTAAATCGAGATCCTTCAATGATAAAACTTTCTGTTTATTTGTTTATCTACCGTTCGTTTCAACTATAAAATATTAAAGTTCTTTTAACCGCTACGGGGATAAATAAGGCATGAGTGGAAAACTGGAAAACAAATAAATAAATATTACTTATTTCACTGATATCGAATCGATTAAATAATGAGAAATAACAAATTTAAGTCAATAACTGAGGTAGCGTGAAATATATTCAACGCTTGACTGATTATATTTCTGTGAATATCTCACTTGGCGAGAAAAGTAAGAAGAAAGAAATAGAAAAAAATGGTTGGAGACAAATGAAATGACGAATATTAACAAACACATTCTTTGCTATCTCGTGTGACTTGATTTGCATGACGCTTTCAGAAACATGAAACTTCTTAGATCATAATAAATCCATGAATAATTGTCGCTTGTCTGGAAACCGTTGAAGAAAAAGTCGAGAGAAGGGAAATCATCTTATATGACAAGAGTGCTTTTACTTTATGAGATGTAAATAAATTACTTACTTTTTTGTTCTTAAAAGGTGTTTTGATTTAGAAGCCATAATATTTATGAGTGGATTAATAAGCTTAGTTTATTTCCTTTTATTTTCCTGTGCAAGATTATTGCGATGTTTTTGATTCGTTAAATGGATAAGTCACCGTCTTGAAATTTCACGCATTGTTGATTTTTTTTATTATTAATTCTTAAGATAAGAAACCGCAGTGCAGCTTTTTTTTTTACAAAGTTTGTAGATATTGTGGAGTTGTCTTTTCTTTCGCTTTGCTCGTTTGGATGTACGTGCATGTAATATTTACTTGTCAGTAATTATTCATTCGATGTTCTCTGATGGAATATATTTGAACATTCTCTACACTCTTTTTCACTCGCTGTTTGTTTCACAAAAGCAGTTCTTAAATGATCATTTGATGGGAAAGAAAGAAAATCGCCTTGTAAAACTTCGACTTTTTGACGTTGTAAAATCAATAAATGTACAGCCTGTTCGAGGTCTTTGAAACTAAGTCACTACGACACACTTATCACTTCCTCGTATTTCATACTTTTTTTTATTGCAAAATTCTCATTTTTTGTGTATACATAGAAATACTTAAACTCAAATGATTATTATTATAAACTAAGTAACAATTTAATAGCACTCGAAGTAAGAAAACGAAATCTTTCCACTTCACAAATCTGATTAAATAAATTTTCTCCGTTGCAGTTGATAGATTAGAAATCTTTAAATTCGAAGGCAGCAAATGATTTCTTTCCTTCTCTTATGGCATGTACGAAGCGTTTATAGCAGCACCAAATAAAAGCAACAACACAGCATTAGTTTCTTCATCAATTTTAATTTTTTTTTTCAATTTTTCGGAGAGTCAGGGTTGAGCATTTATTACAAAAAAAAAATTTATTCATGGAAGTCAGAAGCACCCGAAGATGAAAACATTAATTTGCGTATTATGATTAAACCGAATGATTATGATTTTTATGATTGCACCTCTACATGCACTTAATGTTCTCTTCGTTTCATGAAACTTTGATTTGTATTTCAAATTCTTAAGTACCGTGCCTTAAAACTAAGTTCATTCTTTCTCAAGTTCTTTCGACAATAAAACAACCACGACAGCAGAAAACGCGAGTCTTAACAACTCAAAGGCTTGTAAACAAATGTCGTCTCCCATCAAGAGCCTACAACAAACCGACTAAGAGTTCTCTTCTCTCGAAACGTACTGTCTATGTATTAAAGGCTGTTTCTTATTTTGTTGCCTCCACACAAAACTGCCAGAACGTGTACGAAAGAAAGAAAAAAAAATAACATAAGAAATAAGGAAAAATACACAAAACAATCTTTATTGGAGAAATAAAAAGAAGCAAACTTAAGAGAGACTTTTCGCTTTTAAATGTAGTCGCTATCAAACATAGTAGCGTAGCATCGAGAGAAATGTAGAGAAATCGTGGAATAAGCAGAAACCGGTATCATATATAATAAATAATAATTTTTAAAGCACAACTTTGAGTTGACTCGCTCTCTTAAAGATGTGTTAATAAAACGTTTTCGTTGTTGTTGGAACTTCCAACTAAGTGTCTGTTCTGCAATGCTTTGAGAGATTATTATGTATTTCATTTCTTTTTTTTGGGTTCCTAAACATGTCATGTTTCTTTAATAAATAAATCATGACAATCCGATAATATCTCGAAGTTATCCCTTAAAGATGTTTATTGAGAAATAGAAAGAAATCGTCTTCAAATGAACATATGTTTCGAATTTTGCACTCAACATTTATGTATGATGAAGTGGTCTGACTAGATTTTTTTCTTCCTTCAATTTTATTTTTCTGCACATGTAAAGAAGCCTTTTACATAGTTAAGGTCGTTCGTTGGACGTTGGTTGTGTGAGAGATGGCAACGTGATAATGCACATAATATCTTACACACAAGTGAACATTTGAAGCTTTTTAGTACAAGATTTTTGTTTCTCTTTATTTCGAACGGCAACAGCAGCAACAAGTAGCTTTTTTCATTATTCTAAAAAGAAATAAAAAATTTTAAAAAGATTTTCATACAAAATGTTTTTTTTTGTGAATTGAGAATTTAAAACATTTCCGATACTATATGAATGACTTGAATGACTTTTGAGACCTTGGAACAGGTGAAGGCGAGACATATTGTCACGATTTTCGCAAAGCTGCTGTACAAATTATTTAACTTGCGCTGAAATTTTATCGCTTAAAACTTAAATTACGTTTCAGAAACTTTACTTTCATGACATTCTCCCTTAAGCTTTTCGAACATCAAATGCTTCTCTTTTTATAATCATTCAATTTGTTGTAGATTGAAATTCAACGTTCATCAACAAACCTTGCATGTTATGCGGTTTAAGATCAACCACAACTAATTGGCTTTTAAAATGCTTCACATTTATGTTCAATTGCAAATTGGCAGTAAAGAAAGTTTAATAATGTACATGTGTAGATTACGTTATATTATAAAATAGTTGAAAGTTTAAGTTGAATATCTGAAGGCAACATTTTTATCCTTGGGTTTCATTATGTCTTCAATTTCAATCATAAAAAATTTCAATTCAAATTTCATTCCTGACATTGAAAATTTCTCTGAGATTTCCACGTGCTAAAAGTGATTATTCTGACATTCATTGTAGATAATCAAAAATGTTCTTCGTGGCGTGGATATTGTTATTATTGGGTTTAGTAAACATTTAAATTTGAATGTAAGGAAAATTTTACTTTAGTTCCAAAAACATATTCAACACGAAGGAAAATTCGTTGATTGATGCGATGAATCAGCTTCGCGACGCCACTAACTAAAACCTGCAGCAATTTTTATTCGTTCTTTTTCTCATGAATTATCGAGATTTTCCTTCATTTTCTATATTTTTAGCCTCGTGTTTGTTCACGATATCTTCCTACCCTCGAAAGTGGCACTGAAAACTCTGCATGGAAAACCCGAATCAATAATCTCTTTTAGCTGAACGATTTCCTTTGATTATAGACACTTCATATCAACACTTTATAACACGTTTACATAAAGTTACTCTTCAAAACAAGCTTTTCTTTTATGAGTCGCGCAAATGAAAGCTTGGAAAACGAAAACAAAAAGAAACTTTTTTTATTCTTTTTTAAGCAAACATAAATAATATGAACTATAGTAAAAGGGAAAATAAATCAGATCGCATGATGAGGGAGAAAAACTTACTTAGATATTCCATATGGAATCGTGCTTCATTCCCGTAAAACTGAAAGAAATTTCGCCACTCACGAGTTGGAAAATTGTTTTATTTGTTGTTTTATCGCTGAAGGTGTTTGTGAAAAGCGTTTTCTTTTCCCATTGAAATATATAAGCACACATTCTTAAGCTTCAATTTTGCATGCATAAAGTGGATAGACGAAAAACCAAATCACCATCACAACGGCTTTTCTGAAAAAACATGCACGAAGAGGGTGTGAACAGCTGAAAAGCGTTCAACCACCAAATAACTATACACGAGGCTTAAACAAGTAAGGTAAGTATTCTTTCTAAGTTTTTTTTTTGATATTGTTATTACTGCTTTCTTTATGTCGATGAAGAATGTATTGAGCATTTGAGTATGTGATACTTTTTCATGAAGTCGATTTAGTGTATAAATAAGCTCTCACAACTTGGTAATCCTATCATTCGAGGAGCGACTGCATATTAAGTACATCAAAAGTAAAAAATTCTTCTGTTTGAAAAGAGAATATCATCTTTAAATTAATAAATTACACACCCCAGTCATTCATGATGACTATTTTGTCAAGCTTTTAAAGTTTCACCTTCTAAATAAATGAAATAGGAAGTTTGTGATTCTTGACTGTGATAGAAAAAAAGAGAAATAAAAAGCAAATAGGTATATATGTCACGACCAAAACTGATCGGTGGACGTGCTATAACCGCGTAAGTTAAATTTTCATGCTCATAACAATGACAAGTTGATTTCTACTCCAGTTTTTGCTACTAATGCTTCCTTTCTTTAATGATAATAGAACGGAGGCAATCGTAAGTACAAGCTGAACATATTTATTTCCTAATGTATAAAACTTTAGTCAGTTTACGAAAACAAATTTCCGTAATGAATTTATTTATTATTTTCTCATGTTATTATGAATATTTCTCGGAGACATTTCAAAAAATAATTACACAAAGTTCTGTTATCTGTATTTAAGTCATGAATGCTTTTGTGATATAAAAACTGTTAGTATTCCGTTCCTTCGTACATCGACTCTCAATTGTAATCTGATCGATAATGCAATTTATCATGTAAAAAATGATTCTTGAAATTGAACATATCAACTTTTTGATCTTTTTTTCCATTGCTTGAATCAAGGAAATCAGGCAAACAGGTAAGTTGAAAATAAAATTCGAATATAATTGCAGTTGGTAAATTTTCTACTTCTTACAGTTTTTGGTTCTGCTTCGGCTCCACCAAGAGGGTAACAATTCTCTTTTTTTATCAAAGTATTTTTATTCATCATGCATTGTTTAGGGAATGGACAAGAACTGGAATAACTTTTGGTCATCATAATGCTGAATATCCTTTCGGTCTTCGTAGTCCAAAAAATGCAACGCGAGGTCTCCAGTCTGTTATTCAAGCTTTTATTGTTAAATATTTCATTTTTGATAATCGTCCTAAGGAAAAATCGGTACCTTTGGAACATCTTTTAAAGCCATCAGAAACTGAACAGGTAACCGCCCTCTGGACTTCTATTTCTGAGATTTTATGGAATATTGGAGAAAAAACAAAAACGATTGTTTGTCTTCCTGGCGAACTCCCGCATATTGGCCATAGTCATGCTTATTTTCAAGATAACGTCACCGAAAAGGTAAATCAATGTAAAAATTTGTTTACAATTTAATATTTTTTAATTATTTTAACAGCTTTGGATGTTCGAGTTCAATAACTTAGATGATCTTCAAATTTTTATCAAGCGCTATATTTTCTTTTTTACTGACGATCCCAGTCCCGGCGCTCTTCTCTTTCTTTATTCAGCTGTTTGGACTCGAGGGTTTGAGAATGTACGAAATGATTTGGATGCATCAAAAGGCTCACATTTAATGGGCAATTACGAAGAAGGTTCTTTAAATATAGTAACATTATTGCTTTCCGGCCGTGCGACTCCGTATCTTCACAATGGCGTAACATAACAATAAATCGTTTTCGACGCTATCTGAATTGATGATATGAAATATTCTAATTTTAGGTGATATACGTTGGTGATGAAGATCATTATGCTTTACCACAATTTGGAATTCTAAGTCGTTCACGCGTTGGTTTACTGATTTGGTAAAGTAAACACTAGAAGCATGGGAAATTATTTTTTTGATTAAAATGCTTAATTTCATTCAATGATTAAATCAGGGATGGTGCAGGTGAAGCTTTACGTGTTCAATCAAGGCAACCAGGATCACGATTAAAAACTCCTGCTTTACCCGTTTGGGTTCGTTGCCGTATATTTGGCAAATTCAATCAATAATATTGACAATTGTTTAGGTAACTAGCTGTATGGGTCATTATGGAGTGATTTTCAACTCAAATCGTGAACTTTTGAGAAATTATCATGCGGAGAAACGTTTTGAATTGCATCATTACACTTGTGCTGGTTTTTTTGTTTCAATGGTAATGTTTATTTTGAATTTAAATAATTTTCAAAGCATCTTTAACATTTTTGCTGATAGACGGTAGATAACCGAGGACAAGATGACGATGGTGGTGCAAATTATCAAAGACAAAATACTAAAGTAGATGGTAAAGAAAGTGATGCAGGTGTTCTACAATCAACACCTATCGAAAAACTAATTCAAACAAAATGGGCTGAAAGTAAAATCTCCTTTCTATCGGCTGTTGACCCTGCTAAAATGACGCTTTAAATTATTTCTTATTAACTGTGTGTATAACTTTTTGAGCAAATATTTGAAATTTGTTCGAAAAAAGCTTTTAAAAGTACTTAGATTTGTAAAGAATTTGCTCTTCAAGTGAGTTCTTTTCGCTTTGGAAGTACAATTTATTGTTATTGCTGTAGATATAATGAAGTAAAATTAAAATTGTATAGAGAAATAACATGCTGAGTTTGAAATCATGCGTGATAATTTGTAAACTCTACGAAACTGCACCTTTTATTTGAAAAAATTATTAAAAGTTATCTATCCAGATATTTCAATGATTTAATCTTCCGATACGAACGAAAATTATTTAAATTAGATATTTGTTAAAGATATGGAAAAAAATTCCTATCGGCGCTTCAAACATTATCTTATGGATCTCATAAATTGTTTATAATTAATAAATTCAGTATAAATTGATTTGAATTTGAAATTAAGTTATGCGTTGTTTTGCATGAAAATAGATTTCATCTAAAGATGAAATTGAAAGCTTTGTACCTTCCAATAAGCTCAACAGCAAAGAGCTTTAAAGAAACCTTAAAAATTGTAATGCTCTATTGGAACGATGATTCAATGTCATTGATGAAAGTAATTCTTCAAGTAAATTTGTTTTTATTCAATAATTTTAAATTATCATTTAAATGAATGAGATTGCAACTTTTAATTTTAATTAAATTTCCAGCACTTTTGTCAAAAGCTATGAAAAAAACGATGCTGATACGATTTGTTTTAGTGACTTGGTGCAATATATTGGGGTTTTTTTAACGATTGCGTCAGAAAACAGTATAATTCCCAATTTCAAATTAATATTTTTAATGCTCATGTTCGAACTTCAGAAACCGCAAAAATTAACATGTTAGCTTTCCTAAAATCAATCAAAGTAACACTGAGCTAGACATTAGTATCGAATACAGAATTATTACCTGTCAAACGAAAATATTAGTGTAGAAGTTATAAATTTATGAAAATATTCTTGATATTTTCATTCGTGAAGGAACTTTCAAACTGAATGCACGCGTTTAGTATTGCTCCCCGCCAGTATTTAATTATTTGCACTATCAATCAAAAAATATATCAGCATTATGTTGATAAAAGTTGCAGAGTGAAGTAAACGTCATAAGACGCGTTTTACATGATCGTATAATCAATAGGAAAGTGATAATTTATAATGAAAATTGAAAGTTTGGTTCATATTAAAAAGAGCGAAAAATAAAATGAGAAAGATGTAAATATATCTTTGTCTCTTTTCCGCAATCAGTGATGAATTAAATGCATGTGTTAGTGAAAAACGAAACAAAAATAAGAAAAAAAGTATATAACTTCGAATAAAGGAAGAAAATAAAAAAAATCAAAAGAAAATAAAAAGTCAAGAAGAAAATCCAACTGAAATTAGATGTCAATCATTAGTGATGTCATTAGTTATGTGTACATAAGTCGGTGATGATACGTAAACCACAGTAACACCGCTTTATTTTCATTAAAATTAATGTCTAAAATCGAAAGAAAACATAAAAGATTTTTTTTTAATTTTTCGATTTGTTAGTCGAAAATTGTTAAGTTCAATATAAAGCAAGTGAATTAAGATATAAATCGAAATTGTTTACAAATGACTTCAGCACCAACAATGTCTGCAATATCAGCCAAACGATTGTCATGCTATTTGTGCGATTTGCCTCGAATGCAATGGGCCATGATTTTGGATTTCTCTGAAGCTGTGTGTCGTGGTTGTGTGAATTATGAAGGCGCTGACCGCATCGAGTTGGTGATAGAAGCCGCTCGACAAATGAAGCGACTTCACGCTGCCACGACCGGCAATGCCAAAAGAAGTAATTTTGAGAACGGTGAAGTTTCTCATCGATCGGTTCCTTCACAAATACATCATCATTATTTGGCAACAAATGCAACAACACAAATGCAACGTGCACCAATGATGGAATTTGTACCGAAAACAGAAAAAATTGAGCCACATGAAGCTAATGGCGGTCGACCGGTCGTAGCACGCATTGCCCAGCAACAACAACAACATTTAGTTCCACCCCATCACTTAACACATGCCAGTCGATCAGCTGCTCCAACCACCGTCTCAATCAACCTCAAACGACCGCCAACCGACGATGATGAGCATAACGACGGCCCCTCACAAATGAAACGAAGTACAGAAGAAAATCGACCACCTCTGCAGCGAGGTAAATTTATAATTAAATTTATTCATTCTTCTTTCTTTTGAATGATAAATGAATGAAATGTTCCAATCAGGTGAATCTTTACCAGCTGTTCCATTTGCTCCTGAGAGACAACAAAGCTTTAAAGATAAACATCCAGTTAGAGCTCCATCATTCGATGGTGAGATTTTCTTTAAATTCCATTCCATTTGAAGTTTTCTTATTATTTCATTCGTAATGCTTGCTTTCCATAGGAGCCTTTAAGTCTGGAGCAGGTAAGCTGAAAAGTAAAATATCGTTGCGATTTTTTTATATTGATTGTCATATAATTTACAACAACTAACTCGTAAAGTTGATTGACGCTGAGTTGAAGAATGTTGCTCATGTGTTTAAAGTTTAAAGAGTCTTTTTCAACTTAGAGACAGTCAATCGGAACTGACAGACTGCTTCGTCAAATCGATACTTAAAAGCTTATCGCTATTTGATATTTGATTAGATCGCGTTCCACTAAATACACATATATAGAAATGTTTGCGTAATAACAGAATTTTCTCGAGAATTTTGTTTATACGAAAAAGCTTCAGTTGCAAAATGTTTCCAGCTCTCAACTCTCAAATTTCGCGTGAAATTTTTTTTTCTTCCAATGTGCTGACGAATTGCGGCATAAACAAACAACTCTTTTTAAATAATTAAATAAACGATACTTTAATGTCTCTAAATCATGCTTTTTTATAAATAAATGTACATATATACGAATTTATGTATATATATATATATATATATATATGTGGTAATAAAAAGCGAATATATATTCGAGTGCGATGATGTGATCGCAGTGCTCACACACATTTTACTCAGCTGCGTCGGATGGTTTTGCGAAAAAAAAAAAGTGAAGAAAAACACAACAGCGCGATAACCTTGAAGGCGAAAAATGGTGAACAGTGTAATTGTTTAAACGAAATATTAGATGTTTATACGTGAAAGCACGACCGAGCCGAGCCAGCCCGAAAAACCAGTTCTTTCGATGACTGTTTTTTTTCCTTCTCTCTGCTTTTTTTCTTCAATTCTTTAACTTGTAGTTCAAGTTTTTCTTTTTTCTCTTTTAATACATTTTTTCCCCTGATGGTGCGACTATGATGCCATACGCGATGAATAACAATGACAACAACAACCGATGAAATTTGCATCCTCACAAGAGAGTCACGCATTTGGTTTTTTTTCCTTTTCGCTAAATAGTTTATTGCCTGCTCGGCGGTTCCGTTTTGGTTTACACGTTTTCGTTTTGTTTTTTTCGATGTTCTTCGTTTTGTTATTTTCGCGCTTCTCTTGGTAATAGGTCAAGCTGCCGACTACTTCTTTATCGTCGTCATGTGGCTGCAGATAAAGACTGACTATCAGTTATTTTTACTTCGTCTTTTGATTGTAAACTTATAATAAGCACACAGCAGCGACTCTTGCGTGTACGCTATTGATATCAGACGAACGTCACAAATTTTCTATAATCACTTTAAATTGTATTTAATTTCAAAGTTGGTTGTGTGATGTCAAACTGTTTGTTTGGATTTTTTATTTTTTGATATCGTCGTGACAAAAGCGATAAGAGAAAAAGTCGCCGACGACACATGCAATATACTTCATTAGTGATTAAAATGTTTTTATATAATTCGTAAACATATCCAAGTTATTTTGAGAAAAACGAAGAACTTTTCTAACATGCTTATGTCGTGTTTGATTTTGTGACTTTCTTTTAGATTTTGTTTGAATTTATTTAATTCGAAGTAGAAAAGTGAAGAATAAGAGAATAAATTCTCGACATTCTTATTCTTGTTGTTTTCTCATTCTTATGTTTTTCATGCACATAAGTATGTTTAAGTATGTATTTTCATTTTAAATAATTTATGTAGCGGTGCGGCGCAAGAGCATCAGTGCTCGCTTCTCTACTGTTATGTATGTCTGTATGACTTTGCTACGGTATATAAAGCAAGGCATGTTGTTTGACGTGCTGCTCGAGTTTGTATGCCAATGAAATCGAAACACGCTATGTTGTTGCCTTCAAAAAACTTTAAAGAGCATAAAGAAACATAAAGAGAGAAAACAGAACAAGTAAAAAAAGTTCTTTTCAATGAAAATTACTTCGAATGGGTGTGCAATTTTTTTTGGGTTGAGTAATGATTTTTTTTTTTCATTTTTGTTAAAAATAAATATTTCAACAAACTCTTTTGTGCATTCATTCACATTGTATAGACGACTTAATGTCACGTTATAAACGGAAAATACATTTACTTTATCATGATTATGCAAAGAGTCATCGTTCGCCGGTGTTTCGAAAAGAAATAAAATTGCATCATTCACGTAACTTTCCCATATGAAAATCTAACAATGTGGCGGAAGAAGAAAAAGTTTCTTATTTTTTCTTTCTTTTGCTGCAATTGAAGAATGACGAGAATTGCATGACATGACATGTTATGGTTGAAACAAGAACATGAGACGGACGATTTCATGGAAAATATTTTTATTCGTTTTTCATTTTCCTTCTCACTCTTTCCACTGCTTGTGATGCTTTCTCGTCGCGATCGATATTTCGTCGACATTCTGTGAAAACAAAATAACAAACGAGAAGGACAAGGGCGAAAGCTTCGCGTCATTTCTTCTCTCGACACATTTCGTTTGTGTTGGTATGTGCAGAATGGATGGAAATAAAAGCAAAAAAATATCAACAAGAAGAAAAATGAAAAAAAGAAGCTAAAAACGTTTTTCCATAATGAGATAGCACAAGAGCATGTTCAATGAGGGAAAATTTTCTCCGGAAAATGTGTATACAGTTGATATATAAATATAGCAAAGATAGAATATATACACAATACGTAGCATATTTCGTAAATGACTATCGAGCGCAAGGGAATAAGAAAGAAAGAAAAAGAAAAAAAAAGAGAAAATCAATAAAAGTAGGTATGATCAGTTTATGACAGTAAAATTACGGTTTAAGAGTCTATGCTTAAGATTCATATTTGAATCCAAATGCAATTTTTGTTTATTTACGTCTCCAGATTTTATGAATTTATTTTAATATTCAGTGAAATCTTATGTGAAGTGATTTCGAAGAAGATGCTTCAATCAATGGGAGGACAATAATGTTTAACGTAATTGTTGTTGCGAATATCTTTTTTTATTATTTGGGGCGTCTTTAAGTGAACCCTGAAAAACATCTGTTTAAAGTTGTCGAAAAATTCCTTTCCTTACGGCCAAGGATAATTTTGTTTGCCGTCAACAGGGTTCCCCGTCCCGAATGAAAAACATACGAGATGAAGAGAACATTCTCTGATGTGTAACATAACCCATATATTGAAGCTGAGTTCTTTTCTTTTCCTTCTTCTCCTTTCGTTCGTTCGATGGCTCACCTAACAGTAAATTAAGCCGTTTTTTCTTTCTTTTTTTTTTCGTCAGTCATATTATTTTTATTCTTCTTCTCTCATGTTGTGTTCAGTTTATTTCCATTCCACAAATTCATGAGATTGTTTCTTTTATACGCCACACGATGTGATGTGCGTGTGTGTGTGTTTGTATTTGTCCCGGGGTGATGGTGATACACGAAAAAAAAAGTAAAATAAATAAAAGCAGCGTCTTATTATTATTATTATTATCATCATAATCATCGACAAAAGAAAAGCCAGCAACACTGAATAGACGAAGAAAACTTTGAGTTTCTGTGGCAGCTTGATGTGTGCCGATGTTTCCAAAATGGTCGTGAAGAACAAGCAAAATACATCATCACGTGACGTCATCGTTATTTATATTGAGTGCGCTCGTATTTTTGTTGTTTTTATTATTATTTTCTCGGTCTTTAATTTATGTGTCGATTTAAAAAAAAAAAGAAAAAGAGTCGCACCAATACAATTGCATTAGCGACATCAGGCTGGCGATTGTAAAGAAACGAATGTCGAGAAGAAGAAGAAAAAAAACAGCAGAGCAAAAAATCATTATTTCACGTCACGTTCTTCTACGTTTTTTTCTCTGCTCGATGCTTCTTTTTGTTTTTATTTTATTTCATGTATATCTTGCTGACTTACATGTATATAAGAAATTTTATACTTATATATATTTGGGCAAATCCATTTAACGAACAGCTATGTTTATGCATACCAATGAACCTATTTCTGCTGCTGCTGCTCGTGATCGAGAATGCTTAATTATGGGTGAGAAGGCGAAATAATATTATTTGAGACGTGCTCACTCTTTGAAATTGCAAAATCGATACTTTTCATTTCTTTACTAACTTCTTCTATCAGCCGTATTCATAGAGTCTTAGCATAAACCTTCCGTTCATTTACCATGGTGAACGAGAGATGAATTAATAAATAAATAAAGTAAGGTATCTATCTTTCTTCTTTCCTTCCGCGTCTTGTGAAAAAAAAACAACATTTTGGTAGAAAAGGAAGAAAACTTATTTCATTGTTATTTATAAGCCGTTCGTGTTATGCTAGGAATGTGTGTGAGTGAGATGCGCTCCCGCAAGACTCTTCTGTTTTATGTTATACGTTTTTTTCTCGTTTATATAAATGTGACGTCACAGCACGTCGTGCTGCTATGTAATAAATATCGATTTTTGCTGTTCGCCTCGCTCTTTTTCCTACTACGATTCATTCTACGTATGTTTGCGTTTTTCATCAATACAACCATTGACTTTTTACCTTTTTACGATTAAGAAGATTTTATGCTTTCTCTACTGCACAATATAACATTACTTTCTTAAAAAAAGAGATTTATGCAGGGATTTGAGAGGAAACATTAAGTAAAGGAATGCAAATTGATGATGAAGGATTGAAATGGTTATTTCCTACATAATCGATTTGCATCAATCAAAAACCGTCACGTTATTCAAAAAAAGCAGTTCTTGATAAAATATTTTAATTAACTTTAAGTTGTGTGTCAATTTTCAAGGATTTGTCGAATTTATTTGCTTTTCTTTCATCTTGACAAGTGCTATTCATCATCACATGTTTATTTCAATATTTCCTTCTTGTTTTCTTATATCTACAGTTTACCCAGCTACAATGACTCTGCCTGCTGTTTCATTAGGTGAATCATCATCATTGTCCACATCTATCGCATCTTTACATACTCCTATGGCTAATTTAATGTCAATTACAGAAACTTTACCGCCAGGGAGTCCAAGAAATGGCAGTCCACCTACAGGTCCACAACCACCACGTACTTCATCACGTGGCAGCCAAAATTCACCAAGTTCAGGTGCGTTGAATTATAAATGACTTCATAATGATTATTTTGATGAAGCTTTTTATCCATTGTTTAATTTGATTAGGATCATCAAGCGGACGACGGTCTTCAGGATCACGGCACGTGTCAAGTACAACAGTGACATCAACCGAAGTTCAATCGCAATCAAATAACAATTCAACGGCAAACAATTCTAGTGCGCCATCCGGAAATGTTAATAATTCGGTATCAGCTGTAAATGGACAATCCGTTGATGCAAATAACGTACCTGCAGCACTACCCGCGCCACCTGTCAATCCTACACTTAAATGTAAATGAATCTTTTATTTTTATGACACTTTGATAAGGAGGCGTAATTATCAACATTATCATAATAATGATGTTTATGGTTGTCTATTTTCAGGTACGATTTGTCAAGAACGATTAGAAGATACTCACTTCGTTCAATGCCCATCCGTTGCTCATCATAAATTCTGTTTTCCATGCAGTCGTGAAAGCATCAAACGACAGGTAAGAATCATCGGCTTTTCATTTTCTTGATGAATTTAATCGTATGCTAATGAAAACAAAATATTTTTTAAGGGATCTGGTGCTGAAGTTTATTGTCCATCGGGTGAGAAATGTCCATTAGCAAATTCGAGTATACCATGGGCATTTATGGCAGGCGAGATTGCAACAATTCTTGGTGAAGAATTAAAAGTGAAAAAAGAACGGGAAACTTAAGGAACATAACAAGCCGCTGTTTTTTTAAATTAGTTTTTCAATGAATTTCTTTTCGTTTTGGAGACAAACATTGTCGAGATTGTTTTTTTTCATATTTTTTTGGGACAATGCACAAGACGTCGTTGTTACTATTTGTATGAAAAACAGTGAATAATTTTGTTTTTCAATGCGAAACATTAAGTGAAAGATGAAAGAAAAAGAATAATAATGAACAAACAATCAAATCCCATATCAATAAAATGGAGCATTTAAAAAAATTTATACAGAACTCAACATAACTTTCACTCATCCACTCACACTCTGTCTTGCCTGTTTTCTTCTCCCATATACACAATTTCCGGTTCCTTCAACTGTTTTCTTATCAAGAGTTTACTGTATGACTGTCAACATAGAATTACAGTGAAAGTTCTCTCAAAGTAAATTAATAACTGTTCGATTCGGAAAATAAAGGCAGTCAAAGACTCTTCAATTTCCCTTAAAGAGAATTTTTACATTCGATAAAATAATAAATCGAAAAAGAAAAAACTTAAAGTACATATGAAAATAATTCTGGAACATACAAAATAAATAAAAAATGGAAGAAAAAATGATGTGATGGTGTGAAGCATCATTTTAAACGTCGATGAAATGTCGCAATCACAAATATTTATTTTAGATTTTAAATGAAATATGTGATAAGATATGAGTTGATAATTCATAAACACATATTTCTTCTTCTTATTTCTTTTTTAATTTTTGTTGTGGCTCAAATGTTGATAAACGTGAGCTAGCATATGATGCCTGTTGTGAAATAAATTGAAGTAAATTGAAATGCTTTCGATGTTCGTTCTTTTCTTTTTTAAATATGTACACAAATGAGATTGAAATTTCATTGTCGTCAACAACAGATTGGACGTATGAAGCGTTTGCTTGAGACTTGTAACAATTTTCGTATGTTTTTTTGTCGTAAGCTATTTTTTCTTCTTTTATGAAAGCTTTGCTTCATCCGAAGAGTATCGAAATATTTTTTTTTGTTGACATTGTTGTGGGTGGAAGTGTGAAATATTTTCACAACTATAAGTCTTTTGATCCCTTCGGCTCTTCGGATTCTTCGGATATTGAAAGTGTCCAATGTTGACACAAGAAACACGCACGGAAAACTCGATGAATAAAAGAAGAAGTGAGAAAGATAAGCTACAACGTTAGAAGAAAAAAAGAGAATTTGACAGTAAGAAATCGATGAGATTGTCTTTCATAAGAAAATATATATTTTCGATGTAAATAAATAATATTAATTAGGTTCTTTTTCTCAAGCTTTTTCCATTTAGTATGCTAATCGTGAATTGAACAAAAGAAAACACTTTGATAATACTTATCTACATATTTAATTTTTTTATGTATTTATTTTTATTTCATGTCATCATCGACCTCATCTTTCTTTTAAATCGATGAAATCATCTCTAAATTATTTTTTATGATGGAATTTAATGAAATCAGGGCCATTAATTTGTACATGTATAAGCATGATAATTTTCCACGACTTTTACTTAAACTTTATTTACTGTTAAGCAAGATAACAAATTGAATGGATATTGGAAAAAATCGAAACGAATTAGCAGCAAAGCTTCCTTTGTAATTATTTTCAACTTTTCTTGGCTTCTCTTTCTGAATACTTTTCGGAAACTAATAGAAATCGTATCTAAAACTAAGCAAAAATTTTATGCATGATGAAAATCTAACAAGCTGATATTTAAGCTTGGCTAATCGAAAGAATAATCAACAGATGAAATAAAAAAACCTACGTTCGTGGATGCATGCAGGAAAATGAAATTTCTTTTACTTGGTAGAATCAGGAAAGTTTCAAAGGAGTTTCCGCTATTCAAAATAGTTATTATGAGAATTGCTAAAGTAGAGAAAATTAATATCAATGTTAATTAAAAACAGTATGAGAACTTTCAATTTCGAAAAGTGAAAAGCAATTTCAATAAGTCGAGATTTTGTATTGTCGCATTTTTTCTCGATGCTATTTTAAATGAAGCTCAAAGCAAAAAGAACGATTAAGAATTTTCACTTGACAAGCGAAAAGCTTTCGAGATGTGTATGAAGAAATAAATTTGTAGAATACTTTAATGTTGCGTAAATGTTTTCATATATTTGGAGTAAAAATTTATACAAAAACATAAAGAGAATCAAACTTTTGAAAACTTTCTTTTTGGAATTGAACAAAAATAAAGAATTAACTTTTTCGAATACAAAGAAAACATAAAATAAAATCCCAACAACATAAGTAAAGAAAAAGAAGAAATAAAAATCATTTGTAAATAAATTATAATCCACAATCGCACATTTAAATAATTCAATAACTTCATAAAATTCAAATCAAAAATTTGTAGAAAAAAATGAATTTGTTGATAAATACAAACAAACAAAATATTAAGCAAAATTAATCATCATTGGAATATAAAACAAAGAAAATAAATATAAAATTTTCATGAACATTAAAATTAAAAATTTTCTGGAAAGTCTTAATGTTGAAATTTTGGGAGACTTTTCTTTTTTGATGATGACGAAATAAGATTTCTGGAAAATCTTTCATTGGTTTGGTTGCAGTTGAATTTTTCAAATAATGAGAATTTGACGCAAAATTGGACAAAAAAAACATTTTTTTGAATGTAAATGTCGATGAAGAATTTGAAAAAAGTGAAAAATAAAGAAAATAAATTTCAGTTTTGTTTAAATTGATTTTCAGGATGTTACAGATTAGTTCATTGTGTAATAATGTATTCTAAATATCCTTTAAAAAGTGCTAGGCTTTTTGATTTCTCCTTAATGAGTTTTCAAAATAATTTTTGACGTCTAAAATCTATAAGAGTTACCTATTTTAGGATTTCCCAAATCCTTTATCAATTCAACAAATTTCCCATCAGGTGAAAAACTTCGATCTGCTGAAAATAAAAATATTCTTAAGAAAATTATAAAGATCTTCAATTTCAGATTTTTAAGATTTATAGGTAGGTATTTTTGATTCTTTTCGTTTTTCTTCCCGCAACATTTATTTTAATTCTCCAATTCAAAATCTCAACAGTTTAAACAGAAACAGAAAAATTAAAAGATAAGAGAAAAACAAATGAGACATTGAAATTCTTCAAAGGGATATATGCTGATGTAAAAATATTTTCCTTCTGGAGGCAGCCTGTGAAGGCTAAAACAGAGACTATTAACATAGTGGAGAAAATTCTAGATTGTAGTGGTCTATGAGAATATCATGATTCAGAAAAATTAAACTCAACGATGTTAATTTACTATAATCACAACTTAAAATGTTCATTTACCTATTTGAAATTCAGTTAATAGCTCATCTCGATTAGTGAATAAATAAGGTTCACTTTTTCTCAAACCTCAATTAAAATTTATTTTATCTTGATTCTTCCCCAAATTGTCACCATAACTATACTTTAGGATAACTTTAGATTAGAAGATCATATAATAAGAGAATAATTGTCACTGTTTCAAGTTAAAAACTCATAAATATCTTACCAATTTCCTTTAGAAATTTTTCTTGATCGATCTGTAATTTAAATTTGATCATTTTGTTCGTTATCATCCATTGCATTATTAAAGTACAAAATAACAGCTATTGGCATTCTAGCTTGTAGAATTTTATCAGTTGATTGCAGAGTTGGGCGATCCGGATTCAAAATTTCAACTATTCGCCGATCCATAGATTTTTTTTTTTTGAAACGCTCAACTCTGGTTGATTGCTTGAAAATTATTATTAAGGTGAATGGGCAAATACGAAAACCTCATAAACCTTCAATGCATACATGATCATAATCTAAGTACCTATAGCTTCTTTTGTTCCAGATATTTTATTATCAAAATATTTCATTTATTCATTTGTAAATACTGAAGAACAATATTGCATAAGTTTTATATTATTCGATAGAAATACTTTAAACAACAATAAATGTAAATGATCGAAGAAAGAATGGACGTGGAAAGTTCAAGTTTTGTTTTCTAATCTTAATTCATATAGATAATTAGATTGTATATTAGCAATAAATACTTTTGAATGTCTTAAACATTTTTTGAAGCAGGAGGAGAAGATTTTAATTGCAAGAAAATTGACCTCATTCGGGTAGTGTCGCGACCACTTTTTGGGGCTTTTGCTTGAGAACCAAAATCGCATAAAGAGGAAATCTTTTCCCAAATAGTCGCATCATCAGTACTGCCATTGATATCAGCTGTTGATAAATCTTTTTCATCTTTTCTATTCATAGTTTTGGTTTTTTCTTTAGATTCACGGTATGTATGATACCAATCTTCAAGTTCTTTCTTAGCAGATTCACGAAGTTTCTCTGTAGCTTCCTTTTCTTTAATGTCTTTTTCTTCTAGCATAACCGATTGCTGTTCACGCCATATTTTTATTTTCTCTGGAATTTCTTGAACCACCGAAACATTGCTTGAATTGAATGTCATCCCAGCAAGATCTACGATAAGATATTTAAATTAATAAAATAAAAGAAAATGTTAATTTTTACCATCGTTCTCAGCAGGATCAGTGGCTATGTCATTGTTGATCATTTCAAAGTCATCACTCGAAAGCATTTCACCAGATGGTTCGACTGAAAATGTAAGTGATTCAGATAAAGAAAGTTCATACACAATATGTAAATTAAATTACCGTTTGTTTTTTCGATTATTTCGCTTTCAAGGTCTCCAAGCACTTCTTTTTCACGGTTCAAAAAGTCAGCAGCAGGATCTGATTCAAAATCCATTATAATAATAAGCTAGTAAGGCAAATTTTAAAGAGAAATAAAAATTATCTAAATTGTTGAAGTCACTGATGATGATTTTTATAATTATTAATGATGGGAATTTTAACAGTTTCGTAACATTGTCAGATTTTTGTGTTTTTTTTATGACATCTAACATAAAAAATTCAATGTGAAAAAAGTTTTTCCAAAAAACGTTATCTATGTTAAAATACATTTAAGTTATTGTTTCATAAGTATTATACTGAAAAGTAAATATTTATTACAGGGAACTTTAGGTTACAGAACTTATATTATTTTCCTACAAGTTAAAACTTTTAATCCGACAATAGTCGTACGGATTAGTTAGATTGTTTTGATTAAAAAATAAATATTTCTGCTTTCGCTGGTGGAATGAATAACTTCCAGCAGTCTCCTAACTCGCGACAGCGGTTGAGTACAACACCCAGAACACCAACAACCCCAGAAATATTACATGCAATGGATTATAAGCCACGTTTATATGAAGAAATATCAATAATAATGCGAGCTTTTGGAGACAGCTTGAGTGGCCAAAACAGAGATTCTATTATCCTAGTGGAAAAGATTGTGATTCAACAGCTGCGTGGCATTATTAATGAAGTTATAAATGTTGCTTATAAGCGCACTGGCAATATTGTACCATCACAATGTGACTTTGAGTTTCTTATGAGAGGAAATGCCGCCAATTCTCAAAGATTTAGAAAATATATGAGAAGTGTGAATAATTTAAAATCAGAAAAGAAACAGGGGCTTGGAATAAATTTTCTTAACCGTATTGTTGAAGACAGTAGCGATGAAGAGCAGGAAATATATGATGCCGAGAAAACAAGAAGATTATTTCGTGCTGATCGAATTTCTCAAATTTTGAATCCTCAAAAATACGAAGAATTCCAAAAAGCGCGGACGTGGTCAAGCAATGTTAGAAACAAGACTGATATGCTTCGTAAACTTGTGGAAATGTTGCAAATTCCTAAAGAGATTCAAGATCATTCGTACTGTCTCGAAATTTTATTGTATCTGACACAAGAAACCATCGCAAAAATTGTTGACTTTGCAATACTCACCCGCCTAAATACCGACAACCACACTACAGATCTCGAGCCAATCTCATCCAGCATTACAAATAATATGCTCCATTTATGTCCCGAAGTTACGCAGGGTCGTGGTAAAGATGGAATAAAAGCAATTACTGTCCAAGAAATTAATGAAGCGATAAGAAGAGTTCAGACAATGACTACCAGAAGATTGGGAACATCTTTTCGAAGTAATGATATGAAGATACCATTTCTTGCTCTCTGATGTATACCAATTCAGAATTTAAAAATTTTGTGCAATCAAATCAATCACTACAAATGTACCATGAGAACAAATATTATAGGATTATAAATCCTACAAATTATTCTTCTCGTTAATAACCTGGTGAAGGGAACAAAAAAAATAGTTAAAACTGTTTTTAAATCATGCAGGTTGAAAAAAAAAAATATTTACAGAATTTAATCGAAGATCATATAAAATCACATATATTTTGTTTCATCTTGCTTAAGCTCATGACAATTATACGATAAGAGTACTTACGTATGGGAAGAATAAAAGTTAAATTCATCACAAATACTCATTAATTTTTTTCACTTCTTCTGATTCTCTACGTTCTTATCACGGTTTAAAAATCTTCTATTATTATATTTTAATATTACGTACGTTTGAACTAACATTCAATTTTAGTAATTTTTTTGCTGCTTAAAGTTACAAACATTAAATAATGCTGTTAGGTAATCTTATTAGCAAATTTATATAACCGACTGACATTTATTGAAACTCTCGTGATATCAGGAGTGACAGTGAAGGATTCAACGATTATATAAGTTTTTATCGAGTTCATTATTCGTCATCAAAAAGCAATCATTTGTTTAAGTCAAGGTTAAAAACTTTATTAATTCCCTTTTGCAAAAGCATGAAATGATGGATTAGCTGAGAACACAATTTTAGGCTTAACTCTCACTGATGAGTGGATGAAGAGTCTTGAGTTGTTAGAACAAATGAAACTAATTAGCACGCCAGACCCATTTGTTTACAGTAGCATGAGATTGAGGCTCTGCAGGCAAATTAACGGGATCAATCTTCTCAAACTTTGAAGCTGCCAAGAGACCATTTGGAATGACTGATTTTCGAGGAATAAAAGATTTGATTTCTTCAAAATCATCTTCTGTTAAAATTTTAATTTTGCCGCGCTTAAACTTCTCGCCTAGAAGCTCTTCAGGTGACATTTTTTCTGAAGCATAAATGTTTTTTAGATTAATTTGAAAGTTTTCGTGCTGCTCGTCATGAATGAAACGAGCAACTTGATCATCCATTATTGGAAAGCTGAGTTGTAAAGTGCCAGTTTTAGAGAAAAGTTTCTGACAATGTCCTGCTTTTGCTTTTGTCCATGGGCCAGGTTCGTGTTCATTCTCCTTCGTTTTTGAGCAATCAATGATGCTTCTAATTACAGAAACATTATTTGAGAGTGATGGAGCACCCAACACTTCATCATCAAGCACTTCCACAGCTTTATTAACGTTTGGCAGGACATTTTCTTGGTTAATCACTCCAGGATTCGCTTTCTTTATGGCATTTCCAGTGCGTATGCTTCCGACATATTTTTTCTTGTGTGTTCGAAGAGAAGTCAATGCTGAACGTTTCTCCTCCAATGATGTTTGGAATTGCTTTCTAGAAAGTTCATCGTCATTTAGTATTCTCTTAGAAATTGAAATGATAAACGCATCATGGGCTTGTGCCAAATCCTGATAAGGTTGAGCTCCCGCATCAAATCCTCTTCGAAAAATAGCATTGACCTCTTTGAAATCATTTAAAACATCAAAGTAGTAGCTCCAAGCAATGTACAGATCAGCTACGAGTGTTCCGATGCCGTTTTGATAAAGTTGGTTGTATAACTCGTTTGGATTCTTTTGAGTATCGATCTTAATGTCAAATCGTTGATGAAATGATTTTATAATGAGCATATGAACGTACATATTTACTTACATATTTTATGGAAAGCTTAATCATTCTGCGATCTTGCTTGTATCTCGTTTCATGTTCAAAGTGTACAATACAATTTAAGATAACTTCGTCAAAACCACTTTCCTTTCCATTTTTTGGATATGATTGCTCGATCCAGCATATGTACTCATACCATGGATCAAGTGGATCATTTCCTTCATAGTTTTTTATAGCTTCCTCATGTTGCCTTTAAAAGTAATATTTTTAATTTAATAATGAAATAAATAGCTGATGAAGCTTTAATTCTTACCGTTTTTCCATTTCCATTGTTTCTTTATTTTTCTCATTTAAACCTATTTCCAGAAGATCCGCTTGTTTTCCATGCCACAATGGCTGTATATTTTTCTTAGCTGTGTCAAAATCCATAGCATTAAATTTATTGGCACAGGTTTTTATTTATTTTCATGATTCTATCATGCCTACGCCCTCTATTTCAAAAAGAGAAAACTATTTCCTACTGTCTTAACCCGAACGTAAGCCGCTACATAGCTTTTATTCGAATTTTGCTTGAAAAATGCCCTGCGGCTTAAAATTCGATCGAAAAACTCGAATAAGAGCCGCACCCGAATAAAAGCTTTTTTGACCAAAAAAAGCTTGTATTCGAATAAGCAAGCGCGCGGCTTACGTTCGGGTTAAGACAGTAGTTTGCTTTCATTAAGTCGGTGTGTTAACAAAACATTTATTCAGTCTCTCAACGTTATTTTCAATTTTCTTTAAGATAATATAGGTATTTACATAGTAATAACTTAAACAATTTCATTTAGACACAGAACACAGCCATAATTAAAAGAAAATAAATCAGATATGTGGCTAATTTTAAACAATTATTTTTAGGCAACATGTTGGTACTAAGGAGAAGTTATTTTCGCCTTTTTTCTACCAATGTTTATAAACCAACCAAAAATGTTCGTCTTAGAGAAAAATTCAAAGAGCTTATAACACAAAACCCAAACAGAATTGATTGGAATGACATCAGAACAAGATTTCTACATCATATAAACTTTCTATGCATAAATTCGAACACGAAGGGATTCGTTTTCCTTTCTTCGTTCCTGAATGTACTTCACATTCCACAAAGAAGCCTCAGTATTTCACTTGATTCATAGTCGCAGATTAACTCCAGAAGAGCAGAAAACCTACAGAGAAAAATTAAATGAGTTCAGCACATCATTGAAAACTATTAAGAAAAAACTACAAAATTGAAATGAATTTTAATTGTCAAAAATAAACACTAATTTGTAGTTGTTGGGTTCTAGTTTTTTTTTCTACCTAGTTGATTTATAAATATTTTTACTTTCAGAAGTGTGACGAGTTTTTTTAGCTTCATCTGCTACAGTCTGTGTCATTTTTGAAAGCCTAAATAGCATAAATTTCTATAATTATTTTTTAAGAAGTTCATTTAAAAAATTATTTCTCTATGGTCTTATGCCAAAGAAAATTATTTATTATCATGAATAAATAGGTTTCGAAAGTTTTGGATGTTTTTGTTTACAATTCATATTTCGAACTTCGAATAAAAAACTTTTTCGAAGAAATATTTAGAAAACTTGAAAGAAGCAGGCAGGTAAACAAAATTAATTTATCAATGAGAAAGTTTAATTGAATCAAAATACTAACGATTATTAACTTTTACACTACCGTGAAAGAAACAAAATATATCGACTATAAAACTACAATGAAGACCGATAAAAATACTCAACTTTCTGGCGATGAGAATTTTGATTATGAGTTCAACTCGGTAATTCAAGAATTTGTAAGTGTCAAGATTGAACCAGAAGAATTCAACATCACAAACTGTAATTATTGCCGATGCTGTTTCAAAATGATGGAAATATTTGAAACTCAAAATCCAACTGACTCTCAATTGTTAAATGCACTGATGAAAGTCACTCAACTAAATCTTCAACCATCGTACCTTGCCTCGAGCTTCTGTGAAGAATGTGTTAGAGATATTTCTAATTTCAACAGTTTCCGGATGTTGATGATCATGAGACAAAATAAGTTTTTAGCAATAATTGAAAATGAAAACTTCGAAGGATTGAAAGAACTTCATAACTTAACTCTTTCTAACGCTGCCCATAATAACATGCAACCAGTGGTGAAATTGGAAAGAATAAATATTCCACCTATAAAAGAGGAAGATTTGAATGTTAAAGATCCAGAAACAAGTATCCCAATACCTATTAAATCTAAATCTAAGCGGAGGAAAAAAGCATCAAAGAATCAGGTTAATAAGAAAATATGTCCGATTTGTTCAGTAAAAGTAGTTAAGATAGTAACACACATACTCCTCCATCATCCAGTTTTTTGTGACTATTGCGACTTTAAAGCAACTGATCAGAGCAGAGTTGACAAACACATGGAAGTCGTACATAACAAAAGGTATTTTTGCCATATTTGTGGTAAATTTCTAAAATTAAGAATTGAAACTCACATAGATATGGTTCACAAAAAAATTAAGAATTATTTTTGCGATCTTTGTGGGCATGGGACTTTTCAAAAAAATGATATTATTTGTCATATGTGGTCAACACATCTACCAAAGGATCTCAAATGCGACGAATGCGATTTTCTTACAGCAAGTGATTTTTTTCTTAAAAGACACAGGCAAAGAGTTCACAATCTGGGAATAGATTGTTCACTTTGTGGGAAAAAATTTGGTCTCCAAAAATATCTGGATAGACACATTAAACGAGTTCACAAAAGGATAAGAAAATTTAAATGTGATATTTGTTATAATAAATTCTTCAATAATAAGTCTTTGGAAGGTCATAAACTCAATAGACACGGCTCACGAGATCATATTTGCGAAAAATGTGGAAAAGGTTTTGGGTCTATTAATATGCTCAACTCCCATATGAAAAGCCACGGAGAAAAATCACACATTTGTGATTTTTGTGGAAAAGGTTTCGTAGTATCTGAATCAATGAGAAAACATATTGATATTGTTCATTATAAAATCAAACGCTTTGCATGTACGGTATGCAATAAACAATTTTCATCAAACAGTAAACTTGCTGAGCATAAACTTGAACACGAAGGAATTCGATTTCCTTGTTTTGCTCCTGGATGTGCTACTACTCATACTCGAAAGGATGCTTCTATTTATCACTTAAAAACAGTTCATAAACTTTCTCAGGAAGTTTTTAAAGATTGCAAAAAGAAGTTAGATGAGTTTGCTGCATCATTGAAAGATATGAAAACAACATAAATTATATGGATTATTAATGAATGCATGTTTGAAAATTTGAAAAATTGAAAAGTAGATATTTTTTCTTGGCGACTTATTTAAAGTTTAAATAGTCTTAATTTTTTGTTTCAGGCTAATATGCTTGTAACAAAATAGATATGAGGACAAAAAAATAATTAGAAAAAATAAAAGAAAATTTTAATTAGAAAAAATAAAAGAAAATTTCAAGTTTTCCCACAAAAAATTTTTGAATTCAGAAGCATCAGTTCATAATAAATTCATCTACCCTATGCTTCCTCTACACGGGCCAAAATAGGGACCTCAACCCAATTGTTGCTTCCCCGCGCGGGGTCCGGCACCGGTCCCCATGGGCAAAAAAATTTGTCCGAAGCTGATAATTACACTCTCCACCTGAAACTAACTTTGGGCTACGAGTTTCAGGTGGAGAGTGCAATTACCACATACACAATTTACACATTCAAACGACGAGTTGTGAAATCTCTAATTCAAAAATATTTTATTTATAGTCGGATATATCAATTTTCAGCAGTAGAAATTTGTGTAATTAATATTTTTCGTGTCTGAAGACTACAAAAGGCATCAAGTTTAATTTAAATTAATACGAATATTATCAAAAACATCATTAGGTTTGTTTAACCAAAAAAGAAATGATTCCTAATGCTTAAACATTTTCTCGTTCACTTTTGAAGGATTTTTCGTTTTCATCTTCATGATCCCTGCATAACTTAGCGTCTTCAAAAACAGACTTTAAAGGTGAGTCATACATGCTCTATGTCATTGTTTCTACCTGCCTTATTTTTTGGTTTTGTTTTTATTTTTATATTTTTTCGGCGAATCCTCTTTGTGAAAGAAATGAATGTATTAAAAGAAGTTTTTTTCAAAACTTTGCTTAGTTTATGCATTTAAGACTCACACACTTACTCTAGTGCTTTAACATCTTATAATCAATCAAATAAATGAGTGACGAACGTGAAATTCCTGATAATTCTTTTCATGAACCAGCGAATGGCTCATTTCAATATGATGAGCTTGAGCAATCGTTAGATGTACCTACTTTTGAATTCTCATCACCTATCTCTTCCATCGGATCTAATTGCTCATCACCTGACCAAGCAATCCATCGACGCATGCTGGATTTTGAGGACGAAAGAAATGATTCCAGCGATTATGTTTCACTTGAAGAACTAAAATCACAAATTTCACCGCCTTCAGATGGTGAGTGTAGTGGATTTAGTTCATGTAAAAAGACTGTTGATGTGCTTGAAACGATCTTCGAAGACTGCACACTTGAAACACCTCCAGGAACTCCATCAGCACTACCAAAAGCGAAAAAAATTCGACGCATTCACATCAATCTCAACAGTTTCGAGGAATTTAAAGAAAATGTACAAAATATTTTAGATGCGAACAATAAGCAATGAAAGACTCTTTAATTAAATTTATTTCTTGTGAAATCAAATGACATTTTGTTTGTTGATACACTAGAAGTGTACAAAGCAGCGAAGAGACAACAGAAGTGGAAACAACAAACTTTACGTTGGAATAAAGAGAATATTTATTACGTTGTTAGGGATATTTATGTAAAAGTGTTTTTTTTTCCTGCTGCTAAGTATTTTCGTGTTTCTTAACCATACAGTATGTCTAAAATATTTCAGCAATTGCATTCGATAAGAGAAAATCTTCTCCTTTTCATTTTTCCTTCTGGCTGAAAATAGAAAAAAATATTCTCACGATCGTGATTCGTCTATGTGCGTGTGTGTGTGGAGAAAAGAGAAAATTTTCACAGTTTTCACGTTTTTTTATTCTAATTCGTTTCTTTCAAAATCGTGAGGAATACTTAGATTTATCATTTAATTATTTTAGGTAAATAATATAAGTACAAAAGCAGATAAATGTTGACATTCTTTTCTTTATCTTACAGGAAGCAAAAAAACAATTTAATTGAAAGATATCATGGAAAGTGTTGCAGCGAAAGCCACAGAAAAGATTGCGAAAAAATCACGCGAGGAAAAATTACGCGAACAAAAAATTGAGTCGGAAATATTGAAATCACTGAATGGCATTACCGATTCTGAACAGAAGTTTCAAACATTGTTACATCGATGTGTTGAAGCTGAAAGAATCAGTAAATCAGCTCAACTTCAACAGAAGCAAAATCAAAAAACTATCGAAACGTTGTTATTGGAAAAGGATAATCTTGCAGCTGAACATCAGCGCACTTTGCTTACAAAATCAAAACTGGAATCACTCTGTCGTGAACTTCAAAATCAAAATAAAACCATCAAGGTCTGAATGAGAATTTTTTGAAATAATTGACAACTATTTTCAGCTTTATTCTTTTTTTTAATTTTTTTATTAGGAAGATTCGCTTTCAAAAATACGTGAAGAAGAAGAACGGCGCAAAGAAACTCAAGCAAAGTTTCAACAATCTTTGAATGAGATCCAGATATTAATGAATGAGAATTCGGAGAAGAATAAAAAGTTGGAACATGACAACCATGAGATGAGCTCAAAATTTAAACAAATTTTAAACCAATATGAAGAACGTGAGAAGCAAATGGATCGAATCAACAAGCAAATGGAACTTGTCACTCAGTTGAATGAAGCAAAGCTTGCAAAAGCTAATGTTGAATCGATTGCTGAGAAAGAAGCTTTCTTAAAGCAAACGGCGATTCTCGAAGAAACAATTACGATTCTCAAACGACAATTGTCTGACGCTCTTGGTTCTGAGAAAGCACTGAAAGCTCAAGTTGACTTGTACAGCTCAAAATATGGTGAATTTACAAAAACTTTTGAAGGCTACAAAACAGACATGACCAAAATGTCAAAGAAAACTTTCAAGATGGAAAAAGAAATGTTGCAGTGGAAGATCAAGTACGAAAAAGCAAATGCAATGCTTCTCGATCTCATCAGTGAGAAACAAATTCGAGATGAACACATCACAAAAACAGCAAAGCAACTTTTTCATTTGCAAAAATTATGTCGAACTTTATCATCGGAAAAGAAAGCATTTTATGGAAAACTTGTCGAATGCAACATTGATATTCCTGAAGTGAAAATATCAAATGATGAAGAAGTTACAACAGTTCCTGAACCTGTTGTTGAAAAGGGACCAGATAAGCTTGATAAAATGATGAAATCTCGTGATGAACTCAGAAAGAATTTAGATCAATTGCAGACACAGCTTACAGGATTACAATTGAAAGAAGAAGAATCAGCAAATAACAAGAAAACAAAATCCAAAAAGTCGAAGAAGTCTGGAAAAAATGTTGAAAATGGAATGACGAAGGTCAATGAGTTAGAGAAAATTGAGTCAAAACCTATTGAAGAATCGGCAATGGTCAATGGAAATAATATCTTGAAAGTTGTTGAGTCTTCTGATCCTACTCCTGAAGTTATTGAAGAAATTGTTGGTGAAGTTTCTGAGCTTTCTTCTGAAGTTAAAGAAAATATTGACATATTAAAGGATGCTTCTGACTCATCCCCAGTCTCTCCAATCGATTCCTAAAATCGCGTGATGATTCTTTTTTTATATTTTTAACAAACAAAAGCTTTGTAAGTCGTCGCAAATAAAAAAAAATAAAATAATAACTTCGATTTAACTTTTATCGTCTTTCATTGCCATTATTAGTGAAAAGATTTCGATTTTGTTTTCAGAATATTTTGAAATTTATTCAAATCATCTCTGAGGAACCTTGTTTTGTTTTCCTTTCTTTTTTGTATCTAATTTTCACTCACACGTTTTGTTCTTAAAAATGTATCTTTAGAAATGTTTTCAGTGTTGCTACAAAAATTTTAATCAAAAATCAAAGTATTTGACGCATTCATCTTGAAGAAATGTCAAAACAGTGATTCCAAAAAGTATCTTTAAAAATAGAATGAACTTAAAAAGGGACAAAAAATTCACAGATTGATAAATAGCACGTTCGTATCAAAAGAAATCTAAAAAGACATTGAATTAAGAGACTTGCTCCAACATTTCTTTAAAAGGACGTTCAATGAAAAACAAATCACAAGAAAAATAGAAAAATACAAATTGCGTAAACGCCACTGACCACATTTTAAACTCACTGATTTTTAAAATTATTCATTGCATGAGATTCCTCAACATTTCGTACTGCATTTGAATTACTTTTTATGTTTATGTTGTTTGAGTAGTTCTTGATTTGCTTTGTTTTTGGAATAAATTACTGTAAATGGTGAAGTTACCATTGCAATCCTCAGCTACTTTCTTGTCTTTTTTTTTGTAAAAAATCTACGAAATCATCAAGTAACACTGGCCATGCTCCATCAATCGAATAATTACTCAAGTCTACATTGATTGTACGACTGAATTCATAGATATTGTTCCACTGATCTTTGTTGATAACTCGTGGTGCTTTTGGTTGCTGTAGGAATTCAGAAAATTCATTATACAATGGCCATGATTTGCTGAGTAACAATGCTAACATTGCTTTTGCTGTCTCAATATCCATGCTACGTTGATCTTTATCCTGAAAAATAAAATATTTTTACTTTTCATAGTTTTCATTACTCAATGTCATGAAATGGTTGGCGAAGAAAATCAAGAAGAAAATCGCAACTCACCCGAGCAAAATCGTAGGCGTAGCGGAAAATAAGCTTAAATGTCTGCGGATCAGTCATAAGATCATAGAAATAGCTTAACTTGTTCTGTAACTTTTGCGGCGTATCACACTGAACTTCAGGATCAGCAAGTCCTTTGATCCACTCTGATTGCGTAAAGTAACCCATATTTTTAGCGTTCATTTTGTAAGCTATGCATAACATTGCAATGTTCTCTGGCTCGAGTTTAATGTCTTCGCAAAACCGTTCCATTCCATCAGGTCCAAGTTGTGCAGGATCGTCTGTTGTGTACTTTTTAAACCAGGCAATCAGTCTATTTGTGTTAAATTTCAACTCCTCAGATGCTTGTTTGGATCGACTCGATGCTGTTTTCGGTCGTTTTGCATTTGAAACTTCGACCATATCAGTATTGTTGGCAGCACGTCGTCTTGGGCGAGGCATCGTATCCGTTTATATGAAAAGGCAATTAAAGAGTTTTTAAGCGCTAGAAAATTAAAATTGGGAAGAGAAAAAAGTTCATTGCCAATGTCAAAGTCTGAATATTTTCTCACCTTTTTTGCTCTTCCTTCAGACGTTCTGAGAAAATTTCAATTGGTGGGAGATGAAAACAGTGAAAACTTAAAGTTTTAACAAGGATAAGTTGAAATTTTAAAGTCTTTTCTTCAAGAATTTAAAGTCGATAACTCTATTTCAACAAAATTTTTGCTTTTTAAGTGCAATATAAAAGCGAATTCGCTTCGTTTTTGTCAGACTGACACAATTGGGGAAATCCTTGTGAAAGAAGCAAAAGAAGCGGATCAGTGATTTTCGCTTCTCTAGTAAAAAAATAAAGGCACCTCAATCAAAACAAAAGATTAGACATATTCTAAAAATATGAAACGACAAGTATCACCAAGTGATAGACCATTATTGAAACGTTTTAGAGGTTCCTCGCTAGCATCATCAGAGAGGTAAGTACAGGAAACAAAGAAAAAACCTATGAAAATGATGAAAAATGTCGCGATAATTTTTTCCTCAGACAAATTAGAAAAATTGGCAATTACATTGTTGGACCGGAGATAAGAGGAAATACAGCAGGGCCATTACAAAATTGCATTAAAACTTTTCTTGCAAAAACGGAAGACGGATTTTTTAAGCTTAAAGTACTTACAGTTGATAATCCAGATGACTTTAAACAATCCAAGGAAGTTGTTCAGGGTAAAATGTTACTGCATAATGAATTCATGCTATTAGAGAACCTCAAGGAATGTCCTGGAATTGAACGTTGCTATGGACTTTTTGTAGATTTCATTCAAGATGAAAAGCCTGGATCACCTATGAGAACAAAGAATCTGCTCAAAAGGATCACCCTTGTACTCGATCCAGTTTCGGATCGTTCTTGTGAAAATTGGATGAACATCAATGAAGTTAATTACAACATATCACTCCAAGAGTACATCAGTCGTCATAAAATGACTGAAAGAGAAGCTTTAGTGGTGTTTTATGAAATTGTTAAAGTTGTTGAAAGAATTCATTCTGTTGGCATTATTCATCGCGATTTAAAATTACAAAATTTTTTGATTAATCTTAAAACACGGCGTATAACATTAACAAACTTTTGTTTGGGTAAATTGCTTAGTTCTGACAATCAAATGTTGCTTGATCAACGTGGAAGTCCAGCTTATATCAGTCCAGAAATTCTTAATGGAGCGTATCGTGGAAAACCTAGCGACGTTTGGTGTCTTGGTGTCATCCTTCATATTCTTATATACTCAAATTTTCCATTTGTCGAAAACACAACAGCAGCTTTATTCAAAAAAATATCACAATGTGAACTTGTTCTTCCTAATGAAGGCGTTCGTGTATCTGAGCCAACAAAGAAACTTATTAGAAACCATTTACTAACGACAAGTATCGATCGCTTATCAGTTACGGAAATCCGTGAATATTTGGAAAGACAATTTGAGCAAATAAATCGTGCTAGCACAATATCTACTGCTTCACTTCAAAGAGACGACCAAATCGTTCCTGACATCGATAATCAACCAGTCAAGTTGATTTGTCAAGATCCGCCTTCACCAAAGTTCGAATTGTCAACTGAAAATATCTCAATGGTTTTGAAAATAATGTCGCCATCAAGTCAACAAGAGCAAAATAAAACCTTTTTGAAACCAAGCATGCTTGCGGAACGTTGCAATCGAATTTCAGTGTCACCATCAAATTCGCCATCGGGAAATAATGTCGGTGTGACAAGAAACTTAACTCGCCAGATAAACAATTTGTCAGTTCGAAATCGACAACATACAAACCCTGGCTTGTCGTGGCATCAAAGAATCAGCAATTCTAGTTTATATGAAGTGAGATTTCGAGCAGCTGAATCAACGATTATGACAGATCGTGCAAGAATGCAGCAAAGATTCATAAGTTCATCAGGAACGACATCGAGTTTTGATGCGATCTACAATACATTGAACGAGTTGTATAGTAATGGAAATTTTCCTTCAAATCCCATCGTTCATGAGTTCCAAGGAAACATAAATCAGGATATTGCATTAAAACTCTCAATATGGCTACGTACGAATTTTCATGATAATGTTTTGGTAAGAGAAATTTACCAATCGTCAGCTCACAGTCCAGGAAATCATGTTGATAAATTTGTCGAATTTCTAAGACGTTGTCATGTTGAAATGGAAAGAATTAACGGTCAAGTGTATGTAAAGTCACAGCAATCAAATCAAATTCTGATATTTATGACTTATCTCTTGCAATTAGCTGGATATAATAACAATTATTTCCTTAATATAACCCGCGGTTCCTAAGCTTAACTTTTTGAATTCAATTGAATTTCCTTAATTCAAAAACTCCCACGCAATAATCACCACTTTTTTTAAAAAATTATTATCTATTTTTGTTTTTTTTTTTAATAAATTATCCCGGAAGAGATAAACTGAAAGAAAATATTACAATAAATATGCTAACATCATGATGAAGTTGGAACGTCACATTTTTTACTTTCCTGCATTCTCTTAAGTGGTTTTTGTTTTCCTTTTCGTCGTGAAAATCGTCGACGAAAATGATGACGAAATTATTTTTTTTATCAACAATTCAATCGATTCTCATTCTACACCCCCACGCGTTCATATAAGACCACCCTTATTTGCACCAAAAAATCAAAAATGACAAACTGCAAAAAAAATCGAATGATGCACAATTATTGTAACGCTCCTAACTCACCTTTTTATCGTGTAAACATTCAATTTCATCTGTAAAAGGAATGATAATAGACAAAAGTGTTTGTCGTGGAGTCGCTTTCGTATACGACCACTTCCTATATTTAGCTGTAATGTTACAATTTTATGCTTTTAACGGCCTAATTGACATTCATTATGATGAACTAAATCATATAATTAATATTCTGTTGAATTGGTTTACATTTTGAATGAGGAAATTTTGCAATGTCTTCAATGACCCATCAAGTGCCATAAGTACTTAAATTTTTTTTTTTTTAATAAACTTATGTTTTTCTAATTTATATATATTCTTAACAGATGTCATAACGAAAATACATAATACTTATGTACATAATTTTTCGAATTTTGGTTCAAAATAATTTTTATATGCTTATAATCATGTATCTGCTGACGATTTTACGAGAAAGTAAATCCACCACTCATTAAAATGGTATAAAATGTGACTTAAATTTACTCCAACATATTCATTTGATCCTCCTGGTTTGATTTAAAACATATTTCAGAAGATGGTATCTCGATATAAAGAAAAACGGCAAAAATATCTGAGAGACAATCCATCAAAGTATCGTGAATACCGAAATTATTTTTTTTCACTGTGCATCTTGCAAATGGTGAATAAAGTTATATATTTTATGCTAATCTGATCCCTTCTCATAATTTCAGTTAGCATTTTCTTGATACAAGGTGAAAAAAAAATAATTTCGGTATACACGATACTTTGATGGATTGTCTCTCAGATATTTTTGCCGTTTTTCTTTATATCGAGATACCATCTTCTGAAATATGTTTTAAATCAAACCAGGAGGATCAAATGAATATGTTGGAGTAAATTTAAGTCACATTTTATACCATTTTAATGAGTGGTGGATTTACTTTCTCGTAAAATCGTCAGCAGATACATGNGTTTTCCTTTTCGTCGTGAAAATCGTCGACGAAAATGATGACGAAATTATTTTTTTTATCAACAATTCAATCGATTCTCATTCTATTGAATTTCTTCATTGCTACTTTTTCATGTTTATTTATAAATTTTATTTCAATTTCTTAAATTAAAAGCCGAAATTCTTAATCTAGGTGAAATTAGATTAGTCGACAATCGGCATTGTTCGGTTGGAAAGATCATTAGAAAAGAAGAAGGAAAATTCTATAAATATGTCTTTTTATTTTTCTCTTTGCTTTTTCTTGTCGTCGATTCTCGCAGATTTATTTCTTACGAGACATCATGCTCCAGAATGTGCTTAAAATAAAGTTACACAATTGATTTCATCATCGTAACGTAAGAGAAATCTGGGAAAAAATTTTTATTACACCTTCGCACTCCATAAATATTTAAAATAAAGCATCAAATCCCTCATGATATTAATAACTTCAATTATATTTTCATTTCATTAATTAATGATTATTATTATATATAAGTATGTTGATCATATGACTGGGAAAGCTCAAAGAGAATGAAGAAAAATAATGATTCAAGTTGAATGCTTTTAGCTTTTTTCTTCTTTCTTCTTTTAATAAATAATTTCTTCAAAGAAAAACCGAGGAAAAGTCAAAGTTTTTCCACGCGTATTCGACATGAAAAATGCAAACGAGTTACGACCTGGAGTTCATCTGTTCATATAAATCAACTCAACTCACGCCGCTTAATGTTTTTCGTAGATTTCATCCGGCAGAGAATCAGAATCAATAAAAATAGCAAAATACGCAATTTTCAACAGTAAGTTTCTGACACACATGTGAGTTTTATTTGTCTCGACTGGATTCCGAGCTTCTTTCTATTCATTACTTTTCTTTATTTTTTATGGAGGGCAGATGGTCTTCGCCTAAATTTCATTGGGATCAACAATACAAAAAAAAATACTCATAAAATTATTTTCATCTTGTTTCATTGCGATTCGTTGGAGATATTTTTCCATCCATATAATTGAGTAATTAACCGACTTCAACTTATGAAAATATTCCCTTTCTTCCTCCCTCATTTTATCATCAGATTAATCTCTCCAAGAAACATTCAATAGGTCTTGTCAGTCATTTGATGCCAAAAATATCAATTAAACTGTCCAAATCACATTTGTCGGCTCGTTTACTGGACACGTTGGAACATATGTGCGGCTGTTTTGTGTGAAAATGTCAGAGATTTGTTATTTTTAACTGCTTGACTTGTAATTCTTTCCCAAGCTAAAAGGAAAAATAGAATTTAGAGATGAAGATTCTTTTCATCGTCGTTTCTACAGACAGCAAACACTATTTCCAGCCAGACATAACTTAATTTTATTATGAGACGTTAGGAAGCATTGTAAATGACGTTAAATTCTTTTTCATCATTGCGGAAAGAATTTCAATCACAAACTTAGTTATGGTCGTCATTAAGAAACAAACGCAGTTAATGTTATGATGAAAATAAACCACAAATATTCATAACTTCGTAACTCATGTCTGTTAATAATTTCCACTCGTTGTGGTAAATTCATAGAGGGAAAACGAGACAATAAATAAAGAGCTTTGCAACCTGCGATGTCTGGGGATGTAATTTGAAATTTTCAGAAGATTTGCTTGCTTTCTTTTCGTTCTCACTTTTTTTGCCTTTTTCTTTCATAGGGGAAACAAAAATAGTTTTGGAGCTTTTTAAGAAAGACCTGGGCATGAGGTCGAACGGACGGGCTAATGGATATTTTCATCACAAGCATTCATTCTCTTTTTATTTTCTTCTGGATATTTGTTTGTATCGCGACACGTTTGTGTAGGCTTTTTCATTTCTATCTTCCGAAATAAACTTTTTTTTTATTTTATGTTATTTTTCTTTTTGTTGTTTCACATCACATCTCAATGACAATGGTCCGTGATCGCGAATGTGTGAAAAACACGACGTAAAATTGGATAGATCAAACAGTGACACGACCGCGTGTTTTCTTCTCCAACCGAGTCCAAGCTCGCAATCAGAGCGACATGAACATTAAAATGGATTTAAAAATAAAACTTCGATTGCCTTTTGTTCGTGGATTGTCTTTATTTGATACGATTTTTTTTTGTCATTTGACGAGACACTTTGAATGAGAGATGAAATCAGCGATCCTTTGATAGTTGAAATAGATGGTACATATAATGTAAGTAATTAATGATAAAATTAAAATGAAATTGTTAGTCTATCAATTATACATTAAAGTTGATCACTGCTAAGAGATATAGAGAAAACATAGGATAAAAATGTCTATTAGTAATTATTATTAAGTGGATCCTCGGCTTTTCTATCTAATTAATTAGGCGTGTTCGGTGTTTAGATTACTTTTCTTCACATTCGGTTGACGAAATATTTTCATCACCGTTGATTTAATATTTTTTCTATCTTTTGTGTTTTGTTTTCTCATTTGACTCGCGATTCTTTTCCAATTTGGCGAAATATCAAGACCAAGATCCCGAGACAACTTTAATGAGAGACATGATGAGAGAACTTTTTATCCACATTATCCATTGTAGATGAATTTCCCGCACTCTCTTTGCTTCTACGAGTGAATTGATTCGCTGGCGAAAACTGATCACCGACTCTTTCAGTTTACATTTAATTAGCTTTCGTGTAAGATGATGTCTAAGTGGCAGATACGACGCGACCATCCAATTAATTAATTAGTTAGAGAAATAGGAAGAACAACTACATTCAAATTCATCTTCATGGATTAAAAATTTTTTCTCCTTTTTATTCGCATCATTAAACTGTGGAAATCTTTTGCGATTTTCTTATTAAAGTGAACGTGTCGAACTTGGCTTGACGGTTGAGGGAAATTCAATCGATATGAGGCGATGGAAAAATAAAAGATAAATAGAATTCTTCTCTTGGGACTGCTAGAAATTTACACGACAAGACAACATCTCATCAGCATGAGACAATCCATTTTCTGAAGTTTCCCAATTATAAAATGTTTTCATTTTTTTAAAAATTTCCATCGTTAATGATCATCAAGTTCTTCTCCGTTGTAGTGTTGGATTCGGGAAAAATAAACTCTGAGGATTGTTACGTAATTTTTCATTCTCAAATAAAAGTTTCACATCTCACAGTGTCGACTAAATAGAAAAGAAAGAAAAAATAAGAAAAGATACGGCGAAAGACATCATAAATGACTGCCAGTCAGCAGTGATCAGTTTGTCTGGAGAAGCGAGTGAAACCATTTCGACGGTGAATCGTCGTGAAGAATAATTTTCTTTCTTTTATATACTTAAAAAAATTTTTGTTGTGTGATATTTTCTTGAAAGCGAGAAAGCTGAAAGGGAAAAAAAGAAATTATTTAAAGACAATCGAAAGTCACGAATGTGCAGTGAAATTTCAAGACGAAAGTTTTTATCCTGCCGAAAGCCAGAAAAAAACAAAAACAAAACTAGTTGTTGGAAAAGTGCTCGTTAAATTTCAGTTTCTGGTTTTTTTAGTTTGCTAAAATTAGAATTTGAACTTTTCCTCGTGGATCTCGTTTGGCTGGCTGGCTGGTTAGTGAGAAGATAGCTTTAAAGCCCGAAATAAGTTGTAAAAGTTCAGTGAATATGGATACATCGAATGGAGATTCGTCTTCGGTGACTGGAAACTTCAATTCACCGAATCGGAATTCTCATTCATCACCTGCAGATTCACCACAAACTGATATTAATCATACAGACACGTCAGTGGAAATGAATGGATTAAAAGGATCATCATCATCACAACAATTCTGTCTACGTTGGAATAATCATCAGGTGAGATCGCAAATTTTTTAAAAAAGTTTAACGGAACCAATAAATACATTAACTATAATTTCGGCTTATTTCTAAATATTTCTCTCGTTGCATTTAAAATTGCATTCCGACCCCGATTTTTCTCTGAAGAATTTTTCTGCTTTGGCTGTTACAGAATTCTCTTACTGCTCAAAAAAAAATCAAAAAGAAGAAGGCTACGACTGATTTTTCCTTGAAACAAAAAAGAAGAAATGAAATGAGTCTCACAAAACCGATCGTAAGAACGACTTGACTTTTTTCCAAAAATAAAAGAAAAGAAAAATTAATTAAATTAGTTTTTTTCTGCTCTGAAATATCCCATTGTTGTGTTATTTTTTGTACGATTTGTTGACTACCAATGAGCCGAGTCAAACGGACATTTTTCGTAATGGCACATTTACTCAAAAGGGCGACATCCATTTGTACAACACGAGTGCAAGTTCTTACTTCTTGTTTATAATGCGAAAGATATGTTTTGGCGATTGCATTCAACGAGACACTCGGGAAACTGCACTTCTGGTGACACTCACAAAGATACTCATCGCTGCTTATGGAGATTGCAATGGCATTAATCGTAATTAAGTTTTTGCGAAGCATAAAAATAGTTTGTGCGATGTTTATTTCGCATAAAAATAGTTTTATTTTTCAATTTTTATTCTCTTTCTCTCTTTTTTTTTAAATTCTTTTTTCCTCGTACTGCATCTCTGAATCTCACGCTGTCTTGAGATTGTCAAGCGTTGGGAAATTTATGGATTTTCCCCAAGTCTACACTCACGTATCATTTAGTTTCATCGCTCACTGCACAGTTCTGCAGTACAAACATCTTACATACATTAGCATCTGGCAATATGCATTTTCAAAGATGAAAATCATAAGTAAAAATTTGCGCCAAACATTTTCAAATGATTTTGCCAGAAAAATGCGTTTCCGCAAGCAAAGCTAAACAAATTTATCTAAAGAAAAATCCCTTTTCTCACACTCGCAGATCATCAACGAACAGTCAGGTCTCATTTCACTCGTAAGAGAACAAGCGGTGATGAGGGAAGTCTGACAACAAAGTAGAAGAGAATACTTTTCAGTGTAATAATAGATTTTCTTCCGAATTTCCAAACACCATTTCTATTTCATGACTGAATCTCTTCAAACAACCTTTCAAAATAAAATAAATACTGACAACCACATTCGCTTGAAGCGCAATAAAAGAAAATGAAAATCGCGCGCTTGCTTGCTGGGAATATATTCTTAAATGTTTTCGCTGCTAAATTCTGGGATTCTATTCTTAATTTTGGCAGTACATGCTTTGATATAAATAACTTGCTTACTATTTGAGATGAATAATATCTGGAAAACAAAAAAAAACATTAAAATGTTTAAAAAAATTATACAAACCTAAACTGTCAGCGATCTTCTAAAACTTTAATTGAAATACTTATCAAAAATAAAACATCTTTAAATTGTTGTGCGATAGATACTCCCATTTCAAACGTAAAATGGATTTATTTTTCATGATATATCTACGTGGGTTATAATTAGAAGTTTTAGCCCAAATTCCAATTATAAAAATAAAGAATCAAAGAAAATGTGTAACAAGAGAATAACTATTTCTTTTTATTGAAACTCCATAGACGTCCTTGCTAAGCACGTTGCCACAATTGTTGGATCAATCACATCTGTCTGATTGCACAATCGTTGCAGATGGGAGAAAGATTCGTGCACATCGATTAGTCTTAAGTGGATGCAGCACATTTTTCTCTGAATTGTTTCATACATTAGAATCTGGAATTCAACAACAATCATGCCATCCCGTCATTGTCTTACCTCCAAATACAAATTTTTCTTCGCTTGCGGCTTTGATTACGTTCATGTACTCAGGTGAAGTAAATGTTTATGAAGACCAAATTTCAAAACTGCTGGAATTGGCTGAAACATTAGGAATTAAAGGTTTGACTGAAATCAACAACGAACATGTGGTGTGTAATGTAAAATTATCTCAATGACTCAAATAAACACTAATCATTACTTAAAAATAAATTTCTAGAATGGAATTAAAACCAAAAAACAACCGTCAGAAAATCAAATACCGCCATCAGCAACACCACCAGCTGATGAACAGGAAAAACGATCAACGTCAGACACCCCCAAACCACAACAACAATTGTCACCTTCACCTTTCGATACATCTCAGTTAACAACTAAACTTTTAACACCACCCGCATCATTTGACGCATTCTTTTCCCGCCCACATCCTTCGCAATTCAATTTCTATCCACATCATCTGCTTACCCAGCCGTTGAACTTTTCCACGAATCGTCTTCCTTTTCCTTCAATGCTTGCACAAATGCCTCAAATTCCGCCACAATCACCTCAATTTAATAAAAATTCGAATGGTACGAGTAACACTCAACAAGATACTAGCAGAAACTTCATTGATGAGCTTTACAAAAAAGACAGATTGATGCAGCAAGATAAGCGAATGAAACCAACAAATTTAAAGAAAATCGATAAAATAGCCGAGAATCTTCGTTTTGGTGCGAATTCAACTTCACCTCCAAGTTCAGCATCTCCCAGTTCAACGAAAAGTTTTCTTGATCATTTCAGTCAAATGTCGGTTGTGAAGAAAGAATCTTCACCGCTTACTTCTTATCCAATGTCACCAACAACACTTCAATCAGCATCTGCGTTTCTCAATGATAAAAATGCAATTAAACCGACAGGAATGGAAAATTTATTAAACTTTCAAAATGATTCATCCAAGAAAACCACAGCACCAGGTGGAACAGTTGCAACAACTAACAGTGGACCCACCACAAAAATACCAAACTCAAAGCTTTTTGCGAAATGTTTCATCTGCTCAAAATTACTTTCAAATCAATACAATTTAAGAGTTCATCTTGAAACACATCAGAATATGAGGTGATTTAATGAAATTTAATGAGAATAAATAAAAATAAAAGTCTTTTTATTATGCATCAACAGATATGCTTGCACAGTCTGCTCACATGTGTCAAGATCAAAAGACGCATTACGTAAGCACATTAGTTATCGACATCCTGGAACTCCATCGCCTTGTGAAAGTGAGAATCGACGCAAACGCACGAAACTTGCAAGTCAAATCCAACAAATACAAGCACAACAAATTATGAAAGATCAAATTGCTGCTGGAAACATGTTATTTCCACCTAACACAACACCAAGTAATCAATCGGCTTTACAAATGAATATGGACGCAAATGCAAGTCAACTTGCACTTTTACAAAGTTTCACAAGTGAAATGACAATCCCGACTCAGACTCAACTTTATCATCATCAACAGCAACAAAATCAACCATCGCAACAAGTTGCAGCTTTAACTCATCCCAATGTAAAAAATGAAATCAATAACAACGGCGACGAACATATGGCAAGTGGAAGTCAATGAACAGTCAACGCATTGAGGCTATAAAATTTATAAATTTAGGAATTTTAAATATCAATTGAGAAAGAAAAATTCTCAAGATATTTTAAAGTTTATAAAACCAACGTCTAAGACATTAAATTGCAACATAAAAAGATTGAAAATCTTACGAAAAAGACAAATCTTGAAACTTCGAACTTAAGCTTTAGCGTGTAATTTTTTTTGTTTTTTTCCAACATTTTTTATTTTGTTGATTTTTCTTCATCTCTTTTTTTCACTTGGATTGTGCAGACAATTTTCTGTCTAGTGGGAGGAACTTCTTCATTGGTTTTAAGCTTTAACTTCACAAATATCCTTTTTTTCTTTTTTTCTTCGTTCTTACTTGAAAAATATATATCTAACTACTTAAATGAATATTCAATCCTTAGCTGTGATAGACATTTAATAAGTTTAAAACTGAATGAAATCAGGGCTTGACGGAAGTGATGGAAAATTGTTTCCTTCCCGTCTGAAATGAAATCACATAAAATGATTTAAGACAGCAAAAGACAAGCAACAGTAAATCAGAACCTGATTTATCGTTCAGATGTAGTTTAAAAAAGCAAAGAATCGTTGCTCCTAATCAGTAAAATTCGTCCTATTATCTTTTACCTGAAATAAACAAAGAAAAGTAATCGCGTCAAATATTCTTAAATTTGACCAGATTTTCTCTAAAAGACATAAAAATACCTAATTGAAAATTTTTTGTCGTTCATACATATTTAAGTTGTTTGCTCTAACATTAATTAGTTGAATTCGTTTTTTTTCGAGAGATTCTTTTTAGTCTTAAAAGTTTGATAATGGACAGAAAACAAATTCTATTTGATTTTCCCTTTGTTACGTTTCAATTTGAATATCATGATAAAATGAATAAAATAGCTTTTCTTCTTTTTGTAAAAATAAAACTTGAGTTTTAATTTTATAGCCTAATAAAAATGATTTAGTGCAGTAACACCAGTTAAGTGAAGAGTTAAGTAATAAATTTTCATTGTAAGTCATTCAAGTAGAAAGTTGTAAACTGCATCAACTATCCAACCTATTAGAATGTGATGATTGTATTAAAATTAAAAAGGATCATTATCGCATTATGATAGAAAAAAAGGAACTCTTTTTACTATGCTTCATTATTCTTTATTATGCATTTCGTTTTAGTAAAAGTTTTCACAACTCTTAGAAATTTGTATTCTTCGACTGCTATTTTTTTGTATAATTTCAAGTAAAAAAATTGAATCCACGTTGACTTTCATATCAATATTATTATTTTGTTACGTAAGTTGGCGTTTTTTGCACTGTCAAACTTAAAGGAAATATTTGAAGAAAAAGGGAAATAAAAATATTTCGACAATTAGTAGGAAAAAAAAAATGCATCAAACAAATTAGTTAATAAATTTAAAGACTGGGGAGAGCCCGCGAATTGTGACGTGGAGCGATTAATACTCAACTTTGGCCTCGTGAAATACTTATTGGAAACAAAAATTGGCGGGATATTTATATTTAATAAACCTTTTAAGAACTTATGTGAATAAAGGTAAAATATACTATGAAAAGAATATTATTTTCATAGAAGATGAGAGATGAATTGAAAGTGTTTAAAAGCTTTCGATTAACCAAACTTTCGTGTTGCAATCTTGTCCAGTTGAGATAAGAGTTTCATGATCTAACCACACAAGTCCAGTAATTTGTGATTGGGGATGAGCATCTAAGTGAATTAAAAAAATTGATTTGAGTAAAATAAAATGGGAAACTTATGTTAATCTCTTACTTTTAATTATGGTGTGTTTAGCTGGACTGGCCAGTGACCAAATGATAATTGTCGTATCTAAAGAACCACTCGCAACAAGTGAAGAGTTTGGAGACCATGAAACTTTGTTAACACGAGCATTATGGAAGCCCCATTCTTTATTATGTGCCGGCTTTAAATAGAAATCAGCGTTATAATTTCTGATATAATAAAATTAAACACAACTCACCTTGTATTCAGGAACGGCGTACAAAATAACTTTTCTATTGCTGTCACATGCAACCAAATATTTATTATCAGGCGAATAAGCACAATCAGTTATCGCCCCAAGATGCTCCAACTCGCTTTTCAATTCCAATTGAACTCCATTTAAAGAATAAATATGAATTTTGTTGTCATCACCACCAATGGCGACTTCTTGCGTCTCAGAATTTATTGTCACTGAGCTTGCTTCATAATTTATTTTCAATGACATCGCTTTACGGTTGTCTTGTACAACAACAATTTCATTTACACATCCAATGATGATGATATTCTTTTCCTTGAGAATATCCATGCCACGTGGTTGACATGGCAACTTTAAATCGATTCCAGTGTAAACGTTCCCTTCAACGTTAATCTGTTTAAGTGAGTCATCAATACCACATGTGTAAGTGAAATCACCACCATGCGATTTAATGTCATTAACTTGATTTCCATGACCATTTCCATCAACTCGATTGTTGTTACCATTTCCAGAATTCCAATTAGTGACAGCACCATCATGTGACGCAGTGTAAATAATGCTACGATCTTCGCTCAATGAAATGGCTGTTATTGGTTTATTATGTCCTTTGATGACACGTAATGGCTGAGTTGGATTTGCAGGATCGAGATAAGTAATGAAACCTGAGAGAGATACAGTGAGCAAATGTTCCCCTTGCCACAAACACGACACTTGCTGATCATCGACAGTTGTACCCATTGGGAATTCTGCTATCAATTCTTTTGTTTCCACGTTCCATAATCGGCAAGTTTTATCACCTGATGCAGTCAAAAGTTGAGTTCCATCGGGTTTCCATGCTACTCCATAGACTCCACCTTTATGTGCTGGTGACCCGATTTCACTTATCAAATCAGAAGTCGTTCCATCATAGAGAAAGACTTTACCATCGAAACCGGCAGATGCAAAATATTTCCCATCAGGTGAATAACGAACAGCCTGAACGAATCTTGAATGTTCTTGCTTTGTTTTCTTGAATTTAAATGGAGGCCCCTCGAATATTCCAATAGTATTATCTTCACTTCCTGTGATGATACGGAAAGGACGGGCCGGTCGAAAATCGCAACTATTTATTGGCTTTGATTGTCCACTGATTTCTCCAACAGATGTTCCAGTTTCAGCCATGAAAACATGACCAAATCTCTCGCGACCTTCACCAACAACAACAATTCGTTGACTGTCAGCGGACCAAGAGATATCTTTGATTGGCCCTCCTATCGGTTGGAACTCGTTCTTCAATAAATGCTCCTTGTTCACAGTGTCCCAGATACGAATTTTTCCCGAAACATCACCCGATGCAATGTAAAATCCCGATGGTGAATATTTGGCAACATTAACGGCACAGGAATGCTCGGTGTATACATCTGCAATTGCTGGATTCTAAAAATAGTAGAAATGCGATGTTCAAATAACGATGCGATGACAAAATTCAGTTTCTATGTGATCACATCATACTCACATCAATATTTCTGATGATCACAGAGTTTCCGTTGGTGTAAAGAAAATTTTTACCTTTGGGATCGCCACCAAGAACAATTGGCTGGCCACGACTTGTTCTCGGCAAACTCGCATAGATAAATTCTGTTTTTTAAGCATATACATGAATAGAAAGAGAATTTAAATTCAATTAATTATGTTCCGATTCGTTGAATTTTAATTCAATTTAATCATTAGGGGAAAGAAAAAAAATGCACTTTTGGGCGTGTAATTTTAAATTTCTGATAAGAGAAACATATGAATAATTTTTTTTTGATTTTAGACATATTTTCTAATTTTTCATTAACTTGTGCAATATTAAATGAAAAACTTTATTTTTTGTTGTTTCTATGCAAGAATAAGAAATATTCTTTGAAGATTTTTCCGGCTTTTCATTTCAACTACACTTACTATTCGAATAACTCATTATTCAAGCACAATGTAATCACTTATGGCTTCTTAAAAATGTTACAATAAAGTCTTGATGTTTAGAGGTATTTAAGTCTTTGATTTTTGAGATAAAATTTGAATTTCTAGTGACTAATTCCACCTAACTCTTATTCTCCTTATATGGAAATATTTCGTTAAAAATTGATCGGTTCGTATTAAAAATTTGGGAATTAAAAATTAATTTAAATTCATAGATTTCTATAACCACACACATTCATTTAGAACAGTGTGGAAATAAGATTTGTTGTTTTTATCTGACGATTTAAAAGTTAAATCAAAATAGCTTCAAAAGTTCCAACTTTTGACTATGATGGAACGTCCTGACCAAAATTTGCTTCAATTTTCGCTTCAATTTCTCGGATCTGTTTACACGTCAAAAATTGAAATTTGTAAAAAATAAGAAAAATTTAATTAAAATGAGATATCCGACATCTCCAACGCCAAGTGAGAGCGGATCAATGCTCTCGGGATACTCCTTACGAACAGGACGTAGTCAATTACCTCGGCCAGCAACATCTAATGTTTGCAATTCAGCAACAACAAAGGCATCAAAATATTTACGAAGATTAGTTAAGTTTAGACAAATGGATTTTGAATTCGCATTATGGCAAATGCTTTATCTGTTTGTTGCACCTCAAAAAGTTTATAGAAATTTTGGATACAGAAAAGGTAGATAAAAAATTTTTCCTTCAAAGATTACAACACATGATTCATTTTTATGACTTTTATTTTCATACAGAAACAAAGTTACAATTTGCTCGTGATGATCCAGCGTTTCTTGTGCTTGTTTTAGCCAGTTTATGTTGTAAGTTGAAAATAATTCTTGAAGAATAATAGATAATTAATAGATTATAATTTGTTTTCAGTCACATCATTCGGTTTTGTATTTCTCTTCCGACTTGGATTCTTTCAAACAATCTATTTCCTTCTTTATGTTGTCATTGTCGATTTTCTACTGGCTGGTATAATTGCAGCAACAATGATGTGGTTAATTTCTAATAAATTCCTACGAGAACCAAATTCTGAGAACGTCGAATGGGGATATTCTTTTGATGTTCATATTAATGCGCAATTCCCACCTCTCATAATTCTTCATTTTGTGATGTTAATTTTTTATAAAGTTCTCTTCAGTCAAGAATGGTTTATCGCTCGATTCTTGGGCAATTCATTATGGCTCCTTGCAACTAGCTATTACTACTATATCACTTTTCTAGGATATAATTGTGAGTTGAAATTGAAATATTTTCAATGAAAATTTAATATGTATATCAAATATTTAATTTTGTTTCAGGCATACCACATCTTAAGAAATCAAGAACGAAACTTATCCTAGCAATGATGCCAATCACTATTTTGTTCTTTATTGTGACAATTATTATAGGATGGAACTTGAATATTTCCTTAATGAACTTTTATCATTACCGTGTACTCTAAATTTCCTTGATAAAATCATGTTTGTTATTTAAAAAAATAAAATCATAATAATGAAGATTATAACTAATTTATGTTGTATTCAATCGTTGAGAATGAAAAAAACTCTATGAATATTTAATTTTATTGAATTTTATTTCATGATTTGGAATAAACTTTCAGAATAATATAATAGATTATTGAGGATTTTTCATAAATAGATATTTTTTAAAAGTAAGTGACAATTAAACCTAATTGATTAGATGGAGCCTGGAATGAAAATTTGTCAAATATTTCTATTTTAAATCGAGATCAAGTTCAGATTCATCAACGTTCTGATCATCAACAACTTCAAAGTCCTGAATTTCAGCAGCAAGGTCTTTTTCCCACTCTTCATCTGTGAAAGATTTCAAGAAAAAAATTTGATCATCTCGATGATTTTAATTTCGATGCGAAAGCTGTTGCTGTCTCAATAGTCAAATGCTCCAAGGCAAATTGAAAGTTTGACCGATCGCTTATGCAACATTCATCATCCATTCAGACAGCAACAGTCAAAAAAAAATTAGAATTCCATCATGAGAAGATCTTTTTTATTATTTTTTTTTGCTCTATAAGTTTTCTCTTTATTTCATTTTTGTTTTCATCTTGTTTTTTGTTTCTTTATTTTAATTTTGTTCTTATCTGGAAATTCTTCTCCTTTTCTTTCTATATCAAGAGACGTCATAATGTATCTTGAATTTAAATATAATTTTTCATCATTTGATTTCCTTTTATAAACAACAGTGTTTGTTATCATCTTGAACAATTCTGATTAAAAATTTAAAATAATTTTTTTTTTTTTCATCTTAAGATGAAATCAAAATTTTGAAATAAATATATTAGATACTTAAATGAAATTAGGGAAGAATGAGAAATGTATAGAGAAGACAAACATTGTTATATGTGGTGTTTCATAAAATAAGACTTGATGAGATTAAAATTAGATTACAATTTAGACAAAATAAAAGAATGCGAAGCTTCTTTGTTTTAATTGACTTCACTCATTCAACTTAAAATGCCTCTTCGCTCTCACTTAATATTTTATTGATATCTTGTGGAGTTAGTAGTTGTTTTGTAGCGAAAAATTGATAAATAAATAAAAGGCTACAATGAGAACTGTCTTAGCTTCCATCCCCTGAACCAAATGCCAATTAATTTAACATGTTTGCATTCCTTCCTTTCTTTTCTCTGATATTTTTCTTATTCTTATCTTTTTGGCTTCGCATTCATTTCCTGGTAAAGTTTTTTTTCTTTCTCTTTTATCTCCGTTTCAAATATGTTCACTTTAATGAATCTCATGGAATGATATTAAATCTTACAATAAATGGCGTTTAAACATCGATCGGCGTGAGAAACGAAGTAAAGAACTCTTCTTTTTATAGATTTATCTTATACATCTAATTAGCATTTCTCTTATATGTATTTTACTTTTTGATTCATTTCACTTGTTTTCAATTTGTATGTTGAATAATTGAGTTTTTAAAAATACGGTTTGGAAAAAAGTATTCATAAATACATTCTTTGATGCAGATAAATATTCCATTCAAATACTAATCACGACTTCTTAATAAACGAGTAGGGTACAAGGAGTCTGAAGTTATACAATTTATATTAATCAAAAATAAGTTGAGAATGTTAACGAGAATTGTTGAGTCGTTGATTAAGTTATTTTTGAAGAATTTCCTCAAGAGAGATTTTATCGTCATGTTTAAGGTAAATGATTAGTGCATTCCACTTTTTTGGACGTGGACTTGTTTTTATGATGACTTTTTAATATATGTAGGTAGTGATAAATAGATATCAATTCTTAATAGATTTTTCTTTTCATGTTTATTTACATAAAAAAAAGAAGAAAACATTTTCTTTTTAACACAACACGCGCTTATTTCAAATCCTTCACTAGAGCCCAAAAGTCGAGCTTTTCAAATCGAAAAAAAACGAAAGATCATGCTCAATGTTACAAGATGTGATTGTGAAAGACTAAGAGAATAATAAACAGAATTTGATTATAGAAAACTTTTCAATGAATCAAGGTGAAAAATTTTCGCTACAACTCTGATTTTTCCCCTTCATCCCACTCGAAATTTCTCATTCACTAACAAAGCTCCCAGAATGTTCGTCCGTAGTCAATGTTAGGCTGATTGTGAACGAAAAACCGCACATACTTAATAACTATGGAAAGTCTGGAAATCCACATTAATTTGGCTTTTGAGGGAAGGATTTGAGATGCTGAATAAGACTTTTTTATCTTAGTTTTCTACGGTTATAATAATCTAATTAAAATTTTCTTAATTCTTCTTTTTGTATATATTGTATCATTAAGATGTTTTCTTTGAGAAACTTTCAAACGCTTACTTAGTTTTCATTTTCTATCCGTCTTAAAACGACTTTACATTATCCTTGGTAAGAAGATTACACGTGAAGGAATTTTCTCTAGTCAGTGCTTCGTTTTATTTCATTTATTTATATTTTCTTATCAAAAGGAGAATATGATAGTGTCAGTGGGAGGATATTATTGATTAAAATTACTTTGCAAAATATTTTTATTGAACTTTTTCCCCATCAAACTTTCTCAAATGAATTTAATAATAAATACTGATGTCACGTCATGTAATTTTAATCATTATCTAAAAAGGAGATGTCGATAAGTGGATTGTGAGTACTTATGTAATGTTTTACTGTTGATTAAATTTACTTTGCTAGGAAATCCTCTTCAATAACTCGATTAATGTTAAGGGTCGCTTTCCAATAGCAACATTTAAAGCGAGAAGATTTTTTTATGTTTTCTTTTTTTCTTTCATACCTCACGTTTTGTTTCTTTTTACTTGTCAATTGGCGTTATTAAACTTCAAACATTCTCATTAAATCAATTTAGAATCTTTCAATAAACCATTGAAAGCCAAAGTCGCAAAAAATTGCGAAAAAATAGCGAAAACATATTTTTCTTTTATTGCTATTCTATATCACGATTTTTTTCTTTTATCTTCAAAAATTTATGTCTCATCGTCTTCTAATCTTTATTTATCATCCATCTTTTCTGGTGAAAAGAATATTGAATGAATGAGAGTTCGCTTGGCGGAATATTTCCAGCACAAGTTTATAAAAGAGAGTCATCATGATCAATAAGCTTAGAGCAGACGTAGGCGGAAAAATATTCAGTAGAAAGAGAAATGCTATGCAATTAAAAGTACATAATTTATCTATTGTTTAATAATTTCATTGTGAATGATCTGTGGTGAGAATGTGTAGACAAGATTATTGTATTCATTTTCCATGAAATTCTATTAGAATTTCTTTCAAGGAAACATTCTGAATTTATTTGCAAATGAGTGTTGTTTCCTTTTTTATAATTTTGATTTAATTGATACAATAAAAAGTAGCTATAAACAGATGTTTTACTTTTGTTTTTCATTTTAATAAACTTTGAATACGACTTTAACAACTGTTTTAATGCTTTGATAATTTTGTTTGCTTGCTTTTTTTTAATTTACTTTGCCACATGCAATAAATATTTTCTCATCTCTGTTAAATATTTTCCCATTGTCTCTGGAAAGTTTTATTTTGATAATAATGTAGTTAAATGGATTAATAATAGGTACGCATTATTTTTTCTTCAATTTTTGTTTTGTCTCAACATATTAATTTTTCCGGGAAGATAAAATTAAAACATGAATGTTAAGTGAATTTATTTGTCGCCTCACCAATGCAGGAATATTTTATAAGAAAACTGAGCTAAGATTGTTTTCATGTGATGCTCGGCTGGGTAATTTTTTGATAGTTAGAGGTATTACATAGTGAAATGTTTACATTAGAATTAATAGAGCACCACATCAAAAACAATATAAACTCTTCATAAAAATTCTTTTGTTTTCCTTTTTTTTTCTTCCCGAAAATGTGTAGTTCATGAAGACAATGAAGAATATAATGAAACTTTATTATATTTAGATTTTTCAACCTTTCTTCTTATTTTAGAAACGTACACGAAAAGATGATATATGGATATAGGGAACAAGCCTTTTTTCTTCTGTCTTTTAATAATACATATGATTAGGCATTAATTAACGTTTCTTTTCGATCATCATCAACATGAAAAAATTAACTTAAAATCCATTTTCTTCTTGCATTAATTTATAATTTTGTAAGCTATTCAAATCTTAAATTGAGATTAAGATAAATTTAGAAATTTTTCTCTGTTGTTTACATCTTTTTGATGAGCTTTTAGGCCTTTTTAAAGCCGGTAATAGTAATTAGATTTTATTTCCTTAATTTTCACCCACAACCCTCCTTTAATAAAACAAACAACTGAAGCTTTCTTACAGTCATTCCTAGGAAAACAGGCAAAATGAAAAGTAACTTCGCTTCACCTCGTCTTATGGTTTATCGAATTTTCTATGTTTGTTTTCTTCACCTTTTTCTTTATTCCCATATGAAGTTAATAGAATTATGGAAATGTATACTTAGCTAAAGAAAGAACTAAAAAAATTTCTTTTTTTCGCATATTTTTCTTTTTCCAATCACATCATGCCATTAACATTTCTTTGTTATGCTTCACTTCTCATTTTTCCTTCTTTTTTTGAGATAATCAAAGAATTTTCATTTTCTTCATTAATTTTCTTTCGTTTGATGTCTGGAAAATTGTTCTCAAATTATATTTTCATATTTTAAACAACATTTAATGTCCCTGATGACGCAAAACATACACATTCGCCGATGAATTCATTATATATATTTTAATTTTATTATACTAATATATCTTTGTTATTATGAAGTTTACTTATATTTCATGTTTTTTTTATATATATACGAACGAGATGTTATTTATTCTTCATTCTCCTTTTATTTATTTTTTACGGATTTAACTTAAGCTAAAGTATCGCCATAAAATATGGAAGAAAGCACATCATCGCAGCAATTATATCAGTTGAAGGATTAAAGTTTAAATGAGTTATTTTAAGTTTTTTTTTTTGAATTATAATTTCAATTTTTGTCATAATAAACAAAAAAATCACATTCGGGAAGATTCAGCAATAAGCGATCGGCATGAAATTAGAAAAAAGAAAAAGAAGAAAAAAACATTGAGAAATTGTGTGAATGAAATCATTAAGTGAGGTAGAAGGGAACAATTTCAAGACAAGTGTAAATAGTCTCGAAAGTGAATGTAATTCTTTGGATGTCTCTTTTGATTAGATTCACCTTGAATTTGATGCAAGAACTTAAGAATCATTGACAAATAATCATTAAAACTGCACTCATAAGTAACATTCAATCTATAAATTAATCTATTTTTCAATTAACAAATATTAGATAATTTAAAATAAAAACTTTTCATCACATTTTCTCTTGTGTGCATTTTGACAATCAGACACTTGCAAAACTTCACTGATTGTCTCATTCCCTTCGTTATAAGATTATATGTATATACAAGGAAAAATATAATCAATTGAATCAAATGAAATATGTACGTTCAAGCCACTGCACCCGATTCGCCTCTCAAAATGTACAATAAAAATAAAACAGGATGTTGGAAAGAATGGGAAAATTAAAATAAATTTGTACGCTAAAGTTCAATTAAGCCATAAAAAGCTTATTCCGCTTCAAATTAAAGCTCGCGAAGATGAAACTTTAATAAAATAAAAAATGATAAAGAGAAAACAGATAAAGGTAATAAATTATGTTAAGATTTTTCACGCCCATCAACAAGTCATTTTCTTACCCTCTGGTGAACTCTTCTTAAATTGGTCAGTCTGTAGCTGCTTTTCACTTGACACTGTCATACCCAGTCTTGTCATATTTTCTTGAACCTCCACCGTGTGGTGTTCATTTGCAGTTTTAAATTTATCAGAAATAAATTCACTCTCAGATTTTCGTTGCAATTTTCTAATATCATTGCATTTTTTGTTTTGCTTATTTGAAACTAAAGAAACCATAGTTAAAGAGAAATCATGAAAAGAAATAATAAGAAATCATATCAGGGGATAAAAATCATAAATAATTTTAAGAGAGGCGAACGAAAATAAAGATCATGATTGAAACATTCAATTTAGTTATTACCGTCGTCATCGTCACGCTTGCCAAAAGCATCATCAGTTCCCAATGTGCCTAAATCGCCAGCTTGAATAATTAGAGATACACGATAAAAGTAATTGCGCCAGAAATTTTCCTCTGTGATGCTGAAATTGAAAATAACATTAGAAAAATAAAGAAAACGTATATTTAAAGACGGAAACGGGAGTTGAACTTACATTTTAGGAACGAGATCGAATCGCATTTTCTCAAGTTGTGAATCTTCAGCCATGAGTGCGAGAGCTGTTGGATATGATGCATCATAGCTGAATTCATACTCAATACCAGCTGGTGGGGCACGAACAAAATTTCGACGATCCTAAATGAAATAATTGAGCATAGATTCAAAGAAATAGAAAACTTAGAAAGTCAACTCACTGCTGATAAACTTAAAATTTCTTCCTTTATTTTATCTTCATTTTGATGCCCAATCCATGGGCAAATGCCAACTTCATCACTTTTTCCAGATTGATCTTTAATGAATGCTTCTTGCTCTTTATTAAACTCACCGAGAATTGACTATATGAAAGAAGTAAAGTAAGAAATAATTTAACGACGAAATCTAAGATAAAATAAACACTCACATTATCCTTAACAGTTTCCTTAATCTTGGCGCCAGCTTTATTCACAACACCTGTGAAGAATGAACCAAATGATTTTGCACCAGCTGTTACTTTATGGGTCACTAAAAGGAAAACAAAAACAAAAGAAAATAATTATTTTAAATATTCAAAATTCAAGATTTTTGATGCTGTTTTTATTAAATGTGTTTGCTTTTCTTTAAATATTACCATTTCCAACCATTCCTGCTTGCTCTTCTGTTGGTGAACCTTTTTCTGAAACAGGGCGTGAATCGGCACCACCAGTTGCGCTAAAACACGACGGTGGAGAAAAAAGGATTGAACCGGTTTGATATTAACATGCTTGTCAGAAATAGTTAAACAACAATAAATAGAGAGAAATAAAATAAGAAAATATAAACAAATGTTATCAGCTAGTACAAGCGAGAAAAAAGAAGAGGAAATGAAGTTTATTGAAAGAGAGAAAGATCTTGATAACAAGTCAATAAATATTAATTAAAAAGGATGAAAAATTGCATTGCTCGAGTGTGTTTTTTATGTGGATGGAGTTGTACTGTGATGTATGTATAAAGAAAAAGAATCGAAAGGAAATTGATCATAAATTTCACTTAATGTTGAGAGTGGAAATAAGGAAAAGAAAAAATAACCCTATTATGGTGCAGTGGTTGGCCTGTCGAACCTGATATTGCTTTGAGAATATTATATAAGAAAAAGGATCGAATTGATTTTTTTTTATTTCGCACACTTTGATCTTTCATGTTATTGATAAAAGATTTCATTCTTTAATATCATATAAGATGCTGAAGAAATATAAGATTTTTTTCCGTAATTGAAAAAGCTTTTTGTTTGATTTTTATTTACGATTTAAATTTGACAGCTAAAAGCTTTTTCTTGTTTTCAATAAACCAGAGAAAGAAGAAATAAAAAATGCTGAAAATTGATAATGTTGAGGAATCGAAAACTTTATAGATGAAATGCAAATAAATAATTTAACATGAATCTCATCTAAAAGTTTGATAGTTTGTTTCTGTCGTCTTATAGTGTTGTATCTATTTATAAACATATGAAACATATTGCGGAATAAAGAAGAAAAAGAGTATGGCAACCAGCTATCATTCTGTGAATATATGTGAATCCATTATCAGAGAAGGTGAACTAGAAAGCTAGATAGGTAAAACACTAATTAAGAATAATAAATGAATGAATGACTCGTGAAATAAAATGACATTGTGTGTCTCTGTACAAATGTACTTAAGAAACGATATATATTTATGTCATTTTTTAACAGAATGACAAAGAGCATTCCATAATCTTAGAACTTACAATGTTTACTCAGTCAAGTTCAAGTTAAGTATCAATTTTATGTTTTGAATATTTCATGCAAACTTTAACTATTAATAATTATAAGACAAATGTATATAAAATGTACTTATGAAGAGTGCAGTAAAAAATTGATTGTGATGTCATATACAAGAAAACTTAATTAAAGCAAATTCTTTGCGCACACAATTACATGTTTTTGAAACTTTTTTGAACAGAGATATAGTTGGCAGATTCAATCAATGCATTGATTCCCATTACAATAAACTTTTGTACACCCATCATGTGCTGCTCAAATCTTTTTCATGCTCTGAATGCCCTGTCTGTGATTCAATAAGTTATTGTCAATTTTCACAAAGCAAAGAAACATTTGAAGAAAGCTTTCTTTGAAAGAAAATTGAAGCAAATTACATTTAAGATATATTTTTCATTAGAGTGCATTCTGAATTTTCAGAGCATAAAAATTGTGCACAAAAAATGAAATTAATGTACAAAACATGATAAAAAAAATGAAAAATAAAAATAAGTGAAAAAAGGGCAAAGGAAGAACTTTTAAAATACTTCCAAGTATACAATTCTTTCTTGAGCTTACCCATCCCTGATAATGGCTCTGGCGTAGTTGGAAAACAGTTTAGTATGTGTTTTAAAAAGTTAAATCATGAGAGTTTATTATTTTTACATTTTTTTGAATGTATTTTAAAGAAAGTTAAGTAATGTGAAAGTTTCATGTTTTATTTTATATTTCATGTTTATATTTCATGTCGTCGTATATATTCATTTTAATAAACACCAAAAAGATAAGAGGAAAAAAGAATAAGAAAACGAGAAGAAAAAAAAGAAAAGAGGGAAACAAAGTTAAAGAATTTCACTGTCGAGTTTATAGCCTCGAGACAAGCCTTCGTCATATTTATTTCGATTATTATTGAAGTCAAAGGCGAGTTGGATAAGAATAAAAAGGGAAGTAATTTATGAAACCTACCTTGAGCGATCATCGTCATCCTTTTCGTTATTTGATGTTGGTTGAGCTTCCACTGCTTGTTCAGTAGTTCCTTCAGCTGTTGCACTATCTTCAGTTGGTTGTGACTTTCGCAGGCCAGGAATAGATGGCATATGGGGCATTGAAACCGTTGGCATTGAAACAGTTGGCAAGCTTGATGGTAGCCATCCCGAAACTTTACCAGTTACATTTGAAAACATTCCACCTGATGCTTTCGTTGGACTGAATAAATATAGAGATTAGAAAGATTATTTTTCATTCACTAATCAATGTTCATGGTATTATTTGGTTTTATGATTTAAAAAATTGGAATAACATTTATTTTTACAATGCAATATCAAAAACGAAAACTTCGATTCAATTAATATTTTTGATTTTTTGGTTTGTATTCCATTCATTCCCTCACATTATATCAGTGAATATTGATTTATTAATGGAAAAAAATTCTATATATCTGCTCATTCACCCACATACTTATTTTTATATTTTCACTGGGACCGTATTTTATTATTTTTCGAAATAGGATATTATGAGAATATGCAAATATAATGATTTCAAGGATTTGTCAAAACATTGACATGGATAATAAGGAAAAGGGAGGAAAAATTCTTTCAATATGGTTCAATTCTTTCAAAGTTTTAATTCTAAATGTAAATTTCTTACCTTTGATTTTCAGTATTGTTGTTATCAGCAGGTGGTTCTGAAGTTGTCTGTTGTGTTACTTCTTCTGACGGAGCTGCTGCTGTTGCTGATTGAGGTGGTGTTGGGACATCCTCGTCCGCATTCTTTGAAAACATCGACGTTAAAGACGAAACTTGATTTGTGATTCCCGAAAACATTATCTATGACTCTTTCGTTTGCTTATTACGCTTAAATATATTTATTCTAATGAAACACTTTAACAGGAGCTCACTAAACTGTTGTCCTCGGAAACTTTTCCAAATTAATACGGAAAAAAGTTTTGTGTTCTCTTCTTGGCCTTTTTGAAATTATTGATTTCAATTTAGTCGCACGTCAACTTCTGTTTTAACAATGTTATCCACTATTTCCAAATCAACAAACATCAATTAATGATGTCTTTAGTAGTCAACTTTTAATAATGACAGTTTTAAGTTTAAATTACACCAAATTTAATGCACAATCAGTTTTTCTTTTATTTTCAATTCGACATAAACTTTTGCAAAAATACAATGAAACTGCGCAATCAGATGGCGCTGTTAACGCGGCTGCGCGACAATCCCAGCTTGGTACGAACATCTTAAAGCAAATCTTTCAGTGATTTTTTTTTGTGTAGCGGTTTGTATGTTGGGATGTAAACAAAAGAATTTTCAATGAAGTTCGAGTGTCAGATATTTTATTGATTTTTTCGGATAAAATTATCATGGAGCAATACAAGGAGCTGAAATGGTTTGGAATTAATAATTAAATTATTAAGCTTTCATTTGATTTTAATTTCTCAACAGGTCATGGTATAAATATGAAAATGAGAAAAAACATTCTGCGCGAATATTTAATTTTGATACGATCAATGAACAAGACATCATGAGTCGAACATTAAATGAAACTCATAAGCTCGCTCTCCCAGAGAAAAGTGAATATTGTACATTAAAAACTAAAGAAGAAATTTTATTATGTTCAGGAGTAAGTGAAGAAAATAATTCTGAAACTTTAATTGATCCGAGACAAAATGCTACAAGAATTCTTAAGACACCTAATAATCTCGTCAAGGATCATAGATACACATCTGAATTGAAAGTTCATGAACATAAAATAATGTTCGGCATGTTAAAAAGCAACATCAAACATAATCCCAGAATTAATAATATTAGTCATCAACAATTTCGAAAAATATCTCAAACACCAACAGCAGCTTTAATAGAGAAACACAAAATAGAAGTAATGCAATTCAATAAATGTGCTGAAATATTCTTCTATCGTCATATGAATGAACTAAATGATCTTTTATCAGAAGACATGAAAGTTTTTCTCATTGATCATTGGCAAAGAATTGAAGATCTTTCAATCTTTCAAGTTGTAACAAAACTTCTTTTAAACAAAACTCTGAACACAATAGAAATAAAAGTGGAACATTTGAACTCTGAGAGTGAAATAAACTCATCACCTTACACGATAATTGAAGAATATTTCCCAATAATAAATCGATTGTCATCAGAGGACTTGAAATTTTATTGTCAACTTAATGAAATCTATAAATCAGAAATGATCTTTTATCCAACATCTGACATTAATCTGTCAGTTGATTTGTTATCGAAACTTTTTTCTGATGAAACCTTTTCAGTTCGCTTTGACAATTGCATTAATAGAGATGGTTTTAAGTTTTGTAATTTTGATAAACCTTTACCGCTCAAATCTGTTGAGATACAACAGGCACTTGAAGAAATAGTAAAACTAAAAATTTATATGATGATCGATTGGAGTATAATGGATGGTTTCATACAAATATCTGAACACAAAGAAGAAGTTTTCAGAGCAGAAACTATCAGCAATCAACTTAAAAAACTGTTCCTAATGTTCAGAAAGCGTGCTGGAAACAATAAAAAGAATCATCTGTGGAAAATAAACAACGACGGTCAAAATTACATTCTCAACGTCAGACAACCAAACGTTTATTTCATGATGGATAAGGAAATTCTTCAACCTGTGAATATATCAGTTAAACTTGAATATCAAACAAATTTTGGTGCTGAAAAAATGACGAGCAATGAATTGATAAAAGAATGGTGCACATTAAAATTTACTTCTTCTTCCAATATCATTCGTTATCGTATTGACGCAAAAACCTTAGAAGTACTCTCTATGACAACTGTCAATATTGAGGAAATTGAAAAGGAATTGAAGAAAAATTATAACATTAATCCGAGTGATTTGATTGTCAATCTCATAAATGTCTTTGGTTGCATTAAAAGATTACCTGAAGGAGAATACTTGATTCAAGCTATAAATGAAGACACTTGGAAAAATATGTACATTTATAGAAAAAGTACTTCGGGCAAGAATTTCTCGGACAAACCATGGGAGATAAAAAAGGTTTTTACTTCCAAGTGGACCCCCATCGATGAAGAGACTCCTACATTTATTCACATTCCTAATCATAATGCTCCATGTTGCTTTCAACCTTCGTGTGATAGCAAATATCGAGTACGATACTTTTCAAAGCCAGAAAAACGAGCTCAAACTAAAAATAAACTTGATAAAGTTCAGAAAACTTTAAATGCCATCAGGAACCTTCAAATGCCAAACAAAAGAGTTGGAAGTAAAAATAAAGTTGATAAAGCCCAAAAATCCTTTACTAAACCATTACTGATTCCTGAAAACAGAAAAGCAAAAACTAACAGGTACAAGAGTCGAAAACGAAAAGCCAAAGCGATAGAAGAAAATTTACAATAAAAATAAAATTTCTAATACATTTTTCAACGTAAAAAATTGTTTTGAATATTTTGAGTCGTCACTTCACATTTACATTCCGACGAATATGTTTTCAATGTGTTGGTATGTTTTCAGTTTTTCGAAACGACAATTCATTACAGTTTCGCTTCAAAAATTTCTACTATACTTCACCTAAATATAAGAAAATTCAATTAGATAACAACATTCGGTGCTTGCTAACATGATGTGCTAATCAATTGTTTTGAAGTTTTGCATCTTTCAAACAAGTTTTCGTAGTTTTATACATAAATTTTGAAAAATCGATAACAAAGGAAATGTTTTTCGTCTGAGGTTGGAGTAAAACATTAATTGACACATAGTATGCCTTCTCTCGGTCAAAAAGTCTTCGGATACTTCAGACAATTATCCTTTATCGCTGAGCCGCGAGAGGAAATCAAACCAATTAATCAATGCTTCATCACAAAATACTTGGAAACAAGGTAAGTGAGTCATAGTTAAAAATATTGACATTTTAACTACTTAGAAAATCGACTATGAAACATTAACCAGACGTTTGACCTCCCAAGAGATAAACAAATAACTTGATTTTAGAGCGACTGTTGATTAAGTTGTTTCTTGAAAACGCATTTTCATCAAGCTCTTTGAACCAGGTCAAAATAATTGAATTAAATTATGGATTTTTATTATCATTTCGAACTGACAGTGGCGCCGAACCAACGCAAGTTAATGGGCCTTCTATAAAAATCTGCAGTGGCAAGCAACCAACGGATTTACCAGAACTAACATTATCGAGTTATGAGTATGGACAAAATTCAGCTAAGATTGCATTGACAGGTCCTAATGAAGGTCACACCTACGTTCACCGTTCTCGACTTCACCTGAGTGCTGGTGGTGACATTGATTTCATTGATGACAAAGATGAAGAAGTTCGTCATAATCCAAAAAAATTTCCGCGTAAACTCTCAACTGTTAGTCGAAAAAGCACAAGTTCTCACGAAACGGCAAGCTTAATGCCATCAGATTTCAAGAAAGCAACAGATGAAGAAAACAACGAATCAAATCATCTCATCGCAGATGTTTCTCATTGGAATATGACGTCGACAGATCAGGGACATGGCATAGCAATCTCTCTTTATGAAAAAAATCCCATTACAAATGAGCACGCAGGAAATCCAATTGCTGATTGTTATGGTTTAGTTGCGAGAAAAAATTCATGTATGATGGCAATGGCTGATGGTGTTAATTGGGGAGAAAAGGCACGACTGGCATCATGTGCAGCAATTCAAGCTTCTTTGGAGTACCTTACAAGAGCTTTATTTAGTCCTGGTATTGAATATAATTCAAAATTTGTAAGTGACTCATATAATTAATTTTTTTTTTGTTCTCAAGGCAACACAGCAAAAAATACTCGCGAAGTATTTGTCAGCTTGTTGCGAAGTTTTTGGGAGGCTCAAGATTTTATTCTGGAAGTTAATGGACATCTGACAACGTTGACAGTTTGTGTGATTCTCCCACTGAGTGATGAAGAAGTCAACAAAAATAAATACGTGATTTGTGCATGTAATGTTGGTGATTCACTTGGATATGTTTACAGTAGAACTCATGGTGTTCGTGAATTTACTCAAGGTTCGTAACTTTTTCACATTTTTGTCCTAACTTTGTTTACCTAGAAGAACTCATAGATTCACACGATATAACAAATAATCGTGATATGCGTGACGCTCTTGGAGCTCTCGGACCAGTTGATGGAAATAAACCAGAGCTTAGCAATCTTACCTTGTCCCTAACAATAGTCGAGAAAGGTGACATTGTTTATCTTACATCCGATGGAATATCAGATAATTTTGATCCAGTTGTTGGAAAGTTTGCCGAAGCAGAGCCAGAAGTTACTGAAACTACTACGCCAGTAACAGAAGTTACAAAAGCTGAACTTGCACCAAAGAGACAAAATAAGAGTGCATCAAGTTTGTATCCGAAAAGACCTCAAGCTTCGTCATCATCATCATCATCGTCAACTAAAGCGTCAGTTTCTTTTCCAAATTCTGACATTCCAGTTCGACCACCACGAAGTAAAAAAGCTGCTTTGACTTCAGCTGTAATTAGCAATCCAATGCCGGTTACCGATCAATTACCACTTCGACCAAAATATACACGTTCAAAGACACTCATCGAACCTCGTCATTCCTCGAAATCATCACCACAAATACGAATAAGAAAATCACCCGCTGGCTTACCAATTGTGTCAGCCTATCAACGACATGCATTGACCCTTTTGAGAATGTCTGATCTCTTCTGTTACGGCATTAATGGAACACTTCGTCCATGTACAAATGCAAAAAAATTGTGTAGCTTATTGATTGATTTCACTCGAATGATAACATCAGCGAAACGAAAATTGTTGGAACAACGTGAATTGTTCTGGAAAATTTCTTACGATGCCAATGGTCAAAGAAAGGAAGTGGAAATGACTCGAGTACAACAACGTGTTGCTAGAAAACGAATGGTTGATTCACATTTCAGTTCATTGCCAGGAAAATTGGATCATGCAAGTGTCGTCGCATGGACTGTTGGCATTGAAGATGGCAACATTACTAATAACAATAATGATATTTTGCTTGATCCAAAAGCAAAAACTCTCAGCATATGTACCAATTCATCGAATATATTCACCGAAACCGATTTTTAAAAGAAATATTTGCTTAATTTTCTTATTTTGATAAGCTTTTTCACTATCAAAGACTGGATGGTATCAGGAATAGAATGAAAACACATAAATCTCTTATTATCTCTGCTTAAGAAACAGAAAGATTTTTTTAAAAAGCAGAAAATGTTGTAGTCCATCCTTAAAAGCATTATCAGGATATTTTTTAAGAGATTTTTTGTCTTCTGAATCTCGCTTAAAGTTCAAAGATTGCGTTTGTATTATTGATAAAATAGGAGAGAATTGATTTGGAATTTACTTTATAAAAAATATTAAATACCTACATTTTATGATTCTCAATCCTTTTTTATTCATCAGATTCACCATCGTAATTTTAATTGAGTATTTTTACATCGAAATAATTTTTCAATTCGCTTTCCATTTCAATTCTACTCTGTAATCTAATTAATAAATAATAATAATGATGCTTTCATTGTATTTTTGCTATTGCTAAATAAGTCATGAACTATCTCACTCATTTATCGTGCACGATAAAAATTTAATTGAAAATTCTTCTGTTTCCCATCACAAAAAAATGACATGATTTGTTTGAAACATGTTTCCTTATTCGTCTAATTATTTACTTGTGATATTAAAAAAATATATTTTAATTGAATTTTATTTTTATTCTTATAAATCAATAGATGTTAATTTTCTTCATTTTTTTTTCGAATGAGCAACAAAAGGCGATAAATAAAAAAGCTTCTTTTTTGTAATCAACATAATATTTTGATGTTTTATTATCATGAATGAAAATAATCTCTTTCGTAAATACTCAGTAATGGCTAGAGTTAGAAATGATTTTCGAAACGGTAATTATAACGAGAGAAGAGTTATAACGAGAGTTAATTATAACGAGAGTCCACTGTATGTAAAACTGCCCAAGGTCGAGAGGACATCAGTTTAATCCGGCACCAGTAAACTGAATATTTCGAAGTAATCATGGTAAATAGATTTCAGTCTCTGTCTGATGTTTCAATTTCATTATCAGAATCTTCTTCACTATAATCAGCTGGGATGATAAAATGAGAATGAACTTCATTTCTAATACGGAAGAAAAGCTCGAGATGTTTGTTATTGTGAATACAGCAATTTAAGTTGATTGGTACATGAAACGATAACGAATGAATCCAAAAGGAGATTTTTTTCCGTTCGACAAGAACACTGATACCTGGTCCTTTATGAGCCTTGTCCTCATTTGAATATTCTGTTACTTTAACTTTGGTGAAAATTGTAAAATGTCTTGTTGCTTCCAAATTCTCTTCTACACTTAAAGTATCATCTTGTCGCATTGTAAATCGAATGCTGTTCGAATATTTGAATGAATCAATAAAGCGTTTGAATGTAGCAAAGCGAGGACATTTGGATTGTGTATCAAATGGAATTGTTCCATAAGGGAGTTCATAGTAATCCCAATCAATGCGAGGTAGAATCAAACAAGGAACTTTGTTACTTATATTAAAATCTTTCCCTTGATCGTTTGGAGAAGGAATTTTCATATTAATAGTATAGAATGGAAATTCTTCTTTCTGAAGCTTTATTTCCACAAACGTTGCTGCTTTTTTAATATTACTAAGAGCTGTGATGAAATAAGATGCATTAACTTGACAGTAAATGACATCATCTTCAGGATCTTCAGGATTTACTCCTTCAAGCTTATATAAATTAAAAAACGTAGAACTGTTGATATCAAACCAAATAAAAGGCTTATTAGAGTCTCTTGGAATTGTGAATGTCATTGAATCATTTCTGGATCTGTTAAATATTAAAATTTAGAAAAGAAAGTTTTTAATTTTTGCTATCTTATTACTTACATAATAATTATGTTAGGCTCATGCTTCCCTAATGTTAAAGCAACACTTAGAAATTCTCTCATTTTACTATTATCATTCATTATTGCTTTGAATTTCATTTTTAAATCGAAAATATTTATGATCACAACAATAAAAAGTATAAAAAGAAATAAACAAAATTAACGTAAATTTTTAAAACCAAAGCGTCGCTTTCTTTTAAAGCTATGCTGCTCAAACGAAAAACAAGAATAAGAAGAATACCCAAGAAAATTCATTTCAATTGTAAAAAAACTTTTAAATTGAAAATGGTTAGAAATTTCAAATTTATTTTATTTAATTAGTCCACACTGGCTTGATTGTGATATTTTTTTTTAGATTCGCTTCATATTAATCCAGAATAGAGCGGGAAAGACTCGATTAGCGAAATGGTATATGAATTTCGACGACGATGAGAAACAGAAATTAATTGAAGAGGTTCACGCTGTTGTGACTGTAAGAGATGCAAAGCATACCAACTTTGTAGAGGTAAGTTAACATATTATAATTAACAACAATAATTAAAAATAGCAATTCCATTTATAGTTCCGAAACTTTAAAATTGTATATCGTCGATACGCTGGTCTGTACTTCTGTATCTGCGTGGATGTAAATGATAACAATTTGTGTTATCTCGAAGCTATTCACAATTTCGTTGAAGTTCTTAACGAATATTTCCATAATGTATGTGAATTAGATCTGGTATTCAACTTTTATAAGGTCTACACAGTTGTAGATGAAATGTTCTTGGCTGGTGAAATTCGTGAGACATCACAAACCAAAGTTCTCAAGCAACTACTGACATTAAACTCTCTCGACTAAAATGACAGCCATTTATCCAACGCAACATATAAATTCCAATAATAATTATTATAATCTCACATATTGTTGAATAAGGAAATCTGCGTTAAGTTAATCATCAAAAATATGCTTAATTTTATTTATCTTGTAAAATCATCAATCGATTTATTGCAATAATAATAAAAAGGTTTAAAAACATTGTATTAAAAGCAAACATTAAGCCAGTTAATGCTATTGTCATTTCCAAGGCTTTGAATTGCTGCTTTTCGGTCGGTGTGACCCTTTACACAAACTTTTTTGGGAATTTGTTTCACTGTTTGCTTTGTCGGATTTTGGTGATTGTTTCAAAAGCTGAAAAAATAATAAAGTAAAAGAAAAATTATCAAGAATGCTCAAAATGTCTCACCATATCAATATAATTACGCAAAAGTTCAGACTTAAGATTCTCCTCACTTTTTGAAAGATTATTTATTGTTTTCTCTTGTTTAAATTGTTGATTATTGTCACTTTCTGATACGTCATTACTTAGAGGATCGCCTTTATAGTCCCTCAGCCTTGATGGATTAGTGAGAATTTCTAAAGTTTTCCTCCATTGAGTCTCCATAATTGAATGAAGATTCTCAGCAATATCATGACGACGAATTTGATACTCATTTAATTTTGATTCAAGCGATTCAATTGTTCGCGTTGCATTCAGTAGTTGAGCTTTATAAAGTTCGACTTCTTCCATGCACTTTTGATTTAAAAGATCAATTTCTTCTTCATTCCTATTAAAAGTTTTAATGAAATATTAAAAGAATGTATTACCTATTACCTATTACGTGTTACGAATGAACTTACTTTCTAACAATCAACTCCATTTGCATGATTGCTTTTTCATTTATAGATTTTTCTCGTCTTGCAGCTTCCTGTTTGATTTCATTTTGAAATTGCTCTAATTGCTCTTGAAGCTCGCCAGCCTTTTGCCCTAATGCACTTTCAAGTTGAGTTTGATAATAGTTTTTCAATGCAGTTCGTTGTTGATCAAGCTCTTTCAAAAGTTTCCGCTCTTTATCTGAGAATTCATCCATCATGTTGCTGAAAATTTTCTTTTGTTTTGTTTCTAAAGTTTGTTTCTCTTTTTCATGTCTTTCTTGAAGTTTCAATTTATCATCTTTGGCTTGTTTGACTTGAAACTTCAAACTGAAAAGTTCCCGATCTGCCAAAGATCTTGTATGTTTCTCTTGTATAAAGTTGTTTTTCTCTTCCTTACACTGTCTTTTCACATCTTCAATATCCTTTTTTAAATCATTCTCAATTTTCAGACTGTTCGACAAACGAACTTCAAGATCTTGAATTTGTTTTTTAGAAATTTCTCTCATCTCTGTAGATGTTGAAGTAAGATTCTCAATTTTTAATTCTAGCATTTCATTTTTGGTTTGGAATTTATTTATAAGTTTTATCGTTTCTGCAAATTCTTGTTCAAGCGTTCCAACTTTTTCCCGAAGTTTTGTATTCTCAACATCTAATCCTTCGTTATGTTTCAATCTTTGAATAATTTGATCCTTTTCATTATTTGACTTCAATAAGAGTGATAATCTTTGTTGAAGTTGAATAATTTTCTTTTGTAAAATAGAAGATAATTGCTCATAATGTTGTCGTTTCAGACGCTCTTCTTGAAGATTCAAGTCATTGTCAGTTTTATCTAGCGGTGCTTGTTGTAAAGGATCCACAAAATTTTCGTAGCAAAGTAAATCATTACTTGTTGAATTGTGAACATCGTTTTTGTTTTCTTTATTGAGGAAATTGTCTAGTTCTTCCATGAAATCATTGTCGTTGGAGAAATGAGATTTCTCTACATTTATATTTGGATCGAAAAAATTATTTGGTATTTTCATAAGAATATCAGTATCATTAGAACTATGATTAGATGAGCAGCAGGAATTATTTTGTTCCATAGTTAACTTTATTTTGTCACTTAATAGAACATAAAACTAAAAAAAATAAATTAAATTTTTGTTATAAATTTTTATTTGTTTACATGCATATAACAGTTTATAACTGAATTGTGTCTTTGATAAAAAAACAACGCTTCAAATTTTGAAATTTCAGTTTTTTATCCACCAACCCTTATAGATAGTTATAAAATGTCACATGAATTTCAAGTAGATACATATCTACAAAATATTTTAATATTCAGGGTTCGCTTTCAAAGCGATAAGCTTTAGTTACACGGAAAAATATTCTGAAAATTGCCAAATTTCCTTAAATAATTAAATATTTATCCGCTTATATGTATATGCAAACGTATGTCATTATGACGACCGGAATTAGGTACTAAGTTATAATGACCATTCAGTACTTAAATTTGACAATGGTAGTTGAAATCGTTGTATAAATATAAAAGATCATTTTTATTTGTTCCAATAGTTTTTGGGAAGCTTGATGAAATATTTTGCAAGGTAAAAGTAGGAAAAAATTTAAAACATTCGGCAGCCACAATGGAACAGTGCGATTTTTTACCACAAATTATCGATTTCATAATAGGAATATTTTTCCCAAGTGAGAATAGTGAAAATGAAAATGATTGATTGTACGTTTATGTGAAACTAGAAAATGGACTCATCGAAACAATATTTTTCTCTCCTTCATCTTTTAGATACTGATGAAGATTATGATTCAGCAGAGGCATCAGCAGAAACAACTACGGCGCATTGAATAACTTTTTTCTTTTAACAATTGTTCTTTTTGTGAAGTATTAAAAATAAAAATTTCTATAAAAATCTAAATCAAATTTGATCGTTTCTTTCTTTTATTTTTATATAAAATAAAGTTGATGAATAATAACATGAAAGTAAATAGGTAGTTCATTACGTTCATTTGAAAGTCATTCAATATTAAACTGATAATTAAATTCAATTGAAGGAAAAAATAGTTTAGCTTAGTTCCTAAAACAATTTATGTTCTTTTTTAAGTTGAGTTTGTCTCCATTTGGGTAAAGATTCAAATTCAAAATAATCCATTTTAAAAACAGATACAAAGTCGTCATGTGTCAAATGAATCTGTGAAAAGACAACAAATAATGATTTTTTTTAAATATTTTATCATTTTCATGAATAATTTACTTCTTTTCTGGATGGATTAATATACGTGGGCAAATTTAATGGATCACCGCGTAACATTTCAAGTGGATATTTCTGATGCTTATCAAACTCATTAACAGCAAAATCATCGGTATTTGTTTTCCTCGGTGAAGGCACTGGATATGTTCCCGGAAGATTCATATGTATACGAAGCTTTTCAAAACCTTTATAAAGCTTCAAGATAACAAAAAATTAAATATAGTTAAGTTTTTGTAACAAATACTGAGAAGTTAATTTCAACTACCTCAAACAATTTCGGATCCCAATTATCGAAAAATCCAGTAAAAGTTATCGGTTCGTAGCTTTGTTTAATGACAGCAATTGGAACAGTGACATTTCTTGGAATTGGATGAATAGAAATTAAATGTAAAGCAACAATCCATGATGTTTGTTTTTGGCCCGAATCTACTAAATTTCCGAGCCAAACATAAATTATGCTTCCAGCATCTAACAAATAAATATTTTCAGGTGTCAAATCCATTTGATTAAAAGCAAAAATTTGTTCAAGATGAATTTGACTTTGAACAAGTGACACCAAATATAAATTAACTCTCGATTTGTCCCACGTGTTGCATAAAGTTATTTCCAGTAGATGTTGTAAAGTTTTCATTTGACTAAGACATTTATCGCCAACAGATTCATAAAATTCTTCATTTTCAGCTCCTTCCATTATTAAATTTGGTTCACCAAGAATTCCAGAAATATTTTTTGCCATTTCTCTTGTGTCACCAGTGGAACTATGACCACACCAAACCCAAACTGCTCCACTATCTGATTTGATAATGTAACAATCAGTTGGAGAGTGAGATGTTTTATTAGTAACTTGAACAGCTTTTGATGTGTATGACGAATTACCAATCACTTTTAGAATATAAGTTGAGGAGAACTTGCGATTGTTGGCTTTAGAATCAGATCCATTTAAGACAATCATTTTTCCTTTCATCAATTGTAAGAAATGTGGTGGTTCCATACCTTCATTGACACGAATTTGGGCAACATGAGTATCGAAATGATCAAACATTTCAGTCAAGAATAATTCACCAGTTGTCTTATCCATTTGTTTACTATGTTTACCAATCCACAAATAAATGATATGTTTAATGGAATGATTACTGTTTACTGTGGCGTGCGTTTGATAATGAATAATGTAACAATTTTCAGAGTAGAAAACCTGTTCATAACGCTTCGGGATATCTGTAATGTCCTCACTATCAATACGATAAACTTTTACTTCTCCAGAACCATCATCAATCAATTGCATTTGTGCTGCCAGTTGTGGACGTTGAATTAATGTTAATGCGTCAAACTTCTCAAGAACCTGTCGACTGGAAACAAAAGTACCGAAATCACTTTCATTCCATTGTGGAAAAAGTGAAATGAAATCAATTGGCTCATGACCGTCAATAATTCGACATACGGGATAATATGACGGATGTTCACGCTTTATAATGTAACCACGAGCATGTCTCATTCCTTCTGCTTTATCGACTTTCGAAATATTGCGTCCGATCCAAATCCAAATGCCCATTGATTCGCCATCAATAATAAATGTCGAGTTTTTATCCATCAAATCGATTTGTTCAATTGCATCCGTTTTTATATGTTCAGCTCGAAATAGTCCATTAAGATTAGTGCATTTATAAAGCTTAAATGGACTATTTTGTGATGATGGAGAAACAACGAGAGGGTGAACCAAACGATCTCTTAAATTTAAATAATTGTTCCATTCAAATTTGCACTCGTTTGCCATTGATTGTTCATAACCATCATCAACCACAACAATTTCCTGACAATCCCTTAACTTTCCAGCAACATTCAGTGCATGAACACGCTCGATTGAACTACTCGACCGTCCCACCCACACAAACACTATTCGGTGTGTTAGCAAAATCATCACATTCCCACTGTTAAAATTCAACCAACTGAGTGATTTCATTTGAACACATCGTGGACATGTTTTGCCAAAGATTTGATAAAGACGTGGAATTTCCGGTGTTGATTTCTGGTCATTTCCTGACAAAACTCTAAATTTAAAAAATATATATTAAAATTATTATTTAAATTATAAATTAATTTATAAACGTAGATAACTAACAGGAAACCAAATTCTTTAAAATATGCCAAGAATCTTTTTGTCTCATGCCCCTGAGTTTCCCTATATTGTGCAGTCATATGATGTAAGTGAAGATCCAATTCAATGATTTTTAATGCTGCTTGCTTTGATTTCAAAGGCGATGAATTAACACCCAACCATACGTGAATAAACCTCTCAATAGTGGCTGTAGATTTGATTTCACGTGACTGTTAAGATGGAAATATTTGCTTTTTAATTTTATTTCTATATTAATTTTATTCAATCACTCACTATTGTGTTTTGATCAGAGAATGCTCCTTTTACTGCTGATGAGTAAATAATGTAGACATTCTCATCATAAAATGTTCCCACTTGATCTTTTGTTACACTTTCAATGTGATCGTTCTCAATTTTGAAAACATGAAATCCAACGGAATGTTTGCTGATTTTACGGAAAAGTGGATCGACCCGAAGTTCATCATAAATTGGTCGTTTAAAATCCTAAAGTGATATTTTCATTAATTTTATGTTTTCTATTAACGTTATCGATGTCGTTCACATGAAAAGCAATCATAACAAAAGTGAAATTATCCACAGATTATCCACACAAAACATCTGTTAACACGTTTGACAAATTGTTCTCAGATCCGAGAAGTAAGGCAGAGTTGTTAATCGAAGCAATCAGTAAATCGGCGTTAGTAAAACATGTGTCTGAAACCAATCATCGTTTTGATTTTGATGCGGTTGAAGTATTGGATTCTGCAAATTTGAAATCACAATTAAATATTTTGGAAATGTTACATATAAAAGCCAACAACACTGTCAATAAACGAACTGATACATTGAGATTGAGTCAACTATACAATGGCATCATAAAATTGAGAAACAGGAAGAATGCAACACCAACACAACCAATACTTACCTGATTAGTGAGAGAAAAGGACGATTGAGAGTAAAAAAATGATCAATTCTCCATTCGTTCGTTAATATAAGTTGAACTCTTAATGGCGATTGGCGCAAAGTATTATTACATGCAGAATATTTTTAAAGTTTTTTCAAATAGTATTGACAAATTCTCTAACATTTCTGTAGGATTATATTAATGTTAAGTACAACTCAGATTCATTAATAATTTTTCATAACAATTGTAGAAGATCCTGATGATGGTGACATTTTGCCACCGAAACTAGTCGATGAATAAAACCTGAGAAGAATATTTCTAAATAGTCTGAAAACCGTATTTCGTTTCACATTTATATAAAATAACATCAGACGTATCAATTATATCCTAATATCCACAGATTGTGATTAATGTGCTGTGCAATCATAAAAAATAAAAATAAAATCGCTGGAGAGAAATATGAAGATAGTTTATTGCTGCCTTTAGTTTTCTTGAGTTTATGATCCATTGAAAAATTTGTCGATTTTCTTTTACCGATAACTGAGGTGAAGGGAAAAGATCAGCATTTAAGATAATTTCTATTTCTTTCATGATGGGTCAATTCGAACAATGGAATTATTATGTTCATTAAATTGCCACAAAATTCACTTCTTACACTTATCTCAAATTAAATTTAACACGACATCATGTCATTTAATAGCAGCTGAAATTAAAAGCCAATTAGAAAGAAAAAGAAACTTTTTAAGCGCAACAAGAAACAACATAGAAAAAGTTTGTTAATTGAAAAAGATTATCGCGATTGTGTCTCGAGCTTTTCCGTTTAAACTTTATTTTTTTGCTATTTTGAAAGTTGGTGAAATTTCGTCGTGATCAATGGGAAAGGTCACAAACAAAATTTGAATGTAGAAAGTATAAGAATGATAAATGAAGAAGCGAACAAATCTGTTTAACTATGTCGATCATAATTGGCTGCTATGTGAGGTAAAATTTTTTCGGCGTTAGATCTTAAAACTTTTAACAATTTCAAATAAACAGATAATTACACAATCTTTTTGAGTTATATCCAAAATCTTCATTCTAGCGTAACAAATTAGTTTCTCGTTCTATTCCAGAAATGCTTTATTATGTTTTTCTTTATTTGCAGTTCTGCAAAAAGCAGCAACCACTCAACTGAATAAGTATAACACTCTTCAATGAATTGTTAAATGTTTATTTAATGATCAGCTTTTCGCTCAAGCTGAAAATTTCCAACTCAACTGAACTTCGTTTGAAAGTAAACTGACAAAATGAAAATTTATTCACCTGAACATTTGAAAGAAGAAAAAAAATGTCGAGTTTGAGACCTGAGAGAATTTTATTTTAATCAAGACAAGAAGATGAATGAGCAATAAACATCGTGAATGAATGAGAGTGAAAAAGCATGTGAATTTAAAATTTAAACTCAATGATGATCGTAACAGTGTGAAATGTAAATTTTCTGCATCGACCAAAAGAAGGTTCTTTACTTAAAATGAAAGTCAGTGAACTTTCTCATCAATTAAATAGCATAGCAATAAAATAAAGTTACGTTTAATAATATTCATTTTATGATAGTTGAAATGTTATGAGAAATGCGAGAAGAAATTATTTTGCTGATATTTTTAAATAAAAAGCACGCACTTTGCTGTTTAAATTGAACCACATTCAAGATTGTTAATGGATGAAATTAGGTAGTGAACTTTTTCCTTAGTTCTATAAACAGTTAGTCGACATGCATTAAAAATAATAATTCACAATGCGGGCTTAACCACGAAGATTATTGTTCTTGGTATAATGGATGATAATGAAGCGTTGCAAACGATCATGTAAGAGTCACGACACGTCTTCTAACATTATTTTTGTGTTAGTTTAAAGATCATTGACCTAACTTTGAGTTATTACTAATGTGATCTAAGTATTTTTATCATAAAAATTAAATAACTTTGATAATCATGACCAAACATTTTGCACTATCTGCGTAATAATTAAGTAGTTTTTTTTCACTTTTTCTGCCCCAAAATAATGAGTTCATTTTAATTATTGCCAAAAAAATTATTACATTTCTAATTTTTTAATATAATTCAAATATTCAAACGAACAAAAAACACTTCATAACAATTTCAATTTTTTAAAAGTTAATTCATTTCCAAGTTATGTGAATGTCACCGATAAATTGGATGAATTTAAATTTCTCTGCTTGATTTGATGCATGAAAATGAAAACATTTCACGCATCATATGGTGTAACATAACACTAATAACAAAATTAGTTCACCTGAATTTCCTTCAAAAAGTTTTGCATCATTCTTGGTCATTAGACGAAGTTCAAAACATTACTCATTTTTTCAAACTCAAAATAAAACTAAGAGACGAATATCAGATTTTCATTGCTACGAATCCACTTTTCATTTGAATAATTTCGGTAATTTGTTTATTGTTCCATCTCCAACATGACAATGAATTATTGCGATCGTTTGTTATAGTAATTTTCAATATGTTTATGTTTTAGAAAATAGTAAAGTTCAACATTTTATTAAACTTTAGATAAAAATAAATTTATATCTATTTTAAATTTTTGTAATTAAAACTTTTTTATGAATAAATTTTTCTCATAAAATCTGCCCACTAATAAAAAAAATAAATCAGCATAAATCTAATTATCATGAAATGCAATATGATTCATGTTTCGATGCTCAACTGAACATAACATTAATGTCGCCCATCCCAGAAATTCATCCAACTGTGATTTCCTCTTTAGGACTCAATGATTCAAAAATCAGCTGGCATAACAATTTCAAGCTACAAATTCATTATTAATTAATTAATATTATTAAATATTTGAATTGTCTTGGCACATTTTCTTAATTTTTGAGCGTTTTCAAGAGCTTTTAACTTTTGAAATAGCTTTCAAGTGAATGAAATGAAGAGTTAAAATTCTAAATTAAACCTCAGTGAACCTAGCTCATTTGGTTCAATAAAAATAATTTAAAATTATCTTATTAAAAAAAAAATTGTTAAAATTTAGTGAAAAAATTAATAAAAATATTTTTGGAATGTTCACTGAAATTCTATTTATAACTGCAGCTTTTTTTATTGGACGTTCAAATTATTCATTAGGATGGCTTATTCTTTTGTTCTTGTCAAGTGTCAATAATTATTTGAGGCAACAACGATTGTTGCGGCAAGCATACATTCGAGCAACTTCTTCAATTCCTGAAAGTCATCTCATTCTCTCGCGCCTCGATGATATTCCCGCTTGGGTTATTTTTCCTGACGTTGAGAGAGCTGAATGGATAAACACAATATTTAAACATCTTTGGCCAAAAATAAATTTAATTGTTGAGAAAAAGTTGAGAGATTATCAGATGACAATAAATGAACATGAATCATTTAAGAAATTTAAATTTGAGAAGATAAATTTGGGTAAAATCGTAAGAAATTTTAAACTATGAATAGTGTTAAAATTCGATATCATTGACTTTTAAAGAATATTTTTTAGACACCACGAGTTACAGGAATCAAAGTTCATATGACGAATGTTCCTGTTGATGATATCTTAATAGATGTGAATATTTCATATGTTGGTGATTCTGAGTTGATTGTATCGTTAAATGGCTTCCAAGGTGGAATAAAAAATCTCCAAGTCGAAGGAAAAATTCGAATTGGTATGAAAAATTTAAGTTCTTTACCACCGTTTATCAGTGAAGTTGAAATAAGTTTCTTAGAAAGTCCAACATTTGATTTTGAATTTTCCACTGCACTTGTTCCACTTGATATGTTTGCAACTGGGGATTTATTGAGATCATTCATTAATGAAGAAATTTCAAGGCGCCTTGTTTTTCCAAATAAGATTATAATAAAGGTAGAAACGTATCATAATACAGGAACTGAAGAGTTACCGAAAATTGTTGGAATTATTCAAGTCAAGCTTCATTATGTAAGTGAACTTAATGGTCACAATGGACAAATTGCACAGGCGCATCTCAACTTAGGATTACATCGAATGAAAACATCGAAAGTAACAATATCAGAGAACGTTGCAGTTATAAATTTTCATCATAAAATTCCAATATTTTCTCATGATGCGAAGATTCTTAACATCTCTATTGAAGTTAAAGACGATACCATTAAAATGGGAACATTTCAAGGATTCATTGATGTGTCAAATTTATATAAAGATCGTAGAAAATATTTGACATGCAAAATGTCTCCACATGGAGTTTCTTCTGTCGATCTTTTATGGCTCTCTTTGAGCAGTGATCAAAAAGATTTACAAAATCAAGTAATTCCCAACGAAAATTGTACAATACTCGAAATTTACATTGATTCTGTGAAGAATATAAAATATTTAACATCAACATTCGTTATGCTTTCAATAGGTGAAGAATCTAAAATTACAACAGTCATCAATCCAAACTCAGAATCATGGAGACAACATTTTACATTTTTCATTAATGATCACAACTCAGCTGAACTTCATGTTGAAGTTATCGATAATATGACATCAAGAACTATTGGAAATTATGTGTTCAGAATTCACGATCTGGTTACCCGTAAGAAAATGAGTCAAAATCTTCAAGAAATTCCTTTAAATCAATCAAATAATGACAGTAAAATTTTAATGTTGTTGAAGCTTCACGCAGTTAAATTTAAAGATTAAATAGTAATGATCACAAAGAATATTAAAAATTGGAATTTGTTTCCATAAAATGGGATTAATTATTTACTATGTAGCTTACTTTCAATTAAAATAATTTACAGAGCTACGCAACACATTAGGATAATAATTATCAGTAATTTTTATAATAGCTGCGTTAGAATGAGAACGAGCAGTCATTGCATAAGTTTGATGATTAAACAAAATACGATTCTTTCAATCTTTCAAGAGTTTTATGCGAAACTTTGGAAATTACATGTTTGTGTTGACAAAATTGTAACTCGAGAGCAATTGTACCTTTGGGTGATGAACTCATTTGGAAGATCGCAAAACTTTCTTATTACTTGTGTTCGTTCTTTTCCGGTTCTATGTCATCATAATTTTTAATAAATTCACTGATGAGAAAAAAAAACATATAATTCTTATACATTAAACAAATATTTTAAAATTAATCATTTTAATATCACCTTAATAATATTTCCATCAGTTTATCTACAACAGAGAGAGATTCAAACTTTAATACTGCATTATTGAGAATTAAACTTCTAACTCTTTTGCTAAAGGTCACACATCAATAAAATGATATTCACTAATAGAATGAATAGAACTTTGAATTAACTTCGAGAACAAAATATGTAAATACAAATTTTAATAGTTTTACAAACTTTCACTTACACATGTAAAAGTAATTTATAAAGTAGGTAATTAAAATTTTTTTGACAATCAATATCTAAAGTTTGCGAGAGGTTGAATATTAAAAATAAGAACAAATAAGAATATTGGCTAAAATTTTAGAAAACATTTCTTACAGTGCATGTAGAAATATAATTTAATTTAATTAATATCTACGATATTTATTTTACTCACTATCAAAACTTTTTATTAAGCTAATCTATATTTAGTTGAAGCTTCTGAAGATTTTTTTACTTAAATTCGTCGCTGAAATTTTAAGAAAATAAAAGAAAAAAGATATCTTTGAACTTTTTTTATTCGCTTAACTGCCATGTCAAAAAAAAATTATAAAAACATCATCGTATAAAATTAGAATTGCATTTTTTACTTTTTTTTCATGACCACAGAAAGGTCTCTTTTTATCATATTTTTCTTCTTCCATGTTCAAACGATTACATTAATTACTTTTTTAAAAATTAATTAAAATTAATTTTCCTCTCATCTATCGATTACCAAAGTCTAATTTGAGTAATTACCAGCAATTACAAAAAAAAAATCAATGTATACAAAATTTCAACTCTTCTTTTTATGTTTTCGCTATGAAGCCAAGTTTAGAGCCTCTGCATGTCATTAAAACTATTTTTTTTTCCAATAAATTTCTTATTAATGTTTGAGATGCCGAAAAATATTTTCACACTAATTCCTACAATGTAGAGTTTATGAGTTTTCTTTTTAAAATGTACTATTAGTAAGCAGAAAAATACCAACTAAATTTGTCAATGAAGACATTAAATGACAATCGGAAGTTCAATGTGAAAGAAAAAAGAGTTAAGCAGTAGAGGGATTTTTTTAATTATTATCTTCCTTAGCATATTCTTCTTTTGTTTATTTCTGTTTTATTTCTGAAAAAAATAGAAAGACTTCTTTTGTTTTTTCTTCTTTTCGTTATATGTTCATAACTCAGGAAAGCTTTTAACTCTTTTATAATCTCTTTTATGTCATTTTATTACCATGAATTTGCACTGTCTAATTTGTTTCACGCCCATCGATTGGCATGCGATGGAGAACTTCATCGAGAAGTTGCAGAGCACGATGTAAATGTACTTCAACCCAACATGGAGTATCTTTGATCGATTGACGTGGATAATCAGGCCCCCAGCCTTTCACGAAGCTTAATCGAAGTATGCAAAGTCGACGAAGATCATCAACACCGATACCTGCAGCTGCTGTCAAATCTAAGATATTTAGAAAAGTCGCTTAAAGTGCAAAGATTACAATGAAAATAAAAACATACTTCTTGATGGAACACCAACATGTCCAGGAATTCCAGCAACAGCTGCTGCTTGAGCGGCAGCTGCTGCTTGAGCATTAGCAGCCAATGATTGCATCTGTTGATGACATTGACGTAAATCAAAAACTTTAATGCATGCTGATGGATAAATTTTATGAACGGCATCTCCAGGAGTTCTTCCAGCTTCACGATCCAAATAATAACTTTGAACAAACACTGAATGATCGCTCAAACATCGAAGCCAAACGTCGCCTTCACCACGTAAATCAAGTTGAACTCCTTTTCCTATATGCAAACTATAAAATCTTGATATAAAATTATGATAAATAGAAAGCAATAATGAATCTCACCGAGCTCTTTCACTTTGTTCGGTTCTGTGAACATTGCTTAATGCACCCAAACAAAAACGGTTACCACCAGATGGATCAACATATCCATCTACAGTAACATGAGGCTTACTGGATGGAACTTTAAATGTTTCACCGACTTGAGTGTCAAGTTCAAAGTAAGCAATAGAACACCAATATTCTGGCGCTGGTTGTTGTGACAGTCGTTGTTGTTGATTTGTCATTTCAGCTTGAATTGGTGGCCCTGAATGAACTTATTTAATTAAGTAATGGAATAATGATAAAAGAAAAAGAAAGCTTACAATATGCTTGATTCATAGCTCTTGTGTCTGGCGGCTGCATTGATTGCGTATACGTCAAAGTATTAGAACCTCGAGCTGTCCAATTAGCTTGAACACCACCGCTAATACACTGTTGTTGGGTGAAAGGCTGTGTTGATTGAACATTTGAGTTGTTGATGCTTGTGGCATAACCATTCTGTGGCATTTGTACTGGTGATGTTGCTGAAATTGTAGCTGAGGTCATTTGCTGAGAGTCTGTAAGCTGAGTGTCAGATGCTGTTGTAAAATAATTTTGTTCTTGTGGTTGTTGATTTGATTGATGATTTTGTGAGCTGCTTGCTTGACTCATCATCGATTGACTGCTCATTTGTTGCTGTTGTTGTTGTTGCTGCTGCTGCTGTTGTTGTGATGTCTGAGTCGACGATGTTGGTTTCTGTTGTTGTAAGAGAACATTTTCTGGACTGCTTACAGGCAGAATATGAGTTGTTGCTGAAATATGTCATTATAATTAAAATCTATCTAGATATTCTCATTCAATTCAATTCGCAACATAAGAAAACAAATGAGCAAAAATATAAAAGAAAACACAACAAACATAAAAAATAAAAACCTATTTCTTACAATGTGGCGGTGCATGGGAAAGCCGCTGTTGTGATGAAACTGAAGATGGTTGTGCCCAAACATTTCGGGCTTGTACATCATTTGTATTGGGTTCAACTTTAGGCACCACACGAGGTGGATATATAATTGAGCCCGGCTTCGCTTCGCCGCCTTTTTATAATCAACGTCAACCGAAGAATTTTCAAATTAAAAATAATAACAAAAAAAAACAAATAAGAAAAAAAGCAGAAACTGAGAAAGTTATGAAAGCTTACCTGATCCTGGTTGCTGATGCATGGCCATAGCAGTGTAGCCCATACCAGGAATATGAATCGGATGATGTTGAATAGTTCCAATCTCGTTTCCATCCATTTCAAGATTTGATTGCCCAACGATAGATCCGCCGGGCGTATACTCATCTTTCACAATATTTCTTGGGCCTGCTTGAAGAGTCAATCCAGATAAATCTAAGAAAAATAACGTTTTTTATAAAAGATAATATAAAATGTAAAATAAAAAACAAGTTTTTACCAATTCCTGGTGAAACAACTCGCTCATAATGGTATGGATTGACACAGACTGAATCACATTTCAGGTCAAACGCAAACTGACAATACTTCACATGTTTCAACTCGTTCTTATGTAAATCTGGCCATCGCCATATACGAGCATAAATGACATGTGGAAATCCTTTGCGTCCAGCAACTTGTAAACGGCCATCCAATGTTCTTTGAATGGTGACGCATTTACTTGGATGAGCTCCATTTGTAGTTATTGCAGTTATCAATGAGTCAAGTTCGTCACGTTTCTCTTTCAATTTTTTCACCAACGATTCAATCGCTCGTTTTGCAAATCCCTCAGATTCACCCCCTTGCTAGATATTTTTTTATTATTTTTACAAAGAAAACAACAACAAATCAAAAGAATGAATCACAAGCATGTGAGTTTACTTACACGGTGACACATTAAGCTGTGCACAATGCTAAGACAAGCATCGGCTGAGGTCGGCGCAGTAGACGGCATAGTATTCATTTCTGAAATTTATAAAGAACAAAGGAATGAGAAATTTTCATGTTTTCAAAATGCCAAAAGTAGAACAAAATAAGAATAGAAAAAATAGAATACTCACTTTTATCCTGCGATCCGCTTGAATAAAGTCCCGAAACCATTATTCACAGCTTTCAACCTTGATAAGAATACGTTTACAACATATTATCTCACTCAAAAGGGAGATATTGAACTGTTGTTTATTAAAATTTATATTCACAAATAAAATTTTTTTTTTCACGAACAACAAGCGCACTCTGACGGAAAAGATTCGAAGTATGGTGTTTTATGTTATGAACATAAAGGAAACTTTAAAAGTTCAGTTACCTACATCATTGAATACGATTTACGTTGAAGCATAGGTATATATTCATTTCCTACTTTTTGATTAAACATAGTAAATATTTTAGAAATAATTTTAAAATTTAAAAACATTAGTTTATAAACTAAACTTCAATTCAATTTTTTTTTAAATAAATTTCACTATGTAGATAAATTTTGATTCTTTCAGCATCAGCTAGTTTTGTGTTGACTTCAGGATATTGAAATTGACCGAGGTTAGAACAAAGTATGGTTTGAGGATCAAATGAGGATAAATGTGCTACTCAGTATTCATTTCTACCTAGGCTACGAATTTCCATCCCAGGCATATCGAGCAACAACCAAACAAGATTTCAATTTCTCAGGAAGTAATTACGTAACATTTTTAAATTGGTTGAATATTGTCAGTAATTTGTCTGCGCTTTCTTTGAAACAGATTTTTATCGAAGAATTTTTTCCATCAATTTCTAATGAAAATATTTTATTATTCGAATGAAAAGAATAAATTTTCACATCAACAACAAATTGCACAAAGATAATCGAGTTTCTGCGGAACAAGGATATTATCAAGCTGAACCAACACACCAATGACAACCAGATTCCAAATTGTTGCTTAAGGGGCAGTTCCTCTCCACACCCCCGCTCCAATTGGTGGTACACTGACAATAAATTGACTTTTAGTTTCGATGCTACGACTCACTCTTTCTTTATTTAAAGGAATCACTGAAAATGATAAATGCTATTTTAATTACATGTTTAAATACATGCAATATTCTATTTGACGATAGGATATATCAGAAAACATTGTCTGTCAAATGCATATGATGCTAAATCATCAATCTTTCAATGTTTACGAAGTTCGTTTAATTCTCCAAAATGAAGAAAAGTTTTTCATTAATTTTTTGAAATACGGTTTGCGATTATCCATTTTACTTAACTCAGTAATTTAAAAATAAGTGTAGACAATTCAACCATACAACACCGTTTTATTTAAAAGCAAAATAGGTTTTTCTTTAAAGTTTATACCGAGTTTATGAAGTTGGTTTTAGAAAACACAACACAATTTCTTACATTAAATCTTATAAAACATTGAAAACAATAACAAAACATTCCCAGGAGCAATGTAACTTAATGATGAATCATCAAATCATTCAAGCATAAGCTACCTGATTGTTAAATAGTAAATAAAAATAATTAGGTAGATGTATGTTTAAAAGAATTGTCAATTTCATTTAAATTCATTTCAAAAAATATCAACCGATTTAGATAAATTTTTCCAACAATCTATAAATGAGAGCCAAATGTGTTTTCCTTAATGACGATGTTGACTTGCATCACGAAATGATGAAAAAGTAGAGCTTTTACTTTTGTATTGCGTAAACTCAGCAAATGTACAAATCTTCGAGATGCTTTCAGGAGTTGTTCTAGATGTAATGCGGTTTTTTCACACTATTGATAAAATCTCTTATCTATCTGTAAAAGATACCTTGCAATTTTGAAGCGGTTTTAGATATAATTTGAACACTCATTCGAGAATTCAAAAGTAATACTTTAATCTTAATATTAATTTGAATCGTCAATACCTACTAACAATTTGTTTTCAACGAAATCGAAGGAATAAAAATCTGAAGAAATGTTCTTATTTTTCAGAAATAATTTGTAGAAAGATTCTTCATCTTCTCTTTTTTATTGTCGCCATAATGTAATCGATTAGAAGTGTTACCAAAGTGTTAAAATAACAATTAAGTCAAAAACTTATGTTACAAATAAGTAAGAAGGACACAATCATGAAGCCATATTATCAAGCAATTAGTTCAATGTCAAATTAGAATATACAAGTATCTATGTACATACTAATGAATCTTTTTTTTGATTTTTTTCTATTTAACTCTTGAATGTCAAATCTACAAAACGACTTTCTTTACTGTTCTACTTCGTCACACATAAAGATGCAATCTCATTTAAAGTCAATGATCGGCTTTAACCTACAGATTCATTGCATTAAAAATTGTATTGCATAAAAGGTACAAAATCAAATGCATTAAAAGCTAAAACATTATACTATTGAATAATGATTACGTATTGAGGCTTTTATCGCTCAAAAAGCTTTTTTTGCAACTGGTTTTGCGACAGTAGCTTTTTTATGAACAGCAGCGTTCAAACCGTTTACTGGATCAGTTATATATTCAACGATACATCTTATTCCATCAACTTCTATCAATTAGTATTTTTCAGTCATGACACATCGATTCTGATTTGCTGTCTCCTGCAAGAGCATCAATTATTAGATATGTATATGTATTAATAGCGAAGATTTACACCATTTTCAACAAATTTAAAATCAGGTGGGGTACTGAAAATCTTAGCAGCGCCATACGAAGCGAAAGCAGGAGTAGATAATCCATATATTGTAGCAACAATTGGTGATCCTGATTTATGAGCGATTAAAACGATAACTTCAAGCTAATACACGAAGCAATATAGCAAATTTCTTTCTAAGGTCAATTTGTTTATTAACTTTGATGACTCACTTTACACATTTTTGAATATTTTTTTCGTTTAATTAAAAAAGACTGAGAACTATTAGAAGGAATGAAAAGTATCGAGTGACTTGATTCATTCTACATGCTACGAGCTTTTATATGAATTGTGAACACCGACAATTGCAGTATCTCACACACTATACCATTCTTAAAAAAATACAAAAAATACAGTATTGAAATTTTTTAGATACATAGATAAGTTTACAAATTTATAAACGCAACTGATCACTTTTCATCATGACCCAAAGTCTTTCCTGCTACAATATTTTATGTATAACTTGCAATCATGTATCTATTTACTTAGAAAATGTTTAAAAAATGTAGGTTAATTTTTTAAAAGTGAATTCACAAATCATTCATTATTAAGTAGAGAATGATATCGAGTAAAAACTTTATATATATTGGAGTTGAAGTGCCAATTGTTAATTTATCAAATATTCATTCGAAGGTACTCCACACCATCAAGCTCCGAAAGAATGAAGACAAGGATAAAAGTTTTTTGATTTTTAATAATTTCAATATTAACCTTTCTATTCCCTTAAAACTATTTTAATCCAAGTCTATTCAGTTTTCATTCATACTTTATAATGTGCGCATAAATTTATGCTAATATTATTTTTCAATCATCTTATCTTCCTTTTTTTCTTGAATTTTAATTCATCCTACTTTAGAGTGCCGATATTGAGAACGCCTGAGATGCGAGTGGAAAATGACATTGTTACTGAAATTCATAGCATTTGAGATGAGTTTGATATATCATTAACAATAAGTCACGTAAACCGCTGATGACGTTGAGTGATTATTTATTCTGATATTTTAAAAGTAACTTTATGTTAATGAATTTAGAAATTTAAACAACCTTAAGTACAAGTTTTAATAGTTAACGGAGAATAAAAAATATGCAAGGAAATCCCACAATTTTTAAACATTTAAGATGAATTTCCATTTCATTTTACTGTAGTATGACCTAAATATCTTGATCGTTTTTCCTTTATTGTGACTAAGAAAATTAATTTCAATGGCAGTGAAGTTCGTTGATGCGAGTATTTGAAATATTTCTTTAAATCAGAGAATGTGACGAAATTCATGAAAAAAAATTAATAAGGAATATCCGTTACGTACGTTTCTACTCGATAACACGATGCTGTACAATTGAACAAAAGATGATAAAAACATTCGAATGGCAGTTGTAAGTTACCTCGGATAATTGCGATTGAAAATGGTCGATGTCATTTCGATATTAGCAACAATTGCAAAGTGTAATTGCAACAAGTCTATTCCTTAAATATTTGGATAATTCCGAAGCATCATCTTATCTTGCGGATGCCTATTCACAATATCAATGCGCCTACAACCTTTAATGATGTTTTGACTGAAGATAACAAAGCTCAAGAATAGATTCGTGATCGTAATGTTGTTAAAGGATTTTATAGCTTTGTAGAAGCTGATGGATACGTACGAAAAGGAAATTACTGTGCTGATCCTGTTAATGGTTTCATCACAAAATCAGTTCCAGCTGTTGTTGGCCCACCTATCGACTCTATTGCAAAAGTCATCGTAGCTTAATGAATTCAAAAGATTATAAATCCAAAAAAAAATTAATTATTGAAATTTGCAACGTACTCATTATCAGCTCAAAATGCCATAAACTGACGAAGATTGAAGCAAACAAATTTGCTTATAAAAAAAGAGTCGAATTTTACTTTTAAATAAATCAAATCTATTTTGGACAAAATAACAACAAAGTTTCTTATTCTTCCTCCTTTAATCGAGAATCATGATTTCCTAGAATAACAACAAAGTTTCTTATTCTTCCTCCTTTAAGCGAGATTCATGAATTCCTATCCAATCCAAACAGAGCTCAGACAATTCTTTACGTAATAAAATGGTAAAATTTTGATGATGACGTCAAATGCTCTTTTCATGAAAGTTCTTTGATTTATGAAGATTTTCTATGACTATGTAAGCAAAAGCAATAAAGACTCCAGTCGGAACTCTATATTGGTTAAAGTCTGCTCCATGGAATGAAACATATGACCAACGATTTTTAAGGAAAGATTGCATAATTTTTAGTAAATAATTTGGATAATTGTAGTTTATTAATTTATGAATCAGAGCTTCGTGCTAAACATTGTCAAATGCTTTCTCAAAATCTAAAAAGACTATAGATATATTTTCATTGAATCTTAGGAAAATTATTTCTCCTCATCTCATTATTTAATGAGTAGTCGAATGTTAAGATCGAAAGCCAAATTGTTGTTATTATTCTCTTCATGGGTGGTCATACGGAAAATATTTATTTTTTCGAAAATTTTGTCAACACAACGAAGAAGCGTTATAGGCTATTTATCGAATAGCTATTGAATTGTAATGAAATTGAAAAGAATACAAGATCTCAGGATGAATATTTCAGGGTGACACATAAATTAAAATATTTTGAAATTATGCAATCAAGATTACCTAACAAATCTTCATGTGTTTTCTTCATTTCTGAATCAACAGGGATGGAAGAAATTCCCAGCGGCGTAAAGAATTCTTCTTCATTTTGAGGCATATTATAAAACATTTATGTATCTAAGTCCGGGATTTCCGCGAAATTCTTCACTTGATTTTTATGATGATGAATTATTATTATTATTTTAGCTACTTGAGTTCATAATTTAAAAAGATTATAGATACTTTTTTTCCTTGCCACTTTTCTATTCAATTGCTATTCTTTTTAATAATTCTTTAGAACTACTTGTAACACATTTGACTCTGAATCTTACATTGAGATTTCTTGTACTTACATTCATACATTAAATATAATTTCTAGGGCTTGAATATTAATTAACGATTTACAAGTCTTGATTAGATTTCAAAAACTTTCTTCAGAAAGATTCAGAAATATATTTTAATTATGTTATTAGTATATAAGTCTTCCTGGCATTTATATGATGTAATATTCTTATAACTAACCATATACTTTGTTAAATTCGCATAGCAGCAAAGAAGAAAATAAAACCTTGTACATTCATTTCATATGGGCCGGTTTATCGTATGTTTCAATACATTTAATTTGAATTTTGATTTCTTTTTCAATCGCTTTCCTTCATTACACGATGTTTATTAATCAGTTCATGAGTCATTTTTTCTGTTTTTTTTTCATCTTCTGATCATATGAATGAATCATCAATCACAAATGAGAGGAAGAAAAATATAACCTCTTGGACCATATGAATGAGTCAACATTCCCAAATGAGAGGAAGAAAAAATTGACCCATTGGTATCAAAAAGAGTTGAAATAGAGCAACAACTAAACTTAAAATTTCAAGGAAGAGAAGATGGAGGAAAAGGAATATTGAATGATTGACGTCATATTGAATGTTATTAGTAAGTCTTCAGTCATTTAATTAATTTTTTTCGATTACAATCGTGCTTCATGAACTAATCCATAGCTTACGTTTATATTGTTGATGAATTATTCAAAATATTCTTAGTGACCACAATTCAGACACATAAATGTTAATTATTTATATATGTGTTTCAATCTCAACGACTTCTCTTTACATCTTCATTCATTCCAAAGTGATTTTAAAGTTAAAGCAGAAATCACTTGAAGTGATGAATATATGTAAGCGATAATTTGTAAATCGAACAAGATTAAAAAAAAGACTAAGAGGGTCTTGTGAGTTTTCTCAACTCGATTTCTATAACTTAAATCGAAGGTGTCATCAAATTTTGTCCAAGTAGCTTCCGATGAACGATAAAGGTTTCTACCTTCATCTGGATCATTAAAATTTCAAATAAGCATCTAAATAAGAAGGGAAAAAATGTCGTAAGAAATTGTTACATTTGAATATTTGTTTCATATATTACATTATCACAAGTATTTCATTTTGAATTCATTTCAACAATGATTATAGATTCAGTTGGTTATTCTTCTTTGGGCTATTTTAGCCGTTGCTAACACGTGCGAAAAAGATTCTACATACTTTGTTTTTTACTTTTTCTTTATTATCATATTCACTATATTTATGTCCATCTTTTATCTTTTCTTTCTTCATTCACTCGAAATTATTAATTTTTGTGTCTCTATGATGATGTCGTCACTATCTAAATCTTAAACAAAATATTAAAGTAAATAACAATAATAAAGAAGATCTTAAAACATGTTCAAAATTTTTAATTGGTTCCAAGAACCTTTAAGTTTTTTTGAGGCAAAATTAAATATGTAGCTTAACATCTGTACATGAAGATGTGCAAAAGATTTCTTAAGTTCTACTTCATTTAAACAACCAGTGATATAATAAATGAAGATTCCAACTAAGCCCTAAACCTTATAGACCAATAAATTTTATAATAAAGATAAGAAATGTCTCCTTGAAAGTTCTCCTTATCATTTGATATACACAAGTTTCACAGTGGGAGGAAATGAATTTTCATGAATGCTAAAAATAACATCGAATTAAGCTGACAATTAGAACGAATTGGAATGAAAGCTCGCGATGCCTACCAGCGTAAAGAGATATTCTAGGAAGAGTCCCCATTGTCATTAATTAACTTTTCCTTTGACACACAATTACTTTCAATTGATGATTTAAATTGGGTTAATAATATTATAGATATCAAGAAGTAATTCTATAATAAATTCATTGTCAGAGTCGGCAAAAGCTTTTCATAACTTTTTTTCTTAATATTGATATGAGCTTATAAATCGTTCGAGCCTCCGATTGAGAATGAAGATCTTTTATGCATTGACACGAAGAAAATCTGAGATATAAAGATTCAATAATGAACCTAAGCATTTGGGGCTGTATTTAGAGCGATTCGAATACATAAGCATAGTTATCCTTTCCTTGATTTTTCTTGTTCTCCATCAATTCGCCACTGGATCAGAGTGGTCGATGAGAAAAAGAAAAAACGAAGTACAGTGTTCGTTACAGCTATAAAAGGAGAGGCAAAAGATATCAGAGGAATAGATCTTTGACGTAGTCGAAACCAGACAGTCGCGCAAAGTTTTGAAGTCAACTGTGAAAGTGAAAATCCTTGAAATTTAAGTTTTAGTTTGTGATAATCAAAAACATTCATTAATAACTCAAAGTTGAAGAACGAAATAACAAATTCTCAAAACAGCAAGAAAGGTTTTTTCTTTTAAAATAAGAAAAAAAAATTACAATCTTATTTGTATAGTGAAGAAGTCACATATACCATTTATAGCATATATTGAACAACGTATTGATTGGTAAGCAAATTAAAAATTAAATTAAAACATTTTGGGGGTGGAGAGAAAGAAAGAAAAAAATAAACTTAAATTAAGGTATACATGTATATCAATTTTTAACTCTCGGATTATAGATACTCGAGATTTTTACGTTATTGAAAATTTTAAATTCAACAAAATTCGTTGCATTGACTGACTTTCATTACTTCCTCTGATTTTCAACAGGTTTTATTATTATTTCTTTTTAATTTCACCCCGGTTTACTCTCCCAAACATTTTTTTTCTTTATATTTATTCATTAAAAAATTACATAAAATTAGAAAATTTCTTTCTTCAAACCTATATTGTAATTGAGAGATTGTTAACAAACAGCTGGTTTTGTATTTTTGATGCGAATTTCAATTTTCAATTATTTGAAGAGATTTGGAAAAAATTTCGTAATGTTTCCCAAACCATCTTTTTTTCATAAATATTATTTTATTCCTTGATTAGTTTAACAAATGACATTTTTGACAAGAATATTTTGAGAAATATATTCCTTACGTTTAAAATAAAGACTGAGAGAAGTTAATTCAAAGTAACTCGGCTCGTTCAACTTCATTAAAATTTCCCCCCGGCTCGTTCAACTTCATTAAAATTTCTATCGTAAAGTTAAATTTTTTATCGAAATTAATTTTTTTTGCGAATAAAATTTTTAGCCAGATAGTCGAAAATAAGTCAAGAAACAACATATTTGATAATCTGCCTAGTCAAAATACAAGAAAATGAGTAGCAAGGAGATACGAATGAAGAAATTTGTAAAAAACGATAAGAAAACTTTGAGGGCATTTTCATAATCTTTCTTATCCATCTCAAAAAATTATGTTTCCATCTCTTCTACATTCAAATATTCTTAGATTTATGTAGGTAGTAGGCAAAAAAAATGTTTTTGTTATTTTTTGATAATTATAAAAAAAATCTCATTTCAATTGAGCTTTTCTATGTGTACAAAGGAAGGAAGAAACATTGTCATGTAATGAGTAGATATTTGTTACCGACAAAAAACGCCATATAAACCGTTCCATTTTGTTCGAAGAATAACTCGTGTGTGTCACATGTTTTTAAAATGAAATAAAGTGACATAAAATAGTTAAATAGAAAAAAAATGAAAACTTAAATTTTCATTGAATGATCAACGACGTTAGTTTGAAAAACGAAGAAGGAATATTCTGATGCAATAATGAAATTTAAATTAAAATAATCGGACGGAGCTCAGTTTACCTATTTTAAAAATGCTCGCACGTTTGTGCAAGTTAATGCTGCTCAGTTTTATGCCATAAATTACCGAACATCGCTTGACGACAGCTGTTTTTGAAGTTGTATTTAAGTATTTTCCCGGTAGTCGTTTCATAGTCCAGGTCAAATTTCTCTCGAAAATGTTTGAAACAATTTTTTTTCATAAGAAAAATTCCTTCACAATTTTTTTTTGCATGCAAACGAAGAAATAAGATGAGATTCCAAAATATTTCCTTTCATTCTTTTTTTTCAACGCAAATAATCACTTATTACATAATAAAAAGGTAAAATTTTATCAAGTTTGTTGAATGTATTGTTGGGGATAATGATTTGTCTTCTCATCTATCTTTGGAAGATTTGTCTTATTTCTATCATTCATACTTTTTACAATCTGATTTAAATTTGAAGTTTCTTATCATAATTAGAACAGACGTCTTAAATTTCTCTCGTCGCATTTGTGTGCTTTGTTTCTTAATCTACGAAGTTCTTACGAAACAAATTATTCATTGAACTTATAGCAAAATCTAAATATCATTAGTAGAATAAAAATTATATTTTTTTCTTATTTCCCAAATGATTCATAAATTAAATCGAAACTTTTCGAATTATTTAACTTCTTCCGTATTGAAATCAATTCTTGCTAATCACTTTTAACTTACTTATTCAATCGGAAGAGTCTTAGCAACTGTAAATCGTACAATAGTCAAGAAATAAATTATGATGACAGTAAAGATTTTCAGATACAGTAATTATTCGAACACTTGTTTTTACACACCGAGAAAGAGCGAGAAGCATTTCAAAGCAAAGGAAATGTAAAGAAAAAATAGGCAGTCGACACGTTTTATATCAATTTAAAATTTAACTATCGAAAATATCGAAAATGACAAAATAAATGAAAAAAATGAACAAAGGACTGGAAATGGTTCGATATTTATTGATGACGCATTCATTATGGCGTTTTACAATGCTAGATTACTGATATTTTAGCTTAGTATAAAGGCAAATATTCGAGAGAACTCTCTGTAAACGTGTCCACCAATACACTTTAAATTGACAACAGAAAGCAAACGAAGAAAAAGAAATAATCAATGTGCATTTCATTTCATTCATAGAATAAAATGCGAGCGATAAAGTTAGTTGAAATTGTGATTTTGAGAAAGCAAGATGTGTGACGGATTCTTTCTGTAAAACCACGCGATAAAAAGTTTTTCAAAGAAATAAGAAGTAGTTTGTTTAATTCAGACGAAAGAAGTTGATGTTTTTGATACATCTTGAAGACCACACTAATATCTCTCATTTGAAATTCGTAAAAAATCAGGAATTCATTAAAAAGTCATTTGAAAAATCCATCCGTGATAAGCTTAAATTATTTTATTGAATAGAATAATTGAAAAATAGTGAGAAAAAAGGGGAAACAAAGTGAGAGCCCCGTTGTAGAAATTTCAACAGTAATTCTTAAACTGTTCCACATGCTGTATAACGACGATCGAATTATTTTAATGAAAATTAGAAGAAATTTTGACTTCAATTACTTAAATATATCAAACGTTACGTAACAGTGGTTTCTTACTCTTATTGCAACTATTCTTTAAGAAGATATATTTTATATTTTCAAAGAGATTTCTTAGAAAACATCATCAGATAAAGAAGACGACAAAACGACAAATAATTTCATCAGAAAATTGTTACTGACGAAAGAAATTTCAAGAAAAAAATTGAAATCTAAGTGGTAAGCAAATTGACACGAGCCTTGTTTTAAAACAGATTAGTCGCTGTCTGACTCGTGTCAGAAGCTTAAAATATTTTTTCCTTAGTTTTTCTTATTTTTCGGTTTATGAACGATCAAGTATTTAAAATGCACAACTGATGCTTTATAAGCTAAATAAATATTCATCATAGATTAACATACATGTAACCTTATTTTTCTATTCAATGCAGATTATGAAAAGTGCCCTCTTTTTATTCATCCTGTCGGTTACATCGACTGCCTTAGCACGGCCTCCAACCTTCGAATCGGAAGAGTATACAGATAACAATTTGGTTGATACGATACCCGAAGAAATTCATGAAGATGAACGAACAGAACATGTTTCGATGTAAGATATTCATAATCTCGTTCAATATACATATATGTATATTCTTATTTATATTAAAAAATAAATTGTTTATCTATGAATAGAACATCGGCACCAAAGAAAGACATTTACTTTCCATCAGAACCAATAGAAGCTGAATGTAGAGTTACTGGAATGCCAGTCCCTGTTGTCGAGTGGGTACATGGAACAGGATCAATAAATGTAAGTTTATTCACTCATGAATATGATGAATTTTTATTAAAAATTTAACATTTTATTTCTTTCTTATTTATTTTATTTACAGAACAATGACTTTGAGATGAATACAATCATTGATCAGAGCCCTTCGGGCATAGCGACAGTTGTTGCACGATTGATCATTAAACCGCATCATGTGAAACCTGGCACAACTAGAACATTTACATGTGTCGGTAAATCAGGAGCCAAGGTTGTCAAAGCATCAAGTACGTTTTTCCTAATCTTCATTTGAGTTTCTAAAGCAAAATAATAATAATATATTAAAATCATAGATAATCTAATCATAAAATTAAAAAATTTTTAATACTCAATTTTTATTTCTTTTCTTTCAGCAACTGTTCATTTTAGCCATGAATCGAAACAGCCTGATATAATTTCAGCACTTGTTGGAAGTGAGAAGATAAAAATCTACGAATTCTATGAAAATCTTTTCGAATACATTGGTTCGAATGTTGTGTTACCATGCAAAGCCACTACAAAAGCTGAAATTTATTGGATCAATGACGATGGAAAATTAATCACAGGACAGGAACCAAGGTAAACATCTTTACTTACCGTAAAAGAATAAAAAAATAACATAAATTTTACTATTTTTTATGATACAGACTCAAGGTTCTTGAAACTGGTGAACTCTTGATCACAAACCTTAGATTCGGTGATATGGGAACTTATATTTGTCTTGCTAAGAATAATGTGTCGAAAGATGTTGCTAGTACTTTCCTTTATCCACTCGCTAACAAGAAATAAGAATCTTAAATCATTGTCGGAACTCATTAAAATATGTACACGAAAAACGCCATTTTTTAAAAATTCACACAGAAAATAAATAATAAGTAATAAGTATCGGAGGCCGAAAAGACAAGTTACTTAAAAATTATTTTTACCAATCAATTATAATTACCATATGTTTTTACTTTAGTCTTTTAAATTATTTATTAATTATGCAAACAGTTTAGATTTAAGAAGTAATGTTTTAATGGTAAAAAATTGCTTTAAATTGATTTTCCTGTCAACATCTTGAAAATGTAATCGAGAAAGATTTCTCGAAAAAGATTTTATTTTTGAAGGTGAAGAAGAGTATCCGATCATAAAATTTCTAGTGACGTTAAATATCTCATCTCAGGCTAAGAAATATTGTTTAGTTGGATTAGTTCTTTATTATTAGATTTTATTTTGAAAAATATTAAATAATAGAGGCTACAGTATATCCATATTTTATTGTCTTTTCAACCTTGATAAAATAATATGTTCAAAATAAATAAAGAAGAAAACATGAAAATATAGGAAATTTAATTGCATTGATAAAAAAAAGGTGTGGAAAATTGAATAAATAATTACTTTCAGGTTTTTAAATTACTCATTTAAATATCACATCATTAATTTTATATTTTTGGACCTATCTTAAGATTTTCACTTATCTAAAGTTTAACAAAGTTTTAAGTTTTGAAATGTTCACGACTGTTTACAGCACCAACTCTCGAAAATTATAACGAAAAAAATATTCTTACAACAGTTTGAGAATCTTTGATGTAAAACAGTTTGGTATTAATGTTTTATTACTTACACCTAAAAACAGAAAGATTAAAAATGTTTTTATGTGTGCGAAGTTCCCGACGATCTCTCTCAACTTCATTCATTAGTTGCCACTTGTTAGAATTACATTACATATTGGATTATTAATAATTTTACGTCGTTTTTTTTAGAATGAAAACTAACGAAGTGAGTTTGAAAGTGTTAGACGATTCTACTAAAAATTTAAATTTTTAGTTGAAATTCCATAAATTTTTGAAAATAGGCTCTTTTGTGTAGTAGTCGATAAATTTGTGCATTTAAATTGTCTTTTTCTCATACGTCGCCTCCTACAACACGTGATTAACAAAAATAGTCAATTCCACTGACAAAAAAACGCATGAAGCGAAGAAATCGGACAGCAATCAAGAAGATTAAAAAAATTGGGTGAGTTCCAATGAATGAGATGAAAAAATCCTAAATTTAGATTCAAATCTGCTATCACGGAACAAGACGATTACAGTAAAACATCTTTTTGATTAAAGAAGTGGCGTTCCCGTTTCACATCCGCTTGAGGAAGTTGTTGACGTACACATTCTTCATTTCCATCTGAAAGCTTTTTTTTTCATCGTATCACCACCATCGTATGAGCGATGAGAGGTTTTTAATTATTTTGTAAACTTCTTTCTAGCATCCGTTTCCCACAAGTCATTAGAGATAATGGACAGATGAAGAAGAGAAAAAAATATAGATACAAATAACAACTGATTACATTGCAACGTTAACTAATAATTTATTGAGAAAATAACTGAGTACAAAAAGTCATCTCTCTTGTTTCGTATCAGCTTTTTTTGGGTTGTACTTAAGTGTCAACCTCGGCCCAGTTTATCAACTTTTTGAATATTGTGATTGTGTATGTTATAAAATTAGAAGAATTATCAAATAAGAGAATTTTTTTCGCATTCTCTTCGTTATCTTGGTTAAAATCAAACGGAATTTTAATAAACTTTAAGTTGAACCCTACTTTTGACCCCAATATTCCTAAAAAAAACACTAGTCTAGGTAATTGGACTTGGATTTACTCATTACTTCTACTGTGCGTTATCGATCGAGGCCATTCAAATAAAATAATTATCAGAAACGAAAAGGAAAAAAAATAAATGAAAAAGAGCGGGCGAGCGATTTTCTCAATCGTTTTTACTTATGATCGTTTCAAGTGGGAGGACTCGCTTTATTTCGGATTTGTAGGAATCGGGGGAGGGCTAGGAATTTTTTTGAGACATCACTGAAAGTCAACCATACATATACGAAAAGAAACATTTTGGATTTTTATTCATTCTACCAGATCATAGCAGATCGCTGCTATATTCGCAATTTGCACGAGTATCGAAAACATCTCAATTGTATTTGTAAGTAGTATTCGTCTGTGATCATAAGTCGGTTATAATTTTTTTCCTCATTTTCGTTTGTTAATATACATATGAATGAAGATCTTTTCGAGGTGCTTATGATAAAAGAAACCAAAAAAAAAACTTTTATGGAGTTCAAAAATTCCAATCTTAAAAAAAATTCATGTGTTCGACTCTTATAAGTTTTTGTTTGTGTTTGAAAATACGCAAAAAAAGTCGAATCTAAAAGTTTGATATTTCTTGTGTGCGGTGATCACCAACACATTAGAGTTGAAGCTTAAATTTTTTTGACATTGAATCTCTCGCTTGTTATAATTTTTTCTAAAGACATGTTTGTTGTAAAGAATTGTTTATTGTTTAAGTTGATATGGTTCAGAAGCAACTGGAGATAAGACAAAATGATTTGAATAAAATAGTAAAAACGAATTTTTTTTGCATAGATTTTATATGTAAATGTTTCATATGAAGAAATTAATGAAGTAGTATTAAATAGCTTACGTCATTCCCCTGACTAAAAGTTTCATTCCGTTTTCTACGGAAGAAATTCGAGAAAAATCTATTCATAAGAGTCTTCAGCCTTGCTTAAGTTATTAAAATAAGAGTCTTCAGCCTAACTTAAGTCATAATAAAGATTAACGCAACGAGAGAATTTCACCAAATGTCTCTGAAAACTTTTAAGGCCTCTACAATTTAGTCTTTCAAATATCGATATGTACGTTCAAGAAAATAAATACAATTATCTTTGAATGTTATACTCGTTAAACGTTTTTTTAAAGTCAAAACTTTAAAGTAAAAAAAATTAAAGAGCCGATCGTATGGTGAGAGAAGAAAGAGTTTGGTAGTGTATTGTGTTTTCGTATTCAAAGCATTGGAATTTCATGTGTTTTTGAATTTTTAGATCGCTCAGAAAATGTTGCAGCAGTGTATGTTTCTATAGGTTTTACAATATTTTCAAAAATCTCTCTCGCTCCCCTCCCTGTTTCCCCCCGCTTACTGCATATCTCAATTCTTCAATAAAGAATTCTTTTCTTTACTCCATTGAAACTACTTCATTTCCAACACATTGGTAGTTTGAAATCAACACACGACGATGATAATAGAAGCACAAGAAAATATTTTTTTAATGAAAATTATAAAATATTTCATTAGTGTCTCGTGAAACATTTAAACGCAAAAAAGAAACGAAGGCATTCTAATAACTGAAAATTTTAGGCGATAAAGAAATGGAGTTTGATAATAGAAAAATGTTTTAAAAAGAGAAAAAAAGTGGAAGCAAAAATCAGAAAGTTCGCGATTTCGTTAGTTTTTAATTCCTAAGGTGATCAGATGAAAACTTCGACGCCATTTCCATTCGCGCAAGCTCAAACAAAAAAGTGACCCAACCAAATTAAATAATCAGAGATGACGAATTGAAGAGATGGGAAAAATACCACAAAGACGATGATGTAATCAGATAATTCTAAATATATTTAAAGAGAGATCCACTAATTCGTCAAATATGAATTGAAAGCAGTTGTGAAGTTTTTTTTTTCGATCGATTTCATACAGTAAAGTTTCTTGTGATTGCTTAAATGTAGGAATTTCGAGGTTAAACTTGCAACAAAAGAAAGCTAAGAAGAAAATCTTTGAAATTCTTTTACTTTTCTTATGGAATGTGCTTCTCCTTCTTTTCGTCATCGCTTTTTGCCTTTACACATTATTCATGAATGAATCGAAAAGGAGTAGGAATGGTAAAAGTAGTTCATTGACCCGTAGGGGCCGTCGTGGGTATCTCTTCTTTTCTATGCTTTATACATTTCTCTCTCACTCGCCAAAACGCGTTATTTTTTTGTCAAGCATTTGAAAATCGACTTTGTAATGAAAACGTGCCAGTGCTTCTCTTCGCGAGTGTATGTCGAGTTGGAGGAATTGAGAAAAAAAGTATAGTATTCATTTTTAATGTAGACTTTCGCAGTTGGGAAATATTTTCCCATTAACGAAATCGTTTTCAATTTTTCTTTTTCATCTTTTCGAGAAAAGAAAAAAATTATTCAATTTGACAAATTTTTACCTGTTTGAGAGCCTAAGTAATCGTTGAGGTTACACTAACGATGAAGGCGTTTAATGGGAACCAAAACCAGTTTCTATTCACATTCGAAAGTCGCTGACAAAGTGATTCATCTGTAGGAATTTATTGGAAGTGATCGTATTTAGTTAAGAATCACGAATTTTTTTGATCGATTTTTTTTTATTTCGATGGGATCATCATTGAGCAACGAAAAAAACGTAAAAGAATGTGGAAACAGCTACACTTGTGTGCACAAACACATACTAAAGTAGAATTTGCTTTGCTGAAAAAAAAGTCGTAACCAACACAGAAAATTTTCAATCTGTGATCTCGAAAAACGCTTTTTCTTCCTTCTCCATTCGATGTTTAATTCGTTCTCACTCACTCTGACAGCAATGTCGAAAAACCAGAAAAAAGAGAAACAAGAATGTTTAAGAATCTTTTGAGACATCATCAGCTTCATAGCACAGTTGTGTGTGCAGCTAGAGAATCGAAAAACGAGAGAAAACAAAAAATATTTTCAAACTTTTCAATTTCAATTTAGAAGCGAATCTTGTGATGTGTGCGGATAACAAATCTGTAGTGAGAAGTGATTAAGTTTAATTTTTTTTTATATATTTTATTCCTTCACAGTTACATAATCATAGCAAATTCAAGAAGTTTTTTCCTTTTTTCTTTTCTCTTCTTAAACATATCTCAAGTTGTGAACGAGGAATGGAATGTTGAAGTGTCGTGATCTCAATCGATGATAACATGAAAAAAGAAATTTATTCGTCCGAATGTTCGTTCGATTTCTAAGTGCAAATGTCACACACATTATATCGACTCACTACGCCTATCGTTTTCACATTCTTTTCTCTCTGTATTATTCCATTCATTTCATTCATAAAAACAGACCCACACACACATTAACAGGGCGAGTCTTTGCATTTATGCGGAGCGAAAGAGAAGTGAGATGGAGCGATTTGGACACAACCTTTGATGGATGTTTGTGTTCAAATAAAAAATAACACTTTTTCGGGTTTTTTGGAATTTCAGTACCGTTATATATTGTCGTGAGAATGAATTTGGTCCAAATTCCTTTTAATTTCCTTCAATACAAGAGACTTTTCATTTCAAATGAAATAAAAATTCGAAATTTTATGATAAAAATTTCTTTTATATTAGGTACCGTCAATACCAAATCAATATTTTTAATGATGATCACAAAGAAATTTAATCGATATTGGGTGAAATATCAGATTGATTCGTCCTTGGGTGGTCAATACTAATCAACAACATATAATAAAAACTAATGATGAGAAAAAGAACTTTTGCAGTAATCATTGGAAAACACGTTTTTCTGTCATCATCTACTCTTTAAATTCATTGCCACGAAAAGAAATAAAATATTTCTATGTTTTCATAAATGAATCGCTCTCTTATCTTTTAAGGTTGAGTCTGGAATATCTTGTCGGATGGTGAACATCACAAAAACTTTATATGAAGCTGATGTCTGTGATGATAAAGTGTAATAAAAAAAAGAAATTTTTAGCATTTCCGGTTTTCAAATTTGATCTGACTTTGATACTTTTACCAGTGTACTTTGTTGAAACAGTCATTGCCGGTACATATTAGTGAGATCATTTTGAAAGCTGATTATGCAAAAAAGTTTACTACAGTCAAATCACTGACCTCTGATCAGCACTTGGCGCTCTATACTGAACAAACGAATAAAAAAATGAAAAGTAGAACGACTGTGCAATGTTAACAACAATCACCGGTAATTGATTGCATTCTTATACGGTTACGAATCGCGCTGATTTGTCTTTTCTTCATGCAAACAGCTTTTTGTTGTATTTTTTTTTATTAATTTTAGATTTCCAAAGAATTCAACTTCATTATCATGCATCATGTTGAATCATCAAAGCCGAATGTTTCATTCTTGCTTTGAATGAAGGAACGAGGGAAATTCCTAAACATATTTCTTGAATAACTTCTTGGAAGACGATACTGCTGCAATTATATTCTATTTCAATATTTATTTCATAATATTTACTAGATGTATTTGACGTTATTAAAAAAAATTTTCGCATATAAATGTTTTTTTAAAATACTTTTTTCTTTATTTTGTTTTTCTCATGGTTGAAGATACAAATTACAGTACATTAATATTTTTTTATCTTTCTTAATTTTAATTTTCTAATATAAAAGTTTATCATTTTTTATGTAAGAAATTAAAACCTTGTTTTTATCTGATCTTGTGATTAAAAATTTCTTATGCTTTCAAGTCTTCGGGTTTGAGAATGAAATTTTTTACCTCAAATAAAATATGTTTTAAATAAAAATATGAATGTATCTATATGGAATTATAAATGAAAGAAAATTAGATGAAAAAGACAGTTTGATTTATTTTGTAATAAAATTCATATTAAATAGCACCAACTCAATGAATTTTATTAAAGTTTTCATTCTGCTTTACAATATATGTAGGTATAAAAATAAGATTTCCTTGTAAAAGAAAAAGATGTCTTGAGGTAGATTTGTTACGATTAGAGACAAGAGCTGATATTAAAATTGTGGAATGTAGGAACAACCTTTTTTCTTGTTCATCGGCTGTGATTTTGACCTATTTTCATGCGGTCAATGACTGTTGTGTCCATTTTATGGAATACTCGTAATTTTGTTCAACAAAAGAAAAATTAATAAAAAATAAATTTTTTTTGAAAATAATATTTCATATAAGAACATTAATTGATTGAAATTATATTTTGTTTGTTCACTTTCTTGTTTTACATCAGTATTTCATTTATGAAATATATACTTCAATTCTTTTAAGTTTATTCCGATAAATAAGTATTAATGCTACTAATTCTAATTTTGATTTTGTGCCTCCGATATAATTTTAATCTTTATTATTTAATTATTATTTTATTTCCTTCATATTATTATTATTATTTTTCTTTCACAAGTTTTCTAAGTGGCCAAAAATCATTTGCAAAATTTTCGTTCCCATATGGATCGAAGTCATATTATGGTTAGATTTTAACTTAATAGTAAACAGTTTACAACTTAATGATGAAAACTTCACAAAACTTTCCTTAAATAAGCATTAATTTCTTTAATTTTTTTTTAATCTTGGAGAATTTCTCAATCGAATTTTTTTGTCATTATAATCGAAAGCCTTAAACACAAAGTTTTTCAAACTCAATTTTTTTTCCTTTAATTTTATTAAATTTTTGATTCAATGTAAGCATAATTAAGTATTATGAATATAAGTACTAAATAAGAAAGAATTTTTTTGTTATTCAATATTTCTTTTGTTTTCGAGGATTATTCTACAATTAATTTTGATTATTTTTTTTGCTCATATCAGTTACGAATGTATATAAATAAATACTCTCAACAATTTGATTATATGCTCATTTTTTAAAATTTTTCTTTCTCCTCGATTGACATTTTCAATAGTTGTTGTTCGTTTGTCTGAGGGAAATGTCGGTACTTTTATTTCTTAGAGATATATTCTTTCTAAAATCTAATTTTTTTTCTTCTTACCTCGATAAATGAAAGTTATTCTTTTGTTAAAACACATGATTTATTTTTATAAATGAGAAACAATTACGTATTTGAAATTTCTTGTTTGCAGCTTTCTTCAGTGTCATTGTTTTTATTTTTATTAATTTTCATGAGACATTGCATGATCTTTGCAGTGTAAACTTGAAGTAAAGTACCTATGACTGAATGCATTGTTTTTTTATTGAATGAAAGAATTATGTTTAAAAGTTCAGATAAAATAAGATAATATTAAGTGTTCACAAGAACAAGTAAATAAATAATAATTAGAATTCTTTCAATGCAATGTACAAATTATTTCAACTTGTCAATATTTTATTTTTATATTATTTGAAGAAAAGAATCTTTCGTGATTAAAGAGAAAATGAAAAAAGTTCCCAGCATTATGTAAAATATCGTCACGCAACATAACTAAGTACTGATCTTCCATCCCACAATCTTGTTTTCAAAAAAGTGCAGAATTAAAGGAAAAAACTTTCACATGTGAACCTAAATTATAAACATTATTAATGCAATAGCATCGAACATGTTTTGCATGGAACATTGAAATCATCGTGTTTGTAAATGAACATGAATAAAATAGTCTAATTATCAACCGTGCTCGAGTGATTAATTCTTTATTCAAAGGTGGGAGTTGCGATAATTTGAACTGGTGGTATGCAACACTCACAGTTCACGAACATATAATTGTCACCTTTCAATGACATGACCGTCAGAGTAAGTTTGAGCAATTTCTTTGTTAGTCAGTCTAATTATCAAGTCAATTATATTTTCATTCTTCAAAACATAAAGATAACGATGAAAGAGTAAGGATGTTATTAATGGCCCATTAATGTATATTTTTGCAAATTAATTCTAGACATTTTCACTTTTCTGGTCAAAAATGACACTCTGTGAAATCTCCGACAGCAAAAAAATGAAAATTAATAGATATCTTAAAGTTTTCCGCTCGCCTTTCCACTTTTCCCTTGATTTTTTGTGAACATTTCGATGATTGTCATTTATTCCAATATGGTCTAAATAAACAATCACAACACCAATTGACAAAGTTTGGGGAAGAGAGTAGAATAAATTTATGTCACATTGAATTCATGTGGAACGATCTCTTGATGTAAACAAAGGTCTTTCAGTTCCCCTCTTTACACACCTGGCTTTTGTCTCCCAATCAATTTTTATGATTAATTTTTTTCTTTATATTTTTATTTTGGTATGTCAGTTGAAACATTTGTGTTCGAGTTCTTTTCAATTGCGTCAAAGCCACATGTTTTTGAGTTTTGTTTATTTAAGACGAGGGGCGAAAAGCTAGAATTTGATTATAGATTTAGTGTTAATGACCTCAACTGAATCTTTTTGTTTATTCTCTTAATATAATAATTTATGCAGAATATTTAATTTTGTGAAATTTAAAATGAACTCACAATTTTCATCCCCTTTCATCTGAAAGCCATCTATTCATCGCATGATTAAACTCAAATGAAAAAAAATTCAAGATAAGATTAAACAAATGCTTTTCCTCGGTTCTGTAGGAAAATGTTGTTACTGACTACATATCAAGCATTGTGGAGACATTTTCGTTGTTGCCAGCGGTTTGGCTTTGTCCGCATTTGTCGACACCATGATGGGAGAACTAAAGGACGGGTTGATTTGTCAATAGAAGAACAAACAAAAAAGGCAGCATTTGTTAAAATATCGATTTTTTTATTTTGTTTTCGTTCTCCGTATCGCGATAACATTGATGAGTTGGTTTTGCATAGACGTGCGCGTGCCTCATTTATAACAAATATATTAAGCCAGAACTCAGAATTGTAAATTATAAATTTTAATACACGAACAAAGCTATAAAGGTAAATATAACCCTAGGGTGATGATGTTTTGTCATCAATTTTACCCTGAATTTTTTTATTCGTTGCAGTCATCAGGCTTGCGAGATTACGAAGTAAGTGACGTGTAATTAAAGAGATTTTTCAATTATGACACTTATACTATCGGCTTCAGCTTCCCATCCGTTACGTCGTATATTAATAAAAAATCTTCTCGTACATTACCACGTGCGATTAAGTTTCGATTTCATTAGAAAAATAGTAAAAAAAACTCCCAAAAATGAGGGAATCTTTAAAATTGTCATTTTTTTTATGTTGCATCGATTCAGTTTCCCTAAATTTTATCTAAAAAAATGGAAAAAATGCGTTATAAATTTTGTTCGGATTTTCTTTGACAAGTTTTAGTAGATTTGGGGTGACGTGAAAGGATTTAATGAGGGTACAAAGAGCACAGTGACGCTTATTAAGCTGCCGGCACATTCTTTTATTGCATTTTTTCCATTCAAAATTTTCTGTTTAAAATTTCACCCAAAAAATATGAAAACTTTCATTTTCCAAAAATGTGAAAAAATCATTAATAGGATTTCAAATTCAATAAAATTAATGTTTAGATTAGGGGATCGGTGTTTCTATACCCTTTATGTCTCTTTACACATGCTTCGAACACACGCAAGAAATTTTGTGAAAAATTTTATAATTTAATGAGATAAGAACGTCCCAAAATTGTTGAGCTGGGTAAAATTAACCCTAAATATTCTGTGTCGTTATATTTTCAACCCAAAAATGAAGTGAAACTTATTTATATAGTTTTTAATGAAGCTCGACATCTGTTAGACTTGTGCACTTGAACGTTCAATCAGAATCCTTTTTTTTTCATCTTTTCTTTATATCTAATTGACGAAAGCAAAAATTGTGTCATACATGAAATCCCAAAAATCAAACTTGCTGCACAAATAGTTATTAATGCTTTTTAATTAATAGAGCTTTGTGATTTTTTCCTTTATTAATATCTATTTGATTATTTTTTATTCTCTTTGGTACATATATATGAAAAGTATTTGTGATGTTTGCTTAGCACTTTCTCCCATTCTTCAAGTTTTCTTCAATTTCCAACATTTCCCTCCCAAGATCCATTAACGCCATTCACCATACAAAAAATAAGATGAAAAAGAAGAAATACTGGCCTCAAAAAAAAAACAAAAGAGAGTGGGAGAGAGAGGGAAACATATAAATAAATAAGAAAATGGAAGAAGAAAATTTTCAAGCTAAAATTAATACAGAAAAAATTAAGAAGAGGGAATAATTTAACCATTCCGTCCGGTCAAGAAATTGAATATATGCTTATCTGTTCATTAGAAAAAGAATTTAAAGAATGGTAATTAAATATCGTCTAAAATATAATTAATAATTATGTTTGTTCAACCTACATCTAAACATCTTAGTAACATAACCGGTTGCCAAGGAGAGTGATGATAATGGAAGGGGTATTAGATGAAAAACGAAGAAAAATGTGAAACGAAATATGAAGAAATTAATTGTGAAAATCCTTAGAAAAAAACAGGCAAGGAAAATTATTTTTCTCCATTTTCACTGACTGTGCATATATGTATGATATAAACTCTCAGCCACCTTAGTGAACCCCTTAGAAAACACCTCCACTCTTACCACCAACTCCTAACATAAAACTTTCCTTTTCATTTTTCTCTAAAAAGACGTAAATATCTGCTTGACTCTCCGCAAACGAAAAGTATGTGGAGAATGTGCTTGTTGGATGTGAACGAACTGGTTGGTAAGAGAGAAAATTTGAAAAAAAAACAACCAATGTGGGGTTAATCGTTCGGACAGCCTGCCACCACCCCACACCATCAGATTCACTCTCTCTTAAAAATAATAAAAGTGAAAAAAAAATCCTCATATTCTCGTTCTATTGTTGAATTGTCCACCAGTTTATCCGAACTCCATGTGAGTATTCGTGAACCCACACATCTATGACTGTTTTTAAGGGGTTTCGGTCTTTTTCACCGAGGAAAAAATTCTACGAGAAGAAAAGAAAAGAAAAGAAAACTTCTCAAATCACTCTTTTGAATTGCTAACTCTCTTCGGTCCATCGACAACCTCATCACCCTCCCATACAACAACGCATACAAGGCCGAAAAGTTTTTTCTTTCTAATTTCTCTTTCCAGATCACAACAACAACATGAACATAATTAGAAAGGGAAAATTCAATTCTAATTTACAGAAAGACGAAGTGAGAAATGCTCAAGAGGTGGCCTTAAAGTCTGCATGCGAAAAGAGTACTTAAAAAAGTTTTGTAGGAAATTTTTACGATCATACTGAATTTTCTTCTTTCTTCATAATTGTTCATCGCGATGTGTGCTAATAATTGTCGAGCACTTTCTTCATATTCTTCCTTAGTAGCTAAGCACCACAAAATTTATTTTACTTTCATTCGTTTTTATTTTCCAAGAGTATGTGCTGGTAAAAGTGGGTGGCTTAATTTTAATACCGAATGGAAGAAAAAGCTGTTCTTGGAGGTGGTTTCTTAGTCCCTGACAGATGGGAGGCAAGTTATTGAAAATCAATATTTATCTCCGTTCCCTCTCCCAAAATATTTTCCACTTTTTCAAACTCCAGCATTCTATAAATCTTTTTCGGTATTCTTTCTTTTTATTTTATCTCATAATAAAATATTACAAGAATCGCCGTTTCGTTTTCTTTTTCTTCAAATCCTTGATGATGGAATTGCTTATGAATTGAAATTGAAAATTCTTTCAACGTGTTTTGTTGAATGTTACTTTTTTTATTTAAGTCAGATTCATGAATCATGATGTTAAAAGAATTTATTCAGTGACGGTGATTACTTTTCAATATTTGAAAGACATAAGTGAATTTTTTTTGTCGTTTGCAATGATTTTAGTTGATGATTAAATGTTTGCTACATGTTCACTGCTTTACTGCGAGTTATATGTGATTCTATGTTGTGAAGTTTGTAATTACCAAAAAGCAATCGCGATTTAATTGTCACTATTATTAAATCCTTTGCATGTGTCGCTGTCGATTATGATGAAAATAATGATTACGACTTTTCGATCTGCCAAACCCTTCTCGCACTTAATTATTCTATATTTTAATTATTCATTTTAATTGTCCTCTAAGCTCTAGTTGATAACTCATACGCGTAACATAAATGGGTGCGAAAAACCTTTCTCCAAAAGGGGTTGTTAGTTTTCAAAAAATTTCTTTGTTGTTGGTCATAAACAAAAAAAAAATGATAATAATGAAATGAAATTGAAAATATGACCGATGAGGGTTGCGGACATCATTAAAAATGCAATATAGTGCTTAAGACTCGATGGTGTTGAGGTATAAGGAAAAAAAAAAAAGTAATGACTAAATTACAGTCTTTACCAGTTTAATCACACGACATTCAAAGGAAAATATTAAACACAAACAGTAAAAAAGGCTTCGCGTTATGGGCGAATACATTTTTAATGATTTGAAGTTTTTCTGTCACTTTGGGGGTGCCGGCATTGATTTGAAAAATCTAAAGGAGTTTTAATAATAAAATTCAATTAAATTTCTGTTTTTGGAGTAGGTATACGTGTCAGCAAGTCTCAAATAATTAGTTAGATAGTTGTTTTTAATCCATAATCCATAAAACATAAAAAAATTAAATTTTAAATTTATTTGTATCTAATCAGAAATTAAACAATATAGATATGTAAATCATAAAACTAATAGAAATTTTTTTTAAAAATAAGATGAATCAATTAGTTACCATGTCAAGTTTACACCACTGATGCTTGCAAAATATTTTAATACTGATACTTCGTTTTTGCTTTCCTCACGAATTTTTCTTTTCATTTCAAGACCAACTGCTGACTTTTTATCAATTATTAATATTATTTTTAAAGTGTAATACATTTAAGACTTTTAATGTCATTAATTTACTATGTATTTCTTTTCTTCCATTATTCACGTTCAAAGAATTACAATATATATGATTTTCCTTCAATTTTTCATTATTTTATTAATTTTTTTACATTTATTTCTTGGTTTTTTTTTATTTTATGTGGCTGACGAACGCAGTTCATTCAACTTTTGATTTTTTTTGCTCATAAAGGTACTTTTTTACTTCTTTATCATCATTTTTTACTCCCTTATTTTGGGGTTTTGGTAACAAATTATATTCTTATCATACATTATTTTCCTTTTTTTATTAATCTTAAAAATGGAATATTTTTAAATGCGTCATGTAATGAACTAATCAAACAAACGGTTGTTTATAAATATGAGGGTTATGATTGATGACTAAATCTTAACGCAACTGCTTTTTTTTGGTATTTCTCTCTAAATGATTTGACCGTAACTTTTTGGTAAAATTTTTGTTGTATAAAAAATCCAATTTTCAATTATTTGCGCAAATTTTATTATTCATGATATTTCGCATGATCGATCTTCAGCTAATTTTTCACTTTTATTTGAAATACATCTGCTAGAAGTTATAAAAATTTACAAATTTCAGTTGCCCACTGAAACCTGTGCCAAGTTAGGAGAGAAGCTGAATGTATCCATGTTTGAAACATGATGTTTGTAGACTCTACACGTTCCTTCGTCATAGTTTAGTTTTAATAAACCATCTGACCGATCTATTGTCCAAATAAAGTGAAAAAGAAAGAATGTAATAGCATATACAGCGGACTCTTGATTTAACGCTCTCTTGATAGAATGATACAACACGGTCTCTTTAGTCATAGGTTATCAAGAGTCCACAGTACTTTTAAAGTGAATTCGAACGGAGACAACATTGAAATTTACACAGAAATTGTCCTTTCTCTAATCTTTCAATGGCTTCAATTTTTAATAAAACGAACGACGGCTGAGAAATCAGTGATGAAAAAAGTTATTTCTAATATGGCCATTTTAACGATGCAAATCATTTGAAAAAAATACTTTTTACCCTATTTTTACGATAAAAATTTATAACACAAAAATGCGTTAGGAAAATAATAATTACGTACTTTTTAAATCGGACTTTTAGTTATGCATTTGTAGACGAGGGTATGACGGTTGCAGGGTTACCAGTAGAAACGTATGAAAAATGTTTAAGATCTTTGACCTTTTCAATGTAGTCAGCCGACGAAAATGCATTTATAATTTTAATGAATGAAGTTCTAGCATTTTTATTTTAGAATCAAAATTAGATAAAACGAAATCAAAAGCAAAGAATCATAAATGCGTGACTGAGATGTCAGTGAATGTGTTTCATTCTCCCTGAATTTGCATTTGAATCTATATGTTCGAACATGTGGGCAATCTGATTTGCATATATGCATAAAACACAATTCAACTAAAGAAATGTATTAATTTCACTTTTTTCCCTAAAATATATTCGACAGACATAATTCTATATGGATTTCAATAACATCTCGTTCACATTTGAATATCTGATCGTTGATTTATGCTTCTGTGTAAAAGTTTCAATAGTAGACAAAATTTCATTTGAAAATTGGATTTATTTGTCTATTGTTTGCTGTTTTCATTTTCAATCGTGTATCGTTTTTCAAAAGTGACGAAGACAAACAAATTTCTACTCGCAAAATATAAAGCAAAAAATATATTGCAACAAGAACGAACTTTGAGTGAAAACTAAATAAAATAAGTTTTTAAACTGCAATGAAAAAAGTTTATAATTTCCTTGTCACTAAAAGATTTCTTTTATCACCCGATAATTTATAATTTTAAATTTATTTTAAAATCTTCCAAATGACAAAGAAAATTCTTTGCAATTAAAATTAAACTTAATCTCTTTTGATTTTCGTTGTCATTCGATCATCGCAAACAGACAATTGCTAAAAAAGGCACACAGCTAATAAATAATTTTTAAAATTTGTAATTTCTTCACGTTCATCTAGCAATTGCTGTGCGGTTGTTTTCACTCTTGATGTTTAAACACCCACATTCTTCAACATTTTGAACATGAAAATCAAATTTTATAGGATTCTAATAAAACAACATGAATTGAACGAAAATATTTTCAAACTCAATTCATGTGGAATTTATATTGAAAATGATTATAATTGTCTAGTTCAAAGTTGTTCTCGATAATTGAACGGGATTTTTATGGGTTTAAACATAAATGATTGAAGACTAGTTGATTGACTAGAAATGCGTAGAAGATGATGATGATAATAAATAAAATTAATTTGTAATTATGTATATACACAGGAATATGAATTCTTAGAACTAAAGATAGTATTTCATAGCTACACGAATGAAGTAGATAGATATTAGGTAAATGTTTAGTTTACTTTCATTATGCACTCATGAAACTTTGGTAAAATTTATTTTATATTTTTGTTATGTCTTAAAATTCTCCCTGCTGAATAAGTAAATTGTTGACGCTGTTTCATTGCAAATATTGGTAAAATTTGACTAGATAATTTTAATCTATATCGGCTTATCGCTAATTTCCATAAAAAAGAAAAAGTTGAACAGCAGTTTTTATCATGAAGTAAAAAATAAAGCTTGTAATCTGGTTTTATTTCGAGGTATATGCTGTCGTTTAAGTTTTTAGTAAAGTTTCACTTTCTTTTATGAAATTATATAGAAGTCTTTTTGAATGACAAGATAAATTGAACTATTTTTAAAATTTCATTGACATCTAACAAAAATATTCATTTCATTCATTTCTTTTTTCTGTGATTAGCCTTTTTTTTTCTCTTATTGAATGAATGACTTGTGTTGTACTATCTTTTCTTGAAACCCTGAGTTACGGATTTTTTATGTTTTGCATAAAATTTATGTCTTATTTACATGGGAGAATGAGACGCTGACGACCTTTAGTAAAAAACAACGAGCACTAAATGAAGATTTATCCTTAGAAAAATCACCTTAGCAGCTCATTTAGAAATGAAATTGGTTGGTAAATAAATGAGAAATTCGTACAAAATATTATGAAATATGCTTGAATGAATCACTTAAGTTTAACAAATCTTTTTTTTCCATCTGAATACGTATTTAGAGGATTATCAATATGCAAGAATATTTGTTTTCCAATTGTCACTCTTTAAGTCCATGTTATGATTTTCAGGTGGATTCAAAATCTTTGTTATTCCATTTTCAGATCCTATGCGAGCTTTAATTTGCTATTGTGAATACATTTTTGTACCTAAAGCTCAGCTTTTTCAATGTTGTTTTTTGAGCAAAATGTTTTTTTTCTTTAATTTTTCTTTTAAGTTTTTTTTCTTTTCATTTCTCAACTCCATCATTTTGCAGTTTCTTTTTTAAATCATTTTCACTACTTTAATTTGACTAATTCTCATTATATATTCTAACTGTTTTTTCAACTCAGTGTCATTATGCTTTTGTTTCGTTAAATTGAAAAATCAATCAAAACAAAATCTCTTACGTTGTATAGCATGATTAGATAAAGAATTGAGAAAGAAAATATGATATAGGTTAAAGTATTCAAATTACGTTACTCAAATTTTTCTTTTTTTTTCTTCTCCTTCAAATTTTGTCTGTTTTAGTATCTTTATAAAATATAGGAACTTTGTTAGAACATCACCAAGAGTAATCTTCTCATGATTTATATTTTCATACGTTTTTGTGGAGTTGCATCAGTTATAAGTGTCTCTCCACAACAATTTTTCTTTTAAGCATCATTAGCATCAGCATCAGTTTAATCTATTAACATTTTTGATGTAATCAATTTAAGTTGGTGTGAGCGTAAACGAGACAGTGATTGGCGATGAAATCCGCTCACGAACCGGTAGAATAACCATTGAAGAAACAAATCTGTAATTGTCATTCGTACCTGTTTTTCCGTTCACCAATGACTTTGATGACAATGATGATTCTTCAAGTAAGAATGACTGCATTACCAGCGGACCGGATTCTTGTGGAAGTGCAACAGATGGTCGTGAGTTGAGCTGCGGCAATATATTGATAATGTTGTTTATTTCGGATTTGGATTCTTGTGGATTTGATGGAATGGGAGTTGAAGCTGGTGTTGACGATGGCGATGAAATTCCAGGAGTTGGTTGTTGAGAATTGGAAAATTCTTTTGCAATTGAAACTGCGCTTTCAGATTTATTCGGATTTGGCATTAAATTCAATGTAGAATTTCCAGCTTGATGAGAACGTTCATGAATGAATAAAATCGCCAATATGGGTGTAGAAAATGAACAAAAGGAACATTGATATCCTTTGAGCGTATTGTGGGAACCTGGCGATATTGCCATTGAACTCTCACCTGGGAACAATCCACCCAATGATGTTTTTATCATCAATTCTGGTGACGCTAATCCATATCCACCATTAGGAATTTTCAAGCCAGGGCTTGGCGCTTTAATCGGCCCAATCTTTGTTTCAATCTCATTCAATTTCTCAACACCAGCTTTTCCATGATCACTCATCAAATGTGCCTTCAACCATTTGGCACTGCGGAACCGTCGAGAACACAACGGACAAACTTCAGTAAAATGTGAGAAGTAACGATTTGATTGATCAGAAACTTCACCTGGCTTCAAATCCATTTGGAAGCCAGTATCAGAATCAACAGATTCACTTCCTGGTCGCTGTTGTGGTGAACCATCTTCAACAATTCCATGCGTATTATGCTTATGAACACGCAAAAAATATTTACTGCACAACTCTTTGTTACATATATTGCACACAACTCCACCAATTTGAGCGCCGTTTTCAATCTCAATTCCATGCATTCTCTGCATGTGAGTCTTCATAAAATACTTGTTGCATAATTCTTTATTACAAATTTCACAATAACTGCTTGTCGGTGTCATTTGAAACATTTGCTTACGGTCATTTTGTGTAGGTGTCGATGGTTGACTTAAGACACTCGACACTTTTCGATCCGGTGTTACGAAACCTTCGCGTAATGGCGGTGACAATGAGCCCATTCCGTGTTGCTCTATTAAATGCTGTTTTAATAGGAAAATGTTGGAAAATTCTTTATCACATTGTTTACACGATTCATATTCGCCCGGTGATGGAATCGATGTTGGTCGTGGTGACAATTTAATCGAATTGTTGTTGGTGAAACCGGAGTGCTCGGTCAGCATGTGAGCATGTAACATGTATTGATTCTCCATTTCTTTTCCACATATAGCACATGCAACGTATCGATTCTGATTAAGTTCATTCAATTGAAGAATCATTGATTGAAGTTTCTGAAGGTCGACACTGATAGCTTCAGACTCTTGTTGTGACAACTGTGGTGATTTCTTGCCTTTATCATCTTCATCTTCATCTTTACTAGTTTGGGTGTCATTTTTTATTTCATCATAGTCGGATGGTTTTGGTGAAGGAATCTTAATGATACCACTTTCCAATTCTTCCTTCTTTTTTGCGTACATTTGTAATGCTTTCAAGTCACCACCCATTATGAGATTCAATGGACTGGTTTGCATATATGGCCATAAGGAATGGCCGTCATCTTTAGTATCTTCTGATGGAACAAATACACCATGTCGTTTCAATTTGTGTGTTCTCAAAAAATATTTGTTACAATATTCCTTGCAGCATAATTCGCAAAACGCTTCAGGATTAATGACGCCTAAACGTTTTAACTTGTCGTATGAGAAGTTTGCATCTTTAGCTTGTTGCATCGAAGATGGAGATAATTTTCGTGGTTCTGGTGTGAAGTTTGTGTCCTCCTGTTCAACTTGATAATCTTCACGGAAGCCTTCAGGTAAATTAAAAGGAACTGGCGTTGTCATTTCTTCATTTCTTTCATTTTCATGGCCATTTTTTCCAGATGTTTCTTGTTGTTGCTGTTGTTCTTCGCCTGACTTATTTGACATGTCATTTTGTGGTTTTGAAATACCAATCTCATGAATTTTCAAACGGTGTTTTTTTAATGCAGCAGGCGATGAAAATTTTTTAAAACAAACGTCGCAAAAAGCATTTGTCACTAATGGTGCTTGTGGTGGAAGTGGATCACTTTGAACTTGAACCCTAGCTGCTGCTGCTGCTACTGTTGCAGCTTGAACTTTCTGAGCTTGTTCAACATTTTGTTGATTAAATTGTTGCATACTTTGTTGTTGCATCTGTAAAACATGACTCATCTGTTGCATTTGAGACAATTGACTGAGTGTTGGCATGTCACTGTTAGACATTGGTGTCATTGGCTCGTATATTCCATGTTTATTGGCTTTATGAGTTTTCAAGAAATATTTGTTGCAAAATTCTTTATTGCATAAGTCGCAATATGCTTCTGGATTGAAAATGCGCAATGGCGCTGTGCTTCGTGATAAAACACCATCAGCTGCTCCAAATGTTCCCACTGATGACAATAATGGAAGTTGTGGAAGATAGCCAGAAACTGAGAGTGCGGCTGCAGCAGCTTCCGGTGGAAATGGAAAGGGAAGTGAAGCCAATGATAACCATGAGTCATCTGGTTTTTTGTCTTGTTTGTTACTCCAACAATTATTCGAACCTTTTCCAACTTCACCTTGTTGTGATTTTTCGTTAGTACTTTTCATAAATTTATTATGATATTCAGCTTCAATATCATTCTCAAAGTCACGTTGCTTACTAACAATAGACTCATCATTCTTACCATTATGACTACTTAAATCCAAAGTTGACGTTGTTGGTGGTGGTGAAGAGAGTGAACGTCTAAGACTTTTATTATTCAAAGAATTTTCTTGTGATAAGATTCGAGAATTTTCATTGAGATTTGACTCATTGTTGTGATCGGTTGATGCTTGTAATTGACTGAGATTTTTAAGAAAAATCTTCTGAAGCCCATCGTTTTCAATCAAAGATACTGATGCTAATGTTGATGGCACTGCCAACTTTTTTTCCTCATGTTCTGCTGATACTTCTTCTTCTTCTTCATCATCGAAGTCTTGAATTTCAGTGATTTCTTGTTCTGTTGAAGTTCTATTAGTTGCTAAATCATTGGCGTTAACCGAATAGTTATTCTGATGCTGTTGCTGTTGTAGTTCAAATGCTGTCGCTGATATTCTGATTGGTGTTGTTTGCTTTCGTCGCTTTTTCGATAAATCAGGTGAAGAATCGAAAATATTCCCTAATAATGGATAATTGTTTGATGATACTATAGATGGTGAAGAAACAAGTATTGAACGTTTTGGTGCCTTGTGTGGCTGTTGCGAATTGATGGAACTGTTTGTTTGTGATGAATTTGATGTATCACTTAATACTGATGTGTCTTCACCATTTAGATCAGATGTGTCGGGTGGTGGCGTTGCATATAAACTAGCCATCATTTTCTGTATTCAAAGAGAACAAAAAAAAAAGAATTAAGTTTATGATCGAGGTAATTAGTTTTATCACTCAGGAACTTTCAGAGTAAACTAAATTTTTAAAAACAGTTGAAAAGAAAAACAGCAAAATTAAACTTCCACGTTAAATTTTCTGTTTCCACAAGTGTTACTAGAGATGAGTCGAGCATTTTATAATTATTTGTTTTTGTTAATTTATTCAATCCACATATTTCATCGAGCGTTTCTGTTACTGCCAGGGATGAGTAAAATATTAATATGTTAAGCATAATATTATTTCATTTTAAACGAATATTCAATCAAAATTTTATTTATGTCGTACCATCAAAAATTGAACTCTTGTGAATCAATATACCACTTGTAGTATGTAAGGGCATAATAATGAAAACGAAAAATGAAAACATTGTAAAATAAACATCACGACTTCTCTCAAAAATAAATTCTTTCTGTATTAATCGATAAATATTAAAGGCAATGAATGCTTTTGGACCCTTCCAGAAAAATAAATTTCTGTTCTAATTTTCTTTTCTCTCAGTCTTTCCAATTTCATGCCCATCTACAATTTCCATCTACGTTTACACATACTCCATTAAAAACTACAAAAAATGTTTCTTCTTTTGCGCGGCTTCGGTCATGTTTTTCATATAAGAATGTGATAGTGGTGGGCATTGAGATCTTTTTTCTTTCTTTTAAAAATCCCTCACGAAAATGAGAAGCAGGAAAAAATTCAATATTAAAAAAAAAGCCGAATGAGGTTTTCTTTAAGGAAACAACATACACAAGCAACCTATACAATCTTATAAGACGCTCTAACTTATGGACATGCGCTTTTAAAAACAATTTTTTTATATTGGTGATTTCTTTTCAAAAGAATTAGATAAATTCACACATGAAGGAAATTGTTTTGATATTTTTTTAGCAAGTAATCTCGTGCCAAATAAAAAACAAACTTACAAAAGAAAATTTCCAACAAGACGGTTAAATCTTATTACAAGAAGAAAAATTTTCGTAAAACACCTAAAACTTTTCCTTTTATTTCCTTAGCTTTAAAATTTAAATATCTCTTTTGTTTTCACGTGCTTAATAATTAAAAATTTTAAGTAGAAATGCTTTTGCTCTTTTTTCCAGTAAGCAATGTCCTTCTTTCAGTTATGTTTTCAAAATAAACTCACATTACATACTGACACTATTTCATGTTCAATAATTCTATTTAGACTCTAAAAATCATTGCCGAAAAAAAAATAATCGTGGTTCATAAACATTTTTTCCCAAATAGTTTTTCGATTATTATTGATTTCGATTTTTTTCTTTCTCCTAGTTTTTAAAAACTTTATTCTCTATGAGAAGTTTCCTAGAAAAATCTAAACAATAATAGATGTCTAACTGTCATTTAAATCTGAGGAAATCATCAGACCAGGATAAAATTTCTGAAAAGACTAGTTGGTGTGAAAGAGAAGTCTTAAACTTCAACAGCAATGACTTTTAGTCCTTCACTGCTTATTCTGTTGCGAATGTAAAAAAAAATTACCCCCTACCATTTTATGTAAAATGAGGAAAAAAACTACACAAAAAAAATATGTGAGAGGAGAAACTAAAAAGAATGAAATAAATTTTAGAAAACATGGAAAAACACCCCAAATATAATGTTTATGCTCATTTTATAAATGATGTAACTTAACTTATTTATTTGTTTTCATATCTTTAAAAGACACTCTTAACTAGATAAAATTTAAAATCCCAATATTTAGAAGATTTGTTTCAGTTTTTTTTTGTAATTTATTATAAAACTAGAATTAAATGACATCATTGACGTTCGATCCTGACTTTTTTTCACTGTATTTTGTCGGAAAAAATATAATTTTATTCTTTGCTCCGCCCTAAATTTATGATATTTTATGTTCCGATTTAAATTTTTCTTTATACATTTTTTCGTTACAAAAATCATTTTCCTTATTTTCCATAGTCAGGAAATCAATTTCAATTATGACAGTCTTACTATTTGATTTTTATGTTGAAGCTGTTTACTGACATAAATCTATGTAATTATATTTTTAGATAAAAGATTTAAAAACTTTCATTAGCATGCCAATTTCCCAGTTTCAAAAAATCAACGAAATGCTTTCTTCGCTTGAATACACAATTTTACATATGCAATTCTATAGAAAGAAATTTCGTGAAAGTATTCGATTATGTTTACAATCCTCATATGACGTATTTAACTTTCCTTTTGTTTTGCCATAGATTTAGAAAATGTTTCGCTGTGCATGTGAAAATAAATAATCATATTTTCACTATTCATAGTTTTCCACTTATCCTTTACTGACAAGGACGATGGATATATAAGGACATACAGCAAGTTCGATGATTGAAATTCTACTTTTACTTTCTGATTTTCTTTTTCTTCATTACAGTTTACGTTATTTAGTTTTATAGTTGAGACACGAAAAGATAGCTCTTACGCTAAGAATTTAGTTCTCCTTGCTGGATTGTCCGAATACAAGATTTTACATATTTTCTTTTAATTAAACGATGGAATAGGAATTCAAAGGTTTTCGAAAATAAGCATTGTCAATGAATCGAAAAAGCAAGCAGAAAATTTTATTAATTTAAACACTTAGAAAATTTTCTTTTCCTTGGGGTACATTGGTCATCGCTTGGTGAATTCATATTTTAATTGAAAAACATTTGGTAAGGTTATTCGTTTTTTACTCAACACATTCATATTCATTGAAAATTTCTTCTGCCATGGAAAATAAAATGCGAAGAAAACATTAAGAATGTTTCTTTTATTTCGACTAATGACGAGATTTTTAGATGATTTTATTATCATATTAATAATATCTAAAATAGTTTTCTCTATTTTTTTCGTTTAGCTTTAGGTTTAAAGTTTTGAAAAGAAATAAAATAAATCTTTTGATTAATATAAATAAAAAATGCCAATGACTGTCTATTGACTAAATTCCAATCATAATTTTTATCTCGTTTTTGCTTAAATTTGTATTCTTTACATATTTGTGTCATTTATGCTGGTGAAGCCAAGCAAAATCAGAATATATTCAATCGGTAAATACATCCATCGAAAAAGAAGAAGAAGAGGAAGAAAAGTCCCCCGATAGAAAAAAAATTATTAATTTTTCGTCAAAAACACGCATGTCCAACAAAGTCGGTCCGTTATGTTGTCAAAAGACGAAATTTCCTTTTTTCGCATTCAAGCAGGGGGAATAAATATCTATCTAGCTAACGAATGAAATTCTTATTTTTTCAATTATTATTTATGCTTTCGAGAAGAGAAAAGAGAAAAAAAAACGCTTTTAATGGTGATGAAACGTAAGAAAAATGCTGGGCCACAACATAAAAAACATTCATTATTTAAATTATTTAATCAAATGTAAAAAAAGAAGAAATGCTGGCGAGATTTTTATCTCATTTTATTTTCAAGAGCATCTCGTGGCCTAGTTTTAACAATGAGAGGAAAAAATCAAATCAATTTTACATTCTTGAAAAGAGGGAGAAAATATTTATTATAAGCACATGCAAAACCCTCGTCTTCTTTCAACAGAAATACAAAACCCTCGGTATGATGTTGGCAGTGAAAATGTTTATGCAAAAAATCACTGATCTATCCCAATTTTTAATAGCTGGAGAGAGATCACATAGCATCAGCTCATACTCTTTTTAGCAGACGGTGGGTGGATGAATTTTCCTTTTATTCTCCTTTTTTTATCGTCGGTAGACGGCAAATTGCTTCGGAGCCCTGTTTTAAATTCATATTAAAATTGTGTTGAAAAGCAAAAAAAAAACAGAGCATTCCAACACAAAGATGGAGTCGGCTTTTGAAGGATTTTTTAAAAGGGATGAGTTCATGAGGGTGGTTGTTTGGTATAAAAAGCGTTCATTCGTTTTGCGTGTGCGATATGTGCTTAAGACGGTTCAAGGTATTGAACGACCTTCGGTGTTTTCGTCGATGACTTTTTACTCCCAGAATTAAGACGTTTACAACTTTAAAGAATGATTTTCTCGTTTCCATTTCTCTTTTATTATTTACAAGGGTGACGTTCGTAGATTTTACAGACAGTAAATATGTGCCAAATGTATTCTTAAACTTTTCCTTCTTTTTTACTATGACAAAAGCTTTAATGTGTATTGTGTAAACTGAACTCTGAGTTAATTTTCAGGACATTTCATATTTTCTCAGCTCTTAAACATTTCTTTCATCATGTTATCATTTTCAAGCTTTTCCAAGTCTCCATCCCCTAATCTGATGAATTATTTTTTAATATTAAAATATTTCTGTCAAGCGCTAGAAATATTCAGATTATTTCCATTAAAATTCATATTTTTTCTCAACAGTAAAGCCCGAGAGAATTTCAATTGTGAAATTTTTTATATCGAATTTTCTTTTGTTCGTTCATTTTTTTTTAATCTTGGATTCGTCGCTTTGTAAAAAAATTCGTTTGGGATTTTTTTCTCTGTATTTCATTTTCCATTATATTTGTTGTCAGTTAATACCTATTTGCATTTGATAAAGTAAAAAGTATTTTTATCGTGTTTTTGACGGGAAATATGATAAGGCTGAAAGGAGAGTTAAGGGTTGGGACATGATGGCAACTAACCTGGCAGTCGCATTTATTGGAGGTCAGTGTAAAAGGAACAAAAGTTTTCGCTCACATAAGGCGTCTGCACAAAACACAAACTATTTTGCTAAAATATAAAGCGATACATAAAATGAGCTCGATTTCAACATATTTGACTAATTCAGGTAGACGACATATTCTGAATATAATTTAGTTTGTTATCAATAAACATATTGTTGTTCTGTGATTTCAATGCATTAGATAATTAAAGGAAAAGATAAAACGTGGTTATAAATTTATCTTATTGGATTTTGAAATAAAAATTATTAATTTGTTATCACACATGAAGCACTTTACTTGATAAGACAACAACAATATTAATAAATTACTCATTTACTTCAATCTATTGTGGACAAAAATTATTGGATAAACCTTTCCCGTTAGAAAATTGCTTATGAATTTAACCACTAAATTTGCTTTTAAAATTAATTCAAAACTAAACTTTTTCATTTAATCTTCCTTAAAATAGTCTAAATTAATTTTTTATGAAAGAATCAGTTTTAACTGCGCCATACTAAAGCACATAAATAATTTATTTATAGGTATTTGCTTTATTTGAAAGCCTGAAAACACAAAATTATAAATTACTGTTAATTCTCTCGACTTTAGACCGGCTTAGTATAAGTGAGCCCCATAAATTGTTATTGATTTTTCATTCTTACACGCTGCACGAACAAAAAGCAAACGTAAATTACACAAAAAACTAAAACATGTTTTGTTGATTCAAATTTTGATCTAGATTTAAAGAATTTGATTTCAATATTCCATTTTTAATGACATACAAGAAGCATGTGCTGTAGAATGAAACATTAACGTAAGTATATTTGACCTCCGCACGACGACCCGAAAACGCATTTATTGCGTGACAAAAAAATTTTCACTTTTTCATTTTTCTTCTATTATTAAAATTATTTATGAAAATGAATTTTATTTTGTTTAATGTTATTTGTGCGTGGGAGAAAAAGTGAAGAATAAAATTTAAATATCTTAGTATAGGTTGCTGCAGACAGGGCTGTTTTGAGAGGTGTTGAAATCAAAGGGTAAAAGGTGTGGAGGCCATCAAATGACAAATAGATTGGTCGTGTGGCAATCACACCTCGTACTCACGTCTCGTTATTTTCAAATTTGCCCCTGTAATCATAATTATGACGCCGGTTTTTAACGAAAGAATTTTTTATTATTACCATTTTGAGTTATTATATGGGCGAAGAAATGTGAATCAACGAAGTCCCTTCTTTAAATTATTCCAGCTGGCAATAAACTTTTATTTTTATTAAAATTCTCTGCTATATCCTTTTTCTAATTATCCGTCTTTTACTTCAAACGAAAGAACTTTCACGACAGTTTAAATTTTTTTGTGAATATCTTGTCGCAAATCATAAAAGATATATATCTAACATGGATTTATTTTTTAATTGACTAACGAAATTTATAAAATTCATGGTACCTATGAAATTGAAAATTTTCCGATAATTTTTTAATAAGAATTTAAAAAGGAAAAAAGTTTATTCAATTTCCTGTTCATGCGTAAAAATTCTATTATCTATATAAAAAATATATTTCACCGATAGATTCCGTTTTCTATCTAGGTAATTAAACATTCAGATAAAATCTTTCCTTTTACAAGTCGAAGAAAATTTTCATTCATTTTATCTCATAAATGAAACAAGTGTACACGTCTATGTGTTAAAATTAGGTCCACTTTATATCAGAATGAAATGTTCACCAATTGCCTTGAGCTAAAAACCAGGTTATATGACATTTCTATCAAAATAATTTTTCCAATGCCTTAATGAAAACGACAAGTGAAGGTAAAATGAGATTTATTCGAAAAATCAAAACAAATTTCATATCATCTCAGGAAACGACAATAAATATTTTTTTTCTTATCTACAAGTTCGAAACATAATTTTGTGTTTTTTTTTCTTCTACAGCATGTTAAGATTTTTTTGTTTTTACAGACCAGAAATTTATCTCAAGACATAAGAAAACGGAAAGAAAAAGCTATTGCCTGAGGGAAACAGAGAAAGAGGGTTTTGCAAAGAAAGCACAAGCAATGGTAAGATGGATAGATGGCTTGCTATTTATTTTCTTCGCTCTGCGAACATGTTCGTACTTAGATTTTTTTCCTCTTCTCTCCTCTTAATAAATACACGCATTGGGGCAAAAAAAGCGCTACTTCCTCCTACACATACAGCTGGACTTGGTGATTCCAAGTTTTTAATTAAAATATGTTGATATGTGTTTTTACTGTTCTTTGGAATATTAAGGTTGTTCTTCTCTTCCATGCCCGACATTTCGTGGTCGCTATATTATACTGGAAAAGTTGTATGGTTGGTTTGAAGCAAGTAATGAGTATTTGGGTGGATGAAAAAAACGTGGGCAGCAATTTCAAGTGGCTCTTGGTATTGAGATGAAAATGCGATAAACACAAGAGAACAAGTGCAAAATAATTAAATTTGGGATTAAACCAGAGAGTGGCAGCTTTATTTTCTGTAGAGGAGGACATTTTAAAACATATGTAGCCATTTTCGGACATATTAATCTTCTTGGAGTATTCAAACTTCATAGCGTATTCATGTAAATAAGAAAATTCAAATGAGACGCAATCTCATAAATCTCAGTCGAGAAGTTAAGTACATGATTCATATTTTGCAATATCTCAATAGTTTTTCTCTCTCGTCACATTTTTTCCTCCTTTATTCCTTATCTGCTTTCAAATTGTCAAAAGAATGTGTTGTTATTATTGTTATCATTATTTGAAATATCCATGCCATCTATCTCTCATACTCTTATTACGACTCACTAGCTTTTGGACTAAGCACAAAAAGGTCTTTTTCAGATAATAAATTTTGCTCGTTCCGCTTTCCGTTCTTTTCGCTTTCATCATTGTACCGGAGCTGAGAAAATTCAACTGAGAGAAATGTTTGAACAGAAAAATAAATAAATACAGATGGAACTGGCAATATAACAATGAAACTAGAGCCACCCTCGAGCAACTTCCCCACTCTACATCATCTACTTCTTCTTTTTTGCAAACAAAACTTTCCATCATCTTGTATAAGAAACATGGAAAAGAAAAATTTTCAGAATTTTTCATGCTCTAAAACCATATCTTTCGGCTTTCTCTTCTTTTCTAATTTTTTTCTCCTTTTTCCGTTATGCGTGTTATACATTCTGGCTTTAACTGCCATGGCAAAAAGGAAAAGAAGAAGAAGAATAAGAAGTAAGGGATGAAAGTTGGCAAAAAAACTATATACATGCCACATACACAAGAAACATCAATCCTAAAGAAACGAGAACAAAAAATCCGTGAAAATTCTTTTTCTCTACAGTTGAGTTGCTTTAATTTTGTCTGAGGGGTTTGTTCTCATGTTTTGTCATCAGCAGACACTTGTTACTTGAAGCATCCCGAAAACAATCAAACATTAGATGTCTTCAATCCCATTCAACATCATATCGAATGAGAGAAGTTTCCAACGAGAAGTAGGAAAAATTATTATTAAAAATATTCTTAACTTAGACGTGTGAGTAGGGTGGGAGAGGAAAAAAATTTATTTATGATAAGAAAGTAGGTAGTATTTGAAGGATGGTAAAAGACGTGCTTATGTGAATGTTCCTTCCTTTTTTCGAAATCTAAGACCAAACTGTGGAAAAATGGCAACTTACTTGCTTTCAATTTATGTCACATCGAAGAATTTTGTGTCAAAACAGTCACAGGAAAAAAATGAATAAGAAAAGAGGAAAGATGAGACACATTCACATCATATTATTTTCCTTTTGAGAGTTCACCTTCTCTTCGTTGTGGCCCGGGAGAAAAAAAATTCTTCATGACTATGATTCTGACACTGAAATGAAAGGAAAAGCGAATTTTCCTGTACGCGACCCTCAAGCCAAACACTCATTCACTCATACACAAACACGTCTGTTGTTCACATAGCGCTTCACAAATATTGGAAAAAATATGAAATAATAAAAATATTAGATGTTTGATATTGATTTCTTCTTATTTTTCATTACGAACTGAATAAGGGGATGAGAATGTGAGGCGTGGGTGGAACTTTTTCATTTTTTTTGCCAGTGGGTATATTTTTCTTCTGCTGTTCTATACAAACTTAAATAGAATGTTGAAATGGAATGAGAGATTTCAACTTTTTCTGTTCGTAACATACACAATAGCAAACATATCACCAGCATGAGAAGAGAAAAATCATAAAAACTTAATACAAAATTGGATCGTATAAAAAAGAGAAATTGAAAAAATAAGAAACAGTCGATATAAGAATTGAGAAAAACGGCTTTATTGCAAAAGGCCGTAAGGACAATAAATGAAGAGTTTGGCGAAGCAAAAAACTTTCCTTCTTTTCTTCGTTTCAATGAGCTTAGATCTTGGACTGCGCTTTTTTTCTCTTTCGTTCTTATCATTTCGGCCACATTCGAATAGCAATAGTTTTAGTTATTCTTTTCATTATCTTCTTTCTTTTCTTCGCGCTCCTAAAGTTCTTAGGTACCTACTCAAAATATTTAAACAGAAAAAGAGACTAAAAACGAAAATGTTGGAAAGATGGTTCTGTGCTTTTTTTGTCATGGTAGCAAGAATAATAATCAATAAAAATATTAAAATCTATCAAATTTTCATTCTAAACTGTATTTAATGTTTAAACTTTAAAGGGTTGATATCACATCACAATTTAAATTTGACAGAACAACATGAAAGTAAGTAAGAAAATCATTAAATAAAATATCTAGAAGTAATAATAAAAAAATAGTGCGCTTTAGTGACAGCTCTTCATGAATCATAAACAAATACACGCATTCACTCACTGGCAAGATTTGTCTGTTCTTTAATAATTTTTTTTCTGGTACAAAAACTTCGAGTTTCCTTTCTATCGCCTCATTTTACAAAAAGAGTTCCAGCTGATTGAACAGCATAGATGGTGATAAGATGAGTGAGATAGAAAAATAGGAAAATTCATCATTGAGAGGTATCAGAGTATTAAGCAGAAAAAAAATAAATAGGCGGATGAAAGAATTGCTTTCGTCAACGTTATGACGTCAATAGTTTGAAAACGACAAAGTTTTTTCAATTGGAAATTTTTTACAAAAACTTTTCCATTCTAATAAATTTTCCGATAATTCGCATAAAATGATGTTTTCTGATCAGGTTAATTGAGTCATAAAAAAGTTTGCTATCGCTTCGTTGCCTCTACGAGCAATTAAAAACGCTTTGAAATGAGAAGTTTTTAATTATGTCATCATTGGTGTTTCATGAATTGAGTCGTACTTTTCACAGTAGAAAGTTTTTCATTTCCCTAGAAAATTTCATGCGTTCAACGATTTAAAGTTTCGCGTTTTAAGCACAAGAAAGTTTTCTCAGGGTCTTTTCTTGATATTATAACAGTGCATGACATGGCATTAACATAAATATTGTCAACCCTAACTTGAAAATATCTCAATTTCACTTTTTATGTTGAAACATTTCAGAATGGTTTTAAATAAAAAAATCAAAATCAGCGATAAAAAATGTATATTTAAAATGCCAAATGGAATTTTCATAACTTTTCTTTTGATTTCAAAAAACTTTCTACATTCTTTTCATGTTGTATAATCAATAGTTTTTATTTTATAGGATTTCTTTTGTTCATTGATGAACTTCTTAATATAAAAGAGTGAGAGAGAAGAAAAATTGATGAACATTTGGTGAATGGATTTTGATCAAAACGCTTGGTAAAGCTATAAAAATTCATGAAAATTTCGAATAATTTTGAGTCTATATACATCCATAAGGCAATGAAAACATCAATTGATAAATGTTTATCAATAAATCATAAGACGAGAAAGAATAAAGAAACAAATTGAGGAATCGATACTTAGATCTTTCCAACTAGAGATAAACATCAAACGTTGATAAATTTATAACTAATCTAATTTAGAAATAGGTACTTACATGAATATCTTACAGTTGAAATACGCAGAGAACTTTTTAGGAAGAAAAATAGAAAAATTGATGAATTTTCTTTTCAATTCTGCAAGAGTCTTCGTCTCGTAGAATTAAATCCAATCGTAACTCATCGTGATGGCCGCGTGTATGGACGCACCGAAGAAAAAACGAAAAATTATGATGGAGAAAAATTTATGTGAGGATTTTCTTTCTTTCCCTTCCTTTTTTTTTGCTTTCAAGATGTAAGTTTCTTTTCTTTCTTCTTTCTTCTTTCACATTTTCACACTCCTCGCTCGAAAGAAGGGCGCAAGAGAGTGAGATGGAAAGCGTGAAAATGGAAAGTAAAAGAAATTGATAAATTTCCTCTCGGACACACCTTGCGATGACTTTCAATTTTTAAGTAGAATTTTATCCTTAAAGGCCCGACACGCAATTTCCCTTAAAGATTTTTAAAAATTTCTCTTGTTGAAACTAAAAACAAAAAATTTCGACGAAATTATTTTTCAATTCCACATTTCGCGCCCGTCACTAAATTTTCATCGCAAATGCATTTTTGTTTCTTGGGTTTCTCCTTTTCCTTCACATTTCGCGATATATTGTAAAGAAAAGAAACTAGAGCTTTGTGTAAAAGACCAAAATTCACTTTCATCAGACTTTCAAATCATTTTTAACGTTTCACACAACATATACTTTTTTTTCAATTTATGTGCATTTTTCATTCACTATATTAATTTGAACTTGTTTTTATAAGTATTCACAAAAGTTTATTAATAATTGTTATTCTAATTTACTGTCCTTAAACATACACGAAAAAGTATAATTTTCCCTATTTTTATTCCTTAAATTTTCTGTCGAATATCTCTCTTATAATTTTTAATATAACACACAAAATAGAAAATTTGTTTCTTTTGCTGCTGCTGCTGCTGCTGTGTCTTGATTTTTCGCGTTGCCACAGTCAGGACTTTTAATATACTGAAGGCGAAAAAAATGTGAGGGAAAAAGTTTCCATAAAATGAAATCGGGCTGGAGAAAAAAATTTTTTGGGAAAAAATATAAGAATTATGTTATGTTAGCCCCCACGAGTAGAGAAAAAAGAAATATAAATTTTTCTCAATTTTTCACAACATAGCCAAGAGAGACCACACTTCTTCTCGCCCTATCCGGAATAACACCACCGCATACAAACACAACCTCGAAATTATTTCGGTAACGAAAAAAAAATAATGAAAAAAAGTCATATAGAAAAAATGTAAAAATACAAAAAAAAAATGTGGTGGTGGGATGATGTGAAAACATAGTACAACGCAACTCACCCTCGCATTTGCAGAAGTTCTCTCACTTTCTCATTTTAAGAAGAGGAATAGGGGGTGGATGAGAGTAGAAGAGCATAAATATATACCCATACATGAAACCAGACGTCCGAAGAAAAAAGCCGATTAAAGGGATAAATCAAATGTTACGGGATATTCAGAAAATTTTAATGCTCAATCAAACTTTTATATTCAAAAAGGTATTAAAATTGAAAAATAACTTTAAATGAGAAATTTAAAGTTTCATTTCATCAAGATTAAAAATAAAATTATATACTTTCAATAAATCTTTTGTGATATCATATAGAAAATTCCCAAAAGTCCAATTTTTATATTTTACATATCAATGTTCAAAAACATGATTTGATTGTTTGGGGCTTCTCTTCAAATTGTCTCTCTTCCATCTGTCGACTGCTGTCATGCGCATTACAGGCATATTTCATACAATCTTAATGTTTTAATTTTCACTTTCGATTTCATTGTTGAATCGGAAAGTTTTCCATGCAGATTGAAAAAAGACACTTTTACTTATTATTCAATCACAAATAAAAGGTTGTGCTCCTGTTTGTATAGTATTGAGTTGAACTCTTTATTTTATTTAATTCTCCTGAACACAATAAAAGGCTACATTTTTTAATCATAATTATTCTGTTCTAACAGTTTTTCCACGTTATGAAGCTTTATCAACGCGATTTGTGTTTCTTTTTCTTCTTCATGTTTTAAAGCTTTAAAAAGAATCTTAAACTATTTAATAACAAAAGGAAATTATGTTTCGAATAAAAATATGTATAAAGAAACGAAACGAAGGAATCCATAAATTTCATTGAAGTTTAATAAAAATGTATATAATGAAATAATTGTTAAGATATTTACTAAAGTTAATTCATAAGAAAGAATGTAATGAAAGAAAGCAATTTGATTTTTTTTCATATTCAACCTTTTAAACAGTGATACCAAGCGATTGCTTTGTACCTAGAATATTATTGAGTTTTTGATGATAGATTGACAGATAGTTTTCACCATTTTCGTTTGTTCGTCCCTGACAAAGAAGCTTAAAAGCTTGAAGATACTGAAATTTTCAGATTAATAATGAATATGTACATACACCTAATAATTAATCTCATAAATAAAACTCACCTGAAGTTCAGTATATTTTGGACCTTTCTCTGTTATGTCTTTGATGATGTTTTCAGGGTCCATATAAAACATTTCATAATAATTTCTTGCATGATCAAGTTGATGTTCATGCGTTGCTGTTATCGAACTTAAAGTTTGTTGTAAAGCTATACTGTTTCTTATCATTTGTTGTATTGCATGTTTTTCAAGTGTTTCCATCGAATTCGATGTCATTATAAGAATGCGAGCAACCAGATGTGAAAGACCTTCGAATATATACTGGGAAAAATTACAGATTTATATTTATTGTTTTGCAGTATATTTTCAAAAGGAAGAATCTTAGTTTTTGTGGTCTTTAATATTTTAACAATTATAAAATTTCTTCAAAACAACTAAATTTTCAATCCAGGAACAACACTTTAAGAAATTGTTCACCGTGGTTAATAAATTGTCAAATATTTACCTTTGTTTTCCTAGGATGAAGTGTTGATGAAAAGGCTTCGTCAAGATCCGAAAGAACTTTTGTCAACTTAAGCACTTTGGTATCCGGTTCGAGAGTATCATTTTTATTTGGATTATTTTCTTTATATTTATCTGACGAGTTTGAACGTAAATAATGAAAGCATTGAACGCGAACCTAAATATTGATTTTGAATATTAAAAGGGAGTTGAATTAAAAATTCGCGACAACATGGAAAAGGCCAATGAATGTAAAAAATTTAAAAAGCAAAGACGATTATTTCAATTTTTTATGTCTGAAAACTTGATTATTTTTCTTTTTGAAAACTGAGTTTAGTTCTAATGACTTTAAAAGAATTAGATAGTTGAATAAAACATGATATTTACCTCTAAATGGAGCACCAACAAGCAAATATTTGCAAGCTCGTCAAATTCAAGCGCTAAATTGGTAAGCACTTTTATCATTCCATCTTTAATAATCACTGGTTGTAAGAGTTCATCAGGAATTGTTACTTTGCCACTTTTATAAGTAAAATTTATAGGTTTCTTGAGACTTGAAGCAAATTCATTTATCCTGTAAGCAAACCATTCCATACTTTCTTGAAGAATTGCCAGCTCCTTCAACACGCCAATATCACTGAGAATTTCATGTTGTGATATGCCACCATCACCTAAATTACTTGTTAACATCTCAGCTTCTCTCACATTCCTCTGTTGAATTTGAGTTGGACTGTCTTCCTCACTAATTTCATTTTTGAGTTTTCTTTGCCTTGATTTTGCATTTGCTGTTTTCAGGTCGAGATAGTTTGGAAGTGTCTTTAGAAAACGACTTATATCTTCATCTTTCAACCAAGCCACACTATAAATTCTCTTATCTTCAGTTTCTGGTTGCACAATACCACGATAAGCTGCTTGACATGTTTCACGATATGTCTTTAGCAACGCACAAACCATTTTTAATAAATCATCATGATACAAAGGCAAATCTTCAATTAAATTTCTTGTTTCTGCAATTAAACCTTCAACAACACGACATGACTGTAGAAGCGGTCGAGTTACATTAAGTGTTTTCATTTCTTCAGCACATATGATCGCTTTCCATGCATCTTGTGATTTTGATAATGATTCAATAGTCATCGAGAGATTACGATTATGACCTCGACTCAAATAAGATTCTTTAACATATGTCGTAATGAAATCATTTAAACTTGACATTTGTCCATTTTTCTTCATATTTGCATTACTTTCAATTGTATGAACATAAGCAAGCATTGGTACAAAAATTTTTCTGATTAACGATGGATCTGGTTTACAAACAAAGAGCTTTTCTCTTCTCTTTTTTCCGCTGATCGATGTTATGATATCTTTGGCTGAAGAAGACGAAACATTTGATAAGTCACGCATATGACCACGATTAACATCTAAAGTATTCGAGCTGACATTAACATTATCAGTTGTATGCGATGATTTATCAAATCGAAAAAGTATTTTTTTTGTTGGATGTTTCCTTCGAATGAAGAAGTTGTTAATGTTGATTTGTTGTTCTGGAAAATTCATTCGAAGCTCATCGTCGCCCGTATTTTGGATATCGAGGTAATCTGTGAGTAGTAATTGTAAAACAGCTTGCACTTGTCCCCAAAAATCTGTAAGATCATAAGGCTTCACATTCAATTTATAACGTTTAATGATGCTCATGTAATTTTTTAGTGTTAATTGATGAGCTTCGGCAATCAATTGAAACTGTTTAAATAACAAATCTAAGAGCTCAAGAAAGGGAACATCAATTTCTCCATTTTCTATGATAATCCTTCCATTTACTCGATTTCTTAACTCAATGATGTAATGTGTGGTTTTTTCAACAATTGCCAATAATTCAAATTGCATTTGAACTTTCATTGTTTCAATTGACTCTGGAATTTTGTTCAATAAAGCAAAACACTCGACAATAATCCCGATAAAATACGTAGAATTAATTTCAGGATCAAGAAGTGTTGTATCGTTAATGATTTCAAGATCTTCATCAACAAATCCATTTTTCGTTATTTCCATCAATGCTTTCTTTGCTTTGTTGTTAGCCTCGATTCTGTCACCCGATTTTCGAACAACATTTCTCTGAAATGGTGACTGTTGAATTTGATTCGAGCTGATTCTCGTCGAGTTATTTCGTTGAAAGTTTGAGAGAACTTCTGTTGTGCTGGTATGATAAATATGTTTGTTCATCTCTTGAACTAATTGTGTATAAAGATGAACTTTCTTATTGGTGAAATCTACACGTAAATCATCCAAACCTTCAACATGTTTCAATTGATCTTCAGCAATATTAATCGATGACATAAGCCTGTAAAAAAGAAATTAAATAAAAATTGATCATTTATTACTAACATCATTAATAATTACATCTTTGTGGCTTTTAAGTAGTGACGCTTTTTAAGACTTGCATTGAATTTTGTAGAATTGACAGTTTTTAATTCATTGATATGTTCCAGATATTGCATTACATGCTTGTTTTTCACAGCATCCATATAGAGTTTTTTAAGCTCTTCTCGTCGACAACGAAGCAACTGTTTGCAAGCCTGAAGATTCTCACGAATTGTGCGTACTTTCTCTCGTGAAAAGTCAACTTCAGCAGAGATTTTAGAAAAGAGTTGCATAGTCTGAAACATAAAATTGTATCAGAATTATTTCTAAGTTCATTTAAAACATACCTTTGTAAGATCTAAGTCATGTTTTCCAACCATTTCCTGTAACTTTTTATCAGATTTCTTAAATTCTTTTTCAATTTTAAGTTTTTCTTTTTCACGATCCTCGTTATTTTCGCTGGCGTCTAAAGTTTTAATCACAGACATTAACAGATTACTAGATGATGTAGAGTACTGCAAAATAAGTGTAAAAAATTATTGGCAAGTTTTCCACCCATAAAAATTTCATGTTTTCTCTGTATTTACGTTTTCCCGACTGTATTTCCCTCGTGGGGGCTTTCGAGGAGTCGGTGATGACTGTTCCGGATATCGTTGCATTCTGATATGATGCTCAACTAGAATCAAAACTTAAATTATTGTTTTACAAAACAAACTTTCAAGAATTTTTTTTGAGTGCGTTCAGTTGGTTTTTAATTGGAATTGCAGGGCACGTTTAGTTTTACTGCAGCGATGTTATAAGTTCTGTATCTTAAGCTACTACACTGAATTAAAGCTATTAAATTATAAAATGCTTATTATAATGTTTAAAATTCTAGTAATGGGACCGAATATCAATTTCAAATGACACTTTTATTATAATGTCTACGAGAAATAAATGATTGTGACAAACATAATAGAAACTCCCATCTTCCTTACAGAGTTGTGTGAAGTTCTTTTTAATTGTGTGTGTGAATTTTTGGTCTCAATCATTCTTATATAAAAATAATCAGAGTTTTCTTAAATTTTGTAATCAAACATTGTCAAAATTGCTATTTAACTTTATAATCGTGGACTTAAGTAGATATAACTTTCCTTAAAAGTGAATTTAAATTAAAAAAGCTTGTAAGTTATGTAGAAATTAAAACCAACATGCAGCGTTCTTTTTTTTCTCTTTATGACTAATTTCATTCAAAAGTTATCTAGGTCTATACTTTTTATTACCGAAATAAACCCGTAGCACAAACATGAAATATATAAGGCAAATATAGTTCTTTAAGTGAAATATTGTTTAGTCCAGCGATTTTAAGCAGAAAATATTGTTTTAGAAAGAAATTAAAGTGCCCCTATGATAATAAAAAAAAAGAAGAAAAAATTAAAAGTCGTCATTTTCATGTATGGAATTTGATAGAATCATGAAAACTATTGGCTTCAGAAGCTCGCTCCTCTGACAATTGTTTTATTTCGAACAGCATAAATTAACATTATATACAAGAAAAAAACTTTAGAGCATTAAATTTTTAGGGCGTGTGTGTAAATAACGTTCCGCTCGCTACATTCCAACAAGAGCTCGCGAGAGTAAAAGTATTTCCGGTATGATAAGCTAGCAATATACAAATCAGTATTGCAATTTTTCATGAAATGTGTTTTGCATTGCTTTTTTTTAAATCAGTGACATTACAAACAACTTCACATGTCTTAAAAAGAAGAACAAGAAAATAAAAAGCTTCAAAATCATACCTACATAAATTCATTCTCTTTTTTTTTCTAGGCGTGGAGGCACAAGTTTAGTTATTTAGTCTTGAAAAAAATATAAAATCACTACTCAAGAGACTACAGAGGGACTTCCTGGAAGTCTATTGAATTTTCTCGTGATTCATCGAAAGGGAACGTTCAGCGACAAGTGGAAGCGGGAAAGTACCACAAAAGGTATTAAATAAAGTAATCGACCGAGAGGAGAAACGTGAGTCATCATTAGGTTTCTTTCGGATATACGTGATTCACATTCGTCATCTAACACATTCACCAGTTTGGTGTTCAAACAAAGAATTTTCTGCGGCTGCTGAGGAAATAATAAAAATCATCCAAAATTTCGAGAATGCGTGAATACAAGATTGTAATTCTTGGTTCAGGCGGTGTTGGTAAGTTAGACATTAAAACATATTAACTTTTAATAGTTAAAAGTCATAACAATGTCGAAACATTTGTCAAATTCAGGTAAAAGTGCCCTCACCGTCCAGTTTGTTCAGGTAAGATGAAGTATCAAATTCATTAATTAATTCGCACTTGAAAGTTGCCCCAATTATGCTATTGCTACTCTTAAACGTAAATTTTCTTCCGAGTTACTCCCACGCTCTCAATTTCTTTCATTTCAACAACAATACCAACGAGTTGAAATAGAAAAATAATCTTTTAAGAAAAATATAATCTTTTTATTATTTTTAATATTCCACAACTTGTTATCAAATCAAGTGGCATATGTTTCGCTTTTGATTTTTCCTCTTCTATATTTTTTTATACATCGCATCACGCCAGTTACGATATGAGCAAATCGAACATGTGTTGGTTGGTGCTAATTTTTTAATCTTTTATTCTGAAATTCTTATTTTTAGGGGATATTTGTGGAGAAATATGATCCCACGATAGAAGACTCTTATAGGAAGCAAGTTGAAGTTGATGGACAACAGTGTATGCTTGAAATTCTTGATACGGCCGGTACAGAGCAGTTCACAGCAATGCGTGATCTCTATATGAAAAACGGTCAAGGATTTATCCTTGTTTATTCCATCACTGCACAATCAACATTCAATGATTTACAAGACCTACGAGAACAAATTTTGAGAGTTAAGGTGAGAATGATTAACATTTTAAATTAACAAACACAACATCAAGATTTTAATATTTTACATTAGTAGTAAATTATTTTAATTTATTTGAAAATCATTTGAAAGGATACCGATGACGTTCCAATGGTTTTAGTTGGTAACAAATGTGATTTGGAAGATGAGAGAGTTGTGGGAAAAGAGCTGGGCAAGTCACTTGCCAATCAATTCAACTGCTCGTTCATGGAGACATCTGCAAAAGCCAAAATTAATGTTAATGATGTAAGATGAATTATAGTTAACAGTTATTATTTTTTTCATGTTTTTAATACTTTCTTTATGCTTTTTATCCACGTTTTAGATATTCAATGACTTAGTTCAGCAAATAAATAAGAAATCTCCGGAAAAGAAGCAGAGCAAGAAGAAAAAATCTTTATGCATTTTGCTATAAAAAAATCGATTGAAGAACAGAAATATAGAAGGAAAGACAGAACATGGAAAAGCAAATGAATATAAAGAATGCTGAAAAAGATAAAAGAAATCAACCTATTAAGTATGAGCATAAATTACAACAAAACATCAACAAGAAGAACAGCAACATAAGATAAAAATATATAATAAGTAAATAAATAAAAGTTACATTTTAAAAAATTGAAGATAATGAAAAAGACGGAGCTGAAAGTAAGTAAATTGAAAGAGTTAAAAATCGATAGTTAGATTTTTATTGTCGTGTTAAGTAAAAAAAGAAACGTTTAAACAGATGTCATTTATCTTGTCTCTCCTTTCCTCTTTTTTAAATATCTTTATCCTTCAAATTTTGTCAAAAATATAGAAATGAATGTTGCCCTACTTAGTGCTAACCAGTGAATAAAATGAAGATTTTTCTAATGAAATTGGATGATTGTCAATGTTCCGAAATTTGGTTTTTATTTCGTTTGTCACTGCAGTGCCAAAATGCACAAAATCAATATAATTTTCACATCTGACAATTTCATCAAAAAAATTTTCCATCTTAGTAATAAATATTCACATGGATTTATCACATACTTTTTAAAAGAAATGAAAACTTTGAGAAACGGAAAATCACATTAAAAATTTTCATATTTTTTTATACATCTAGTTTAATTTTTTTTCTATGGAAGAAAAAAAATTGAAAGTTTTCCTTCTCGAAACTTTGAGAGGATTTCTAGAATAGTGAATCACAGAAACACCTAAAAAACACATTCTAATGATAATGAAAAAATAAAAAAAATAAAAATAAAAGAAACCTTGGTAGCATTAGTTTATTAGTTACAGATAAGTAGTGACAACCGCTTGAATTGGGAAAAAGCATAAAAAAATTATTAATTAAATGTACCTAATTAATTTTTTCTTATGATTAAATGTGTTAACGGTTGCATGATTTTCGTAATTTCATTAAAAATAAAGAAAAATTTTGCAATGGAATGATGAAGCTATAACATTTGAAATATTCATTCATTATATTTTAAGACGAATGCAGTTTTAATTTAAATTGCAATTTTTCAAAAAAAGAATAGATTAAATGAATATAAATCTTGCTAATTGATTGAGAGTAAAAACCTAAATGATGACTTTGTTTTCTATTTATGCTTCGTCTTAATTTGCGTTATTGTCAGTCATGGGCAAAGTCCGACAAAAGAAACTGGGAAAAAGTGCCCATCAATAACTCATTGAAACATTATCTTATGTCAACCGGTTTTATAAAATTCATTTCTAATTGCTTCCCTTTTGGTAAGTGACTGGGATCGCCAATTGATTTTTGAGCGCCTTATACATATTATGGTTAAATAATAGTGTCACTAAAAACATTCGTTTTAACATTTTCTAAAAAAAAATAAGTTCTTTTTTTGTCCTAATTTTATTTTTTTATTGTAACAGAGAATGATCAAGAAAAAATATTTAAAAGATAAGAAAAAGTTTATTGAAATAAAGGAACTTACTATTAAACATGTAGAAACTTCATTGGCTTCTTTTTTTCTGCTTCTTTTATTTGATTTTAAAATTTGTTTAAATTTTAATTTTATCTTTTATTACCCATTTCAAAACCGACACTCAATGCAAATGTGACAATCTATTTAAAACATCCGAAAATTTAAATTCGACTTCTTATCCTTCCTTCATCTAAAGATCCAAAGAAGACATAAATATTTAGCGACTGAATCACTTAGCTTATAAGCATTATTTTCGTCAATGTGAAATAATCTTGATGCTAATGATAAAATGGAATTTCTAAAGTTAACCATTTCTGGTTAGATAAGAATATTAAATAAATAAATGAACTTTTGAAAGTGAATTTCTTATTCGCAAATTACAAATAGATATGTATTATTGAGAAGAAATTTGTGAACTTCTTTGTTTCAGATGATTTGCTATTGTTTTTTTTTGATAAATTTTGATGAAAATGTTTACAAACTGATCAAGATATATATTCCAGTGTAAAGATACTACACTTTTTTCACCACTTGACTGTTAGTTGATAATCAGGTATTTAAGTATTTACATATATCTAATTGCAAGTTCATTAGCTACCAATTTTTCAAAGTAGTTTATTTCCAAACATATTTTTTACTTAAGATATATATAAATACCTGTTACTTAATAATTCAATAGTCCACAATTATTTAATTAATCAGAAAGAAAAGTTTATTTTCATCTGAAGTTTTTAATAATTATAATAAATGAAAAAAAATAATGAAATTATTCAACATCACTATCGCCTTGTTCCATAGCTGCTGTAGCAGTAGCTTTTGCTTCTTCATAAAGATTCACAGGGCACATTTGATGAATTCCATTTGTTTCCTTTCCAACCCACGATAATTCCAACTTGAATTTCGTATCACTGTCAGTGGAGTCTTCATTAACACGATAAATAACCTTCGCCCCTTCATTCAAAAGTTCTCTTGCTGACAAGTTGTCAAGTTTAAGTTTTTCAATTTCGGTTTTTGCTGCTTGTTTTGCTTTTCCAGTTGCGCAACCAAAATATCCAAATGAGACACCCGAAGGTTCAATGCAGTACATTTCGGAACCGTTCTCTTCAGTCCAAGTTGTAAGAATTACACAAACTCCATAAGGACGAACGGCAGAATAAAGAGTATATGCATGAAATAAACTTGACAAACGTTCGTTGAGAATTTTCAATGGAATTGTTCGACCATATTGACGACGATAATTTTGAGCTTCTTTCAATGCATAGCTCACAACAGCACGACCATCAGTTATAAGACCACAAATCACCTGAAACAAAAATTTTGGATTGTCATCATTCTTTAACCTCATTCAAAACAATTTTTTGTTTACCAATCCTATCGAGTTTTCAATTGTGAAAATTCTTCGTCCAGAATCTGCTTCATGAAGTTTACTGGTAATAACTTTCTCAACTGCTAATATGCAACCATCTTTTCCACGCAAGCCAATTGCAGTCCCACTAATTTCAGCTGCTTTTGCTGCATATTCTATTTGAAAAACTCGACCGTCCGGTGAGAACTGAGATGCTGATAAATCATACTAGAAATTGAAATAATCGATTAATTTCATACTTATATTAACAATAATTAATTAATGGTTTGGTTTAACCTACTCCGGTACCGATAGAACTCATATTCTTTTATTTTAATTTATTTCCAAAAGATTTTATTTTAGTTTATTTTTTGCTTCAGTGCTGCCTGATTTCTGACAAGTCAATTTTAGACGTTTCAATTCACAAGATAAAATTGTTTGTGTTTGTCCATTTGTCACTGCAGTGAATAGATATAAAGAAACTTTGTAATATTTTTTCAGCTTTTTCGTATTGCCAGATCAAAGTTGTCTTTGTTTATGTTTTCTTTGTGCATTTTTTTGTTTTTCCCATTGTCTCGAGAAATGTGACTGTTTTCCATGCATTCCGTTTTAAAAACAGATTGTGAATATACGTATTTAGCAACGCTCAGTGAAGAGATTTTTCTTAAGTCTTTGTGTCGATTATAAAAAGCAAAAATCTGTGATTATTTTATACCGATATGATGTCAAAAGATTTGTCAAATTCTCCAGATGAAAGTTTGTATCTTAGGTAGAAGAAAAATAAATTTATTACCCATTACCTGGGATGTAACAAAAACTTTTCTGATTTATCCCCAGCATACAATCTATTCCGTCCCTCGCAACTGATGATGTCACTGAAAATGGCCAATCCAATAACGGACTTAAAACTCGAAATTTCGCCTTACAATTGGTGGATTCGTTGAAGAATTCGTTGGATATACGTGAGTTGATCGATATAGAGCTGGTCTCAGGTACCGATAACAAAAGGTAAAAATTAAATCAAATGGTTTCCATTTTATGTTTGGCATCAAGCCAATAATTCTTATTTTTCCTAAGCATTTCCGGGAGCTCCCATTTTCTTTTCTTTGTTCTGTTCTATCTTTTTTATTTCTTTGTATGAAAAAAACTTCCAGAGTACCAGCCCATAAGATCATTTTATCATGTAATTCGCCATATTTCTCGGCAATGTTTAATTCGCCTTTGAAAGAGTCTAACGCATCTGAAGTATTGATACAAGGAGTTGATGGTGAAACATTGGAGATTCTAGTAAATTACTGTTATTCGGGAACGTTATCAATAACAGAAGATAATGTTGAGAAAATTCTTTCAACATCCTGTCTCTTCCAAATGCCCAATGTGATTCAAGCGTGCTGCAATTTTTTAGGTAAACAACTCGATTTCTCCAATGCGATCGGCTTTACTCTCTTCGCTGAGCAGCAAAACTGTGATGATCTTTATCAACTTTCATTGAATTTCACTGCAAAAAACTTCATGGAAATCTATCAAAATTCTGAAGAGTTTTTAAAAATGGACGTTGAACAATTGTCGACGCTTTTGAAAAACAATGATCTGAATGTGACAAGTGAAGAAGACGTTTTTAAAGCACTTGTGAAATGGATTAATCATCAAGATGACAGAAAAAAACATATCAAAACATTATTGCCTTTAGTTAAACTGTCACTTCTCAGTCCCATTTTCATTGCTGATCATGTTGAAAGTTTTTGTACGACACTTGAAACTCAAAAAATAATCTTGGATGCTTTAAAATGGCAGTTGATCCCAGAACGAAGAAATCTTTCTGCTGATTCTTCCGTTCCAAGGAAATCGACGGTTGGAAAACTTCTTACAATTGGTGGCATGGATCAACACAAAGGAAGTATTAACATTGAAAGTTACGATCCACGTGAAGATAAATGGGATGTTTTAAAGAATATGCCGACTCGCAGACTTCAATTTGGATGTGCTTTATATATGGACAAATTGTTGATTGTTGGCGGTAGAGATGGATTAAAGACTCTTAATAACGTCGATGCAATTGATCTTCAAACTATGACCTGGACATCATTATCATCACCACTTGCAACTCCACGTCATGGTCTTGGTCTTGCTTTATTGAAAGGCGCCCTTTATGCAGTTGGAAAGTTTAAAAAATATTTTTGCAGTAACTTTTTCTTTATATATGAAAAAAAAAATTATTCAATTTTACAGGTGGACATGATGGATGGAGTTACTTAAACACTGTCGAACGTTTAGATTTAACAACGAAAACATGGAGTTGTATTGCACCAATGCAAACAATGAGATCAACTGCTGGTGTTGCGATTCTTGATGATAAACTTTATGTTGTGGGAGGAAGGGAATCGTCGATTTGTCATCGGACAGTTGAAGTTTATTGCCCTCATACGAATCGTTGGATGGGGAGATCGCCGATGAATAAACGACGTGGTGGAGTTTCTGTGGCTTCTTATAATGGGGGTTTGTATGTATTTGGTGGTCATGATTTGCCAGTTAAGAATCCATCATGTCAAAGAACGCCATCGATTGAGATATATGATCCGATCACTGATACGTGGACTTTAATTGCGAATCTTGACATGGGTCGCGATTCTATAGGTGTAGCTGTTTTAGGAAATTCCATCATAACAATCGGTGGGTTTGATGGTACAAATTACTTGAAGACTGTTGAGAAGTTTGATCCTCAAACGAAAAAATTCGAAAAGTTAAAATCGATTACTTTTCCAAGAGCTGGCGCTTGTGTTGTAGCTGTTGGAAATAATCAATTGAGTGGTTGTAGCAACGAAAGTTTTTTCAGTACACCAGCAATGTCTCATTCATCCTCAGTTTAGTAACGTTTCAAATAATATTGTTTGATGCATATTTTTTTAACTTTTTGTGTTCAACTACTAATTATTTATTATAAATCTCAACTCAACATGACAATTCTCATTTATGTCATATCATCATTTTCATCATCATAAGTAAAGATTATTTTATAAAAAAAACTTTGCAAGCATGCTAAAAACTTATAAGTTTATAAGCAATAATTTAAAGTTGTGTTAATGTAAGGATTTTTTTTCTTTATTAATTCTCATTTCATAGATAAGAAGAACAGCGAGCTTCCGTCATGCTCAGCGATCTTCATATGATTATTATAATTATTATGATCAGTTCATATGAAAACGGAAAGATTGTAAAACAAAGGATATTGAATTTTATGAGATTTTTGAAAAAAGAACCTAAATAAATAATAATGAAATAAGTTAAATGAAGTAAAAAAGAAATAACTTGAGATAGAAATACCTTTTTGAGATTCTGAATCTTTTTAAATCGAAAATATTATGATACTTAGCAATATTATCTAGCATAACAATGACTCAGAAAGATTCAATAAAATATACAAAATATACACGCAACACGAACAAAAAGTTCTTAAATTTCAACTAATTTCAAAATTCCCGTCACATCTCATTAAAAAAACACAACAGAAATTAGTTAACTTAGTATAATTTCTTCATCTCATTTCATTATCAATCAAAATTTAATAAAAAAATTTGAGATATTTGTTTTCTAGCTTCTTGTGGTTTTGAAAGCAGATCGTATCAACCATAGAGCATCAGCAAAAAGCTATCGATGTCTTAATTTACTGATACATTTCAATCAAAGCAAGGCATCAATAGATAGTTGAAGTATAATTTTATTCCTTAGTTTATTAAGTAAAGAAAGTATTAAGAAGAATAAAGCTAAAACATGATTCTCGTAGAGCTCGGAAATATCAGTTTCTAACAGAATATACCTAAGTGTTCTAACAGGCAAGAGAGCGGTATTTCTAGTATTTTCGCTTCCACGCTGTTCGTAATATTCAGTTATCTGTTTTTTAATGAATATAAAATTCAAGAATGCAGATAAATGGATTGTTTTACCTTCCACTAGATTTTTTTTCTTATAAAGTTTCTGCCATTCACAATAATCTATTTCGTTCATGAAAAGTTTTTTTATTCACTTCAAAGTAAGATAAAAACAAAAGATAAACGTTTCAAGGTTTCAACTTCAGTTAAATTATTTTTTGTTTAAACTTCCCTGAACTGCAAATCTTCCTATTGCATAAGAAACATGCATTTGACAATACTCTTGAAAGTGCATTTTTATTGATTTGTTCATCTAATTGTTCGATTATTTATAATAATGATCGTGCGTTGAAAGAAAAAGTTTCATATCATTAAGGCGAAGAATGAATTTATGCAACTTGCTAATAAAACGAGTGCAGACGCGAGTTACCTTTAATAGCTATTTCGACAGCAAAGCTTATTTTTTTTCGATTTTTAATATAAAATTAAACAGACTTGGCTTTTTCAAAGGGTCGTCAACGTTGACAAAATTTATGAATAAACAGACTCAAAGTTTCAATTAATGCATTTAAGACTTGCTGAGAATGAGTGACCTAAAGATCAGCATGAGCAAATATGAATCAATTATTTGAAGACTGTTAAAATTGGATAGCGAGACCACATTAATTTACAGTCTGTAAATTAATTTCAGAAGTTTAAATAATTCATTTTTCAAATTGATATACCTACTACATGGCGTATTTCTAGAACAAAAAATGATTTCAATTCACAAGAATAATAGAACTATGCAGAAATATTCAGTTAAATCAAATGCAAGCAGAATAACTGGTACGTTAAAATGACAGTAATCAAAAGACTTGTTCAACAACCATTTTTTAGTTTGATAAGCAACCTACTTGGAATCAGTTCTTATTTTGCTTATAAGCTACGATTTGAGTTATAAACTGCAATGTAAGTAAAAAGTTTTTTTTTCTTCTCCGACATTTATCAATCAATGACGACGAAAACTTCCCCACTGCTTCGTATTTTTATTATTTAAACTTACACATTTATTTTTTCTGGCCATAATGTAGAGACATGATGTCTGTGAATATAGAATATTCTCACCATTTTGTGGATAAAAAACTTTCCCACAATTAGCAATTTTAATTTTATCATTGAATTATTTTTTCTCCTTTCATAACAACAACTACGCTCATATGACTGAGCTTTAAGCGTTATAAATGTTTCTTTTTTATTTTAATTAAAAAGGTTTTAGAGAATTTATGATGAAGAATCAACATTAAGTTTAATTGAAGTTTATTGAAGAGATGAGAAAAATTCTTTAAATGTTTGAATTTGGTATGAGAGATTTATATTTTAAAATTTTTGTTGAAGAAATGAATTAGTTTCTAAATTAATTTTCGAACTAGTTTTGAATGAACAACCTTATCTAGCAATAATGATATCTAAGAAAATATCCCTAAAAGTTATTACAATTCCACTACTAAATAATTCTTTATAATCTTATTCTTGTTTTTTTTCATTTTTTTTTAAATATGGCCATACAATTTGTATAGTTTTCCCCACGAATATTTTTAAGTATCTTATGTCTCATAAAACTATCGTCATTATTCAAAACTCATTGACTTTTGCTTCTCATGACCGCAATTCTATGTGCTGAACAATAATAAGTGAAGTTAAAGAAAACATGGTGACATCGTTGCTTTGGTGATGAAAGGAATTTTTAAAGATTGAGATACATAAGTAGGTTTTTAATGTGTTCCTCGTGATTCTTTTCTTTTGAAATATTAAAATATAATCGTTCACAATTTAACCACAAATTTGAAGTTTAGTTAATCAATAAATCAACCTGAGAGTAAACGAATGACTCTATTTCGTAAAAGTTAATATCTACACCAGTTAAATTTTTTTCTTTGTCATACAACTCAAATCATAAAAATCAACATATCATTAACATCAAAATTTTGGAAATTCAAGAATGTTTAGAAAGTACCTACATAAATATCAAAAACTATCCTCGCAAGTTTAGTGTCTTGTATATATGTAGTTATCAGACACAATTATTAAACGATTGAGAAATCCGGAACAACATAAAATTTTCAGTCAATTTTAAGTCACATCGAAAGTATTTGAATTTGTTATGTGACCGAAGTCCAAATATTTGGTATATTTATTAGTAACGGTAATGAACATCAACATATATTTTCTACGTGTCTCTTTGTTTCGTTTTAGACGATTTTCAAAATATCGAATTCTTCCTCGCCTTTTTTAAATAAACTTTCATATTATGAGAGGGATTTATTTTCGCGAGGAAAAGAATGAAATGAAAATATAATTACAGGTGACAATGAATTATCTTTTTCGCAAAGAGAAAGATCTGAAAGAAACTTCTTATGAGATGCTTCAATAATAATAATAATAATAATAATATGTATTCACATTGAATGAGAGGTGTACACATGTATGTGATTGTTGTCTAATGACGAAAGCTTTTGATCTAAGGATCTCAGAATGTAAAGTGTTAGTTTATAAAACTTCTTTTCCAAATAGCTTTTATATTGTTTTCTCTAAGAAATTGAATTGACCTGAAATTTGAAATCCATTATTAAATCCAAATTATTATTTATTTTTCATAATATATTTTCGTTTTCGATTACAAACCATTTGATGCTGTTTTATTCTTATGTGTAAATTATTTTATATTAATGCAACTTCTCATTACACTATCAGAAGGTTTTAGATAATATTTAAATTTTTCTTAACAGTAAAAGAAAAATTTTGTAATGTCTTATAATTAATATATTAAACATAATTTTCTCGTCTTCATTTCTTTCTCTAATAAGGCACATAAACTTGTTTCTTTTTATTGATTCTTAGTTCTTCTTAGAACTAACGACTAAAGTTTTCTTTTTAAAATCGAAGAAAATCACGATAATTAAAAATTGGAAATGGTTTCAGGCATTTCTGAGTCACTAAAATGTTATTAACATTCCAGTATTTATGCCGCAGATTTCTCATCCACGACAATGCTTTTGAAATCAAATATGAAATAGAGAACAACAGAAAAAAATACTTTATATAATTTTTCACATAAACAGTTTTATTAATGAAAGAAAATTATTGAATAATTTCTTTTTTATTATCTTCAACTTTCGCAAAGATAAACAATAAGAAATTAGATTAGAAAATTAAAATGATTCAATCGAAGTTTTAAAAAGACATTGAAGTCAACTCGAAAATTAAGTCATGAAATTTGTTTCAAGTTTTAATTTACGCAAGAGAGAAATTTTTTCACTTAGAAAATTAGTTTTAAAGAATTGTAAAGAAGAAAAAAAAAGTTTACAATTGTTAGATATCTACTTTATTTTACTTACTTTTGAATTCATTTATCATCATTAGTTGTCATTAAATATCAGAGTAATTGAAAATTGCGCGCGATGCAAAACATTTGTTGTGTATATGTATGTACAAAGATTAAAAACAATTTATTTTCTGGTTGGAGTATCCGAGCGACACAACTGCTCCGCTTGTATGTCTATGGTTTGCCTTTAGAGGATTCCATGAATTCTAACGACAGCTTAGGCACCTTATAGAAAACTTTTTTAAAGGGTGACTTTTACGTTAACTTTTGCGGAATTGCCTCTGGTGCCGTTCAGGGTATTTTCTTCTAAGCTTATTTTAAACTTATATGTTACATCAATAATTATGTATTTATTTTTCAATTAAATCCCCTTGGAAATAAGTTCATAATTAATTTCAAAAGAAAAATTAAATATGACTTAGGGTGTGTTCATTATTATTAAAGAAAATAAGTAAGAAAAATTCTCATAAAATTTAAGTAAAATATTTGGGAAAATCTAGTCACCAAAATAGTGCACACTAAATATATATTCGTTCCGATAAGTATATTTCTTTAACTAACAATGAAAACATATTTAAAAACGTTGCTTAAAAGAGCTTCAACAACATATAAATTTATCTTCGTAGTTTACCAAATGTTCCAGTTGAACTTGCTGACATTTCACGACTACGACGAAGAGTCGAATCATCGTTCAATTCCAAGCCTGATACCATTTGAATAATCTCTCGTTCTTTCTTCATATCTGGTGGGTTGAACTGCAAACTTGATAGTGATCCATGGCTTCGTGACCGGTGTTCTTGTCGGATTGAGTAACTGAAAGCTCTTTCATTCAAATGACCTTTACGACGGTAAATTCCAGTTTCACCAGGCGATTCTGCGCCTGAATTTCCTGAATCATCGAGTGCAGCTGTCGATTGTGCTAATTTTCGATTACTCATATTCATTGTGCGTGGCGATTCAATTAATGAAGCTGGTGGTGGTGGATAAAACATTGGAGGAGGGATTGGCATACCGACTGGTATCGCACCATTCATCTTGTCTTTACCTTTTTTCTTTTTTCCTTTGACTGATTGAAGCGTAGCGTATTGTGGTGGAAGCATTATTGGTATTGGTTGCATATGCATTGGAATCATATGTGGAGGCTGATGAGGTTTGACTCGATGACCAATTGTATGAAATTGTCTTCCATTCATTTGTGGTGGCGGCCCCATATGCATTGGATGTGGGGGATTCATTGGTGGGCCCATCATATGAGGTGGTGGTGGAGGGCCATACATCATTATGTGATGAGGTGGGGGTGGCCCACGGCCAGATGGGTGAATTGGGCGAGGTCTAATCAAAGTCCCTGACATACTTTGACTTCCGACTGACTTTGATGACGAATTTCTTTTATTTTCTTTCTTTTTCTTCTTAATTTCTTCTTTTGGTGGAGGTGGCACAGGAATAGGGGCACTAATTTGACGTTGACGACTCGGACGACCTAAAGTCGATGATCCATTGATTCCACTTGAGTAAAAGTCATAGTGAGTATCTCCATTTTTATGGCCATTTATTCCATTGAGCTGCTCATGCGAACCATTCCAAATTTTATGATTTTCATCTCCATTATTATAGAATGAACTTTCACCATCGTCTGTCACATCTAAATCACCGCTACTGGCATACACTGGAAGAAAATCAGTGAAAAGATTGAGTTTCATTCTCTCTTGATGATGAAAATGTACAATGTATTTTCAAATAAATAAATTCGGAAATTCATAAAATTCAGTTGAAAACAAAAATTGTTTCCATTTTTAATGAGTAGATATTTAAATAATAAGAAGTTTGGTTCAAAAACAGTAACGTTATTGGGTTGGCCAATTTTCGTTTTCATTTAAGTGAAGATTTTTAAGTTAAAGGAGAAGCGCATTGTTGAAAGAAGATGTTGTTGGTTCGTGTGTTGGGTGCAGTATCTGCTTGGAATTAGTTAATGGTATTGATACTTGTATGCTTAGGCATTCAATTTTCAAAGCATTGAGAATTGTATGCCTGATAATAAATACTGAGGATAAATTACAAGAGAATTTTGTTTTTAAATTGGTTTTAGATATTTAAAAAAATCATCATATAGTTATTCTTCATTATCTGAACTTTACAAGCATTAATTCAAAAATATTTTAATTTATTTACTGAACATCAAAACGCAATATGGACTAACGGTATACTTAAAATTTTCTATTTCTAAATTTTATGCCCGGACAAATGTGATGATTTAAAGAAAATTCACATTGCATTGCAAAGACCTGTTCTTTTGTGACGATTCTAAAAGTGAGAGACTTGTTTAATTGTCTATTTTTTAAGCTTTTGTTATTAACTAATTTGGCTCATCCAAATAAACTGTAAAATATTTTCATAATTCGAATGGCATTGTCTTGAGAATGGAAAGTCAAATTCCACTTGATTAACAAATTTAAAACATATTTGTGTTTTTACGTCGTGACCATGAACTATGGAATGCTGCACAAGAATTTGAAGGATTTCTGGGTTAATTAATTCTCATTAATTAAAACGTGAACATGTGTGAGAGAAAATGAATCCTTATTGTTTGATTACTTTGCTTGCATTAGAGAATGCATGTTAATACAGTAATAGTCTGAAATTTAGTCACATCATGGTATTTATCTACTTCTTAAAAAAGCAATCACAACATGTAAAAATGTGAAACGATCGATGACTGTGTGATTGGGTTACTTTTAGACATAACAACTTAAATTCTTAACTACACTCTCAACATTCATATGTACATACATAGAATACCTGCTATGACACCATTTATATAAATAAGTAAGAAAGTTAAAAAAAATTGTTTAAACAATAATCAACTTGATGATAATCTGTAATTGAATGTTAAGAAACGCAACGGTAAACCAATTTTCTGCTGTTCCTTTCTTTCTTTTTCTCACTTGTGAAATCATACTATACATACATGTATATATATTTATGTATCGTCGAGATCGAGTTAATACTGACATATCTAAACTACTTTAGTTTCTCTTCAAAAACATTATGCAAAATATTTTATAAAACGTTTTTAGAAATGTTTTTAAATATTAACATAAAAATATGAGCATGTTGTATGACATTTCAGAAATGTCATGTCGAACTGTTTCAAAGATTTTCTGCATTTGAAAACATGAATTGAATTAAATGAATATTGAACTAATATATGATTCATAAATAAATAAACGTACTTTATGTTATTACTACATGTATATTATAAAAGCGTCAGCAGTGGTTTGAAAATCGATTCTTGTAACTTAGATTGAAAGTTAATTCTTTAAATAAAAGAAAAGTTAAAAATTTAATTCGTTAAATAAAAGAAAAAACTGAAATTTTTCTAAGAACAAAAATGAATCCACTATTTTTATTATTAAATCCTTATACTTTCATGTCACCGTAGCACCGAAATGTTTTATTTCTTAAATTTCAATTGCATAAGAAATCTTTACACTCTATTCTGATTCTGTGTTCCAGAACAAAATATGTCGAGGAACAAAGCCCTGCTTAATATTTAAACTGCTTCAAAAATCGTTATAACTACAAGAAATTTTAGCTTTCGTGTTTTAGTTTTGCATTTTATAGCATGAAAATCATTGTCGCTACAAATTTTCAATTGATTGGATTTATCAACTCCATGTCATGCTTGTCAACACTTAAAAATCTCAAATTATCTTCTCGTACCATTTTAACAATTGCTAATAAAATGAGCGTTTCATCGAAGAAAATTTGTTTTTCAGATATTAACTTAGTTTCGCTAGAGTTTGCGATTATACAAACAACAAGCGTGGGTTGATAAATTAGTGATGCTGACAAGAAAAAAGTTTATATTATAAACTTTATGTTATGATTAATAATTTGGTAGACATCAGGGACAGAATTTTAACTAGTTTTTGAAGAATTTTCAATAAAAGTTGACGAACATAAAAAATCTAATCGTAAATTGTTATTAAATTGACGTGAATTAACGGAATTATTAACTGCTGTTGAACTTACTTTAATACTCAGGTGGTTAATTTTGACTTATTTTCATCGCAAATTATGCAGAGTTAAACATTTACATATCAAATGTCTGTGTTAATAACTTAGTAAGTCTTTACTAAACAAATGAAAACTTAGAAGTTTTAATTGTGATTGTAATTTCGAATATAGATAATGAACTCTTGTTCAACATTTAAATTTTTTTCATATCCGAATGGAAATATTTCACATTTCAATCGAAATGCAATTACTTTCGATTCGTAACTCACACAACATATGTAAAACGTACATATGATAATAGTTTAATAAGATTTATAACATGCTTTTGTTTAAAGAGCTTTAGAAGAATTCATTTTATTTCAGAAAATGTTTTTTTAGACTTTAAAAAATATAATCTACATTTTCAGTTGATGTGACAACCAAACCAAAAATTCAGTTAAATTAAAATGAAAAATAAGGTAATTGTTTAATTCGACTTGGTAAATATGAATGTATTGCTAGCTTTTCATCGCTTTGGATCGCTAGACTTATTATGAACAGTCGTTGACAACGACTCGTTGTTGCTTGCCATTCGCATTTTTAATTATTCTTCAAATATTTCATTAAATAATAAGACGTGATCATCTAAATCATGTATAAGAAAATCAAAGCATGTCGTATTTAATATAAAAACTGTTGCTTTTTTCTTCGAAAGACTTTTAAAATAATGCAGCAATATAAGTTGTAATCAAACTAATGATTATCAACAGGTTTTCTTTAAGAGAAACCTTAAGGAAGAAGAAGAAATTCCGATAATAGTCATAAAAGGGAAATCAAGATCAGCAATTATATGTTGGAATGCATTGTAATGGTGAAAATAAAAAGTTGCAAACACGTTTACAGTGAAATTTTATTGCAATTCTTTATATATGTGTGTGTGTGAGAATAAAAGTTTTAAATCATTTTATTTGGAAAAATCCTTTGATATGCAATCAATAATTGCAAGTTGCAACTAAGCTGAAATAAGCTTTTATAATATCAAATACTTTTCTATTTAATTTCGCCATAATCAAGCATTGTTTTTAAGAATGTGTATTTGCTGCAGACCAAAAGGGAAATTTATTTCTGATTAATTTCAAATTTCGATTCCATAATCATCATCATCATTCTCATATCCTAAACCATAAGTTATCAAGGCATGTTTATAATGTTCAGAAAAAAAATTAAAACTTTTCAACACAATATTGGGCCAAAAAAAGGGAACAACTTAATCGTGAAAATATTTACCTACTTTTATTAAAAAAAAAGTGTTCGGAAAATTTTTATATGAAGAAATTCCTATGCCATTTCAGTATTTCTGTCCAACTTTCTGTTTAACTCAGTGCAAAATGTAATTCTATATCTCCTGGTTGTCAAAAAATTCTTAACATCGTATAACAACTTAATTCCTTTGTTTCAAATTTTCTTTTATGATACTAAACGATTAATAAGTTACGCGGTTTTGAATAAATAAAAAAAAACTAACATTGTCCCTTTACATTGATTGCGAATAATGAAAAATGTTATGCAAAGTTTTAACAATGTCTAACAGCTTTACGCTTAAGGCCTTAATAAAGTTCATCACTCTTTTATAACATCATGATTCATGATGACTGTAATTATGATTGTTAAATTAACATTTTGATGTTACGTTGATTGAAATTACTTTGTGAGAATAATTAAACAAAGATAAAAAAAAAATCAATTTAAATACATAAAATTTTTTCATAGGCCGCTTATGAAAAGCATTTAAATTTCCTTTTTCTGAGTGAAGTTTCTATATATGTTTATAATTTATATCGAGAACTGTTGATTTTGATGATTCAAATTTATTTACAAAGCTTGCAGATATAACGTATATAAGACTGAGTTTAAAAATTGTTTAAAAAAATGAAACATGATTCTAATTGAGAAGCTGTAGGTAGACAGAAAAAAACTTAAGTGAATTTCATGTGGGATTGTTTAAGGAAATTGAGAAAAAAAATATTCAATGCTAATGAAACTTTTTTTTGCAGATTGAAATGGAGTGGAAAAGCTAAATAAAACGATTTCATCAGAACGATTTAAACGGAAATTTGCAACATCACACATTTGACGTCATAATATGGTCAAATATATAATTCAACAGTATGCAATGTAACTAAAAGAATGAAATTTATTCTTCGAAACTTAGAAGTTACTTATTATAATGTCGATTGATTTTACTCTAAAGATTAATAATTTCTTTAGATTGGTATGCGTGAGTTGAAAGAATCAGAAAAAGTGCAAAAATATTTCAACAGGAAACCGCAACCAACTGGTATGAGACGAGAAAGAAATCATTAATCTTCTTTAATCTTTGTATGAGTGAAAACCTTGATCGTCAACAAACTCATCTAAGTGTAATTAAATTTTTTTTCAATACTGAATTCAGAGTTTCTCGTTAAAATCAAAAGTGATGATGAGACATTTAGCTTAACTAAATAATTTTGGAATACTAAGAAATTTATGAAGGTTGAATTTGAACCTAACTGTTAATTGATTCTTCAAAAATTTAATTATTCTCACCTTGCTCAAAGTTAAGCAAAGCAAACCAATCATCCTCTTAATTCGCTCATTAAAATCTTTTGATTTCTTCCGATTTTGGTATTAATGCTTGTGTTGGAAGAAGATTATCGAAAATATTTTTGAAAAATATAAAAAAATTTAAAATGAATTTTGACATTCAAATCTTTAACAATAAAAATCTTGTTGAAGTTTCACAAGAAATGTAAATCGTCAATTTTTTTTCGCTTTGAAAGCCAAGGGGAAATGTCGCAAAAAGCATTTGTTTTGCACTTTTCATCTTGAAATTGTAACCTTTTAATAATATTTAGATATGCCAATATTGGTATAATTCTTAAATATATTGCGAATCTTTTTTACCAGTATAGATCTGTTAGCAAGACATATCATTAACTCGGCAATTGAATTGTTTTACACCTTCATTCAATGATATTCGAGACGTTTTTAAAATTTGAAATATCTTATATTATCTGAAATATCTTACAATTCTTCACGGTATAAGCATCGCCTATTCCATTTCCATTGGTCTGATTATGTCGTCCCGTGCTGTTAAGTGTCGCTGTGCTTCCAGCTCTTGATCTCCAACCATTTGTATCGCCATTCGTCATTGATGATTTTCCACCAAGCGTTCCATAAAGACTTCCAGGCACTGAAATGCCATTTTCTATTTGTTTTGCATAAGAATTATCAGCATAAGCATGGAAACAACAACGGACTAGAGCATTGGCAGCAGCTTCACGTTTACATATAAAAGTGTGACACTCAAGAACTTTAATGCCAGTGGTTCGTCTTAGAATGGCAGCAAAAATTGGTGGATGTTGCACACGTGGTGTTCGGGCAAATGGCGAGTCTAGTGGAAGAAATTTCGGCTCAGGATGAGCGTTACTACGTTCTGGAATTAGGACTTGACGTACAGCAGCACAGTAATGTAATGATTCAATTGGAAAGAATCGCGTGACTTGCTTGCGATTTTCATCAACGTTCTCAAGTAAAATTCCATTCGACCAAACACTTAACCAACTGTCAATTCCTTTAGCTTCGCCTGCACCTTCAATTGGGTAGAGACTACGAAGTGGCTCTTGAATGCCTTGCAACCCGTCTTTGCTTTGTCTTGGTACTGCACTTCCTAAATACAGTACACGACAGCGACAAATTGGTGTTGATTCAGACATCATATGTTGGGAATACTTTGACGACGCAATTTTGAGACTGTTAAAATTTCGGTTCTTTGGAATATTTCTTTGCAACAAAATAACAAACACAAACTCTTCTTTTCAACTTGTTTTCAATAAGTTTCAGTGGCTCATTAAAATAACTTGTTAAAAAGTGACACAAGTCTCACATTCCAATCATGTTCGATAATTTTATAAATATATTTTTTGTTTTTTTCTCTCACTGATTTTTATTTCTTCTAGAAAGAGCCAACACATCGACATTTAATCGAATCTAGAGAATTGGTTGAGCAAGTCTTAACATTTATTATTCCACCTTTCTTGTTTCTGTATTTATTTTTTCCTTCTTTTTCTTATCCCGTTCTTCACAATTATTCTTCTTTTTCTTTCTTTTCTGATTCAGAATGGAAGTGTTCAACTTCTTCGTCTTGGCTTCTATGTAAGAAAATTCACAAATGTTGTTGGATGAAAGAACTTTGAGATTTTTTTCTTGTTTTATTAATTACAAAATGTTTCTTTTTCTTCTAAGCAATTTTTTTCTTCTTAATAACAAGAGATCTTGCGAAAAAGAAATTTCTCTTAATCTTTCAAATTTTCATCCAATAAGCACCACGTCAACATTTCAGAGATTTTTGTTGCTATGATGCAAATTTATTTCAGCTCTTTCCCTGGCCCAACCAACACTCACTTTCTTGACGCAATAAAATGTAATATAAAAAGTATCGAATTTATTTTGCAATTTTCGAAATTCGTCACACTTTTAGAAGTCTAAATTTTCTGCCACATTGAAAATTTCTTTATTCATGCGAGACACTGAAACTTTAAAACTTAACACCGCACAGGTAAGCTCAATAATGAAACTCACTGACATTTTTTAACATGGTTTTCACTTCTTCGGCTTTTTTTCTTGCTTGTGTTGGAAAAATGTTCAATGGAAATAAAAATGTTGCAAAACGAGTTTGAGACTCAAGACGGTTGTTCATTTATTTAACATTTTCTTTTAACCGTGGGCTTCGGTAGATGTGAATGTATTTACTAGACGTCTTTTTATCGTTTTCTTAAAACGATCATTTGGATGTAAATGAGAAATTACACAATGAAAACGACTACTTAGTAAGAATATTTTTTCTTGTTTGTGTTGTTGAATTATTTCGAATATTTTATTTAAAATTTTTAAGCATTTTAAAGATTCCAAAACTCTCAGTTATAAAAAATTCTGGTTATTTTGATCCAATTGGAAACAAATAATAAAAATATTTAGGAGGCATTTTTTTTATTTGAATTTCTAGTTTTTGTCAGCAATAAATACGGTGCTCAACATCTACTCCATTTGTATAGGTGAAGAATTGTTTTGTGATAAATTTCTTCATCTTTTTCTTCTACTTCTACTTCTTGTACCTGTCACCAATTGACATATTTTTCAATCCCAACTTGTCGACTGCACTTCAATTGTTTTAGAAGCATTTGCAGAATGGATTTTCAACAAAATATATTAGTTTTTCTTGAGCTTTCATTTTGAATGTATCTAAGATTTTTGTATATTTAAAATATTTTTCATAGTTGAATTAATGTAATTTATTGTGAAAATTCCGAGAAATGTTGTAAACTTGCAACAAGTCATTTTTCAAAAGAAAAAAAACTAAGAATCGAATTTGCTTTTGCTCCTTTCGATTTATTTGGTTTTTTGCTTTCTTCATATCTGATAAATAAATATGAGAAACATCATTTTTTGTCAATAGGAATAAAGCAAGCGTGACTTTTTACTCACACACTTTTTAAACCGAAATTTTTAAGCTGATAAGCGATATTTTTAAAAAGAACTTCAATTGTAAAGGTTTAGCTCAACAAGGTTATTGTACAAAATTATTGTATACAGTTCTGATCCGGTTCAAACTTTTCTTAAAAGCTTTCGTTGAAAGTTTGCAATCTTTGATTGACCATTTTACAAATGCAGATAGGTTAGTTTGCTTTACTTGTTTTATTTTTTGGAGACTTTAGTAATTGATTTATTTTAAATTTTCCTTTGAAATAAAGCCATAAAGATTAAAAATAATAACAACAACAACATTTATTCCACACACTCCTTAAGTCCACAAAGAACGTCATCAATTTACATGTTTTACATTCATAGTCAAAAACATATCATAAAAGCAAATCATAGCAATGCAAAACAATAAATTTTTAAAATCAATCAATTTAATTTTAACTTATTTTTGGAGTCTTCTTTCTTACGATGGAATTCAAAATGACTTTGTACTTCTTTGAACTCTCTAGCCATTCTTGACAATGGATTGTTTCTGCCGTAGTCCGTTTTGTGTCTTGATAAATCCCGCAAGAGTGGAGCCGTTCTTGATGTCATCATTGAGGTATTGATGTTAAGTGCAGACAACAATTCATTACTGTCAATCGTACCATTTAGAATTCCTGCTATAAATAGATGGCCCGCATTTTGTCTTCTTTTCTCCAACGATTCTAAATGATTAAAAATGATAAAGCGACAAAATCTTCAAAATAAATCGAAATTTAAATTCCCATCTGAGGTCAAAAGACTTAAATTTTAGAATTATATTGTATATTTGTTCATTTGCATGAACACAGAAAATGCAGGGTGAAATTATTTTTATGGCATATTAGCACGTGGTTTATATAAAATTTTTAATGAAAAGATTTTGAAGAGTTTTTTCAGCAAAAAATTTGAAAAATATAATAAACTCGGGTGGTAACACTTCAATAAGGTGCTTGATAACCAATCCTTTATTTATGCCAAACTTGAAACTGAATATAATAAAAATAAATATGTGACACTTTTACATTTTAAACTTTTTCTTTCCAACTGTTACGACAAAATTTCTGTTTTAAAATTTTCAAAAATCTGTTTTTACTTCATTGTTAAAACTTATTGGAAGCTTTCTTCACCATTGACAATTTTTATTGAAAAATATTGGGAATATCTAAACCGCATAAAAACGAATTAATGATGAAAATTCATAAGAGAAAGATTTGCTGAATTTAAAATGTAACATATATTATTTGCAATATGAATATTAAAATTAGAGATTTGTGCAATAATACAATTTTTGCCATATTGATATATTCCATCGAAGCATTTCAATTTTCATTGAATAATTAAGACCCAAAGAAGCATTCAGATTAAAGATGCCTTCTGCTTTTACTGCTCCACTCTCAAATAAAAGAAAAAAATTAAATAAATATCTTAACCTCTTTCTCTCTTTCTGAATGGTCATCAAAAATATTTCTCAGAGATTCTTCGAGAAACAAACTAGAAAAACTGTGTACCCACTAGACTTGACCTGCTTAGATTTCATTGATTACATTTTTCTACGCATTAAGTTTCGTGTTTTTCATTGCTTGGACTCCAAGATGAAGGTATGCTTATGAAAAGCGAATCAAGCGAAATGAAGACAAGTTCAAGAGAAGAAAAAAGAATAAGTAAGAAGTGTGAAAGATTTTGAATGATATTTATAAGGAATTAGGAAATGATGTATTTAAGTTATAGTCTAACGATCTTTGTGAAATGAGACGGATTTAGGGTCAACTTAATACCGTAAATCTTTGAATAAGTGGTTAAACTTTAGATTCTCATTACAATTAGCTTAATAGAAAGATCTTATAGAGTTTTAAATTCATATAATATTTCTTATGGTTTCCTCAGCGACAAATTCTGAGGACAAATAAAAGATTTAACTGTCATATCATGTTCAACGTTAGCTACAAAGCATTAGAAGACCACTATGCTTCATGCTCTATGAAGCACAGATTTGGAAACACTCATGTAACTTAGACTTTGATGTTAGTAAATGAAAATAAAAGTCTTTGATTCATATCAAGTACTTAAGTATGAGAGTTTTAATAAAAGATGATTGTATGCATTACACTTTCGCATCTACTGATAGTTAAATTACGACAAGTGCAAGAAAAAGTTTTTTTCTATGAATCTACTTTCAATTTCATCTAATAAAAATTTAGCGAGACTATGTTTTTGACTTTAAGATGAAGGGAATAAATATTTATGACTAAGTCATTTCCAATTTGAAATATCAACAATCTGATTATGACAAATTTGTGTGAATTAAATAAGTTAAAAATAAAAACATTTGAAAGACGTTCAGCTGACCTTTGTTGGTTTTTTAAAATTTATTTAAAATCTCTTTCCCTTAAATAAAAATGTTAAAATTTACGTAACAACAGATTGAAAAATAAATGATTTGTCAAAAAGAAAAAATCAAGATTAAAGTAATTTTTCTTCTCACAAAAGAAAAAACCTGATTTTCATATCATTTTAAAAAGGTTTTTGCATAAAAAATTTATGAGAGAGAATTATATTTATTTCAATTTTTTCCTAACTTTTTACAAATTGGAGAATAAGAAATTTAATTAAGCACCAGCCTTTCTAAAACTTTAATCCTAATTTGAGAATTGAATTTTGAATGTCCTCAAAGGGATCTTAAATATGAAGATCGTTGTTCATATTTAAATCTTGAAACGCTGGAAAGTAGAAGGAAAAACGCTGGCCATTTATTTGTTGCAAATATCCTGAATGGATCAATTGACAGCACTGAACTTTTAGCAGCAATCAACCTAGACACTTCTGCGCTGACGTCGAGACACTCATCACTTATACGCGACATTTCAAGACATAGGACGGAATATGGGAGAAATAATCCAACATCAAGGATCTTAAGAGATTTTCAAGAGGTTGAACATGAATTCGATTTTCACCTGTCAAGACACACATTCAAAGAAATCTTAAAGAAACACTCATTTTAATTTGATTTGATTTGCAAATGATTGATTAATGTTTATGATATTTGTTCTAATGCTTTATTCATTTGTGAAAACCTGACTATTGCCAAGCGGTACAAGATGCTTTGTAAAACAAAAGTTTATTTTTTTTTGTCGAAATTTTGACGTTCTATTTGGGCTAATAAGAGCCTGTATG